AATGACCAAAAAGGTATGAAAGCGCGAAAAAAGGCACGAATACGAGAAAAAAAAAACATACCAACAGAGTATAAAAAAAAAAAAAAAAAAAAAATAAAAAAAAAAAAAAAAAAAAATAAAAAAAACACACAAAAAAAAAAAAAAAAAAAAAAAAAAAAAAAAAAAAAAAAAAAGTATGATTCCTCAACGCGGAACATAATGCGCGTTTCCTTTTTTTTAAGTTCACACACACATATTTATATAGTTATCAATTTGTCCGTCCTTTTTTTTTTTTTTTATTTTTTTATTTTCTTCCTATTTTGTTACATCTCCATCATGGGGCGATGATGCGAGATGAATACAAGTATAGAATAATCGTGCACACTGAACTTTATTACATTTTAAGTTTCGTTAACACAATTTTCAATAACTCTGGTGGGACATGCCAAGTTTGGCATAAAATTTGAAATCTTCAGTACCTTGAGGGAGAATTCGTGCTTATTCGTCTGACTTGGTTGCATGCAATACAGGAAGAGACTGAGATGTCTGCAGGGGTGGAGAATCGTGATGAATTGTTAAGATATGTCTCGATGGCTGCCAATGGACAGGGGTGGAAATGACAACAAAACGATGACGAAATATTAGTGGGGAACGAAGCTCAAATGTGGGAACATGGAAATAAAGAAAAAAAGGGAAAAAAAAAGGGAAAAAAAAAAGGGAAAAAAAAAGAAAAAAAAAAGGGGAAAAAAAAGGGGAAAAAAAAGGGAAAAAAAAAGGGAAAAAAAAAGAAAAGAAAAAGGGAAAAAAGAACGCAAAAAAAAGGGAAAAGAAAAAGGGAAAAAAAAACTCATGTACATATTTCACCCTCTTCTCTCCCCTCCAACATGGCGTTTTTAAAATTTGTTTTCCCCGAATTGTTCTTCTCATTCAGTTTTTTTTTTTTTTTTTCTATACCTGACATCCGTACGTAGAATGAAAAAGGTGCTACTTTGCATAACCTTGAATATCTTAAAATCTGCCCTCAGTAGCATTGTCAATCCAAAGTGGTCGAATATGATTAGTTTAATTGCCGTCTTCACATGACTCACTGCATTGATGTCCAGCATGTTCATTCTGCGAACGGGTAAAATGCAAAGTGGGGTGATGTCAAATTAAGCAAAATGGTGTCTTAGGACGTGAGCGATGGGACGTACGCGGTAGGATGTACGTGGTATAACGTGAACGAGATCGAAGTAGCAAAAATGGATATATATATGTATATGTATATATATATATATAAACAGGATCTATCTATGGAGAAAACATATTTTTCCATGTAATGTAAATGAAAAAAAAAAAAAAAAAAAAATAGGTTTCCTGGCTTATGTTTGTTCGTATGCTTTAAATGTTAATCTCAGTGCCTAACATTTTTACCAGAGCGTAAACATTATTCGATTTGGAAACGCCCTCCATGTCTTTCTGAAAAATGTTTAGTGGTAAAAAGTGTAGATAGCAAATATGTTGCTCCTATAGCAAGAAACTGTGCAACTTGATCGACTGTGCCTTTTCATTTTCTGTCACACCATATCCATTTTTTCATGACCGGAAAGGGTGTAAGAGGGGGAGAAATGTAGAATGGGAAAAATGGTAACATAAGAGCGCTTAATGTAACATTTAAACGTGGTTTTTCCGTAAAAAAAAAAAAAATATAAAGTAATAAAAAAAAATTATTATTATAAAAATGCTTCAATCTCTTTTCTTTGGTGATTTTTTTTTTTTTTTTTATTATTTTGCTTTATTACTTTATATTTTTTTTTTTTTTTTTTTTTTTTTTTTGGTGCATTGTGACGTAAGCCTGCAGGGTATTCACCGTAATTTTGGCGTTTACCAACTGGGGTCATTAAAGAGAAAAAAATCATGCATCCATATGTTATACCTACATGAATATGCCCTTATGATATATCTACATGAATATGCCCTTATGATATACCTACATGAATATGCACTTATGATATACATGCATAAACACATCCATAGATGTAGCTGCATGAATTATACGTCTATGTATTGTGCTTACACAACCTTGAGCCCAGAACTTATTTTGAGCAAAAAATTTGCATGCACAGTAATAGATGGAAAAAACGCTGGAGAACTGCAGAAATATTAGTTCATTCGTATGCATTATCATATGTGCAATTATGTACATGCTTGTGTAAAGATCCATTGCAGTTGCATGGACGAGATGTCACTTTTCATTTGCCAACAAGTGGGGGAGTGAAACAATTCGGAGATGTTCACATGCAACAGGGGAGAAATGAGTTGATCAGTTGTGAGATGCACAAAATCGTGAGTCATGATGTGCTGCTGCTGATGATGTGCTGGTGTGGTGACAAGGAACGTGCTATGGCCAGCTAGCCATACAAGTGTAATAATTGAGAGGGCGGGGGTAAAAAAAAAAAAAAAAGCCTCATGTCTCGTGCGGAACATATTTATCCTTATTAAAATACATCGTTTCAAAAATGATGATAGTTGTGTTTATCAGTGTAAAAAGGAAAAAAAAAAAAAAAAAAAAAAAGTTCATAAAGTTATGACATATGGATATAAAACAAGGAACGTACGAGAAAAGTAGTAACGATAATTGGGTAAGAACAAATCATGACATGACAGAGGAGAAGAGGGGTGGTGGTGTAACGCCGTCTCACTCTGCACCGTTGCAATCCGCACCGCCTCCTCATTCTACACCGTCTCAATCCGCAGAACAGCACCGACCGAATCGAGGCTGGACTAACTAATGAAGTGCAGCTTGCGCTCGGAAATTTCCTTCATACGTTGAGCTATAATTTTCTTTGTCCTGTTGACAGTCTCAGCATTGTACTTGTCAAGTTCATCCATGGCATCGCTCAAAATAATGTCTTTAATTAAATCTTCCCATTTGGAGGAACTAGCAGGAACTTTACTTTTTTCCAAATCGAGAACTGCTTGTACGAGAACCCTGGTTAATCCTTTTTTATCAATTAAGTTGTAAGCATGTGCTTTGGTTGCAGCACCGATATATGTTCTAAAAAAAAATATGGGAACTGATTTGATAAAATAATCACTTGGTAATAAAGTATTATCATCTTTACCTTTGACATGATGTAAAAAAACAGCTTTCATTCTTTGTGGATATGTGCGAATCATCATTTCTCCTGCTTGTTTATCCATATCACCTGTATCACCAATCCATATGTATCTTACAAGTGCATTTTGCTGTACTACATATTTATGAAGTTGTTTAAAATTAAAAAATTTCTTTTCTCCTCTTGTCTCATTCCATACCCATTCTTTCAATGTTGAATATAAAATTTTATTATCACAATCAATTCCCCAGCTTTTTATTCCTCTTCTCAATGCAACTTCATTAAATTTTTTATTTAAAACAGAATCTTCTGTTATTGGTACTTGGGGTATTCTTGCTGTTAATACAGATAACAAGAGAGGTTTGGATTCTGTGGATAATTTATTCATGGCTAGCTCGAAAATGAATTGAAATGAACCTGGATACATTTCTCCTCTTTGATACTGTGCATCTACTCCTCCTAATGCATAATTGAAAAATTTATATCCACCACTTGATCTTATCGTGTCATCTATATCTATTATAACTTGCGTGGTTCCCCATTTTAGTCTTTCATTTCTACAGTCAATTATTCTTCTCTTTATTTTGTTGGTTTCTGATATGTTTATATCTTTTGTCTCTTCTCCTTCTTTCACTGAAGTTGGATGTTCTGAATGGTCAACCGATTCATCCTTTTTTGGTTCCACTTTTTCTCCAATTCTCCTACACTGGGAACTCCCAATCCTTGTCACGCTGATGTGTGGTCTATCTTGTTGGTTCTCATCATTGTACTCAGCCCTCCCTTCTTCTCCTTGTTCTTCTTCTCCTTCTGCTTCTTCCACATGATTGTGTCGTAATTTACCCAAGGATTCATATTCTTTGCTGAAAATTTTGTGCACATTTTTGGATTGTTGATTGTGGTCTGATGGATCTTGTGCTAAACTCATGAAGTTATTTTCATATAAATTTACGTCACTTGATTTAGTGACATGTTGTATATGCTTATCATCATTTATAGAAACATTGCTGCTTCTCCATTTCTGTACTTCGCTCCATCTTCTTTCTTCAAATCTATATTCACTTGGTTCACTGGGTAGAGATGTAGTCCTATGCCCATCCCAATTTTTCATCTTCTTCTTCTCCTCCTCTTTTTCTCCATATTCTCCATTTTCTACATTACAAATATCAGAAATGGCATAAAAACATTTTTCAAGATTAGCATCGTTTATTTTAATTGGGCTTAATTCAAAATGCATATCATCCATGAAGGGTCTATTATCTTCTTCTAGTTCCTTCTTCTTGAATATCTTCTTTGACGAATTTCTATTCAAACTGGTCAATGTATTCGATTTGTGCAAAGGCGAAACAAATTCATTTATGCACATTGGCTCGTTTGGCTTTTCACATGTGCTAACCACGGCTTTATCATTTACATACGTTTCGACATTTTTATTCGTCGATAAATGGTCACTTCTGTTTCTATCGATGGGTTCTTTGTTTTCTGTTTCATCAAAATTATTTCCACCTCTCCATGGATCAGCTCGTCTCAGTGACAGTTCCTGCAACTGCTGTTGTTGCTCCTGCTTCCACTTATTCCACTGATTCCACTGATTCAACTGATTCAACTGATTCAACTGATTCCACGGATGCTCCCCCTCTTTTAGATGTTCTAGCTTGAGGGTGTTTCTGTCAGAGTTCACCTTGGTGGTTATCGGGAAATTTTCTCTCTGTCCTTGGAACTCATGAATTTCCAAATCCTCCTGTTCAACTGATCCATAGGGGATGCTTGTATGAGGATTTAAATCTCTCAATCCGTTATCACATTTATGCATTTGAAACAACTGGTTTTGCTGTTTCTCCATGTATTCGTCACATATATTACTTGTGCTATATGCCTTTTTATTTGGTACAGAATTTATATTATTATTACTTGAACCTTTTTCTGATGAAGGTACATTTTGATTACTGTAACTTAGAGAACTGTATTTTTTAAGTGGATGTTTAGTAATGATACTTCTTTTCATATATGGCTTCTCCATCAAATGCTTCTGTGAATGTGTTGCAGAGGCATTTGCATTTTTATTATTCACATGGTTGATGGATGTATCACTATAATTTACATCACTATTTTCGAGACTATCACTCATCCTGCTTTCATTTTTGTCACAAAATCTGTCTTCATCCTCATGGTTACTTCCACCACCATCCGCTGTGCGGCTTTTCTTCTTTTTCTTCACCTTCTTTTCATAAACAGATTCTTCTATCCTGTTAATAATTTTCTTCAAGCTACCTGCACTACCCTCCAGATGCAGCTGATTTTTCTCTTTATCAGATGCAAGGACCCACTTGATAGCCCTTCCTTGAGGAGAAAAATCTCCAAGACCTGGGTGTTCATCAATATGATTGTTCACAGTATTGTGATGAAGAGACGAAAGAGAATACTTCTCATTCTTTACATCAAAAGTTTGATTACAATTGGGGCTTGTTCTACTGATTTGTTCCCCATCCAGTTTTTCATTATCTGTTTGTTTTTCATAACCCTGGTTGTCATTTTGTTTGTTTTTTTCAAAACTGTTTTTAATTGTTAGATATTTTTTTGTAAGTGATGATGTTTGCAAGAGTCCTTCTTTTCTCCTGTCTGTGTGATAAGAATTATTGTTTCCATTCAAGTGGATGATATTACTACCACCATCACTGATGTCTTTCCTACTACATAATCGTTCTCGTTGTATTTGTTCTCTTATTGTTGATTCTTCTTCCATATCTTCTTCTTTTGGGATGGTAAACTTTGGCTTGCTTATCTCAGTTATCATATCGGATGTGCATTCATTTTGTATATACGTAAAACTTTTATTATGATATGCTTTTTCTTTCTCTATGTCTGTACATGTTTCTTTTTCCAGTGGAAACGAGAGACTGTACATATTTTCCTTTTCGTTGTATATTTCTTTATTTTCAACCGTGTTCTTCTTATCAGGTGGTTGTTGTTGTTTTTCAGAATTTATATTTTTGCCTGAACAAGTCAGGTAATTTGATGATTGAATTTTTTGTTTTTCACTGTGAGAGTATTTATTTACCACAATTTCATGAACATTATTAGTTACGTTACTGTTCATGTTACTTTGTGGGTTCCCATTTTCGCCACTTCTGTTACTCTCGAGAGATATTTCTTCCTTTTGATTTGCATCTCTCATTAACAACAAATTAGGGAATTTTTCAACAAATTTTGCAGAATTTCCATTTTCATCATCCAAGTCATCGGCTTCATCATTTTCATCCATATCATCGAACCAGTTGGTTTCTTTCTTTTCTAAATCATTATTTGTGTTATTCATACTTTCATACAATTTAGAGTGAATTATTTTTTCTTCTTCTTCTTCTTCCTTCTCCTTTTTTTCATCTACTTCTTCTGCCATTACTGAATGATTGCTTAATTTGCTTGGAGAATATTCACTCAAATCATCAAGACTAATATTTTCATCTTCAGAATTCTCGTTCTCATTCTTTTTATCTATTTCATCTTTTCCTTGCATCTTTTTTATATCATCCATTTCGATGCATTCAAAGGTGTGTTTCTCTTTATCACGCTTTTTTTTTAACATGGGATTTCTTACTATGTGAGTTCTTATAGGTTCAGTATATGGATAATGTGGAAAGAAACAAAAAGAAACGATTCAATAAAAAATTAGTTCAATTTGGATCGCTTGGAATGACTTCAGCTACTTTGGCTACCTCAAATTCAATGAATAATTTATAGCCACTTTTTTTTTTTTTTTTTTTTTTTCCCCACTTCTTCTACACTTGGACATCTATTGCGTGAATGAGAAGGGTATGGGAGGAGCAATTAGAAGATATAAATTTCTGTAATTTTTAAAAAAACATACAGGAAAAATTACAAATGAATTTGCACAAGTATGTAAATCCATAGAACCAAGGTGGTGTAAACCTTAGTGTCTTTATAACTATCACCACGTAGGATGATTCTAATATTTGGTCTTCCACACAATAACTTGCATGTCTATGTGTACGAAATATGACGAGGGGTTAAAGAGAGCGTCTAATGGAAATCTGCAAGATGCACATTATGACAAGAGGGAACGGGCGTTGGTTAAAGAGGGCACACGCACGTACGCATGTGTGTGTAAATATATAAGTGCATCCTCATATGTAAATACTTATAAGTGCACACTTATATGTACATACTTCTACGTATGCACGTGTTCGGTGTGTACGTGCGTGGGATCGGAACGCACGTGTGAATATTCAAAGAGAGTATTGTCAAATGGGCTTCAAATGAGGGTAGGGTTAAAAAATGGAAAAGTAATCTGGCTTCGCTACACGTATATGTGGACGTGGTGTCATGAATGGTGCGTATGAAATGTATCACACATGCAGAGACAGACACACACAAGTGCCAAAGTGTCAATAGTATTGTAACTTGGTGTGTCAGAAAATCACAAGCATGTCCACAGGCACGTTGCGAATCAGTGCAAAAATGGAACGGCATCAAATATTCTTGAAAACAAATCTCTAATGCTTTTAAATTTAGCAACTAATTTTCTTAAAAAGGGAGGGGGGGAGAGAGGAAGAAAAAGTAGACCATTAGAAATTTTCTTTTAAAAGGTGTAAAAGAAAAGATATGAAAAGATAAGAAAAGATATGAATAGAAAAAGTTTCGATTATTTTATTTCATTTCATTTCACTTCTTTTCTTTTCATTTCATTTCTTTTCTTTTCATTTCTTTTCTTTTCTTTTTTTTTTTTTTTTTTTGCACCCCCTTCCTGTGCAGATTTTGCCAAAATGTTCATATTGCTTCTTCGCAAATGTTGAAAGAGCTTTCGATTTGTTAAACAAAAAATTATTATAATGTCTCGATGGGTATAAGTCTATAAGTTCCCATGCAGGGACGTGTGGATTGAAGGTTCTGTGTATATATTCTTTTCACTCAAAATCTTCTGTATGGATATAAGAATACGCTTCCGTGAGACATCTTCCTCACATGTAGCTCGTTCGCTTTACTGATGTGTACATGTTTTAAAATTCAAGAAAAAAAAAAAAAAAAAAAAAAAAAGAAAAACGAAGAAAGCTGGCGCGGTAATACTGTGTTGTCTTATGTGTACACGTATGCGCGTGTGTATATATTTGAGTATGGATGTATTTTCCGAGGTGTTCATACGTTTACCCAACTGTTCAGGCGATTACCCCACTGTTCAGGCGATTACCCAACTGTTCAGGCGATTACCCAACTGTTCAGGCGATTACCCAACTGTTCAGGCGATTACCCAACTGTTCAGGCGATTACCCAACTGTTCAGGCGATTACCCAACTGTTCAGGCGATTACCCAACTGTTCATACGTTTACCCAACTGTTCAGGCGATTACCCAGGTATGGTATGCATGTGAGGAACGAGGGCTCCACTAAATCGAACTTGAGGGAAGCAAACATATTAAATCAAAGTACATACATGAACGTACAGCATCAAATGTAAATTCCACAGATCTATAAGTAGATATGTATAGCATAGATGCGTGACAGTGTTGCATTTATGTATTTACAAAAAAAAAAAAAAAAAAAAGAAATGAAATAAAGTAAAATATAAAATAAAGTAAAAATGAAATAACGTAAAAATGAAATAACGTAAAAATGAAATAACGTAAAAATGAAATAACGTAAAAATGAAATAACGTAAAAATGAAATAACGTAAAAATGAAATAACATAAAAATAAAATAACGTAAAAATGAAATAACATAAAAATGAAATAAGTAAAATAAAGTAAAACAAAAATATGTCAGCGTGTTTTAATTGAATACTTATATGATTTGAGAAAGTTCTTTTTCCACCCCGGGCATTACTCCTTGAGGGCGAAAAAAAAAAGGTATGTACATATATAAGTATGAATGTATAAATATATATGCGTACATATATACACATGCGTGAATATGCATTTATATATCACACGTATGTATTTACATATGTATATATGAAGTAGTATTGTTATGTATGCGATATACAATATATGTATATATTACATATGAGTAGGGATAGAACTGAAGCAAAAAAAAAAAAAAAAAGAAAAAAAAAACAAAAGGGCATCGTGCATATAAGCAAGTGCATGTGCAGAATTTACAAGAAAATAAATGGGGAAATACGACACAGTTTAGGGTCCCATACCCATAACCTTATTTGTTTGTAATAATATATATTTGTGTATATATAAATATACATACGTATACATATACATCTATAGATACACGTCCATTTACACATGCACATATTTAAAAGAAGAAAATTGCAAAGCTTGAGCGCAGACTTATTTTATCATATTTTGCTTTGCTTCCTTTTTTTTTTTTTTACTTTAATTTTATTTTTTTGTCAAAAAGAAAACTTTTCCGAAAAGTGTACCAAGCGCACGCATCAAAAACTTCAAAAACTTCAAAAACTTCAAAAACTTCAAAAACTTCAAACACTTCAAAAACTTCAAACACTTCAAACACTTCAAAAACTTCAAACACTTCAAACACTTCAAAAACTTCAAACACTTCAAACACTTCAAACACTTCAAACACTTCAAACACTTCAAACACTTCAAAAACTTGAAAATTTTTAACGAATATATTTTTATTATTTTTTTTTTTATGTAGCTATTTTTTCGCATGTAGGATGGGTCATGTACGTGCAAATTAGCTTTACTACAAAAGAATGACGAAACGGATTAAACTTGGGAAAAAAAGAAAAAAAAAAAAAAAAGGCAAAACGAAAGAAAAAGAAAGTACCATCCCATCTGAAAAAGGCTTGACAAAAATTGCCAACGTCAACACACGTGATAAGCCAACTTTTTAGATATCCATTTTTTTTCCTTTGTGTAATTTGTTTGGACTTACATATACATATTACGACATCCCACACACCAGGGACATGTCTATATCCGAAGGCTTGTAACATTCTTGTGTAAATGTGTGTATAAGCATATATATGTACATATGCCATAGACACACACACACGCACATGTTCGTATGAATATAAAGTTGTAAAAAGAGACGAGTGCTTGTAGTGAAAATTGGAACCTCCCCCCCTTAGATATGTACGCTGTAAGGTATTTGAAATGTACAGAAATTGGGAGAGTCAAACGGAAGAAATACTTCTTGCTAGAAATATTCTTAACCATTTTGACACGTGACACATTTTTTTTTTTTTTTTTATACCTCCAAGTGAGGGGGTTTCGAAAATCTACCGGTGAAGGTGGTAATGCAAATGAAACAGGAAAAAAAAAAAAAAAAAAAAAAAAAAAAGGAAAAGAAAAGAAATACCATTTATATGGAACAATAATAACCATTCATATGGAACAATAATAACCATTCATATGGTCGAGGTGGGGGGGTTAGGGAAACGACGTTCATTCATGGAGCTTACGTGTATACATCTCATGAAAAAAGTTGATCTGAAATATTTCTACTATCGTACACTCAACACATGTAAATATGTACATATGTGAATCGAAGGAGTGTGAAAAAAAAAAAGACATATTTTTTATGTACTTTATGAAAGAAGCGAAACTGCCTAATGACAACTTGTGGATATAACTGTCTAGACAATTCAACATGGAGTTAACGATAACCTTCACGGGTTCATCTCTGACACGTGTGTGTTCCTGCATTTTGTATATGTTAAGTTTGCTTCATAATGCTCTTTCTTTTTTTTTTTTTTTTTACGCTTCTGCGTGTGTGCATACATAAAGAGATAGACACGTACATAGGTACACAGATAGACACGTACATAGGTACACAGATAGACACGTACATAGGTACACAGATAGACACGTACATAGGTACACAGATAGACACGTACATAGGTACACAGATAGACACGTACATAGGTACACAGATAGACACGTACATAGGTACACAGATAGACACGTACATAGGTACACAGATAGACACGTACATAGGTACACAGATAGACACGTACATAGGTACACAGATAGACACATACATAGGTTGATACTTTTTCTTTTTTTGAATACTCATCACATGCTCATCCCCCTCATATATGTGCACACCTTCACTTTATTCACTTTACTCCCATTCGAATGTTTAATAAATGAAAATACCCTTAGAAATTGGAACGAATGCGTGAATACATTTCTCTGACAAGCAGACAGATCCATATGTGGTGCATACATTTGGTTCGTCTGCTGACGAGGTCTGCTCCTGCTCATGAAAAGGAGGCAAGGTGGTATCGCGAATGAACAAGCCGTTGCGTGGGGAAGATACACAGTATATAAATATATATATATATATATATATATATATATATATATATATATATATATGGAAAAAAAAAAAAAAAATTTTAAATTAGATAATTGGACAGTTGGATCACTGCAAAATTGCCCTACTTCAAAACTGTCCCACTTCAAAACTGCCCAACTGCAAAATTAAAAAATTTCATTTAAGTACTCAATCCTGAAAGTGACAACCCCATGCGTATACACCCCAAAATTTGCAAAGGTTATTAGATTCACATTGAGATTCAGTTTATTTATGCGTAAGTTTTATACATGCACATGTAGTTCTTTCTCAAATGAGTGTGCCCTATGTTGTCATAACGGTTTACACATATATTCAGGCTGCTGGTGGTGCATAAAAAATAGGAACAGTTATTTAAATATGTTTAATTACAATTTCACTTGTTCTATATTCTCTTTGTGTGTAATCGAACAGATATATTGTGTTATGGATACGTGGATTTCGTGTGTAATGCTTTCTCTCAGGAGGTGCATGTGAACGTCCGAATAAATCCCACCTTGTTCATTCATATGTAATATAATATAATCATGTATGACGAGCTGAATCGTGAATCAATTCCTCCCACCTTGCATACACCCCAAAATAAATAGCCCCTTGTATATTTGTACAATTATGGAAAACTAAAAGGAGAACAACCAATTTTATATGGGCCATTTGTTTGAAACTCTATATGGAAGCCCCACAGGTGGATTTAATTTCTAATGCAAAAATTAATGAAGAAACATTCCAGATATATGCTCTAAGTTGTGTGTGTAGAAGATGATACACAGCGCGTGTGTGTATTCCTTCACAAGTAATATCCCTTTGCATATATATATATATATATATATATATATATATTTTTTTTTTTTTTTTTTTTTTTGATGCGTGGAAGTGACGAGTTATAGTTTCATTTGCATACATTGCTTAACCCATTTTTGGTTTCATAAACCGAGGAAAGCAAATGTTGGCAATACATGCCAGAGGGGTAATTGAAAAAAAAAAAAAAAAAAAAAATCACAGTAGAGCTTGATTGCATTGAATGCGTAGATAAATAAATAGTGAGTGTGTATTGGCACTGGTGGCACTGTTATTCACTTTTCCGGAGTTTTTTTTTTTTTTTTTTTTTTTTTTTTTCTCCCTTGTATCATTTCCCACTTTCCCTAATTTTTAGTAGATGGGGAAAAAATATCTAAGGAGAAGAAAACTTCAAAAGTTAACATTTTCAACCGCAAGTTGGTAAAAAAAAAAAAAAAAAATAGAAGCATGGAAGTGCAATATATGTACTCAAGAGAAAATGCCTGAACGGATGCACAAAAAAGAGGAATATGCATAAAGAGCAACGAACATGCATAAAGAGGAACAAACATACATGAAGAGGAACAAACATGCATGAAGAGGAACCAACATACATGAAGAGGAACAAACATGTATGAAGAGGAACCAACATACATGAAGAGGAACAAACATGTATGAAGAGGAACCAACATGCATGAAGAGGAACAAACATGTATGAAGAGGAAAAAACATGTATGAAGAGGAAACAACATGTATGAAGAGGAAACAACATGTATGAAGAGGAAACAACATGTATGAAGATATGTAAATGTGTCAAGAAAGGGTCTGTCAGCAAGCAACCTTAGGATAAGCACTTCTGAGGGTAAACACTCCTACGATATATTTTTTTTGTGGAGAAAAACGTCGAAACGAAAAAAAAAGAAGCCATAACCAAAGAGGGAGGTCTGGCACTGTCCCTCAAAAAAAAAAAAAAAAAAAAAAACGAAAAGGAGAAAATTCAAAACATCACCATCTGTTAACTAGGAAGTCTCTTCTAGTCCACAAACATTCTATCAAATAGTCTGCTAAACAAATTTAACTGTACGCATCAAAGGTCATTAAAATTCCCCTAACTTGAGTGCACAGACTATAGGAAAGGGTGGGGGAGGAAGAGATCATAAAGAATTGGACATCCCAGGAAAATAGTCTGCAGCACATATAGAAGCACACCTTCCTGGTTTATTCATTCCAACCATGAGCAGCATCATCATAAGACTGAGGTGCCAAATCGGTGTGTATCGCATCGAAATTGATAAGAACAAAAAGTTGGAGGATTTGAAAAAGAAAATCCAAGAGCTATTAAATGTCCCTATAGAAAAGCAAGACCTTTTTTTGCAAGACGAAGCGTGTATACCCCTACTGGAAAATTCAGCATCTTTAGAGAAATGCAAAATTAATCATGGATCTATGCTTCATTTGAAGAGTGAAGTGAAACCATCGACCTGTGGGAGGAAACAAACAGATGGAGGAAAACAAATGGAGAGTGGAGACCTAACAAACGGAAGCAACAAAAGAAACGATAAGGTCGGGAGAGATGGTTTCCTTAACGCAATAGATATTGACAAAAATAAAGGGTTAGGAAAGGGAGAGGAAAGTAAATACAATGATAATGGTCTGAAGAAGAATGAGTTTTTATGTTCTGAAAAAGATAAAGAAATAGAAAAGAAAGGAAAGAATGAGGTAAAAAATGAATCAAATTTTAAATCGTTCGATTATTTTTTAAAAATGAGAGAATACAATACAACAGATCTTCCCATGAATATGGAATACAAATCAATATTTTTAACAAAAGGAAAATTTATTAAGATTCCTCTTAGTATCACATTGAAACATCAGGAATATAGACATGTAGATCATCTAGAATTAATGAATGTAGAAGAAGTAAAAAATTTTGTACAATATTGGTATACGAATGGTAGTATGTATGAACAGAGAGTTGGTTGGATGTATGGTTATTATAAAGAGGATTGTCATTACAACTTAGGAATAAGAGCTGTATGTGAATGTATTTATGAACCCCCTCAGATAAATGAAAAAGATAATGTTAAACTTCTCCCCGATAATTTTTTAGATACTGTTGATTTAATTGCAAACAGATTAGGTCTCGAAAGAATTGGTTGGATATTTACACATTTACCTAGAAAAGAATATTTGACATCAAATGAAGTTGTACAAATAGCTAGACTTCAGCTTGATAATTTAAAAAAAAACATACACTATACAAATTATAGCATATCAAATTTTATTACCTGTACCATTTCACCTGACCCTATGTTGAGTAACGAACCTGTAACGAATGCTTTTATGATATCCGATTTGGGTATGGCATTAATAAAAGCTAATTTAATAGAACCCATTCAAACGGATTCATCACATATACATTTAAGAAAACCTCTTCAAAATGAATTACTTCCACTCATTTTAGAAGGAGGAAAGGAAACAAACAAATTTGATGCTGATTGGTTTATTGTTCGTGTTAATGAATCGGCTCCAAAAGTTGTACGATCCATTTTTAAAAATTTCCATTTCCCAAGAGAAAATAGATATCATTCACCAACTGCATATGATGTAAAGGAATATTTTGCAAGTACCAAATTGGAAAGGGGTACTAATGGAATCTACAGATGCTCTGATTTTCACTTGATTCTCTTCGTTTCCAGGGTCCTTGACATCGAAACTGCACTGGCATTGTGTGATGCCACGTTGAATAAAAAGGAAATAGACCCCATAATGGAGGAAATTCTCACGTCAGTTAAGATCTAGCCTGGGGCCCCTCGTTCATGCGATTAGCGTCCACAACTCGCTGCCATATTTTGCAGTTTTTGCTTTGCTTCCACGGTTCGTAGTTGTGCTTTACTTCCAAGGTTCGTAGTTGTGCTTTACTTCCACGGTTCGTAGTTGTGCTTTACTTCCAAGGTTCGTAGTTGTGCTTTACTTCCACGGTTCGTAGTTGTGCTTTACTTCCATGGTTCGTAGTTGTGCTTTACTTCCATGGTTCGTAGTTATTCCTTGCTGCCATGTTTTGTAATTGTACTTTTCTGCCATGATTCTCTCTCGTGCATCACTGCTATACTTTGTAACCACACATAGGTAGCCGTTTTTTTTTCTTTTCTCTTTTTCCCCTCTGTATCGTGCACTTTAATGAGCAGAGATGTGACTGTGGGTACACCATCTGTTTATTTTATTTTATTTTTTTTTTTTTTTCAAACATTTTCTTATTTTTCTTATTACTTTTTATTTTTTTTTTTTTATGGGAGTTTTTCCGTCTACTCACCCCGAAACATTTGCACATTTGGCCCCAACAACATTTCAACATCTTGTAGAATAATAATCTAATAGAGCTTCATTTTTGATTATTTTGTTATCCTATGTTATGCTATGTTTTGTTCTGTTCTGCTCTATTTTATTAATTTCTCTTTTTTTTTTTTTTTTTGAATGCGTGGGAGACATAAAATAGGGGTTAAAATTTAAAAAAAAAAAAAAAAAGGAGCATAAAGGAAAACAGATCAAGGTTCATATCAATTATGTATTCTATTCTATTTTGGATGTTCCCGATTTATATATTCTATATGGGGTAAAAAGGGGACCAAATTGGAAACGATAAAAAGGTGTTAAAAAAAAAAGAAGTAAAAAAATAGATAAAAAAAAATAGGTAAAAAAAAAAAGGTAAAAAAGAAAAGGTAAAAAAAAAAAGGTAAAAAAAAAAAAAAAAAAAAAAAAAATAAAAAAAAAAAAGTAAAAAAAAAAAGGTAAAAAAAAAAAGGTAAAAAAAAAAAAAAAAGGTAAATAAGAATAAGGTAACATATAGGGAAATATATAGACGGACATTCCACGTAAGACGAAACAATGAAAACGAAAAAATTAAAAGTGATTAAAAAAAAAAAAAAAAAAAAAAGGAGAAAAAATAATAACGTGTAGGAGGTCTCTTTTGCATGCACGCACATATATCCATGGTCAAAAAAAAAAAAAAAAAAAAAAAAAAAAATATATATATATATATATATATATATATATATATATATATTATCTCTCTTTCCTTTCAAAGATTTTTCCCTTCCATTTGAAGAAGGGAATTTTTCCTTAAGACCACTAGGTTTTTCATTTGACTCTCTCTCTCGATATATATGTATGTATATCTGCTTCTTTCGTGTGTTCTAGGTAATATTGGACATTCACTTGTTATTCTCACTTGTCCCATTATTTGCAGCATTTACAGCATTTACAGCATTTACAGCATTTGCATCATTTGCATCATTTACAGCATTTGCATCATTTGCATCATTTACAGCACTTCCATCATTTACAGCACTTCCATCATTTGCAGCACTTACAACATTAGGGACCACCACCCCTCGCCCCTTAATATTTGAACCACCGTTCCCGCTACTGATATTATTTCTCGGGGTCATATTGGTCTCTCTCTTGGGAGTACTACTGCTAGTTCCATTCGGCATAGTCTTTACACTGCTACCTTTGCTGTTCATCTTGTTAGAATTATTATTACCATTTGGGTTGTTGGTCATATTGTTCATATTTATTTTATTCTTAAATGAGTTTCCACTACTGCTGCTGCTGTTGGCTTGGTGACCACTACCAATTTGGTTACCAGCAGAGTTCTCACTCGCGGAGGCATTCATCCCTGCATGGCCAGTTTTGGGAGGAGCTCCATTGTACATGTTTTGTCTAATGTTATTGAATCCACCTGCAATGCTAGCACCACTATTGGCATTTCCAATGTTACTAGATGCATATGATCCAACGCTAGGGGTTGCAGTAGTATGCATAACATCTTCAGAATTAATATTGTATAAAAGTTGCAAGAGCCATTTTTTTGTATATGGATCCTCCTTTAGACAAGGGATAAATGCTTTATGAACATTCCTCAAAGATTCTGGTAAACATTCTCTAAGTGCTTTTAAAGCTTTTGGATTTTCAGATAATCTTAAATAGCATCTAACAATATGTTTTAACAATCTTGAAGATGGATTTTCTACAAGTGCATTAACCATATTCGACAGTACTGTGGACACTGCATAAAATCTTACAGGAGTGGCACAGATATAATTTAACCCTAATTCATCAATTAGAATTTTCTGCACAATAAATGTTGCAACTGTTTTGGATAGCTCACTACCAGTTTCCATTATTCGCAAACATAAAGGAATAATTTCTGTTTGTAATAAAAAATTAATTACATCTGGGTTGTCGACCTTAACTAATGCACCAATTACACCCAAAGATGTTAACCTTAAATATTCAAATGGTCTATTTTTAGATTCTGCATTTAAAAATGGATATAAAAATAATGGAATATGAGCATTCAAAAAGTGCTGTTTCGTTTCTGGATGGGATGCAACACATTGTAGAAGTGCTAATGAATTACAAACTCGATTGGAAGATGATGTTGTTAATAATGGAGGAGATAACTGGGGATATATGGAGACAATTTCTTGTAGTAATGTTGTTATGGTTCCAAATGAATTCCATAAAACTGGTGCAATATCATGATATGTTTCTCTTTTTCGAGACAACTCAAGTAATGCACTTTCTCTCTTTTCTGAATAACATAGGTCAAATAACAGTTGATAAACTTTTCTTTTCTCCTCATCATCCGTTTGTGGAATATTCCTTCCACTAATGGAATTACGTGTGTTGTTATTATTATTACTATTCGTTATGTTAGCATTCCCTCCAATAGTATCATTTGACATATGTTCATTGTGATGTTGCATATTTCTATTACTCCCCATGCTCATGTTCACGTTAACATTCATGTTGCTGTTCTTCATACCAATATTTAATGTGCTGTTGTTTATATTAACTCCTCCAACCATGCTATGCGTGTTGGCCCCTTGTTTTTGTTGGGAATTCTGACATCCGTTTATGCTATTATTACTTGCACTACTTTGTGAATTTCCATGCGATAGCATGTTCGATGCAATTCCTACTCCACTAATATGAGGGGTTCCTCCTCCATTACTGTTTTCACTACTTTGATTTGTCATGCTCATATTTGGGTTCTTCTGATTTTGGTTGTTTCGACTTACGTTGATTTTATTCGCACAGGATCGATTACCACTAGTCTCAATTGTTCTATGTTGATATGCAGTACTTATTCCCGCTGGATTATTTCCATTTTCTATACTTCCACCACCGTTGCTTACTGCGCTTGAAGAAGCGACAGCAGTGGTAGACGCTGTAGAAGTGACAGAATTGGTGACCTCGGAGGGAGTGACTAAAGTGGTGGGTTCAGTAGGAGTGGTAGAAGTGGTGGGTTCAGTAGGTGTCAGAGAAGTAGTAGCGATGGTAGACGGGCCAACAATAGCAGTGGTGGTGGTGGTAATGACAGAATTTATGCTGCTAACATTGTTCATCTTGTATCCATTAGGGAAACCATCATTATTCATCATGTTTTTAAAAACTCGAATTCTCTATTCTGGATGTGGAATACAAGCAAGAGATGGTGAGCTTGCCACGCGGGAAAAAGCAGTAGGGCCAAATGGGTACAAAATAAGAGGAAAATAGGGAGAAAATATGGGGAAAATAAGGGGAAAATAGGGGGAATATATGGAGAAAATACGGAGAAAATGAGGACAAAATGAGGACAAAATGAGGCGAAAATAACCTTAATAGTAATAATAGTGATAAACCCAGTGGATCGTTCAACAACAACTTATTAGCCTTGAAGCTAATGCAAAAAAACAAAAAAACATTTCCCCAGGATTCGGGGATTCCATATGGGAGAAAGTGAATGTGTTTTATTATTTTATTTTTTTTTTTTTTCTTTACATTATTATTACTTTTTTTTTCATTACTTTGTTATTACTTTTTTTTTTTTTTTTTTCATTACTTTGTTATTACTTTTTTTTTTCCATTACATTATTATTACTTTTTTTTTTTTTTTCATTACATTGTTATTACTTTTTATTTGTTTTACTTTTTTGTTTTACATTTTTTGCTTTGCATTTTTTGCTTTGCATTTTTTGCTTTGCATTCTTTTTTTTTTTTTTATATATATATTTTTTTTTTTCATACGCGGCTCTTTGAATGTGAGTTCTTTTTACAGGAACGCTTGGAGGGGTGGAGGAGCAGCTGGATGATGGGGAACCTATAAGAACAGATTATAAGGGCAGCATTTTGACGAATAATGTAAAAGGTAACATTATTTGCAAGCATTGTTATAGATGGAGCTAGGGATGTTTGGTTCATTCCCCCATGTTGTCACATTTCATATGCATATATTTTTTTTTTTTTTTTTTTTTTTTTTTTTTTTTTTTTTTTTCTTTGGTGAGAGAACATATATATTTCCCTATTTCTTGAAATCATAAGAAAAAAAATTTTTATGCCGTTGTCACTTCACCTCTGGGGGCATTTTCTATGCCTCTACCGTCATACCCCTGAGCATTATATATATATATATATATATATATATATATATATATATTGTGCTGCATATATATGTTGTACATATATATATTTGTATCTATAAATAGATATAAGTATTCTATCTGTATGTATTCACCTGCCGATGTACCCATTTGTATATTGTGTTTTTCTTCCATTCCATTTTCTTTTGTATTTTACTCCTTTAATTTTAATTTTTCCTTTTTTTTTTTTTCACCCGCGCGTTTGCACTTTTCCTTTTCCCGTCCACTTTATCTTTCTCTTTGACTCCCCCACGTCGACTTTTCCCAAGTGCTGAAAAAGTCTTAATTATGAAAAAGAGTTAAAGTGCTCCAGGCCTTTTTATTTATATCCCTTGCTGAATTATATGATAATATATACCGTTTATACATACCATGAACTTATATATATATTTGTAAATATATGTAAATATATAACACATTAGAGCGGTGAAAGAACTAACAGAGTGGCAGGGAGACGAATTCAATTTCAGTCCTATATGAACTTTCTTGTACAAAAAAAATGCTACACATGAGTTTTATATATATTCTCCTCTCTCCCCACTTCTTTGGGTACCCCATTTGAGGAAAAAAAAAAAAAAAAAAAAAAATAGGTTGAATTAAATTTACAACATTCTTATGTGACATACATTTGTTATATATTACGCCGATTTTCGTGTTAAAAAATTTTATTCAATCCAAATATTTGTTCAAACATAGAAATGAACTTATTTCTCCAGAAATGGAATGAAATAAAATAACAAAAAAAAAAGAAGGAATCCCTATATTCCTACTATTTTTGAAAATAATCACATATTAATGACAAGGACATTTCTTTTTATATGTTTTTTCCCGTCTTTTGTGTCTCCTCGAAAATTTCACATTTCATACCCATTCATTAATTTTCCATACGCAACCCCACCACCTCTCTACCTCTACAGTGTATACCACACAGTGAATAATAAACAATAAAGAAAAGAAGAAAATAAAAAAGAATGTTGTTTCTTCACACGCCCTTTTTTTTTTTTTTTTGTCTTCCTTTTTTTTTTTTTTTTTTTTTTTTTTTGCAATGTGGAAAAATGCTGATCACCACCCGATGTGTCGCTCGAGCATGCATTGCATTTGTTCATATACATGTACAGGTAAAAATATGTACAGGTAAAAATTTGTACAGGAAAGTAACTATTTTCATTTCTGCGTGATCTGGTCTGTTGAAAGGGCTATGAAAAGGCCGAAAGTTAATTTTTTTTTTTTTTTTTTTTTTGACACACACAGTGTCAATCCCTAAGAGGAAAATCAAAGCTGCCACAAAAATATAATTCCTCTTTATCTATCCACATTAGAGGAACCAAATAATATTATACAATATTAACGAAAAGGAAATAGAATTAATAGTATTATTCACTCATTTTTCAATTTTCTTTTCCATTTGGTTAAAAAGAGAAAGGCCATAATTTCAATGGAGTACAGCTTTTGGGTCACCCCAGTTTTGTTTTCTTTTTTTCCCAAATTTTTATAAACGAAAATATGTTCCCTCCCATATTGGGGTGCAACTTAAAAGTGTGCAAAAACTGTTCTGTTCATATTTTCACCTGTTCGAAATTTTTTTCTAATTTTGTTTTCACCTTTTCGATTTTTTTTCTAATTTTGTTTTCACCTTTTCGATTTTTTTTCTAATTTTGTTTTCACCTATTTGACAATTTTTTCACGCCTTTTTTACACATAATTTCGGAGATCCCTTTGTTGCTTCATTCAAAATTGCAATGTCGCAACCTTGGCAATGAACATAAACAGGAGACAACACCAAAGATAAATACATAAACAGACAAAAATGGGGAAAACATTATAGCACCATCGTTCTTATACTAAATTTTTTTTTTTTTTTTTTTTTTTTGCTAACATTAGGATTTTAAATTGGCACTCTATACTATGTGAACAAAGAAAAAAAAAAAAAGAAAGAAAAATGAAAAATGAAAAATGAAAAATGAAAAAGAGGGTGGTTTATGTGGAGAATAAAATAACGTTACTCGCTTCCTTCACACGCGCTGCTGTTACATTTTATCACTTAGGAAGTTTTAGTTAGCGTGTTACACTTTTAAAATTCTTAATCCCCTTTCAATGAAATGATTTTTCATTCGGGAAAAATTGTGAAACATGGAAAGGAGTTCATTTAAAATTAAAACATGTCTTAATATTTGAAAAGTACACCGAAAAGGAGAAACGTTCACTCAAGCAATTTACTTATTATTTTTTTTTTTTTAAAAGGTTACGATTTTTTTAAAGGTTACGATTTTTTAAAGGTTACGATTTTTTTAAAGGTTACGATTTTTTTAAAGGTTACGATTTTTTTTTTTTTTGCTACTTGGTGAGAAAGTTTTCTTGCAGTGCAATTTGCCTCCCTGCTTACACATTACATAACGGAGAGACAAAACAATTTTTTTACGAAATTTGAGCGAACCGAAATGAAAAAAGGGAGAGGTTCAAAAATGCGTAAAATTTTGTGAGTGAATTTCCTATTTTCCTTTTGCGTTAAAAAATGTTGAAATTGGTAAAAAAAAAAAAAATTCTCCGTTTTTTTTTTTTTTGTGGAAAATTGCACCTCCACTGTGACACACGCTTTATATTTTGTGCAAAATAAATTAAATCTCCTTAAAATGGAAAAGTGGAATTAGGAAATTTTCAGAGGAGAAAAAAAAAAAAAAAAAATCCCAAAAGTGCATGCGCTTGCCAGCTTTGCTCATTTCATTAGAATGTAAATCGTCGACGCTAGGGCTCCAGTACCAAATTATGGACGTTAAACTGTCTTATGCAACCTCTTTTTTTTTTTTTTTTTTTTCAGAAATTGTTATTTTATGTGGTGTCTAGATATTTATGCACAAGCTAAAATGCACTCATCTTTTAAGAAGCAATTTTGAGAATTAAAAAAAAAAAAAAAAAAAAAAAAATAGATGCAATGTTCTATGCGTTAATAAGATGTGTAATAAAATGAAAAGTGTCTAAACTTTTAAAATTTTGTTTATGGAAAATTATTTTAATAACTGTTTCAAATTTTGGTAAATCAACATCTAATTTGATTGAAAAAGAAAAAAAAAAAAACTATTTTCTGTTTAATTAATTTATTTTTATTTAATTTATTTTTATTTAATTTATTTTTAATTAATTTATTTTTAATTAATTTATTTTTACTTAATTTATTTTCAATTAATTTATTTTCAATTAATTTATTTTCAATTAATTTATTTTCAATTAATTTATTTTCAATTAATTTATTTTTAATTAACTTCTTTTCGATTAATTTCTTTAAATTTGATTTCTTTTCATTTGATTTCATTTTATTGAATTAATTTTTAATAACTTCTAACTACTGCCAAACCATTTAGAGTGACTCAAAAATCAATTGTTCACACATAAACCAACTTAGACATAACCTTTTTCCAGATAAAGAAAAAAGAAACGAAAAAAAAAAAAAAAAAAAAGTCTTATAGATGCATATACATTTCAACCATAATTGGCATTGATCTTTACCTACTGTTTAATAGAACTTAATTTTTAATAGGACACTCATTTTTAATAGAAATATATATTCTTTTAAAAAGAAGAAAAAAAAAAAAAAAAAAAACTTAGAAGTTACGAAACTGAAGAACCGTAAAACATCAAAAATTCTTGTCTTTTTTTCTTTCTACTTTTTTTTTTTTATTTATTTTCGATGATTCTACTCTAAACACAAAATTAGAGGTGAGAATTTAAGCACACGATGTATTTCGTGTCAATTTATCTACACATTAGTCTCGTTTATTTGTTTATCCTTACACACATATAAGAGAAGAGGTTCTACACATAGCAACTTTATATTTTTCACACGTTGGGTTAGATATTCCTCTTGATAAATATTTGCATGTTTGTTTATATAATAAGTGGAATACTTCTTACCCCCACACACCCACCAAAAAGACTCAAAGCATGTAAAATTTTTTCGATTCCCATTTTTTAGTGCATACATGTTCATTTCTGATCCGTTTTGTTTATCCTATATATGATTTTAACCACGTTTGGTCCACTTGGCCACTCCCATATGTTTTTTCGTGTGTTTTTATGTCATTTTTTCTGTGTGCATTTATCCATTTAACACCTTTTTTTAAATTTTCAATAAAAAAACAAATCAAACTGAAGAAAAGCTAAGTGCAAAGCTGAACAAAGCAAGGAAAAAAGAAACTTCCATTTTTTAGTAATAATTATGCATTTTTGAAGGCCCACTTCCCGAATTCATAAATCGTGGGAATTACTGCTCGTACCTTGTGTGTAGAACGAAGTGTATTTACACTCATTTCTGCCTCGCTTTGCGTCGTGTCATTTTGTTCAGCACAATTTTTCATTCATTCTTTCATTCTTTCTTTTAATAAATTACCTTCATTGAAGTTTTTTTTTTATTTTTTACTTTTTGGACCACTTAATACAATTTAGCTTTGAATAAAGAGGCTTCACTAACTGGGTTTTTTCCCCCATTTGAACAAATATTAACTTTTTGCCTGAACGTTCATAACATTTTTGTACCGAAATCAAGGAAAGACATTAGAATAATCTTGCTTGTTCATATTTTTTTTTTTTTTTTTTTTTTTTTTTTTTTCCCCCCCTTCACACGTATACATTTACGAAATGATTCTATCATCTGGAGCGAAACTGTTTTTGTACCACTGCATTATCCAGTTTCTGCTGAAAGGAACTTCCGGAAATGACAATTTGTTAAATGGGGAGAAAAACCCACAAGATGATGTACACAAAATTATAAACGAATTGCGGTTCCTAGAAAAGGTAGAGACAATTTTAGAAAATACAAACATTGGTGTTTCAGATATAGATGCAGATGCTAATGCATATAACCCTGATAAAGATGCCCCTAAAGAAGAACTAGATAAACTTATGGACCAAAATGAAGAAAAGGAAAAAGTAAATCCGAATTTAAGAAAACATGGTCACCTAGTAGAAGAAAAAGAATTAACAAAGAACAAGAAAAAATCTCTGCGTTTATTAGTTAGCGAGAATCATAAAACAAGTCCTTCATTTTTTGAAGAATCTTTACTTCAAGAAGATGTACTAAGTTTTATCCAAAGCAAAGGAACATTGTCTAATTTGAAAAATATAAAATCGGTAATAATCGAATTAAATACTGATACGACAGATGAGGAATTAGAGGAATACATTAAGACGCTGGAAAATAAAGGGGCTCTAATAGAATCTGATAAATTGGTGGGAGCTGACGATATCAGCGTCTCAGCTATCAGAGATGCAGTGAAAAGAGGTGCGAACAGCATAGATTTGAAAGAACTTCACAATAATATGCTGGAAATGAAGGAAATGAAGGAAAACCAGTATGAACAAGATTATACTGAGAAAGATAGCGATGAGGACTATGACGATGTATCTCCAGATTCTTCTGCACAAATGGGTTCATACCTTAGTAGAAAAAATAAGTCTTCAAATTACAAATTTAACGACGAATATAGAAATTTGCAATGGGGACTAGACTTGGCCAGATTAGATGAAACACAAGATTTAATAAACCTGAACAGAGTTAGTGAAACAAAAATCTGTGTAATTGATAGTGGAATAGATTACAATCATCCAGATTTAAAAAATAACATAGATGTAAATTTAAAAGAATTACATGGTAGAGATGGTGTAGATGATGACAATAATGGAATCATTGATGATATATATGGAGCAAATTTTGTAAATAATAGTGGTGATCCCATGGATGACAATTATCATGGTACACATGTATCTGGAATCATTTCAGCCATAGGAAATAATGATATAGGTATAGTTGGGGTAGATACAAATTCTAAATTAATCATATGTAAAGCTTTAGATCAACATAAATTAGGAAGATTAGGAGATATGTTTAAATGTATTGATTATTGTATAAGCAGAAAAGCACATATGATTAATGGTAGTTTTTCATTTGATGAATATAGTAGTATTTTTAATGCATCTGTTGAATATTTAAGATCCTTAGGAATTTTATTTTTCGCTTCAGCTAGTAATTGTTCTCATAGTAAATATGCGAAACCTGATATTACCAAATGTGATCTATCCGTTAATTCCAGATATCCTCCAATGTTATCTAAAACACACGATAATGTTATAGCTGTTGCAAATTTAAAAAAAGACGTGGGTAACAATTATTCCTTATCTATTAATTCTTTTTATAGTAATATTTATTGTCAGATTGCCGCACCTGGTACTAATATATATTCTACCACACCTTTGAACAGTTATAGAAAATTGAACGGTACTTCTATGGCATCTCCTCATGTAGCTGCAATTGCTTCTATCATTCGTTCAATCAACCCGAATCTTACTTATAAGCAAATCATAGAAATATTAAAAAAAGCCATAGTCAAGCTTTCATCTGTTACTACAAAAGTTGCATGGGGAGGTTACGTTGACATAATGAAGGCAGTTAAGCTAGCTATCGATTCTAAGTCTTCTCCCTACATCAAGAAACAATCGTGGTTCAGGTGGAAGCACACGAGATGAGAGGGAAAAATACTAAATTATGCGAATTGCCAATTCGAGAATATGAATACAAATTTTGATTCTTTTTACCCATTGACACGAATAGTTATAACGGGTTATACTTATCATGACTTTCAATTAGGTATGAAGTAAACATTTTGCAAAGTTTGACGAATAAAAAAAAAAAAAAAAAAAAAAAAAAAAAAAAATCAGGCCAAATGGGGATGAAAACATATGTTTTACAGTGTTTCTCTCTCTCTCCCCTTCGTTAAATTCAGACATTTGTGTATTTTTTCAGGCTTCGATGAAGTAATCATACAAGTGTACAAGTCTTGTGTGCATCTGCATCTTCGTCTATGCTTATGTATGTCTATGTCTATATCTATGCGTGTGCTTTTTTTTTTTTTTTTTTTTTTCTTCTCTTTAAAAGATTTTGTGCACATTCGTCTAATCTACCTTATGCAATATTTTTCTCAAGGTGCACAATTTTGCGTAAATGTTGTATACGGACAGGGTAATCTATAATTAATGGCGATTTTTTGGTCTTTACTCGCTGGCCTGTTATTAACTTTTTTACCCTTTTACTTTTTCACTCTTTTGCCTTTTCACTCTTTTGCTTTTTCACTCTTTTGCTTTTCCACTCTTTTGCTTTTTCACTCTTTTGCATTTTTCCTTTTTTCCTTTTTTTTTTTCTTTTTTCCTGAAACAAGTTCATGGAAAAACTGATAAGGTTTGTTAACTAATTTCTGAAAAAAGTGATATTTTCGGAATGTAGGATAAGCACGCGTCACGTATCACAAACACATGTGTGCATATGTGCATGTGTGCATATATACATATGTACAAGTGCTACTTTTCTCAAACGCTACTCTCCCATTGTCCTCATGAATGAGAGATCATTCCAACACATTCAGCGTTTTACATCTTTCTCAAGAAATTCGAGAGTGTGTACTTATATTTCACAACTTTTTGCCATTTTACTTTTGTGATCTTATTATTCGTGGTAAGATCGTGATCTTAACGAATGTCCAACACTGTCTGTCATGAAAAAAATTCTTTAGAAAAAATATTAATTTCTGTTCTCTCAGTGAGGTACATCACTTTAAATCATATAAATTTCTGTATGTGTAAAAAGGGGAATATGAAAGTGGATAGACTTGCATTTTTTTTTTTTTTTTTTTTTTTTTTTTTTGAAGCAGAAAAAAATTGTAAAATGTCAGTGCATAAATGAAAAGTACAGCTTTGATTGAATTGAGAATTTTTTCTTTTGTGTACATTTTTAAAATTAATGGGAAAGTCCATAAGTGAAACGTGTATGGTGACAAACTATAATGACGTGCTCCCTTTTGTCATGGGGGCAATTTTTAGTAGCGTCGTGAGTATGCAGTATGAACACAAGTGCAAATATAAAAGTAAATTAAGCGCAAATATAGAGGTAAATTAAGCGCAAATATAGAGGTAAATTAAGCGCAAATATAGAGGTAAATTAAGCGCAAATGTAAATGCACATATATACAAATGTATACATGTGTAAATTCCCATGTGCACTTTTTTTTTTTTTTTTTTTTTCTTTTTTTTCTTTTCTTTTTTTTTTTTTTTTTTTTTTTTTTTTTTTTTTTTTTTTTTTTTTTTTTTTTTTTTTTTTTTTTTTTTTTTTTTTTTTTTTTTTTTTTTTTTTTTTTTTTTTTTTTTTTTTTTTTTTTTTTCTTTTTTTTTTTTTTTTTAACCAAATGTGCATTCAGCAAAAGCGCTATAACATAATCACCATCCCTGAAGAAAAGACATCCGTGCGATAACTTTGCCAACTGTGACATAAACCAAATTAGGATAAAACGTTTTGCAAAAATTACAAAAAGGAAAAATAAAGATACAAAAAAAAAAAAAAAAAAACGATCGAAAAAAACGGGAAGAAAGACGATAGAAAAAACGATCGAAAAAGAGATCAAAAATCGATCGAAAAAACTGCCGCAAAAACGACCGAAAAAACTGCCGAAAAAATTACCGAAAAAACTACCGCAAGAACGAGCAGACAATAAAACAATTTCAAAGGATAAATGTAGGTACACACTTCTTACTTTCCCACCCCTTCGCATCAATTGCAAACACACAGTAGCCGACCTCTTACCTTTAGCATGAACACCCTCCTCTGCAACATTTTTGTAATATTGGCATCCTTTCTTTTCATGACTCTTCAAGGATTTAATTTAACCACAACAAATTTACTTCCCAATGGACAGATTAAATTGGAAAGGGGAGAAAAAAATCACAACGGATGCAATAACCAACTGTTGTTGAAAATAATTAAAAATGAGATGAGTCATGAGAAACTGCCTTCACATAGTCTACTCATGACTTCAAAGATCTATGACATAAAAGAACTGTTTCAAAATTTTTTTGAAGATAAGGAACTATCTAAAATTGTTAAAGAATGTGGAGAGTACACTTATTTGAAGCATCTAAAAATGGTTATCTTCACAATTAATGAAAATGTGAATATTCAACATTTGCAAAGGTTTTTTGGAATCCTTATAAATAATGACATATGTGTTGAGTTCAACCAGAGTGCAGGGATACAGTAGAAGCGATAGTAGATGGTGGTCGTAGGGAGGAGGGGGATAGCAAAAAGTAAGATGTTAACACACAACCGCATGAATATGCACGATATTTATTTGTTTGTTTGTTTGTTTGATTGATTGTTTGATTGATTGTTTGATTGATTGTTTGATTGATTGTTTGATTGATTGTTTGATTGATTGTTTGATTGATTGTTTGATTGATTGTTTTTGTGCATGTAAGCGTTTCCAAGGGATGGAAAAACATTACATAGATGACATAAACAACCAGTTCCTGTAACATTTAAAGTTTATACCCGAGAAAGCATAATCTGAATGAGTAACACCAAATGAACACAGCCACAAAGAGGAAATATTTGATCGAATGAGACTCACTTATTCAACTGTAGAATATACATGTCAATTCCATGGTACGAATATTTTTGTTCCGTTCTTCCAGAACCTTCTAGAAGCACAAGGAGCACACACATATGTGCATAAGGATAGGTGGATTCTTACTTGTACACGTCTGTGATGCAGTCGTCCATGATGCACTCACTCATGTTTATCTAATCATCTTCTTCAAAACGGTACTTTACAGTTATGACGTTTTATATGTATGCTTGTGCTTATTCGTGCGTGTATCCGTGTCTACCTCTTTAAGTTTCTCAAAAGGAGGGACATTATTTATTACACCCCTCCCCCTCTTCAATTTATTTCCACAAAATAAATCGTAATTGATCAATTTTTTATTCCTTTTTTTTTTTTTTTTTTTTTTTTTTTAAAATGAAACATATCTTCATTCATATAAGCATAAAAATTTGCGCACATTTTTATTTCTCTGTGGGAGAACTGTATGTAGAATAATCGTTACAATGATTATCCATGCCAGTTTAACAAACTTGAGTCTTTTTTTATGTCCTTTATTTTTTAGTGAATTTTTGGAGTAGCAATGGGGTGAAATTTCTTCTTCGTAAGAGTGCTGCTAATGCTGCTAATGCTTCTAATGCTTCTAATGCTGCACATATATGAATATATACTCCTGCATATCTATATTTATCTTTACATTTGCTTATTTATTTTTACACATTTTAGCTGTATTTACGAAAATAACAGTGATCTATAAATCAATAATATATGCACACCATCAAAAGGGCCAAATGGGATACACAACCAAACTGCTGAATTTATTTTCCCCTTAAAGTTAGCATAATTAGCTGTTCATTTGCATGAAAATTTGCGAAATTTTTTAGATTCATATATATATGCTCAAATATAAAAAAAAAAAAAAAAAAAAAAAAAAAAAACAGACCTAAAGACAACACCACTGTTGTTCATCTGATTATGTGTAACACGTTAAAAAATATGATGAGTCCGCAAATTTGTTACCTTCAACATGCTTATTCACCCTTTTACCTATAAAGCATACACCTTTGATAAAAATATTATAACAGATGAATGATATAATTAAACAATTGAATGGACTAATATGTTTATGTTGGAGTAGAGCTGATAAGTGGGCTTCTCCTCGGAATAGGAAAATTAATGATGTATGCATCGTTTTTGCGCTCTTCTGATTACTTACTAATCTTTGATTAGTTGACGATTCATTGATAATTCGTTAGTAACTGGCTAGCTATTGGCTAGCTGTTGAGTTTTTTTTTTTTTTTTTTCAGCATTTTTCTGGACATATAAAAAAAAAAAAAAAAGCTAGCCAGAATAGTGCATATGTCCCACGAGGGAGAACAATAACTCTGTTGTAATGTCATATCTTGAGTTGTAAAATGTAACATCAGAAATTCTGTCAGTAAAGATTGTTTCTATAACTAAAAAATGCTTGTAAATTATTTCAACACTGACATTACATAGGTATATTAAAAAAAAAAAAAAAAAAAAAGTCTCAAAAATATACAACAGACAGGATTGTTCGTCTATTTGTTTTTATTTTTTTACCTGCACAGTCATATATATATATATTGAAGTGAATTTTTTTTTTTTTTGACGCCTGCCGTGCTAATACAGTGGCAAGAATTTGCTTTGATGGTGTTGCCATTTTGAAAAAATAAAAATAAAAGAAAACCTAATAAAAAGCACATATCTCATAATGTTTTTTTCAAAGGAAAGACATCAGTGTGTGTTGTTTGCAACAATTTTTTTTATTATCATTTCATTATTACAATTTTGTGATGATGTGGTAGTGCATTGGGAGGGAAGTAAATGTGTTTCGCGAAATGTTAACGGAAGAATCCTATATGAGGGTAAAAGTAGCACGCTAGCAAAGGAAATACCCAATTACAGTAGTAGAAGTTTTAATATTCCAAGTTTCGCTGAAATAAAAGTGAAAGACCATCAGGATAAGATTGAAGAAGATGAGGATCATGAGGCAAAATGGGGTAGTAGGGTATTTTCAAGTGGGGATGACTATTACCAGAATTGTGATGAAACGGGTAAGAACACAAATTTTTTTAAAAAATTATATAGGTCGATGAAAAATCTTTTAGGATTTGTTTCATATGACACGAATTGGTGTTTAGAATTTGAAGAATTAAAAAAATTCTATGGAGATTTGGCCTACATGATGCAAAACAATATGTCAGTTGACAAAACACAGGTTTGTCTGATTGACACGGGGATTGATGTAAAGGATAAGTTGATAAGACACTTTTTGAAAGCATACAATGTAGGTTATGAGGGAAGTGATGAACCTGCAAATCCAGATGAACTTATTGAGAATAGCGAGTGGAACAGATACATTCATGTGCAGGATATCTTGTCATCGTCATTTAGAAACGGAAAGGACATTCAGTACGACGCAATTAGCACAGAGATGTGTAACTCAAGGAATTATTCCAACTGTGAATCTAAGGATGTGGATGATATAGATAACCATGGAACTTTTTTAGCCAATACAGTAATTAGGGGCGATTTATTAAGAGAGAAGAAAGTGTATAGAAAAACTACAGAACTTTTTATATGCAAAGCGTTTGGAGATAAGAAAAAATTGAATTCACATTTGGTTCCACTCGTCAAATGTTTAGAATATTGTAGAGATAGAAATGTAAAAATAATTCACGTCAGTTACAATGTGCAGGTGAAAAGTGAAAAATTGATACAAGTGATGGAGGACTTAAGGAGGGCTAACATTATCGTGGTCTCTCCGTCTCAGCAGGTTTATGACACCCCCTCGATGAGACGTACAATGGGGGAGTCAGAAGTAGCGGAAAGTGGGAAATCAAACGTAGCGAAAAGTGGAAAATCAGACGTAGGGGAAAGTTCAAAATCAGACGTAGGGGAAAGTTCAAAATCAGACGTAGGGGAAAGTTCAAAATCAAACGTAGGGGAAAGTTCAAAATCAGACGTAGGGGAAAGTTCAAAATCAGACGTAGGGGAAAGTTCAAAATCAGACGTAGGGGAAAGTTCAAAATCAGACGTAGAGGAACACAGAGAAGAATTTGATGCAGGGAAATTGTACCCATCCTCGTTCGCTGGCAATTTTGAAAACGTCTTTTCCGTTGGAGCTTTAAAAAATCCTCCCAGGGGGGAAGGGCCAGTGGTAGAGATAAATACAAATTCGTTTGATAACCAGACAGAGCGAAAAATTAGTCGAACGACAGGAAATATAACACAGGTACAATCGTATAACAAAGAAAATACCACTTTGTTTAATTTTGGATATAATAAGAGAAGCATATTTCAGAAATATAGCTCACCGATGAGAAAGGACGAACGAGGCTATGCATCGGCTAACTTTGTTAACACCCTTGTGGTTATGCTTAATATAAATCCAAAATTATCTATGAGAGGAATAAGGAAAATTTTAAAAAAGTCCCTAGTTCAAAGAAGTGAACTAAAGGGATTATCTGCATGGGGTGGTTATGTTAATCTCTTCAAAGTAATTGAGGATACATTAAGAGAGAGGAAGAAAATTTATGAAACTTTTTTCCAAGAATTGAATACCGATGATGATGAAAACGGCAGTGATGAAGAAGAAGTAAAGACAAGTCATATAAAAGGAAGCGCACAGAAATCTGCGCTTCAGAGATTAGAGGATGTGGAAGTACATCTAGAGGACAGAACTGAAAGACAGCACATTCAAGAGGAACGCAGTTATGATAACCTCATAACGGAGAAGGTTATTCTAAATTTTGATGAGGAGTTTAATAAGGGGAAAAAAGAGACAGACGAAGAAGAGAAGGAGAGAATATTAGCTAGCACTTTGGAGGAACAAAAGTTCTTCACACCACTGGATGATGAAAAGGAAAAAATTCATACCGATTCTGGAAATAAACTGTTAAATTTTTCGTATGCAAACGAAGAGACAATAGAATTTGAAGGGGAAGAAGAACTGATGAACTATGACATGGATTCATTTTTTAAAGATGAGGAAGAAGTTGTTTTCCCTAAGGAGGATGACTATCCCAATGATATCACACATTATAGTGATTACAATGATGGAGAATATATTTATAACCTAGATCAGTTAAAAAAATATATTTATAAAGATGAGAGGGAAGGGATTATACAAGATGAGTGGTCTAGACATCGTCTTACTACCCCTTTGAGCTTCATCTCCCTTTTGGATACATCACATAATGATGAAACAAATTTAACATTTTCTATGAATGAAAATGAAAAAAGTAATAGGTTTGACGAGCATTTCCCCCACCCTAAGCGTAGAATCTATGAGAAAAGTAGGTTTACAGAAGCACAGGAACAACAAGATGTAAGAAAACTGAATGGAGAAACCAGTGATGATAGTGACTATGATCATACTGATGTAGTTACTACCCATAGGGAACATGACAACGAGAATGGAAAGGAAGATTATTACAAGAATGGTACTTTATACAACACTGATAGGTTATATCGGAATTTGTCAGAGGATGTTCCATCAGTGAATTTGTTACACACGTACGAAGATTTCCCACCTGCAGTGCTGCCCAGGTGGGAAAAAAGAGGTGAAGAATCCCCTTGGGGAAGTGAGGAAGGAATGCATGATTTTTTTACAACACTTGATTCTGACAGGAGGGGTAACTACCGTGCTAACAGAAAGGAAGACCGACCAAGAAGGCAGGAGGGAGGACATGAAATGCAAGGGAGACCGCGTCGATATGAAACGCGAAGGAGACCACGTAGAGATGTAATAGGGAGAAGACCACATGGTGATGTAATAGGGAAAAGACCACATGGTGATGTAATAGGGAAAAGACCACATGGTGATGTAATAGGGAAAAGACCACATAGTGATGTAATAGGGAGAAGACCACGTAGAGATGAACCCAAGAAGAAACAAGGACTAGATAAGCAAAGTGTAGAAATGCGAAAGAAATCCACATTGCCAAGTTCGAGGAGATTAGTGAGGAGAGAAAGTGAGAGAAGTCAAAACAATAGGGAAAATGAAAATTATCGGCTTAATAATATCATAAAAGGGGAGAGAAACAAAAGACATAGAAATATATCCACAAGTGGGAGACCCGTGAGAACTGTTATGCCAAGGATTCCAAGAAGAATCATAGGAAAAAAGACTTAAGGTACGAAACTTCATCTAGTAAAAGAAAAAAACGAAAAAAAAAAAATGTTTCCGCTTTTTCTTCTCTCCTAACGTGCAAAAAACATACCCCTGAGAATGAGAACGTGCCAAGTGGAATTTAAGTTATAAATAAACGATGGATTAGGGTGAATTATTTTGTCCATTCGTCTAAATATATATATATATATATATATATATATATATATTCATGAACTAATTGTGCTTATAACTTCACCCCTTATATACCTTTGATCATTTATTCGTGTATTTTCTGTTTTCATCTTTACATATTCATTAACTTTTGCGTTAACATAATATGTTTTGTTTTATTAACTTTTTTTTTTTTTTTTTTTTTTTGTCCTGTGCGAATTCATACAAACAATATTGTTTTGAAAATGCGAAATTTTTATGTCCTATACGTTTCTGTTTCATGGTAGTTGGAGAGTGTATAGAGTGTTCTGTTTTGGTCTGTTTTGCACGGTGTTTTGTTTTGATCTGTTTAGGTCTGTTCTGATATGTAGTGACATGTGCTGTGCCGCGCTATATTCTTTGCTCCTGTTTTTTTTCTTTCTTTTATTCCTTTTTCCAATGTCCTGCGAGCTCAATAAGCTCTTGAAATTAATTCTTCTTTTTCATTCCAAATTAGGGAAAAAAAAAAAAAAAAAAAAAAAAAAAAAATTGTTGCCTTCGTCTGAAGGAGGAAAAACGTTCTTTCCTTCATAAGAACATAAAATGATATAATGATGAGAAAAAATAAATAAGTTATTTTATTATTTTATTATTTTATTTTTTATTTTTTATTTTTTATTTTATTTTTTTATTTTTTATTTTTTATTTTATTTTTTTTATTTTTTATTTTTTATTTTTTTTTTTGTTTTTTTTTGTTTTTCTTTTTTTTTCAGTTATACTGTTCAAACGTATGCATATACACATAGTGTGACAATTTTGTATGCTTTGAGTTTTCACATTTTTTTCTCTCTTTATTGTAATGTAAGGTGGTCATTGGGAAGATGAGATGTGCTAGGTTTGTTTATGAATGACGAAGTGTTTGTGTGTGTGCATGTGACGAGATCAATAGAATTTCGGAGAATTATCCGACATGCACACTTATTTTTTTTTTCAAGATGGGGAATACTGAGTAATATTTGGACATACATGTTCTCTGGTTTATTTAGGTTGGGACGTTTTATATAATAGTTGTATTAGAACATTTTGTGAGATGCATTCAGATCAAGCGAGAAAGTTGTGTCTTCCCTTATTATTATTTCATTTTTCTCATTTCAACTTTTTTCAGGATGAAGCAAGATCCTAATTTGCGTTCGAAGGTTCGCGTGTATTAGGGTTATATTTTTCGAAATTATTGATTTTTGGTCTTATTGTTTTGGGGTTTTTTCGTTTTATTATTTTTTTGTTTTACTGTTTTTTTGTTTTTTCGTTTTATTGTTTTATTGTTTTGGGGTTTTTTCGTTTTATTGTTTTATTGTTTTATTGTTTTATTGTTTTATTATTTTTTTGTTTTACTGTTTTATTGTTTTACTGTTTTATTGTTTTACTGTTTTATTGTTTTACTGTTTTATTGTTTTACTGTTTTTATTTTTTTTTTTGTTTTTTTTTACAGTTTAGATTTTTCACTACTTTTAACTTCATGTGAAATGATATGGAGAGACTAAAAATGTGTTTCGTCCAGAATGGTGTGAAAGTTTGCAAATAATATTTTTTTTTTTTTTTTTTTTTAATTCACAAGAAAAGGAAAGAGAAAATAAAATTCCTTTATCAACGGTTGTTTTAGTAAAATTCTGACCGACGTACATTTTAGCAACTTGCTCAAGTTGGAAGTAAATCTGTGCCTCAGTTGTTGTGGTTACTTCTATTATTTCGATGATTGATATGGTTGCAATGGTTTGTGGCCACCTATACTGTGGCAACAGCTGCAATGTTGTAGGAGTTGGGAAGGATAAAATGTCAGCATAACCACGTGATCACAGTAGTTGTATTGGAACTTTACAGTATATTCTTCTTTTTTTTTTCTCTTTTTTTTTTCCTCTTTTTTTTTTTTCTCCCTTTTTTTTCTCCTTTTTTTTTCTCCCTTTTTTTTCTTCTTTTTTTTTTTTCTCTTTTCTTATTCTTCTTCTTTTTTTTTCTTGTGAAACCTGCATTTTCCACATACACGATGTGTGAAAGTGAAGCGACTACGTACAGAATGAAGCCTATGTGTATGCACCTGTATGTTTCCAAGGTTCCTTTCAAATGCATATTACACACGTAAACTCATACGCATGTGTGTGTGAGTTTATGTATGTCTATCTGTGTATGTATGCATGTATGTATGCCTGTGCGTGTGCTTTTCTCCTTCTGTGCCTTTCACAAGTCTCCCAAAATAAGAATGCGTGCATCCCCTTGATTATGAACACACACCTCTGTGATCAAAATGACGATTACACAATATTATTATTACACCATTGCTTGCTTTCTGATATGTAGAATTATACAGAAAGTGGAGAATAAGTATGGAACAAGCAACAGCGAGTGGGATGACTTAACTAAGAGAAAATATAAAACAATGGATCGGAAATTTAAAGAAGTACAAATTGGTGGAGTGTATTACAACAGTAGGATTTTACTTAGTGCTTCTTCTAATGTGACATTTAAAGGGAAATTATTTGCCAAAGGTGATGACTCTTCTTCTTATACTTGCTCGCATGAAGAAGGAAATACATCTGGGGTGCAGAATAAAGATAATGATAACTTCATAGAGGATTCAGAAGGAATATTATCTAAATTGAAAAAGAATAAATTAATTATACGTTTTAAAAAAGAGGAAAATATGTTAACTTCCACTTTTAGACATAATTTTGTGAATGTACTTGTCCATTGCGGGCGTGTGAAGAAATTAAGTTATATAAATTTTTATCTATTTGATATTTTTCCAAATGTAGATGACACTCTTCTAAAAATTTGTCTTCTGTCATTATTTAATAGTAAGAATGTGTTGGTCGAGTTGGATTTTCAAATTCTTCCGATTGAGAAGAAATCCATTAAAATGAAATTTAAGGAAGATCATCATATCGATATCAGTAATCAAAACAAAAGTAGGAAATCCAACTGTTGCAATAGAAACATGTTTCACCTGCACAGCAAGGTGGCTTTTAGAAAATTTCTACACAGACTTCAAAATAATTCCAAGGGAACGAATATTTTCAACGGATATGACAAAACAAAGATGAAGGAAGGAACCGAAATTTCAGCAGAATACGAGGTGCATGATGTAAATGTTTGTATTGTTGATACTGGAATTGATTACAATCACAGAGATTTGAAGGAAAATATTATTCATATAAGAAATAAAAGGAGGGAGGGGGAGGTGGAGGAGGATTCTGATAGAAATCAAAATGGAAATACAGATATGGAATGGAAAGTAAAAGAACGTAAGGGAAAGTACGAAGATGTGGAAGGATTTATGGATAATCATGGGCATGGAACATTCATAGCTGGAATCATTGCGGGTAATTCAGGAAAAAACAATCAAGGGATTAGAGGTATAAGTAAGAAGGCAAAATTGATAATCTGTAAAGCTTTGAACAGTAAAAATGCTGGATATATAAGTGATATATTAAAATGTTTTAATTTTTGTGCAGAAAAGAAAGCAAAGATAATTAACGCTAGTTTTGCAAGTTCAAAGAATTATCCTTCTTTGTTTGCAGCGTTAAAAGAATTAGAAGAAAAAAAAATTTTAGTAGTTTCATCATCTGGGAACTGTTGCCCGAATATGGATTTTTCTAACAATACATTTAATGAATGTGACTTAGATGTAACGAAAGTGTACCCAACTGCTTATTCGCTACATCTAACTAATCTCATTACAGTTTCGAATATGATTCAAGAATCAAATGGGAATATAATTTTATCCCCAGATTCATGTTACAGTAAAAATTATGTTCACTTAGCTGCACCTGGGAATGATATCATTTCTACCTTTCCTCAAAATAAATATGCAATAAGTAGCGGTTCCTCATTTTCTGCTGCTGTCATTACTGGCCTCGCTTCTCTAGTACTTTCCATAAATGACAAGTTGACATATGAAGACGTCATTCATCTCTTCCAACAATCCATTGTCCAAACCAAATCCCTTCAGGGTAGGGTGAAATGGGGAGGATTCCTCAATGTGCATCAGCTGATCAAGTCTACCATTGAGAATTAACACTCTGGTTAATGATTCAACTTGGCTCCAGCTTCATATCCCTTTTTTTCGTTTTCATTTTCGCACTCAATTCCGTTTTTCTTTCCTTTTTTTTTCTTTTCTTTCCTTTTCTTTTTTTAAGTTGTGTGTCTCTCTCGTACTGCCCCGTTTGTTTCCTCTCACTTCCAATCTCTTCCCCTCTCATTTCACCCCTTTTTTTCAAAATTCACACGGATATATTTCATCTCCTCCATGCGTGCACATGACAATGGGAATTCTCTAAATTTCCCTCGCTGCCATTTCGTTAGAACTTTCCACCATTAGGGTTTTTATATTTGCCATTTTGCATTGTTCATTTTATTCATTTTTTATATAGTGTCTGTTTTTTCATGTTTGAAATGAAAAAAAAAAAAAAAAAAAAATTAGCTAATGGTAATTTGCATAATTAAGTGTCCATTTTTTAAGTGTCATGCATTTTTGCTTTGATTGGCAAAGACGAGAATAAAAACAGACACTTAATTATGCAAATTCCCATTAGCTAATTTTTTTTTTTTTTTTTTCTTTTTTAAACGAAAATTTTTATAAAATTGTTTTGAAATAAATTAAAAATAGCAATTGATGTGTAAAATAAGTTTTCTTAACATAGAATTCCAACCCCTGTGGATTTTTGCAAACTCTGAAATTTCTTTATCATTTCCACTTAATTTTTTTTTTTTTTTTTTTTTTATATTGTGTGTTTTTCAAAAAAAAAATTGAGAGGTAAAAAAAAAAATTAACTTTTTTTTTTTAATTCATTTCTTACAGCTGATATTAGAACTTATTAACAAATACCATCTCCCTAAAGACACAAACACTCTATTTTTCTTTTCCCAATTTTGTGCATTTTTCTTTTTCTTCATAGAAAACAAAAAAAAAAAAATTGGAACATTCTAAAAATTTGAAACGCTTTTCAAATAGTTATAAATATCTGTTGTAAAATCTACACATAGGTATTTCATTTTTATCATTTAATTACTTTCCTGTTTTGTTACTTTGCTAATTCATTTTATTTTTTTGAGAATTGTTTGTAACAGGGTTCAGGGTTTAAGGTTTAGGTTTTAGGGGTAATATATATTTTGCACTAGTGGCAGAACTGCGAAAAAACTTGCACTTTTTCTTCTAATTAAATCAAAAAAGGGTTAAAGAAGAAAAAAAAAAAAATTTACTGGTACTTATGTTACATATATAAAATGAGCATATCAAGGTGAGAGAAATTGCATATACATATATATATATATATATATATATATATGTATATATGTATATATGTATATATGTATATACCTATGTTCATATCATATATAGCTATTATAGCAGAAGGGAATGAAAAAGCAAGGATGCGAAAGTTTATTAACGGAGTGAAATTACAATGCAAAGCACTGCCACTACACTGTGGAATCGTATAAAATAATTTTCTTCCCCTTCCTTTTTTTCTCGTTGTTTAACCTGAGTGCTTAAAAAGAATGTAAAAAAAAAGAAAGGAAAAATTTCAGCAAGTTGAATTCATCCCCCTAAGGAACTAAAAAATGCCACACATATGTGATATATGTATATCATATATATGCATACATATATATATACATATATGTGGTGCTTTTATTTTTTATGTCTGCACAGCACAAGGGCGAAAACAATAGGTGCGATAATAAAAAAAAAAAAAAGAAGCTTAAATTAAAAATAAAAAAACTTGGATGCTAAATTCCTCACATACTTGCTTTGTTACCCGTTACCGTTATAGTCGTGTGTTCAAGTTGAAGGATTCATAAGTTACAGAAAAAGGAAAATCACAAAAAAAGAGTACCCAAGGGAGGCGTAGAAGTACATGCATATATATATATATATATATATATATGATATAATATGTATACAATACATACGTATGTGATATATATGTATGCATAATATTCATATGCACCTATCTATGTAGTATGGTACATATATTGTAAATCTCCCACGCATCGCTGCGCGTGATTCTCTTTTTTTTCCCCATTCACCTTTATCACGTTGAGGAAGCACAAAGTGAGGAAAGGAAATAAATAAAAAAAATATTCCGAAGAAGGGGGAAAAAAAGAATAAAAAAAATGAGGGAATCGCTTAAACTCATAAAAAATACCATAGATTATACATACTATACTACATAATAAATGTTACATATTACGGATTAGTTAAATTTTTATTTTCATTTTGTTTCGTTTATTTTCTTTTCTTTTATTCTCTTTTCCTTTTTTTTTTTTTTTTTTTTTTTTTTTTTTTATTTTATAAAAAAAATAAAAATAATAAAAAATTTATTTTTCTTTTTTTTTTTTTTTTTTTTTTTTTTTTTTTTTTTTTTTTTTTTTTTTTTTTTTTTTTTTTTTTTTTTTTTAATTTATAAAAGAATACAAATAATAAAACATTAGTTTTCCTTTTTTTTTTTTTTTTTTACTTCCTTGTGTAGTAAATGATTAATACTGACACTTTCGTCAAATCTTGAAAAAACCAGGATTGAATTTCCTAGCTTTACTGATTATAACACGTGTTCCCCTTTTTAGAAACACCAAAAACAAAAAAAAAAAAAAACAAAAAAAAAAACCTTTTAGGCCCTGCGAGGTAAAAATCATAAATATGAACATGAACATGAATAATGAATTTTGGCCAAGTGCTGCTGCCATTCCATGAGCGTACTGTACCAAAAGTGAAAAAAAAAAAAAAAGAGGAAAGGGCTTTCCCTTACATAATAACGTATTTTAGCGTATGCTTACATGTATATGTATATATATATATATGTATACATATATGCTGGACTGGCACGTGTTTTTCCGTTGATTGTTTGGGTGTGAATAACCATTTATGCATACGCATTATGGTTCTCCCAACTGCTTTCCTCCAATAACGGAGCTGAAATGTGTGGTTATATATTTTTGTACATTTCCATTTCTCTTTGCAAATTCGTGAAATATCCATAGTGCAGTGTAAACAATATCCATATACGTGTGTTTATTTATATGTGATACACATGCCTGTGACTCACCTCCACATTATGAAACATGTACTAGGAATTATTTTTTAAACTTTAGCACAAGTTATTTACATTTGCTGTGCATATACGTTTATTATGATTGCCTCTATACATTCAGCATTTACGTTTGTGCTGTCCTAGAAGCAAACAACACTCTTGTATAATATACGCTTTTTTTTTTCTTTTTTATTTTTATGTAACATGTAAATGATATTGCGATTTCAGGGAAGAAAAAAAAAAATAAAAAAAGCAGAAAAGAAAAGGAACGAAACAGACCCGAGCAATTTCCATCCTGTGTTTTATTTGACGTGACATGCTTTTTTTTTTTCTTTTTTTTTTTTTTATATTGTTTATATATGTTGAGTGAATCGTTGTGATAGGGAGGTTTTTTCAGCCACCACTATATATACGTTCTTTCCCAGGCGAATTATTTTATTTTTTTATTTTATTTTTTTATTTTATTTCTTTTTTGTGTTGTTCAGAAAGGTTTACTCTATTGAGAGTGACATGTTCATATTTTTCTGACTTGTTAAGCACGTTTTTCTCGTCTTGTCATGTCACCACTTCACAGTGACACCACTTCACAGCGACACCACTTCACAGCGACACCACTTCACCACTTCCATAGGCTTTTCACCCCACGTGAAATCACAAAATGGCGACCGTTAGACCCGTTGCGAATGTATACAGTACGAGCGGAAAGCAAGTAGTTGGGGAGGTGGAAATTCCAGTTGTGTTTCAAACCCCAATTAGAAACGATTTAATACAGGATGTATTTAAGAATATGTCTAAGAATAGAAGACATCCATATGCTGTGAAATTAGGAGCAGGATATGAAACATCAGCTGAATCATGGGGAACAGGAAGAGCTGTTGCAAGAATTCCAAGAGTACCGGGTGGAGGTACACATAGAGCTGGTCAAGGTGCATTTGGTAATATGTGTAGAGGTGGTGGAATGTTCAACCCTACGAAGATATGGAGAAGATGGGGAAGGAAAGTGAACTTAAAGGAAAAAAGATATGCAGTTTGTTCATCCATTGCTGCTAGTGGTGTAACATCCTTAGTTTTGGCTAGAGGACATCGTATTTCTAATATTAAAGAAGTTCCACTAGTGGTTAGTAATGATATTGAATCAATTGGGAAAACAAAAGATGCTCTAAAATTTTTAATTACATTAGGGTTGAAGGAAGAAGTAAATCGATTAATTAAATCTAAAAAAATAAGAGCAGGAAAGGGAAAAATGAGAAATAGAAAGTATCGTATGAGAAATGGCCCCCTCATTATATATGACAAAGACGCTGGTGTGAAGAAAGCATTTAGAAATATTCCAGGAGTTGATTTATGCAAAGTTACCAAGTTGAACTTATTAAAATTAGCACCTGGTGGATCTATAGGTAGATTATGCATATGGAGTGAAAGTGCTTTTAAAAAATTGGATGTTATATATGGAAAGATATATAAGAAAAAAATTACCAAGAAGAATTATATATTACCCAAATCGATTATGACAAATCCAGATATTTATAGAATTATTAGCAGCGAACAGGTACAAGCAACATTACTATCCAAAAAAAGACCATGCAAGAAGAGAGTACAAAACAAGAACGCACTCACTAACTTTGCAGTTAGATGTAGACTTAACCCTGCATATAAATTACTTAGATCATTGGCCATTAGAAGAATCAAAAAGAGTATGGAAGCCAAGAAGAAAAATAAAAAAGAAATGAGAATTAAAAAGAAAATTCAGAAAAAAGAATTGCAAAAAGTAAACCATGCTTACTACAATGGAATAGCCAAATCTGTTAAGAAGAAGAAAAAGAAAGAAGAAAAAAAAGCAAAGACTAAGAAGGATGAAAATAAAGCTCTCCTTGGAACTGCTGCGGATGAATAATGTATTCGTTGTATATAAATGGAAAAAAAAAAAAAAAAAAAAAAAAAAAAAAAATGTGGAGACCGGGGAGAGGAAAACAACACAAAATAGGCATATTGCACAACAAACATATTTGAAAAAAAAAAAAAAAAATATATATATATATAAAATATATAAAATAAAATAATAAATTACTACTATGAACAAGCTCTTCTTATAGAAAGCATTGAATAGAAGAGAAAGGAAAAAGTCCATACCCTTTAAAAATAATAGAAAGTGTGTGTAACCACAGTTCTTCCAGCTGCATTACCCGATAGCCATGTTTAAGTTTAACACCACCATCCCCCGTCCTCTCCACATTTCACCCCATGCAGCTTGCATAAAAAAGTATACATACATATATATACGCATGTATATATTATTTTGCACACATGTACAAATACGTAATATGTGTTTTTGTATATATATATATATTCCCCCATTTTATCTCTTCACTTTGCACGTATTTTATACATATATATATACGTTCACCTTTTTATATGTTGAATTTTTTTTTTTTTTTTTTTTTTTCCTTTTTCACATAATGTTGTACACCTTTTTAAAAATTTTAATAAACTGAAAAATGAAATTTTATCAGATAGAATGAAATTGCTTATAATTCATAAAGCATTACGACTATTTTGATCATCTGGTCTTATGGCAATAATTAATAATGGGAGGTGTATATAAAACACTATGCCTTACCCCCTTTCCTATACACACATAATAATTCTTTTTCGGTTGTAAAAGGGGAGGGGAAAGATGGTGTGATTTTGTACATACATGTTTTGGTAAGCATAATCGGATATGCAGTAAATGTTTCAAATGGGTGGTGGTGGTGGGGGAATACAAAGGAATTTGTTAATTTTATCATTATTCCTTGAGAAAAAATCAATTCAATTAACACGTTTGGAGAGTATCGAAAGTGTGTACCTTTTATATGAACATGGTATGTACAATTTTTTCTTTTTAATAAATTTGAAGGGAGTTTCTCTGTAGACATGTTAACTGTTGTTGTTGAGATGACTGTGTTAATGGCTCATTCCTGTGTGCCAAAATGGGAGAACGAATAAGGAAAAGAGAGAAAGAGAAAGAGAAAAAGGTACGTGGGTAGGAGGATAGTTAAACGGATAGATAACGAAGGAGAGAAAAAAAAAAAAAAAAAAAAAAAAAAAAGATTCGTATTTCTTTCATAAACGTTTAATATTAAGAGAACTAGTTCAAGGATTGATTTTTTTTTTTTTTTTTTTTTTTTTTTTTTACAGACATAAAAAATAGCACGAAACATATATTTTTGTATGAACATTCATGTCAATTGATTATTTACAACGTACACAGCATTGAAAAAGTAACTAACAGTTTCTACAAATTATTCAACATAACCCTATCCTCTTATCCACGATATTATCTTTCCTTTTTCATTATTTTATGATATAAAATAGGTTAAAACGTAGCTTTATGTGATCTTACAGGTTTCACCCCCACGTCCCTGTATTATATTACGTTCATTAAAAAAAAAAAAGAGGGGAGGGGGAGAATTCCGTGGAAAAAAAATAAAATAAAAATTAAAAACGTAAAAACGTAAAAACGTAAAAACGTAAAAAAATAAGAAAATTATAAAATTATAATATAAGAAAATATTAATAATAGCCCCCTAACTGTTCGTTACCAACTTTTGAAATGTGTGCAAAAAAAAAAAAAGGTGTAACAACAAAGAGAGAGAAGGTTGTGTGTTTTTCTGTGTACATGACATATCCTAAAGGCTGTAAAACCTCATCTTTTATATCTTCAAATTTGCATGTATGCATTACATTCGTTATTTAAATAAGTGTGTAAAATGACCTTGCGGTTTATGTGTTACCAACTGTTTTAGCCGGTTCACCAGAAAAATGAGTATTAACAGAATAAATAAAATTTTATTCTCTTCAAAAATTGAGCTCATGTCTATACAAAAAATGGAGTTTTATGCAAGCACGTCTAACGCAGTTGTAAAGTAATATAATGCATGTAATTTTTCTTTGCTATGAAAATTCTAACACTCTAGTCATAATATAATATGCAAACGTGACGAGTTTTTCTTTGCACGTTCATGTATATGTACCTGTGCTTACGTGTAGAAATACACCATTACGAGAAAAAGTAGCATCATTAACACATATGTATGGAATGGTGCAACCGCTCAATAGCTCAATCGTGTGAATTATTACGTCGTTGCCTCCCTTTACCCCTTCTCAGAGACTTCTGCACCTTCTTTTTGCCCGTTTTAAAATACAACAATTTCAATGTTGAATATATGTTCCATCAAATAGATGGAAAAGAGGAGAAGGTGATCTTGTGGCCAAGTAAAAAAAACTGCATAAATTTGAGTGAATTCGTGAGCACGCCTATCTAGCGATAAGTGATATTTTTGATATGACACACCATATACGTCTGTCCATCTTGACCTATCTGGGTAGACACATTCAACAAGAATAATATGCATTGAAGAAGATAGTATGCGCGCTGCATTTTTTTTTTTTTTTTTTTTTTTCCAGGGAATAAAGACACACACATTATCAACTTGGGGTTATACAAATATAGTCAACAGTTATATGACAGAATAATATTTCTAGACAGGAAATTTTCAGAGTACCATCGTTAAAAATGTTCGTCCAATGAATACAAATGTGTTTAAATTATGTATGTTTATACATCCGCTCACACACATCGACATATATTTATCCCAGTTTGTTATATATACAACATAACTATAAAACATGATGTAACTCTCCACAAATAAGAGGCCAAATAAATTGCCTGTTTCTTTTTTTTTTTTTTTTTTTTTTTTTTCAGACCACTTATGAACATAGTTAATCTACGTGTGCATACGTTTTGTTTTATGATTTTATAAGGACATGCAAAAAATGAAGAATTATTGATAAATGTGTATCAGTGGATAGCACCAGAAGGAGTTACATTTGCCAGAATATGTACATTATGATATATTTACATTTTACTCCACTCTGTATTCATCACATGTGCCGTGTTATGTGTCAATTTGGTACATTAGCAGGGTAATATATATATATATATATATATATGTACATAATTATGCATTATGAAATGGAAAATGTTTTACCCTTTTGAAATCTGTTCACATGGGATAAGGAATAACATCCCATACGGTCTTCCTTGAGAAAATGAAGCCACAAGGAAAGTTGCGTATGTAAACGTGCAATTTGTAGTTGTCACGTTTGTGAGAACATGCGTTAACCTTAACTTCCCTCAATATGCAACAGTTTTTTTTCGACCAGGGGAAAGAAATAAGAAAGAAGGGAAAATATATTACGCGTTATTTTATTTGTTCTCTTTTTTGTTCTCTTTTTTGTTCTCTTTTTTGTTCTCTTTTTATTGTTCTCTTTTTTGTTCTCTTTTTTTTTTTTTCTTTTTTGTTAAAAAACCAAACCTTTAAATTCCCCACACACACCTGTTCTCAAATTACACTAACAATTTCCTACCTGACATAAGGGGGTGTACATATACCTATGGTGCACAATTTGCGAAGGGTAAAACACACAAAAAAAAGAACAGAGAAGGAACAGGGGAAAAGCAAAGGAAGAAAAGAGGAAGAACAGAAGAAGAAGAACAGAGCAAGAAAAGAGGAAGAATAGAAGAACAGAGGAAGAAAAAATATTGCGCACATTCTCGTATTCATTGTTTTCCTAATGAGCTTGTATTTTCAAGTATGCAAATATTTCGCAATATAACACATGCACATTTAAGCAATTAACATTCATTGATGCCTATTTATCCAATATTGTCTTTTATTTATTATCACTTGTTTGTTTTTTTGTTTTTTTTTTCTTCTTCTTTTTAACTGTTTTTTTTTTTTTTTTTTTCCTCTTCTTTTTAATTGTTTTTTTTTTTTTTTTTTTTTTACATTTTCCCCGTTCACTGTATATAAATTTGTGTGTACTACATTTTATGAATACCCACCCCATCAAACTATTTTGCATATAGTAATTTTTTTTTTGACACAAAATTCAGATTTGTATAATTAATTTTTGTATGTCCATGTCATAAGCATATAAGTATTTATATGCGTGTAACCCATGTGAATATTTGCTATGAGTTTTAGTTTTTTTTTTTTTTTTTTTTTTTTTTTTCATTGTTTTTCCAAAATTTTTGCTAACTTATTAATTTTTCTATTTCAACCTAATTATAAAATAGTTACATTTGCGTATCAAACCGTTTTGATAAAATAAATATCAATGGCGTCTCACAAAATATATAGTCTTAACAAGTAACTGATTTATTATATGCACAGGGGGAGAATATTCGGATGTGGCAAAATGGTTGAAACGTTAATACGTTTTTTTTCTTTTTTTGTGTCTACATATTAGGAAATTTTGGTCTTTTTTTTTGTGTCCTTTTTTGTGCCACTCTTTTGTGCCACTTTTTTGTTTCTTTTTTTTGTGTTATTTTTTTTTTTCCCTCCCACCAAGCTCGAGCTGTCCATAATTATTTACCCACGTCCCGAACTCTCTTTGCAATATACTTGCTGCAAATAGTGCGAGAGCTAATCGTGAAGCAAATATTTTTTAGTACCCATTTTGTTTTTCCGTTTTGTGTTGACATTTACATGGTGCTTCTTTGCATAATGGCCTGTGTAGGTAACATTGCGCTTCATGCATATTTGTAAATATTAACACCACTGTGGTAGAATATAGTCGACTAGTTCTTATAACTGTGGAGACACATAGAGAATATACAAGGGCACGCAGAGAATACATATATAGACATGGTAACACAAGAAGGAACCACCTCCCCCAAGCAGGTGGGAGACATCAAAGTAAATAATATGAAAAATGAAGAGAGTGCTAAAAATGACTTGGTTACAAATAAAAAAGATGTTTTGCCAAACAAGAGGGGAGTTGCCCAAATGAATAATCTCAAAAATGAAGAGAATGGGAAGAGTAACTTAGTTACAAATAAAAACGCCGTTTTACCTTACAAGATGAGAATGGTCAAAATGAATAATCACAAAAATGAAGAGACAGGCAAAAGTGATGCGGTCAATCAATTTGTAGCCCCAGTGAAAAAAAACGGGGATATATCTCCCAAGAAAGACGAATTAAAAAAAGCAGAACCAAAAGTAAACCTTCTAGGTAATTTTAAAAATAGAAATAAATTGTTCATTTCGAAAGAGAAATTAGCGAAAATTTCTGATTCGTCAGATGGAGAGAACGCAAGAAGTGAAGAGCACTATGGAAGGGATAATGAAAAAGATAATGAAAGCAATAATGAAAAAGATAATGAAAGTGCTAATGAGAGAGATAAAAAGGGTTACATAGTAGGCTATGAAAGCAGCGACAGAAGCAGCTACCAAAAGGGTTTCCAAAAGAATGAGCAAAACAGCGATGCTACAAGTGGAGGAAAAAGAGACTGTAAGAAAAATAGAAAGAAAAATGGAGATGATATAAAAATATTAGTAACAAGTGAGGAACCTTTGCACACACTGCCATCGGGAGCCGTAGGAAGAAGAGCACCACTAAATCCATTTTCTTCTCCAATCCTTGGAAAGTATAGAAGAAAAAATAAGAATGCAAAGGTAAAAGTAAAAGATCCACGACTGAATAATAATCCATTGATAGGAAGATTAGTTGTATGTATATCAACAACTTCTATTCTGTTTTGGGTATTTTTTGCAGAAATGATATTCAACTATAACACATTTAATGGGAGGTGTATATCCAAAGTGTTATATCCGATATATACCGAATCTGTAGTAGAGAAAAGAGAACCATTTTATGTGTTTCTTGGATATGGTGCTTGTGAATATAATTTAGAAGAAACAGCAGCTGGTAGATATTTTATTGGAAGCAAAGCATCGGATAAAGGTTGGCCTTCAAATAAAGTTGAACATAACTCAGATGCAAGAGGAGAATCTAGTTGGGATAGTGTAAACTCACGTGTATACAACCAATTAGGAGGATTAAACACAAATTATATTAGAAATTATGGAGAATTGTATCGATTATTTTGGTCTATCTATTTACATGGTGGATTTATGCATATTATATTTAATGTCATATGTCAAATTCAAATTCTTTGGATGATAGAACCAGATTGGGGATTCATTAGAACTTTATTATTATTTTTCATATCTGGAGTAACTGGTAACTTACTCTCAGCTGTTTGTGATCCATGTGGTGTAACAATTGGTTCTTCTGGTTCTTTATATGGATTAATAGGTGCATTATTTACCTATTATATAGAATATTGGAAAACAATTCCTAGGCCTTGTTGTGTTTTAATTTTCATGATTCTAGTTATAATATTTGGTATATTTGTTGGCATGTTTGGATATACCGATAATTATGCACATATGGGTGGTTGCCTTGGTGGTATATTATATGGTTTTGCTACTATTACAACTGTATCTGCTGCAGACAAATGCACGCTGGGAGAGCGTATGTTGACATCTCCTCCCTTTTCTTGGTTCCTTTCAAATGAAACAAAAGAATTAATTCATGCCAAAGCAAAGGAGAAGAAAATAAAAGGAGAAATTTATCGTAAGAAACAGATAGCAAATAAAGTGCACAAACAAAATGCTTTTCATACTATTATGTCTCTAATGAAAAATCGAATTAATGAAGAAGGGAGACCACCATGTAGAATGAAACTACGAGAGTGGATCGTCCGAATTACTGCTGCTTCTGCTTTAATTATTCTTTGGATTGTATTGTTTATATATCTACTGAATGAAAGTGCATACAAATCATATAAACCTATGGGGCAGATCAAATTTTCAGGTGTTCACACCTGTTTCTGCTGTGAGGTCAACAAGCAAAGATTCCCCTTCATAAGTACGGGTAGTTTTTATTGGTGTTTCACGAATGAGGCCGCGTCCGATTATTACTGCAAGCCGTGATTGCGCATGGGGGTCCGAAAAGGTGCGAAATGATTCGAAAAAATTGGAAAAAATGGGAAGACAATCCGAGGAAGTGCGAAATAATTCGAAAAAATGGGAAGACAATCCGAAAAGGTGCGAAATATTCGAAAAAATGGGAAGACAATCGGAGGGAGTGCGAAATAAAATGTATAGACCAAATATAGGTAGGCGAAGCTTCATCATTAAGCATATCTTTTTACCCTCTATGCAAAAATCGAAACGTAGAAAAAGGGCATGTGTATATGTATGCGTGGGAAAAGTGGTGATAAAATAAATGAGTCATCGGGACGATGACCCCTCTTTTTTGAGGGAATGGCATCTTAAGAATAGAAGTGAGATGGAGAGAAATGAAGGACACAAATGGGGAACAACCTTTCTCCTTTTTCTGTGTGCATCCTTTTCATGATTTCATAAATGTTTTTTGTACATGTAATCTTTGGTCATCGGTGCAGCCTAATTCAGTCGCTCTCTATCTCGATCACTATCCCTATTCCTATCTCTTTTGTTTGTGTTTGTTTTTTTCCTCTCTTTTATGTTTCCTTTTTCATCTCTTATATGTTTTTTTTTTTTTTTTTTTTTTTTTTTTTTTTTTTCCCTCATTTTGTCACGTGTTGTACACCCGTAGGTGACGTTGTAATATTCATGTAAATGAAAAAGTTAATCAGTTGTATATGTCCCCTCCCCTCACCCCCTCTCATGATGACACTCTTCTACTTCTCTACATATTATAACTTGGCACGAATTGTTTTTATAGCCTCTTATTACCTCCCCTCCACCCCAAACAAATAACCCATATCTCACTCTCTCTCCATCTTTCCTCCTATCTCTGTCCATACCTATAGTCAACAGTATTATTGCAAAGTACATTGCAAAATAAAATGGCAGGTATAATCATGCAAAAGCATGCAGATATATGTTTTTACTTAGCATATACCTGCTTGTATGTGTACATACAGACTTGTGCATATTATACAAACACATGTGTGTGGATATGAAGCTACGCATGTAAAAATTAGAATTCTTATTGAAAATTTTTATTGAAAATTATTATTGAAAATTACTATTGAAAATTTTTATTGAAAACTACTATTGAAAATTTTTATTGAAAATTACTATTGAAAATTTTTATTGCAAATTAAAAAGACGTCTGGTTTCGCTGATAACATTTCTTAAAAGTGTTGAAAAGTAGACAGGCCTTGAATGCGTGCCTGCATTGAGGAAAATGGAATTAAATAAATCCATGTGAAAGAAAACACGTTGGGATAATTATGGATTGGCTTGAAAAATGAATATGAACACAAAAAAACGTAACATAACGTATAAAGAAGTAAAAGACGTGAAAGACGTGAAAGACGTAAAAGACGTGAAAAACGTAAAAGACGTGAAAGACGTAAAAGACGTAAAAGAAAATAAATAAAAATATGTGAAGTGCAGTGGGGGCACCAAGTGAAGCGCATATCTTATTACGCAATGCGGAAAGGAACAAAATAAAACAAATTTTCCTCACATGCGCATATGTTTCACTCGAGCATGTCGTAACAGAATTCACGAAAAAGAAACGTTACAAAGGTGGGACGAAAAAAGAATGGGGAAAAAAAAAAAAAAAAAAAAAAAAACACATTTTCATATTTGCACGTTTGCAAATTCGCACATTTTCACATCATTCATTTTGATAACCATAGTAGTCTACTTGATACCACGGGAGTAAACTTTGGAAAAATGTTATAATCAAGTTGCTGTTCAAAGACACATAATAATTCGAGGTCACATTGGGTATGTTGGGTGAGTATGTTCTGTTCTTTTCCATCATGAAATCTGGTAAGAGATAATTATTTGACTTGAATTCTCCAACACGCACGTCTTTGTATTTGTTTATGTCCAAAACAGGTGTCTTTCTGCTCCAGTGGAATCGCACGTTTTCCAAAGCTTCTGCCACTGGTTGAGGAGGTGAAGTAGTACATAAAGTGAAGCAGTAAACGAAGTTATGCAGCACACGTGGTGATGTATCACACTAGATAAAATTGAGTGATAAAGTTGAGATGAGCGGTAAAATGTTCATGTGCATATGTAAAGAAGACAAGGTCGTAGTAAAATGAGGAAGATAATAAAAGAGGGAGATTTCATTTAATTGCCTTCAGGCATCCTGTGACACTTACCCAATTGGTCTTTGTACATTTCGTGCAGAAAAGCACTACACACGTGAAACCACGTGATAATTTTCTCAGACTTGTAATATATATTGTTCTTTTCCAAATAGCAAGAAATTAGTTTTTGTACCGTTTCATTATCTTTCTTATCAAAGAAACTAGTTGTGGAGAATGGGGGAGAGGACAATATGTCTTTGAAGGAAATTTCGTAAATGGTTTTTTTCACTACTTTCGTTGTTTTGAAGTTATTATAATTTAAAAATGTAGATAAGAAGTTGGGAAAACATAACAATGCTCTTAATAATGTCAGGTGTGCAGTAAAAGAGAGAGATGGGTTCTTTTTCTTTTCTTCAAGATTTCCACTGTAGCTGCATTTTTCATTTTCAATCCGCTCATCATCCGTTGTAGTAGGGCTACTTTTGCCATTTTTCCCCTTTCCCTCAGTGTAACAATCAAAATGAATAGCAAAATGAGGTATCAAAAATTTACATTCTTCATAAGAAAAGGCACTTATTATGTCTTCCACAGTAATTGCCCTTATTTCATTGTAATCAATCGAGTTATTATTCTTCAGGTACATACACAATGGTATGGAAAAGGCAAAGTTGGGGAGAATAAAATGCAATCTGATTTCGAAATTATCAAACAGTTGATTTTTTTCTATGCAATTCGCTTGACCATGTACACTGGCTTTATATTGCATGTCATCATGGTATCCAACTGATTGTTCTGATTCTATGAAAGAAGTGGAATTTTGCTGATTCGACGTTTCCTCTATATGTTCCCGTTTTTCATTTCGGGACGCATTTTTATCTCCATCATTTGAGGATGCCACATTCGTGCGGTTAATTTGCATGCTATTCTTTTCGGTTAGATCATGCTCGGTTGGATCCTCATCTTTTAGGTTCTCGCCCGTTCGTGCCTCATCTGCTAGGTTCTCTCCGGTTATCCCCATTTCGCTATCCCTTTTTGCAGGAAATGAGGTGACACCATGACTGCTTGAGGGACCAACACAACTGTTTGGATTATTGTCCAAATTGGAAATTTGTGCTGCATGTTTTTGCTTTAAATCTTCACCTCCCATTAGATGATGAGTTGTTGAATGTCTCCCCTCGGATGGGATAAAGTTGGAGAGAATTTCATCCATTCGAGATTGAGGTAAGACATACTGCACATTTTGAATAACAAAATTGAAGGAAAAGTATAGCAGAAAATCAAAAAAATTACATTTTAAAATTAAACTATCAATTCGAAGTAGAATGCTGCATAAATCATTTTGCAAATCCATCTTGCATAACAATTTTGAAATTTCTAATGCAGTGATTGTGCAGGCTTCATTTTCTAACGACAACATATGCATGTATAACGATTTATATAATGCCTTGTTATCATATAAATAAGGATTAACAAAAATGTTTCTGTTTTTATTTAAATAATTGGGATGAAAATCTATGTGGAAAATATTTTGTAAAAGAAGAAGAGACAATTTTATAAATTTATTTGCCATTTCATAATTATTGGATTCGTTATAATACTCTGACAAGACTAGTAATGTGTCAATATGAAATGGAAACTTTCTTAATAAATTATGCATTGCTTCTATATCATAACTATCTAATAACAGATAAAATAAATTCTCTGCCTCCAAATATAATTTATATTTTTCTATTCTAAACTCATTTTCATATCTTTTCATTCCTAGAGGTGGTTGTACAGTTTTAGTTGTATAATCTTGTATTAGCCAATTTTTTAAATATTTTATTTTACTTTTCTGTATAAACTTTTTTTCTTTTACAAAATCTTTTCCAAATATTCTTTTCAGTTCAACATTTACATCGAAATTACTTTTTTCTAACTTTAAGCAGTAGTTATATTTATCATGTGTGCACGCAGACAATTGTAAAAGTTCTAATGAACCATTATTCTTCTCCTCTTCTCCCCGGTCCCCTGTTTCGTTGGTTCCTCTTCCTTCTTTTTTTCCATCTTTTTTTTCCACATCCTGTGCATTTATTGAGTGTAATATATTGTCAATTTCTTCGTCAATATCCTTTTTCTTTTTGCGCTTCATCTTAGCCTGTGCACGATTTGAAAGTCCTTGATTCTGTTTCTTATCATGCACAATTGTGTTCTGTGACTCTTTCATTTTACCCTTTCTTTTTGTCTCTTCTCTCTTTCCTTGCACATTTTTTTGGGGACTCTCAGCAGGATCTCCATCATCATCATGATGACGATCATTACTATGATTATTGGTTAGATTGTCCTCACTGTCATCGGTTTCATCTCTATTCTTACTATCTTCAGAATCTTCCAAAAGTACAAAAACACTTTTCTTCTTATGCTTAAATGCTACAGTTTTCTCCTCCACAGTTTTACTTATTTTATTTATCTCATCCCGGCTTTTCTCTTTCAAGAACTTTTTTAATAATCGACTAGACATGCTTTTTTTTTTTTCTTTTTTTTTTTTTTTTTTTTATTTCGACAGTATTCAGAAATGAAACGCAAAGTGGGAGGCGAGGTCGACACACACACACACCCCTGATAGGTAATGAAAACGATATGGGGAAGAGGATAAAAAAAAAAAAAAAAAAAAAAAAAAAACTAAGCTGAGAAATTCCACACCATGAAAGCATAGGAAACAAAGTTGATTATAAAATATGTTCCATAAGTTTTTTATGAACAGTTATAGGGTGGAGGAGGGGAGGAGGATAGATGTATACTTGTTTTCACTTTTCCGTTCAGCTGATAAAATTGTCTTCCAATTAAGCAATCAGTAATGAGTAAATTAATATGAGCTTAAGGCTTACACGTTGCAGTGATGATAAATGCGTTTTACTACTCCATTGTACTGATGAAAATTTTAATGGCAAATGTTTCAAAAGTCATTTGCCCACTTTTTGAGGGGCTCCTTTTTTTTTTTTTTTTTTTCCCTATTTTTTTACTTTATTTATTTATTTTTTTTTTTTTTTTCTTGATTCAACCTGAAAAGTGATAATCATATTTAGCTAGTTCTCTTGCAAGGACACTCGCTTTGTATGTGATCAGTGCAGCATAGAAAAAAAAAAAAATAAAAAAAATAAATACCATTAAAGAAGTACTCAATATGTAACAAAATAAAATAGTTAATGCATCAAAAATGTATAACTAGAACAGGTTCGCAACAAATAAGGTGAAAAAAAAAAAAAAAAAAAAAAAAACCTAGCAAAATTTCTACGTGTTGCACAATGCCAAATTTGTTTCGCACGAGAGGGTACTTAAAAATCACGAATTTATTTTTATACTACTCGTAAAGAGGTATGTGTACGAGAGAATAAAATGGTATGCTCCAGTGTGGGAGAGAGGGAATAATTAAAATAGTCGTCCAAATTTTACGTAAAAAATTAAGTGCAATTTAATAAAATTTATGGAGAACTTTGGTAAAATTTAATAAAATTTATGGAGAACTTTGGTAAAATTTAATAAAATTTATGGAGAACGTTGGTAAAATTTAATAAAATTTATGGACAACTTTGGTAAAATTTAATAAAATTTATTTTAAGAATATATCAAAAAGGTATTAAAAATATGTTAGATATTATAAAAAAAAAGAAAAAATTGCGGGAAATACATACAAAGAATGAGCGTCTTATAATATACACATATGCAAAGTCCATCATGTAGGAGTGTTACCATGTGGTGTCACGTGAGAGAAACAAAATAACAACGTACGAAGTACGTGTGTATATATTTGCTATGAAAATAGCTGAAAAAAAAAAAAAAAAAAAAAAAAAAAAAACAGACACAGACACAGACACACAAACAAGCGTACACATGCAAACATTTAACATGAATATTTGTATACGCCACCTCCATCACCCTGGTATACAAACACACATAAAGAGCGTGCTAATATGGAAGAAGAAAAAACATATATATGTGAGAGTAAACTACCAGAATGGCCCCTTCGATTCTACCATAAGAAAATGAACACGTGGCGAAGGTGTGCTTCCAGGAATAGACGTGAGTGTATCTTACCATCTCAAAAGTGTCTCCCACACCCCTTCTCGGCATGGTACGCTATTCATTTGAATGCTTTTGTAAGATTGAAGGCGTAGTAAATATTCTTATTTGCATGCATATCCAAGTCTTCCTCTGCGTCATCATTAGGATCAGTATAAACATCTTGCCTTGTACTTTCAGTACCACGTAAAATATTATCTCTCTCGTTTGTTTTTCCATCATTAATGATACACTCTCCAGGATTATACTTGCTTCGATCGGTTATCCCACATAACATGGTTCTGTTTATGTCGAGAGAGAGGCATTGACTTTCCATAGTAACAGCATTAGAGTAGCTAGGATTGAAGAAGAAGTTAGAACAGTTCATAGAGCGTCTTCCACGTTGAGTGGATGCCTGAGTGCCATTCTGAGCATCATTCTGAGTGTAAATATCCATTTTGTGAATCCTAGCATTTCTTCTTCTGTCGAAACCATCGGTAAGCATTCCAATGAAACGACGCATCAGATTGTTTATCTGTGGATCATTCTGCTGGTCAATTGATTCTGGTCGATGTGAAGAATACACCCTTCTACCATTTTCTTCACGCAAAACAAGGGAACATCTGATGTGGTTCCCATGAAGGGTGTCTTTTTTTACAAGAATTTCAAAATTGTTACGACTTTTTTTAAGTAGAATAATTTGTCTTAGTATCCTGTTAGTAACTTTAAATTTTTTCAAATATGTAAAAAAATTATTTTCTTCAAAAAGATAATTGGTAAAGGAAGATTTTGTCATAGATTTGAGAAATGTTAAAGCTTGATCGTATGACAAGGTGAGTATTTTTTTTTGAAAATGATGTAAAAAAATCAAACTTAATTTAATTAAAATTTTTAAGCCAAATAGAAAAAAAATATCCCACAATTTCTGTGTGTGTTCAAAAGTTAAATCTTGTGAAAATAATGTCATGAACCAATTTATGCAAAAGAAATCGATTTTAATTTTTTTTTTTTTGAAATAGGAAAATAATTTCGGAATATATGCTTTTATTAATATATTCAATTGATAAATAATTTTTTTTAATTGAGGAAAGTTATATATGTATATTCCTTTTAAATTAAAATTTTTTAACAATGCTATAAAACATCTGATTGTGTCTAACTTATTTTTAAAAACTAAGAAAAATATAGCAGCAACGTAATTCATACCTTGACAATAGCCTACATTTTTAAAATAGAGCGAGCATATTTTTAGTACTTCAAATAATTCTTCCTGCATTTTTCTATTTTCACATCCATTTTGCAAAAAAAAACGATTTGGAAATGTTCTTGGTACATCCTTTTCAATTATTTTTTCGTAAGTACTATTTCTTTTTTTTAATTCATAAAATAAACTATCACTCATGTAGGTATTTTCTGCAAGTAGAATCATCTTCCAGATCATGCTCCTTTTTTCACTTCGAATAAATTTATTCTTATATATATTTTTTAAATTACTTAAGGAATATATTTCAAAAAACAGTAGTTTACATGTCATAGAACAGTTGTGCCTTTCCTTTTCATTTAAAAAAGAAATTACCTTGGTCCCTATGCACGCTTTCAAACTAGGGTTGTTAACCACGGCATTTTTCAGCAAACTTCTTAAATACCCGTCTTCACAGTATGTTGAATATTTTTCCATTTCGGTCTTATCGGGTGTGTGTTCTCCTGTGGGAACATTTTCATCACCATGAGGATAAGCATGAGCACTAGCATGAGCACCAGCATGGGCACCATCATGCGGATAAGCAGGAAGATGATCATCATTGTTATAATCTTTACGAGTTATCATTCCGTTTCTAGTTTGTCCCATCCACCCATTTATTTCTTTTCCCTGATTTGCACAATCCTCTTCTAACTCTTTTACAAATTCATCTTGTGTAACTATCCCAATCGTATCTCTCTCTGCGTCTCTCTTAAGATTAAAAAATTCACCCTCTTCATTTGAGTGATGGCGATTATTTCTATTGTGCAAATTATGAGTTGGCATTATTCCTCGAAGAATTATATTTTTTCTATCTTCTCCCCATTGATTTTGTGAAATACCTTTTATACCGTGTAATATAAATTTTTTTTTCTTTTCATTATTATTCATTTCGTGGAAGCAGAAGAAGGGAACAGAAAAAAGCAGAAATGTACCGTAGTTGCCTTTTTTTTTTTTTTTTTTATTTTATTTTTTTTGGCTTAAACTGAGCGCTGATATTTTCTTTTCGTGCTGATTCATTTTGGGGTGCACACAACGATAATTGTATAATATATATTTATATATATATACATATATATATATGTGTTCTTAGTGTACATAATGATTATTTTTAATTAAACCATGGAAACTACTGAGAATATATTTTTTTTTTTTTTCCTCCAAATTGGCCACTGGGAAGCTATTTTGAAAATGGAGATTCGTACATGTACGAATTCGGAAAAAAAAAAAAACGTCGGTGTTTATGTTAAATTTGGTAAAGGAGAGAAAAAAAAAAATCGCATATGAAAAAATGACTCAATCGTGTACAAAAGGAACAATCTGATAACGCAGAATAAAAAAAAGGTAAGAAAAATGGTAAAAATAAATACTTATATCTATCGAAATTTTTATAAAGGAAAAGGAAAAACATAAACGGTCATATACACATTTGGCATTATCCCCACCCCATCCACCAAAAGGTAGAGAGAAACATGAAATATATTAAAAAATCCTTTCTTGCGTGTTCTATTTTCCCGTTTATCCCTCTTATCCTTGGATCAGTGTGAAACCACCTTTTTTTTTTCTTTCATTTCAACCTTTTTCTTCTTCTACACCTTTGGTAATACACAAAAATTGTACGAATAGTAAATGTCCAATTTGGGAACAAGAACAAAAAAGAAAGAATGAAATAAAATAGAATGAAATAAAATAGAATGAAATAAAATAGAATGAAATAAAATAGAATGAAATAAAATAGAATGAAATAAAATGAAATGAAAAAAAACGACACACTAGACGAAAAATTTTATCCCTTTTTTTTTTTTTTTTTTTTTTTCCTTCTTTTCTACGATATTATACAAAAATCACTCCTTAAATGAATATATACAAAAAGAAAGATCAAAAGATGAGACATTCCTTATGTATGATTAAAATACATTTGTAAAAAAGATAGAAAAATCAAAACTTCAGAAAAATGAAGCAATCATCCACTACACACACAAGAAAAATATTTATGTGAATTCCTCACTGTAATTATTTTCTCTCCTTCAAGTTGTCTTCCAAAAGTGAAACTGTAAAAAAAAAAAAAAAAAAAAAATGTTATGTTATTTTACTTAATTTTATTTTACCTAATTTTTCTCTGTTTTGCTTAATTTTTTTACAACATTTAAAATAATCATTTTGCCATTTTTGAATCAATTAAGTATGTTCCGTTGGGAGTATAACAGGGAATGTGACGCATATATACCAGCCCCTACAATTTTGAAGCACAAGAAAATGCTGTACTATTATATTTACCTTCTCATATCACTTTGAATAAATCTTCTTCATGTTTCATTGGTTTCAAAATCATTCGAAAATATATTTTACTCATCCACCCCCACGTGATTTTGTCCCCATTTGGGGTTTGATCTATCGAACGGGTATTAATTTACTGACTTGAAGGGTACTAAAAAATGATGAAATTAAATGAGAAAAAAATTTTTTTTTTTTTTTTTTTCTTCAACTTTTAGTATATAAGGACACGTTGTTATGTGTGACTCGAAATATAGCACTCTTACTACTATGGTACATGCAATCGTTAATTTCCTTCTATTCATTCCAATTCTCATTCGTACACTATATAAATGTAAACATTTCCTACATGAAAACAATTCACCCATAGTGTTAGACCCTCTACGCTACTCAAGATGTATGTGGAAAAAGGGATACGAAAAAATGATCAAAGGGAGGGGAACACCTGTGTGTGCATTGTCATACCTTGGGATGCAAAAGGGGAAAAACTGTGTGATAAAAAAAAATTATGTACATAAAATGGAATTTTACAAAAATAAAACCGAATTGTCTAAAAATAAAACCGAATTGTCTAAAAATAAAACCGAATTGTCTAAAAATAAAACCGAATTGTCTAAAAATAAAACCGGATTGCCTAAAAATAAAACCGGATTGCCTAAAAATAAAACCGGATTGCCTAAAAATAAAACCGAATTGCCTAAAAATAAAACCGGATTGTCTAAAAATAAAATCGGATTTCCTAAAAATAAAACCGAATTGCCTAAAAAAAAAATCGAATTGCTCATTGATAAATTCGTACATGAGTGTGACAAAAATCGCACAAATTTGTCTGAAAAAACATTTGTGAAAAATCATGACATCCTTGTAAATTTTGAACGTATACAGAATGAAGTAAATAAAATGTCGCAATTAGCCCTTTTGCGTAAGGAAAAATTAGGCAATCTGCAAACAAGACAGAAGAAATATTCCATCCTTTCCCAAAATCCTCCGTATGTATTTCACCCCATATATTCAAGTGTGTCTATGAAGGATAAACACCATCGATTTAAAATAAAAAAATATGAAAATATATTTACTCAACTGAATGAGAAAGGGATTTACAATTCGGATTACTTTATCCCAACTTGTGACATCAACGATATGATTATTCCTTTGTTTAAAGTGCATGATGAAAAGTTTATTAGTGAAATGCTAGCAATAGTAGTAAATAATGAACAAATCGAAAAATTTGAGTTAGCCCTATGTCCAGATTTGTTGTGTAGGTTTCTAATCGAAATTAATGGCACTATTTTAAGCTCCTTATTGGCGCTAAAATATTTTATGTGCATGCACATAGGAGGGGGAAATCATCATTCGAAAAAAAGTGGAGGAAACGGATTTTGCATTTTTAATGATGTTGCCATAGCAGTTCATTTTTTATTGTCAAATGGACTCATTGATAAGGCAATTATTCTGGATGTTGATGTCCATCAAGGTGATGGAACAGCTGAAATATTTCGAAATTATACCAATGTGAAAACGATCAGTTTGCACTGTAAAGAGAACTTCCCTCCAGTAAAAGAAAATTCAACAGTAGATGTCGAATTTGATTCCTTTATAAAGGATGATGCTTATTTAGAAGCATATAAAAATGTTTTGGACAATATACAAAGTGAACAAAACTGTATTATTTTTTACCTGTCTGGTGTTGATATCAGCGAGGATGATAACCTTGGCTTGCTTTCAATATCTGACAATGGAATATACAAAAGGGACCATATGACATACGAGATGACCATTCAGAAGAAAATTCCCGTTGTAACGGTTCTTTCAGGTGGGTACAATGAGTGTGAAAGGACTCTAGCAAGTAAGCATCTTTTAACTTTTAGGTAAGGACAGTTCCAACTGAGATTCCACCATTCCATGTACTTCATGTGTGAGTACCTTAACACGTGCCTGCAAAGTTGTTCTTATCATTGCTACTGCTGATGCTGGTACTACTGCTACTCCTATTGTTATATTATATTTTTTATTTTTTTACAGGGCTGCAAAAGAATCTTGGATTTCCCGCAAAAAATGAACAAGAAAAGGATGAGCCCCCCCCCCGTTCCTACTATTTTCCATTCTACATTGTAATTTTTTTTTTTTTTAAAAAAAAGAAAAACCCTTTCAGCACACACATATTATGATGTGAGATGTATTTGAATTAACAACTCGTGAAAAAATAAGGAAAAAAGTGTATGACACAAAAAAAAAAAAAAAAAAAAAAAAAAAAAAAAAAATATAAATATAATGGCTAGCTCATAATGCGAACATGTTTAAAACATAAAACAATGTCGCTTGTCATTACAAAAAGAAAAATAAGGATGAAATAAAACTCATGATATAGTATTATGGAAATGTATAATACCATTAGGTACGAATAAAAAAAAAAAAAAAAAAGAGGGACAAACGGCTACTAACTATATGAAACACGATAATCCTTCAAGATGGGGAAGAACACTAGCACATGGGAAGACATACATCGACAGACACAAATCGGCAGACATACGTCCACAGACACACATGGACAGACATGCAAACAAGAGATGCACCCCCACCCCCACCCCCTACTGTGCCAATTTGTTTCTGTTCTTTATCCTGGCACTCTGCCTACAACTGAACTGGAGAGATGGTATTTTTTCCTTTTTCTTATGTCTGATTACTTTCTTCAAAATATGTGTTCCCTTTTCAGGGCTCATATTTAAAGTCAAATTTTTCGGTGGGATATACACATTTTCATACTTTTTCAGATCGAAAAAAGACGTGGATTCTTTTTTTTGGTCTTTTATTGCACATATTTTTATTTTCCTCTTATATTTTGATATGATTCGTTTGTGAATATTTTCCGTTTCATTTATCACACGCTTACCATTTTTTTTATTCATAGGAATGAATATATTTTCTTTGCTATTTTCGATTCTGTTTTCAAGCAATATTTCATTAAGTGGCTGTTCCTTAATTTGAAGGCTTTCTTCGTATAGGAGACAAGGAAATGGAACTGATTGCTGCTCATTCTTCTCGGTGGGAGTGTTATCAATACTAAATAAGGACGATAAAAGTTCATTCAGACTATCAATTCGAGATGGGTTATCTATTTTAATATTTTCATTTATGTTCTTGCGTTCATGATTTGTTGATACTAGATAAAATTCTGCTTCAGAATGTTTACTTAATTCGTCTTGATTTTTCATATTTGCAAATTCAACATGATTACTTGGAGTTCCCTCCATTTGGCTATGAATTTGTACTACTACCTTTTCATCATTTCTCAGTTCCTCTCCATAATTTCTAAACGATGGTACGATATTTTCTTCATGTATATGATCATGGGCCCAGTTCTTATATTCGATATTTTTTTCTGTACATGTATTCGAGTTATCACTACTTTTTTCTGCTCCTTTATCATTTGATAATATTACATGGTCTAGATCGGGGGGAATAATGCCTTTACTATAATCTCCATTTATATTATTCTGACTTAAGGAATATTTACCTTTTTGTTCTTCCTCTTCTTCTTCTTCTTCTTCTTCTTCTTCCTGTTTTTTGTTTTTTCTTCTTTCGGATATTTTCCATTCCACATTATTTATTAGTAGTCTCTTTAAATCGTCTTCCTTTTGCTTTTCCATTTCTGCAATCAAAATAATGTCTTCCTTACTGTCATTACCATGATGATGTCCTTCTACTAAGTGTATATGTGTGATGCCATTTTCCAGGCATTCATCTTCTTTCATAGGAAGAATTTCATTTGTATACCCTTTATTCCAAAAGCATTTTTCTTTGATTTGATTCTGTGTTTTTTCATTACCTGATGGAACTTTCTCCTTACTGGTCGTGACTTTATTATTTGTATTTTCCTCTAAACGCGATGCAATTCTTGTTATCATTTTGCTTTCACTTAACATGCCATTTTTGCTGTTCTTCTCAGCTTCATCAAGTACTACTTCTGCGGGTTCATTTCTTGCCACTTCTGCGGGTTCTTCCTCCTTTTCCTCCGTAAATACAGGACCAATACTAGCGCCAAATTTCTCAATTCTTGACAACTCAATGTCGTACTCCCTCACCTGAATTTCATCACAAAATATTACCTTACTCGTTCTTCTATGCTTTGCCTTTTTATTCTTTTCATTATTATGATTGCTGCTTTTTTGCAATCCCACAGATTCGGTAGCACTCACGGGAAGGTGCAAAGGGGATCTGTGACATGTAGAATCTCCATTGATGTTGCCTGCTGAATCTGCATCTATGTGACATTTATTTTCCGATATTATGTTAATATTTTGTTCTGACCCGAATTTCTTCAATGCACAATAGTAATCATTGCTATTTGTAAAAGGCGTATGAACAACATCTGATGGAAGTGTTCTTTTTGGATCTGCAGCGGAAGATTTATGTAATTTGATGCAGTGTTCAGTTAGTAAAGTATATTCAGGAAAGTGAATATTTATGCATATGGGACAGTGATAATGTGGATCTATAAAAAGTTTTTTTTTCTTTTTTTTTTTTTTTTGCATTTTTTTGCTAATTCTTGAATACTCATTGTTTGTTTCTTCTCCTTCAACACCGTTATGAATTAATTTGCATGGGAATATAATATATCCACCTAAAATTTTTCTATTTTTCCAATGCTCATTTAGATAATGTTTGTAATTTTTTATGTAGCTATTTGGTGGATAATACATTTTATCACACAATGGGCATAAAAATTTTTGCCATTCTGGTCTTCCATACATTAATCTTTGATCTTCTAAAGAATGAAAAGCTTCAATTCGTAATGGCATAACTGGAGATCTGTGCATTTCTTTATATATATTAGTAATATATGGTATATCCCTATTAAGTTTTTCTGCCTCTACACGATGATTTGCATAAACAGACAATCTATCATTTTCATCTTTTTCTTTAATTGATATGTCATTTTTTGTAATAGCATTTCCTTTTCTATTCTTGTCTTTCTCATTTTTTACAATTACTATTGTTATTTTTTCATCTTTCATTGGATTATCTTTGTTATCATTTTCTTCCCATTTCTCCTCCTTCTCTAGTGTGGCATCTTCTAATATCCAGTTACAACTTAATTCCTCGTCATCTAGTTTATTATCCTGTCTAATATCTTCAGCATTTGAAGACCTTTGTTTACTTTTTCTTACCTCTCCTCCCGACCCGAGCTTAGCACTTAGAGCAGGTGCAGTAAAAGATTCATTCCCTTTTGTCTCTTCACTTTTACTCCTATTAGTTGAAGTATCATCCTTCTGGTGCCCTTCCATCACACGGTTTTGGCTGCATTTGTTACTTCTGCTTGTTGAAGATGTAGTACTACATATGTAATCTCCCCCTCCAACACCAATGACATTATCCCCACCATTATCATCATCACCACCATTATCATCATCACCACCATTATCATCATCACCACCATTATCATCATCACCACCATTATCATCATCACCACCATTATCATCATCACCACCATTATCATCATCACCACATCTACTTCTGCTTTCATCTAACGCTTCATGTACAGATAATATTTCACAATATTCTCCATGCGCTCCAGGCCAGTTCAGAACATATCCTTTGGTATTGTTTTCTTTTACAACCTTTTGACCAATTGAGGTAAATTTGCTAAATTCTGAAAATGCAGTTCCTCCTTTTACCCTTCCTGTGGGGTTCTTTCCTCTTCCTGTTAAATAATTTGCAGAAAAATTTGAGTTATCCCTCTTATCTCCTTTTTCATTTTCTAAAATTATTTCTTCTCTTTGATTGTAATCCCCGTTCTCATACTCACCATTTTGTCGCTTATCTTCCGGGACACTTGTTATTGCTTCATTCATTTGTTGGATGGAGGATACTGAATCTTTTTGATTATCATCCTTTGTGCTATCATTCTGTGTAACAAAAACTTGCACATTACACATATGAGTTGATTTATCCTCTTCTATAATATTATCCAACTTATCAGAATCCATTTTTTCATTCATTCCTAAAATGCTTTCATTTGATATATCATGACTAATAAAATCGAATAAACTTCCATTCGGGAATACATCAGGCTGATTGTCTAAAAGGAGAAATTCTGATTCAACCTTCTGCTCACGAATCTGGGATGGGAGATTTGCCATTTCGGTTCTTCCATCAGTGGTGCTAATACTGCTGCTTCGGTTTGTTATTCTATCTTGTGAATCTGAAAACAAAAAAAAAAAAAAAAAAAAAAAAAAAAAAAATCACATCAAAATTAGCATAAAAATGGTAATTTTACAAATATGACATAGTCTACGCGTATCAGTAAAAGTGCACATATGGACAAATGAGGGGGTAAGAATCTATTTTATATTTTCTCCTGTCCCCTTTTCACACACCCCTTATTGCTAAATGGGAACACATATCCTGTGTTATTTTTTTTTTTTGTCTTTGCTATGGATTTCTCGCTTAAATATATTAGACAAGTTGACCAAAGCGATAACCAATGTAATGCCAATCGTTTTTTTTTTTTTTTTTTTTTTTTTTTTTTTGAATTACCATCAGAGTGTGGAAAAGAAGCACATACGGATAATCCATTTTCCGGAATGGTTAGATCATTCCCTTGACACATTTTTTCTACACCAATTTTTTTATCTTCATTTTTCAAATTCTTTTCATCTCCCTTTTTTTCAGTAAAAACAGATACACATGATTCCTTGTGATTGTTCTTGTCTATTGGGTCTATACTCTCCTCCAAGTTAGTCCCTGCGTTTTTTGTATGAATCATCTGAACTTGATTCCTTGAGGCTTCTAAATCCTTTAGCAATTGAGAAATTGTGGTGTTCATAAATGCAATGTCCAAATTTTGCTTCTTTGAGATGTGTCTTGTGTCTGAATTTACATGATCCTTGAATGTTTTATTGTTGCCAAGCAATAGTCCCTTTCGAGTAGGACTTTGCAAAGAAGTGGAAGGAATATCTGTCACAGTGACATGATTATCGGTGTTCATCTCTGAGTCAAGCATACTTCTATCATGTCTACATGTATGGATTTGTTTATCTTCCATTTTGTTAATAAAACATTCATCTAAATTATTATTCTGTTCAACGCTGTGTAAGCCATTTTGCTCATCACACAGTTGACCATTTTGAAGAAGATTTTCTTTTTTTCTATAAGACATGGAACTATCGTTAATTGTTGGAATTATCTCTATATTTTCCACGTGTTTGTGCGGATGAGTGTTAAGAGCTACTCTGTCATTACATGATGAAGATTTTTTATCTGTATGGTTACTCGTTATACACTGTATGTTGCAATTATATATGTCGCGAATGCAACCGTTGCATACTTTTGGATTTTTTTTATTTCCCTGGTATGAAACATCTATCTGTTCATAAATTTTAGGACCATTAATTTGATTGTCATATGTTTTTTTTACTAATTCGTTATCATTAACTAATGGTGAATCTATTGCAACATTTAATTTATTCCTAATGACATATTCCATGTATCTGTTTTTTATGTTTTCTTCAATACAAAATATACTTTCATGAGGGTTGTCTATCAAATGGTTATTTCTTCTATTCGCATTTGTGTAATCACTTGATGCACATCCAAGAATGCGGTACTCATTAGCATAGTGGGAGGAGATGTCACTATGAATGTGGTTTGTACCCAAATTGATAAAATAGTTCCGTTCATAATGTTTGTGATTACTTTGATTTCCTTCATTTCTGTATTCACATAATTTATTATTAGGAGAAGCAACCACATCATCTTGGTCAGCTTGGTCAGCTTGGTCAGCTTGGCTAGCTTGATCATCAATATTATCAATAATATCAAGATTATCTTCATCTGTTTTACACTTTTCCTTTTCGTTTTCCTCTCCTCTATGATAATCTTCAATTTTGGAATTCAACAATTTCATTATATTTTCCTTAGAATTGTATAGATTCGATTGGAAATTATTTTTATATTTTTCCAATTCGCTATAAATATGTGTATCCTTGTAACTTTGGCTTACATCATATCTTGGGTCGTTCAAAAGAAGAGATTCTGTACGTATTTCCACGTTTCGTGTACTTTGAACCTCGTTCCCTCCCATGATTAAGACGTCTTTGGTTCTTCCATCTGATACTATTGGATTATTTATCTCCTCCTCTTGTCTATTATTGTAGTGGAGGAGGTCTTTTTCAAAAAAATTCATTTTATTCTGCCCATGAAATCCTTTGCATCCATTTACTGCTACCTGGTCTCCCTTCTCAAATAAGTCGTTGTTATTCAATGAAAAGGAAATTTCGCCACTCAAATTTAGTAGCTGATTATTATTTCCATTTTCGTCGTAATTCTTTTTATCGTCTTGGTAAATTATATTTGAATTGTAGCAAAGAGGTAAGTTGTATGTTGTACCCGTTTCCCCCTTTAGATTATTATCCTGCATTAAATTTCTATCTGATGAAAGGGAGATTAAAAAGGAACTCCTTTTAACTGCTTCTTCTGCTCTTTCAGCATCAGCATCAGCGTCATCTTCTTCCTCCCCTACTTCTTGTCCTTCCCCTTGTTCCTTTTCTTCTTCCTGCCTGTTTTTAATATTTCCCAAGTATTCCCTTTTTTGTGCATTTTTTTTTTTTTTTTTTTCCTCTACATTACACGATTTTTCAACTGATAAAATGAATTTTTTTATTTCTTCTTTGTTTGGCAAGATGCGTCCAGACGTGCTTCTTACCAATGGTCCATGAATATCAAGCATGTCTGTTTCCATGTTGCTCGAATTTCTGTTTTGTTTATTTTTTTCTTCCAGATTTTTTTTTTTAACTGTTGAAAAAGTATTTATTATTTGTTCCGGATTTTGGGTATCCATATTTTGAGGCGGACAAATGTCTCCAAATAAGGAATTTCCTCCATACGAAGAACACTTTTCCTTACAGATTTCCCTACTTGAAGAATCACTGGTTGTAACAAGTACCTTCTGTGTGGGAAATTCATCCAATATTTTTCTTTTTTTGTAAGACGACGATTCTACCATTGTATTTTTTTCCGATTTTTGTAAATTTTCTTTCTTATCATTAGATTTTGGATTTAACAATGTAGTTTCATTTTTTTTGTGAATGTTATTATTTTTGCTTTGCTTATATGCATAATTTTCAATATCATCAACGCCTTCCTCATGCATGGCATATTTTTCTATATTTTTTTCGTTTATATTTTTATTTTTTTTATCGATTTGGTACTCCTCCTTAAGATCTTTTTTTTTTGGTCTCGAAAAATTCTTTCCTCGAAGTGTTATAGTGTCATTAATCAAATTGTGTATAGATTTTCCACGTGAATTTTTTTCTTCTATTTTATCACATTGTTGGTTGGAATTTGTAAAAATGCTACATTTTATTTCATCCTCATTTGTATTTGTTTTACAAGGATGAAATGATGAAATATTATTGTTTTTTTTTTTTTTTACAATATTACGACGAATGCATGCAGACGAATTATTATCAGAGAATTTAAATAAATTTTCGTTTGTTTCATTTATGCTCTTCAGCTCTTCCATAACGTTTTCATTTTCATTCCCTTTTTTTTCTGAAAGGGAAAAATAATTTTTGCCTTCGGGTGCATCATGGGATTTCTTTTTTCCGCAACAATCACTGTTCTGTGTTTTTTGTGGTTCCCCAAAATGTTCAATTTTTTTTTCGTCCACTTTGTCCGATTTGGGGATTTTTTTTGCGTCCACTTCGTCCGATTTGAGGACTTTTTTTTCGTTTTCCCTTTCCTGTCCATCTTTTTTTTTTAATTGTGCACTTGACACATTTTTCTCATTTACACCTACTGACGTGGTGTCTATTTGTCTCCTACCCTTCATTCCTGTAAAAGGATTCTTTCTAATTTTGTCTTGACACAGATCACCTTTTTTACACTTTTCATTGCGCACTTTCTCCTTGTTAATTAGAATGTTTGCCCTTGCACGTCCATGTTCATGCACAATTGCGTCTTTATGAACTGTCTGCGCTATGTTCATATGTTCATCTGTATTATTTGTCTGTGTTATACTTCCAGGTCTATCTTTATTATCTGTTTTCTTCCTGTCACAAGAGCTGGTAAGATTTTTTTTATAATCCATTTGCACGATACTGTCTATCACTTGGTCGCAATCATTATGAGGTGGAAAACATTTATTTTCTTCTTTCGTATCATCCGGTTGGTTATTTTTCTTTGTGAATTTATTAAAACCTTCTTCTACATTCTTTGCGTAGTCAATTTTCTGTGCACATGGAGCATATTCCTCTTCACGCAATGTACCCTTTGATGTAATACATTCTTCGTTCATCTCTTTATCTGTCCTTCCAAGATTTGTTAATGAGCTCATGATAACTTCCTTACTTAATAATGCATGTGACATATCATGGTCTGATTGATTCTTTTCCTTATGTACTTCCTCATGCATGGTTATTTCATTTGCACTACTCACACAGTTAGCCTTGCTATTACTGTAAACTTTATCAGCAGCACCCATGTGTGTTATGTCATGTTTACCACTAAATTCATTTGAAGTTCCACCATTCTGGTTCCTGGAAATAAATGCACCTTCCCTTTTTGTTTCCATCAACTGTTTTGTCATTTTACAGTTGTGTTCCTGTATTGGATATGTTTTCATAAACGTTTCTTTCTCAACATTTTCTTCTTTATCCGTGGCTCTTTTAATAGGGGTGGTTCTGTTTACCGCAAACGTGTCATTGCATTGATTGGATGCGTATGCAAAGGTGGCTGTACAAGGGGGAAAAAAAAAAGTTGAATGGCTAGCTATGTCAGGTGAAATGCACAAAGCAAATAAAAAAAAAAAAAAAAAAAAAAAAAAAGTTGAATGGCTAGCTATGTCAGGTGAAATGCACAAAGCAAATAAAAAAAAAAAAAAAAAAAAAAAAAAGTTGAATGGCTAGCTAAGTCATGTTTAACATATGCAAAGAATGAAAAAGAAAAAGAAACAACACTTGTGACTATAGTAATGTATGCATGAATTACCCTCCATTATGCCACCTCGTGATATGTCTTTCTCTTCTTTCTTCTCATTTGACAACACACTTAACTCTAGATTGTCGCGACGTGTTCCACTTTTTTCTTCTTCGAGAAAAGATCCATTTATAACACCGTCGTATATTTTCCCCCTAGGTGGAGCATCGTCTATGGACATTTGACAGATTTCTGGCATATATGTATTAATACTGCGTATATTAGAAGTTGTGCTACCAATATATGTGCCCTTTTTGGAGGCATTATTTCTTATATTATTTTTATCATTCATTTGTGGCTCATTAGAATTGGTACTACCGGGCTTAGGGTTCAGGGTTTTATGGCCTTCTTCTATGGGCATATGGCTCAGTTCATTTGTTGATTTTTCTTTGTTGAATTTTTCGTCATAAGTGCCATTTTGATTTTTCTCGGGGGTAATTGTATTGTTCATCCCAATTTCTTTGCGCTTCATGACCTTAGTTAATGCAGCACTGTTGTGGAAGGGGATTCTATCGGTCCTTCCGCTTTTTTCTTCGTATTTACTATTTCCAATGGCATTAAATTTTTTGTTAAAATTTTTAATTAGTGTGGGTGCTATCGCGAAGTTTTTTTTCAAAACAGGAGGGGCACACTTTTGAAAATTGCCTGAACAAATATTCATTGCATTTTTATTGTTAAAATAATTTTTTTTTTTTGAAAATCTGTTAATGTAATTTTCTTTCTTATTTTCCCCACTATATAAAATATTTTCTTTTATCAATTTTGGAATATAACATATGTTTTTTTTTTCATTACTCTTACTTGTGAATTGCATTGAATTCCTTTTTTCCTGCCCTGCATGAATAGTACACATTGGATTATGGTTTCTGTTTTGTTCAGAACAACATTTGTGGTAATTCATATGAGTATCATCACTTCTCAGATTCATTCTTTTCTGTTCTATCGTGCTATTAGGGGGAATAACGCTTTTTTTATTCTTTACATCATTATCCTCATTTAGTTTTCTCTTTTTGAATAATAAATTTCTTTCTAATGATTCATTTGATTGGGTTATGCTTTGCCGAGGGTTCTTTTTATTTTTCTCAACTTTTTCTTGAATAGAACAATTAGAAAAATTCTGTGAATCGTTCTTTGAATCCTTTAAATTGAAATTCGTGAGTTCACTTATTTGAAGGGTTTCGAAACTTTTTCTCCTCATTGCGTCGAACGTTAGACCCTTTCTTACTTTTTCACGTGTGACGTGAAGTATATTCTTGTTCTTTTGGCATCCAGTTGAAAGACTATTATTCCAATTTGAGGAATTCACCATATTGGCCATATTTGATGCGAGAACTAAGTTAGTAGCTATTGCATCATTTGCAGCGTTGGATACAATGGTTTCGAAGGAATTATCAATGTCCCCCCCTACATAAGACGTGTCAATGGTAATGGACATTTCTCCTTTGTGATTTCCAATTCTTGCAAAGTTGTTATCTATATTAAGTGGATGTTCCTTCTTCCTGTCACTGGTGGGTGTTTTGAAGTCTCTCTTGATTTTTTCAGAACTAAAGGGACATTCCTCATGGTCATGCATATGAAGCATGTTATGTTCATTACATTTTGTATGCCTCTTCTCGTGAACAAGTTCATGTGATAGGTGTGCATATATATGTTTGACACTCTTACGTGCGTTCTTATTTCTGTTTCTTAAGTTAAAATTAGGGTTATTGTTTTCCACTCTTGAGGGAACTTTATCTTTGTGCTTGTTAAATTCATCTTCTATTACTGAAGATGGACGAGGTGGGCGTGAAGGATGAGATGGGTCCAATGTATAAGATTGATGTGATGGATGAGATGGGTGTGATGGATGAATTTTGAGAGATTCATACGTGGTGTTGCTAGTCTTAGAGCTACTGAAACGATTTGATGAGTCAAAAAGGTCCTTATGGTGCACATTTTTTAACGATATATAGCTTTTAGTTTGAGTAATTTTATGTGGGTCTTTCAAAGAGAAAATAGAAAGTGCTGCATTGGGCATTAAATGAGAGTTCTGAAATAAGAGGATTCTTTCCGGATTAAGACCATAAGTAACATTGGCACTAATAGAACAGTTCGAATCACTTGAATCGATAGAACCGTTTGTTGTTATATCGGATGATATGCCCATTCTAAGTTTTCTCCCAGTTTTATTCCTATATAAATGTTCAAAATGGTTTATTTTTTTTCCATTTATTGAGGGATGTGTTTTGTTCATGTCCCGTGGGTTCCTAGATATACTACGCAAAGACCGATGGTGATTATTAATGCCAATTATTCTGTTTGTGCATTCCTCCGAAAGGGTATTGCTATTGTTTATTATACTTTTCCTGTCATATATTCTATTGAGACTTTTCGCATTTATGTCTTTTCTATCAGATAGGTTCAATTTACCCCTTTGATGATGATGTCCCTGTATAATATTCCTGTAACTCAAATATTGACATTGCTTTTGTTCATAATTGTTTACACTTTTGGAAAATTCCAAATGTTTTGATATGCCCCTACTTTTCATGCCTGCAACATGAATTTGATTTTCTACCATTTTATTTATATATTGTTCGTCTAAAGGGGTGCTGTGTTTGTCTCTTTTTCTCGTCTCCATCTTCGTCTCCGTGTTGATAAAGTTTTGTATTTTTTTATTTTGTTCCCCAAATTTTTCTGCTCTCATACAGTCATTAGTAGAACCACTATGACTACGCGAAGATTTGCAGTTCCTTGTATCAAATGTTAAAATGGGGTTTTGACAGATATTATCTTCTTCATTATGAAACACCTTGTTTGATATGGTCTTTTTTTTAACACTTTCCTGAAAGGAGATCCTATCATTTGAATGATTCTGTGACGGATTTAAGAGTTTTCCTTCTGACATTTTTAACAAATCGATTAGAATTTTCTCTCTATGCATAATCTCATTATGCTTTCTAGGAATGATATTTTTGGTGATTTCGCTTTTTTTATAGTGCCTGAAGTTACTTACTTTACTTTGGTAAGTGCCTGGATGCGCACAGATGTGTGTCATTTCATGCTTTATTTGATTTGTTTTTAAATGTGCTATCTGTTTTGTGTTATGCAAGTTGTTTATCCGGGTTTTGCATGGCCCGATTTTGCATGGCCCGATTTTGCATGGCCCCATTTTGCATAACCCCATTTTGCTTGGCCCCATTTTGCATGACCCCATTTTGCTTGATCCACTTTTGACCTCTCTACTGAAGTTTTCCCCTTCGGTTGATCCCCTTTCCATCATACTAAACATTTCTTCATTCATTCCATTATTGTTATGTTGATTCTCTAATTTTTTTTTCGAATTAGTTGAAGGGTTACAATTGAGAGGGTAAGATGACTTACTTTTGAATGTTTCATTATCTTGGATTTTTGAACGTGCCCACTTTTCCGTTGATTTATTTCTCAAGCTGTATTTATTCTCCTTAGCTTCGACAACTTGATGTTTGTTGTCTCCCTCTGTTTTCATCTGGTTGTAATTACTAGTTCGTCTGTTCATTTGTTTGCCTTAAGATTTTTGTTTTTCGTCCTTATTTAGACTCTCTACCGTCCTTATTTCGACGCTTTATCACCCTTAGTTTCCCACCTTTTCCTCTGGAGTCGTTTTCACTTTGGTTACTCCACGAATAGGAGTCGAAAATTGGATCAAAAAAAAAAAAAAAAAAAAAAAAAAAAAAGGATAAAAAAATTGGACAAGAGTAGTCAAAACATGTGTAGAATATATGCAGCAAATTTATGGTCAAACAAAGAGACCTGTCTCTCTCCACCTCCCCCCCCTTTAACTACACTATGTTTCGATACCAAGGACACAATGGTATTTTCATTATCTCATTGAAAATATTAGTAAAAGCGCCATTTACATACTTTGGGCACCTTTATTTGAAAATAAAAAGAGAAAAGAGTTGATAGACAGGGGTTCTTATCAGATTCACCATGTTCGATTTGACAAAATCTTAAATACACATAATGTTTTAGAAAATCCAATATATTAAAAAATTTCGATAATAAAATTTGATAATCAAATTTTGGATAATAAGATATTTTCCAAAAAATTTTCAATAAGATAATATTCTTAAAATTTTCGAAAATGAGAATAAGGTGTGTAAGAATGATCCCCTACTTTCTCAACCTTTTTTCTTGCAATTTGCATACACTGGTACAATGTAAACAAAGGCAGGAAAAAAAAAAAAAAAAAAAAAAAAAAAAAAGAGAGTTTTGCTATCAAGGGATAGAAAATCTTAATAAGCCTATATACATATGCGAAAAGGTTAATGCAAAAATTTATAGTGTAGAGTGTATTTTCTCAATGTAGAAAACTCGTTTTAGTGGTTTTACATTTATTTATTTATTATTATTATTATATTTTTTTTTTTTTTATTTTCCTTTTTATTTGCTGGATAAATATGTGTGCACGTGGTTCACTTTGCGGTGAAAATGAGAAATTTTTGCTCCAATTTTTTTGCGATAATTTTTTTTTTTTTTTTTTTTTTTTTTTTTTTTTTTTTCCCCCCTTTACACTTTTATAGAAGTTCCCTTCGTATCGTTGTTTTTCGTTGCATCAATTTTCAAGAAAAAGAAAGAAAAAACAAAAAAGAAATTTTGTGGAATAGTACCATAAGATGGACAGAGTGATGGAGAAAAAGAAGTGATACACCGTGGAATCGCAAGATGGTTGCGCTAAGTATGGTCGAAATATTGGCATAAAGTATTTCCACAAATGCTGCCACAGATGCTGCCACAGATGCTGCCACAAATGCTGCCACGAATGCTGCCAAAGATGCTACTAAAATATTAGGCCACAAAATGAAAGAGATAGACCCCTCGACACCTTCCTATCCAGATCAAAATCAAAGCTCTAGATTTAGCGAAATTGAAAAAAAAAATTCCTTTAACAAAATACACATTTTCTCATGTGGACTTCTTTCTATTTGACCTTATTCAAGTACATCAGAAAAAAAAAAAAAAAAAAAGTCAAAGCAAAGCAAGGCAAGGAAAAGCAAATAAAACCAAAGAACAAAACAAAATAATCCCCCTTTGCAAAGCAGGAAGTGAGAATGCATTTTCCTTCATAGCGGTGTAAATACAGATGACATGCATCCATTTTCTTTTGAAATGCATTTGTATGTGTGAAAAAGTGTAAACATGAATCGAAATTCCTAAATGTGCACAAACATTATGTGGAACTAAATGGTCTCATTGTTTTTATCTTTTTCTGAACATTTTTTTCCATTTTACGCCCCCTACAGTTCCAACGTCGTTGCACCTTAGATTTTTTTTTTTTTTTTTTTTTTCCTTTTCTTTCTCCCCCCCCACCCCCTCTTGTTCATATAGATTAAATTTTTTTTTTGTGTCACTTATTCTTTGCATAATTTTTCATTCTCATGTGGATTATTTATTAATTCGTCAAATTCCGTGTGCACGTGTGCATATATATATATATACCGCGTTTTTGTAATCAATAGTGTTGAGTGAGAATCGCAGCAATTTCAAGGATCCACACATTTTGAGTTTTATTTGCATTTCCCCTTGAGCTGTGCTTTGTTTTGTTTTTCCTGGTTTTTTTTTTTTTTTTTTTTTTTTTCCTTTTCTTTCTCCCCCTTTTTTGCCACCCCCCCAATCCCACACACACTCAGTTTCGAAACGATTGAAAATCCAATCATCAAAATGTGCATGTTTAAGTATTTTTTCGCATTCTTTGTTCTTTTGCTTTCCCTGATGAAGCGGTATAGGTCAATCAAATATATCCGGGGAATGGTTCCAAAGGAGAGGCCTTTTGTTTTTCTTGAATCCAAGGTGTAAAATGAAAAATAAAAAATAAAAAAGGGGCAAGGAATGGCTTAGCTAGTCAACCGTTGGTACATAGAACAAAACGAAAAAAAAAAAAAAAAAATCTCCAAAAAAAAAAGTCCCAAAAAAAGAAAACTTCTGCGTATCCCTTTAAGATGCACTAAAAGAGGAAATCCCTTTCAATTCACCTATCGACTAATCCTCATTTTCATAAATATGTGATGCACTTGAAATAATTTCCTAGACATTTCTTCCATAGGCACGTTTCATCATCCGTTTATCCTCTCTTTTTACTATTATTTTATTTTTTTTTTTTTATTATTATTTGATCCCCTTGCAGCTGGCCGAATTGGAAATCACTGACCCCCCTTACACAGTTTTCAATTTCGCTACAGAGGCTGCAAACACCGTTGATGTCATAGAGGGTTAATCTGAAAAATGCATAAACCTTGTGAATGCGTAAAAACGAACTGTCAAAAAAAGAGCAAAAATGGAAAGATGGAAAGATGCAAAAAATATCAAAAGCAATGTATACTGTTGGGTGATACAAAATGAGTGTTATCAGTATGTACCCCACACCTAGTCCCCTTCCCGTGCATGCCCTTATCATTCCATTCGATATGAGCGAAAGTTGTATAAACGTATGATGAATGTGTGAAAATATATTCCCTCTTTAATGAGATTCATGCCGTTTCATCAAATACCCTATCCAGCCCTCATAAGATTTTCCCTTCTACATTCCCACCTTATCACTTATATAGATGAATTGAAAAAGAAGGATGTAAGCAGATCGAAAATGTTATTTTTATTTTATTTTTTTTTTTTATGTCTTTCCATTGTCAAACATTTGCGAAAAATATATATATGCACATCGGACATTGAAACAGTGTGCACATATATATAATAGATGACTTATTCGTTGGTGCAATACTCAAAAAAAAAAAAAAAAAAAAATGAACGGATGAACGGATGAACGGATGAACGAACGAGAAGTTCATGAGGGAAATACAATTGAGGGACATGTGAATAACTCCGTTATGTACATAGAGCTTCCTTTATAAGATTTTACGTATTCCCAACCCACAAATTTTCGCGACAATTTTGCATCACAATTTGTCACTATACCCTTTTACCATAAATTTGCTTCCACATGAATGCATTCTGCTTGCCCTCTCCCACCCCCATTCACCTCAGAACAAAGCCATGCGAAGATTCAAACACGACTTAGTATGGAAAAAAAATTATTAAATGAGAAAGCTTGTGGCAAAAGAGAGGGATATCACAACTCCACCCCATGTTCTACATTTTTTTTTTTTTTTTTTTTTTTTTTTTTTTTTTTGCTTTACCTTGTTTTGCCTTTCATTATTTTACATTAATTTTTTTTTTTGCATTTACTTTTTTTCCTTTTCCCAATTCGCTGTCCGCCCCTTCCTCCTCCTCTCAGAGCGAAAAGAAGGAGAGGACCGCAGACATTCTAGTCACACTTTTAAAAGACGCTTTACAGTTTTTCGATTATGAAAGAAGTTGATACATTGATGAACATATGGCATGGTTAAAAGGATAAACTAATTAGCACCTTGAGAGACTTTTCTGCTCTTTGTTTTTTCTGTTTTATTACCTGGTTCCATACTGATGTTACCTCCTTTCTTGCTAGCATTATCCCTTTTTTTTTTTTTTTTTTTTTTTTGTTTTTTCTCTGAATAATTACCAACTGATTGAACAGTCCCCACTTTTCTGTATTTTAAAAATACTTCCACGCAAAGCACAAATTCAGTCAAGTGAAAACTTCATCCAAAGTTGTTACACAACTCGCATGGATCAACATGCACACATTATAACGAAGAGAAAAAAAATGAACAGCTGTACAAATACTGTGTATATACGAGAGTTTGTTGGGTCTCCTCTTGTAATGAGAAGAACTTTTGCAAGGAAAGTAGAAGAGAGGATGAAACCCTCGGATATAAGAATAAAAAGTGACAAACCTAACTTTAACGATATAATTGTTAAGTACTTTCCAAATGCCAAACTAAAAAAAAAGAATGGGGGGGCGCTACATGGTGATAGCCAAACTTGTCGTAGTACTGATGAGGTAAAATATTACTTATCTTCAAAAATGAAAAGAAAAATGGAATTATTGAGCACTGAGACAAAAAAACATCATGGGTTAGAAGAATCCAGAAGAAGAAATTGTTTACCAATAAACAGTGTGAATAATAATAAGACAAGTCCTGAAAATATTTCGAAAAATATACCTGTAGCTAATGGAGAAAGTGATGTTTTATCACCATGTATGAATAATGAAAGCGATGGAGAAATACTTGAAATATCGAAAGAGGATTATGAAATTCAAAAGTATAAAAACAAATTGCACAAAAGAATATGGATTACACTTAAACGAAATAATGAAAAAGATTTTGAAAAGCTTTATGAAGAATTGAAAATGTACCATTTAAAAGATGAAGTGTCATATAGTATTTTATTACATGGGAAATTGATAATTTCGAAAGGGGACAAAATAAAAGATTGTTTTCAATTGATTGATGAAATGAAATTAAAAAAAGTTCATCACTCATTAATACGATTTAATGAAAGGTTACTTTACAGTTATTATGAATTATCAAAATTAAATGCAAGACCAAGTACAAAACAATGGGTAAAAATTTTAAGGACAGTTTGGTTCACCTCTGCATTGATCAAAGCTAGGAGACAAAAATTTATTTTACGTAATTTGAGTAAAATTAAAAAAATAAAAGGCGACAATAACTCTACTTCTCTCGCTAATTTCAACAACATTTTTAACATTCACAATTTGCACGCTCTTTATGCACAGCATAGGGATCCCTTGCTTGGGGGAGGTGCAAGACACATGTTCTTTTAGCGGTCTGGTTCGCCCGTGCATATGCCAAATTTTCAAATTAATCCATATTGTGGCCCTCTTTCATTCACACAAAAAAAAAAAAAAAGAGGCAAAAAAAGGACAAAAAAAGGAAAAAAGTTTAAAAAAAAAAAAAAAATATAGTGTAAAACACTGTAAAGTAAAACAAATGGGAGAAGAGGTCGAGTGAAATTTCAAATATTTAATGATAATAATGACCCCCACAAGAGCGGTACCTCCCCTATAAATATATGTACGTATGTATATACATATATATATATATATATATATATATATATATATATATATATATATGTATACAATAGGGGGAAAGGCAAATGTCTGTGGAACATAAAAAGAGTTACATTTATTTTCATATGCAGAAGAAACGGAAATTATATTATCTTTTGCAGGGGAGCTAGAAATGAGAAATCAACTTCTGTACTGATAGAGGACGTTGTAAATGTCCTGAAAAACTGTGTAGAGTTTCTGAACTGATTTACAACCAGTGATGATAATTTTCCCTGAGACGAAAATCAAAATGACAGATTTCAACTTAGATGTAGGTTTATACCTGTACACCAAGCCAGCAAATAACTCAGGTTCATAATTGCAATATTCCTTATGATCATGTGCCAGCATTTCTAGTCGTATTGGCATGTTACAATCAGCGCTAGCAATAATGTTTTCAATTTTGAATCCTTCCAATTTTACATATTCATTTGTTACAATTTTAATTATTTTTCCAATTTTTTTGCATCCATGTATCGCTTCACCTTTTGTCTTTGTTCCTGTCAACATGATTCTGCCATTTTTAAAAATTAAAGCTGTACATTTTGGTTTGTTCAATCGAACAATCAGTGTATTTATTTTACTTGGGTTATATTCTGCATTTCGTATAGAAATAGCTATTAGCCTTAAATCAACTTCTGTACACACGTTGGCTGATGCTATTATGTTATGTATGTTTAATGTTATATTTTTATGCACTAGTTTATTCTTTGATTGCTTTTCTGATGCAACTTCATCTATTTCTAAATTTGCGCCTTTCTCACACCCCAGATTGTACCTTTCTAATATGTCATTCCCCTGACAGTGCCCTTCGAATATGTCATTCTCATCTAAAAATTCCTTCATACTCTTTTCACTCACCTCGTCATCCCGGAGAAGTGTACTTGGATCACCCAAATCACAACTGATGTTGATGTTCATTTGGTCTGGATCAGTCATTTCAAAGTGGAGATCAAATGGGAGTCATCAGGAAAAAAGTAAAAAAAAAAAAAAAAAAAAAAAAAAAACAACAACAATGTAATAAGTTATTCTTGTCGCTATGGTTATTCTCAACACCCTGATTATTTTTGTCACGCAGGTTACTCTCGTTTTAGGACGATCCAAGGGGATTTTCTTTGAACATGATTCAAAAAAAGAAATATATCAAATGGCCCGTCCCTGCTTTGAATATACATCCAGATGGCTTGATAAAATTCTGTTGGTTGATTTACTACTTGAGCAAAGTTTTATAGGGGTGCTTTCCCGTTCTTCGAATTTTTAAAGGGATTTGGACTAACAAGTGTAGGTAGGTTAGGGAGAAGGATATTTACTATATATTTTTTGATGGCTTATCCAATATTCACATTTTTACAAAATGCATAAACTTAAAGCAAATTTCTGCACATTTTTTTACTTCTTTTGGATGCAGAAATGATAAGATATCACTCCTCGAATAAAGGTGTGTTTTTAAAGGTCACAAATGGTCATTTTATAGTAAAGAGATATTGTTTTCTTTTCTCAACCTTTGACAAAAATTGCTTCAAATTGCTTCATATTGCTTCAGTTGCAAACGCTGGACATAAAAAATATAGAGCAAAACGGGGAAAAAATTGGCCACAAAAATAGAGAGCAAAATTGAGAAAAAAAAAAAAAAAAAAACTAAAAGCAGCGTTCATACATTACATATACCTAAAAAAAAAAAAAATAAAATAAAATAATTTTAATTTTCCTGACTTGTTCACTTAATTTATTCTCTATCCAAATTGTATTTGTAGTTTCCAAAGTTGCGCAGCTTTTTTTTTTTTTTTTTTTTTTTTTTTTTTTTTTTTTTTTTTCACTAAAAAACACAAAGGGAGAAGCATTTTAAGGATTTAAAAAAAAAAAAAAAAAAAAAAAAATAGTGATAATAATAAATTAAAAATAAAATAAATTAAAAAAAATAACGACACATAGGCGGTATTCACGGTTACGTGAACAAAGAAGAATTTCAGTACTCATTGGTACATAGTTAAATGGAAAAGAAAAGAAAAGAAAACATAACCATTTAAGTTAACACAAAGGGACGATCAAAATCAATCATTGAACAGCTATAGGGCAGGTGACCAACAGAGTAATGAGCCCAGGTTGTGTCCAAGATTTGATCACAGAATGATTAAAAAATAAAATAAATAAATAAATGAAAAAATAAACATTAAAAATTAAAAAAAAAAAAAAACTCAAGAGTGAAATTACTAAAACGACCTTGCCAATGGATATTATGTATCTATAACAATTAACGATGACCCTTGTAGTAATCGTACTCTACACGAATTACTCCCTAGATAAGAAGCAGGAGCAACCTGAACTTAAACAGTGCTTGTTGTATAACTGATGACTGACCAACCCATTTTAGAGAAACTCCTTGTTTTTCACATCTATAAAAATACTCTTTGAAAATCCGTTAATGGCCAATAACTTTCCTAGACTATCAGAATAATTTTTTTTTTTTTTTTTTTTTTTAATAGTTTAATTTTTCTTTATTTCCAGACCTCAGAATGAGAATAGAGAAATGTTGGTACTGCTCGGGAAACATTTACCCAGGTAATAAAAAATGAGATAACCTTTTTCATGCACGAACTTTTTTCAATATTGTGTGTATACAGAGTTCAACCATATAAATGAGGGAAAGATGATTTCCATATCATGTCCACACCACTACTACAACAGTATCGATACTTATATTTTTTTTTTTTTTTTTTTTTTTTTTTCACCCCAGGGCACGGCATATTCTTCATACGAAACGATGCAAACATCTTCCGCTTTTGTCGCAGCAAGTGCCACAAGCATTTCAAGGCTAAACATAATCCACGTAAAGTGAAGTGGACAAAAGTATACAGAAAAGAAAGAAATAAGGAACTAATTGCTGACAAAACATTTGAATTTGAAAAGATTAGAAGCGAACCAGTAAAATATGATCGAAATTTATATATTAAAACAATTAATGCTATAAAAAAAATTGATGAAATTAAAGAAAAAAGAAAAATGAGATTTTATAAAAATAGAATAAAACAAGTCTCAGAAAAAAAAATCAACTTATCTTTGAATTATATTAAAAAAAATCCAGCTCTTTTAAAAAATACGCAATATGAAAATGTGCTTAACGAACTTATTTCTGAACACAAAAATAAGAATATCGATTTTAGTTTAGTCAAGGATACATTTGAACAAGCAAATCTCATTGTTAATGATATAGAGCAGACCGGTCATAAATTTTCTGCGGATATCAACTCTATTAGGGATTCACAAGTAAGGCCAACAAGAGGGGAAAAAAAAAAAAAAAAAAAAAAAAAAAAAAAAAGTTCTATGCATAATTCTTGTATATTGTGCATATATATATATGCACATTGAGAGTATACAAAATTATTTGATTCATTCTATTTCATCACCGGTGTTCTGCAATTCCTAAGTTAACACATTCGTAATTGCACCGAATGTAGTGTGGCCAAATTTTCAGTATTCACATATATATATGTATGTATCTATATACACATTTTACTGCTCATATATTTACGAATATGTTGTACTCATATTTGTTCGATACACTTTTTTTTTCCACAATTGCAGAGATCCGAATACCACAAAGAAAACAGAAATTTGGAATTAGCCACCATCATGTGACTTTTATCAACAAATTAGATCAAAATTTTATGTATGTTGTTTATTATTTTTATTCCCCTTCTGTGGGGAGAAGTTTAGGGGATTCAAGTGCATGTGTGTGTTTTTTTTTTTTTTTTTTTAAGGGGAGTTAAATTCACCAAAAAAAAAAAAAAAATCAAAAAATCAGAAAGTTTACCAAAGTGTGCAAATAGACGAATGAGGAAGGAACTGAGTAAGAAATCACAAACGATCCCCACAAAAATGTGCATATATATATGTGTACTCCCTTCTTATTGGCCATTTTTGTTTAATTAATTTTTTTTTTTTTTTTACCAACATACCATATATACATATGTGTATAACTTGTATATATATGCCCAAACTAGGGGAACTCTAAAAATAATTATACTGTTTTCATCTTAACTTCTGATTTGATAAACAAATTGGAAACGTTCTGCTTGAGCGTGAGAAAAACCACGTGCGCTGTGTTGTATCCATACAATAAATTAATCAGGTTATTCGCCCAAGGTTCTACAGATAGGAAATCAATAAAAAAAAAAAAAAAAAAAAAAAAAAGGGGAGTGAGGGAAGTGGGGAAGCATGATTTATTGATGAATAAATGATTATTATGTAACAATGGTAAAACGTTTTTCCTCCACTTGATGCATCATTGGAGATTATTAGAATTCGCTTCTTTTTTTTCATCTTCTTCTTCTTCTTCTTCTTCTTCTTCTTCTTCTCCTCCTTTTTTCCCCCCCATCTCCATGGGATGATGCCAAAACATGAATTGGAAAAAAAAACAAAAAAAAAAAGTGTGATTTACCTGTGGAAATTATCTTAAAATGTTTCCCAAACCATATGTCCATTTCGGTTGACACGTGAGACAATTTTGCGTTTTGACAGGAGAGGTATTTCAGGTACAGGAACAGAAAGGTTACCTGAAAAAAAATAAGTAAATAAAATAAAAAAAATATATAAACTTAAAAAAATAAATAAATGGAATAATATAGGATATACTCATGAAAAAAAGTTTGTAGCGTGTTAACGTGTTTATTAAGCTCTTTTGTCATATGTCCATATATATGTAACGGTCAATGAACATAGACAACACAAAAGTTTGTAGCAACGGAAATATTTTCCCTCGCTTTCCTCCAATGGAATGAATTACCAACTTGTTCATAATAAATATGTTGAGTGCACGAGATACAAAAGTGTGTTTACTCTCTCTACTGGAACACTCCCTCTTTCTCCTTATGGGAATGTTCCCTCTCAATGTATCACACCAGTATAGCACTTGTTGTGTTGCATTTAATGCATCGAACTCATGGCATGTCATACGGTTATTTGGGTGCGAAGGACGTTAGCAAGCACACTGTTCGAGGTCACCAAAGATGAAAGAATATCACAAGCGTGGAATAAATAATCTCCCTGATTTTCCTGTTCAAGTAAGTTATTCAAATCGTTTAAATTTTTTTCTTCCTTTAAAAGCTTCCTGGTAAACTTCCCATTTAATATTAACAAATCATATTCATTCATATGCTTGTTCGATTTTTTATTTTCTTCTATAAGTTTAGTGTATTTTTTTATTTTTTTCTTTAAATGTTCTATTTTGTTACTAATATCTTGATACTCACTCGATTTCGTGTACTGGCAGTAGGTCTTTTTAATTTTTTTCTGGTATTTGAAAAAGTAAGTTTGAATTACTTTATTATTGTAAAGAATGTGAAAAATGTATTGACTTATCTGAACAGCTGCGTATAGAAGGAAGTATAGAGTGGAGTTATGCAAAACATACATAACATCATTGGGTTGAAAATCGTTCATCCTGTCGATATGTTAGAGGTGAAGAAGCTGCTAATTAGCAGAGAGATGGGGGCCGTTGGGTACTGGCTCAAAAGCGAAGCGCAGAGGGAAAATCTATTCAAACTTCCAAATGTTACTTCCAAAGGTCAATTCCAAATGTCAATTCCAAATGTCACTTCCAATGGTCAATTCCAAATGTCACTTCCAATGGTCAATTCCAAATGTCAATTCCAAATGTCACTTCCAATGGTCAATTCCAAATGTCAATTCCAAATGTCACTTCCAATGGTCAATTCCAAATGTCAATTCCAAATGTCACATCCAGGTATCAATCCCAAATGTCACTTCCAATGGCCAATTAACAAATTCTACGTAAAAGGAGGCTCAAGTTTGGAAATACAAATATACTCGTGCATTTGGTATCATCTTGTCAGGAATTAGGTAAATTATGATACACCCTGAAAAGGCGTTGTGAAAAGCGAATGAACTATCGAATGCACGGGAAAAAAACAAAAAAAAAAATAAAATAAAATAATAAAATAAAATAAACAAATTATATTTTACTTTTTCATCGTTTACTTTTTTTTTTTTTTTTTTTTTTTTTTCGTTGCATAACAATCAAGGGAGGAATGAAAAAATTCACTTTACATCCTAAAATAATGCCCCATTAAGTACACAAAAATAAGTCTCAAATTAGGAACTTCTTTTTTTCCCAATTTTTCCCTCTCTTTTTTTTTTTTTTTTTTTTTTTAAAACGATAAAATGGCATCAATGAGTGAAAATCACCTGAATTTGCTAAAACGGGTAGGTGGAAAAAGTATACATAAAAAAAAGGAGGGAACCTTGAACATACATACATATATATGTATGCCCACATGTGTGTAAGCAACCCTTGTGGAAAGATACCACCTGTGTATTTATATGCGGCCTATTATTACACCTTTTTTTTTTTTTTTTTTTTGCTCGTTCTAATGTGAATACTTCAACATTTTATCATTCACACAAATCCCCATCCCCTTTCACCTCATATTTTGTCTCTTCTCCCAAGTTAAAAGAAATATCCAAGCTGATTGAAATTACTTTGCAACAGAACAATAGATTGAAGGCCATCTTAGGTAGTGAACAGTATTTTAGGAAAAAATGCGAAGCGGCTATAGAAACGGTGAGGCAAATAGATATACAACCCTTGTGCACTTAGTTGTGCATACACAGAACTGGATGTACAAAATCGAAAACGCACAATTGGATGTCTATTACACTCATAAATTTGTCGCTACAAAGAATTTCCCTTTCCCCTTTTATCCCCTCCCCCTCCCTTCTCACCATTCCGCTTGAAAGATTGAAAACACCACAGATCAGCAGGAGTGCTTCAGAAAGGTGTCCAAAATGTAAGTTGAGGGAAATGGAGAAAAAATTCAGTATGAATTTATTTCATTAATGGATGAAGAGAATTATATATGGCTTCTCTTTCTGTTGTGTTGTAACCACCGTCATGTTGTTATATAGGTATGTAGTTATACTGTTGTATATGTTTATTGGGGAAAATTCCCCGCGACCCCTTTTTTGCAGCTTTATCAAAAAACCACGAGAAGACCTGAGAAACGAACTTAAAGAGGAAATGGCCCAATACGACAAGCATACCCCGCATTTAGTGGTAAAATTTATGGGAAAAAAAAAAAAAAAAAAAAAAAAGGGGGGATGAACGAAAATGGAATACCTATGTTCATACTATTCTTGTGAAAATATTAGAGAATGAAACAATTATGTATGTATACACAGACATTCTCATATGTATTAATTCAAAGGCCTCTTTATTTTTCTTAATTAGGAACTCCGAAAAAAGCTAATAGACAAGTTGTCCAACTTGAAGGATCAATATATGCAGACCCATGAAAGTGTAACATTTTTTTTTATTTTTTTTTTTATAAATATGTTTTTCTTAGCGATACAAACAATGATATGCATTTGTTTTTCTTAGCTGTCCAAACACTGACGTGCATTTGTTTTTCTTAGCTGTCCAAACACTGACGTGCATTTGTTTTTCTTAGCTGTCCAAACACTGACGTGCATTTGTTTTTCTTAGCTGTCCAAACACTGACGTGCATTTGTTTTTCCACATACCCTTTCCCCTTTTTTATTTTTTTCTTACAGATTGAGAGAGAAGCAAACCAAACTGCTTAAAAGGATTACGTGGCTTAAGCCGTTATGAATCTGCAGTGCGCAGTTGGAGTAGTTCGCCGTCTCTAATGATCATGTGGATATATTCCTAGGGGTTCATATATATGTGCATATATAACAATCTGTACATGTCAAATATGGGTAAAAACGTGTTGTTGTTTTTGTGTGTATTTATTTGTTCATGTTTGTATTTGTGTGATTTTGGTAGATGAGTATGATGATATTTTCCTAAAAAAAAAAGTTACACTATTTATTGAAGGCACACAAATGTGTAAACGTACATATGACAATTTCGAAGAAAAGAATACCGTCCCAAGGGAATTGAAACTAAATTAAATAGCAATCTAGTTATGTTAGAAATTAAATACATAAAATATTCCTAGTGTACTATTATTTATTCCATTTATTTTATTTTTTTTTTTTTTTGCCCCTCCATAATTATAATAATACAATACTAAGTTCACCAATATGGTGTGTTTCTGTGTGTAGCTATAAATGCGACTAGTTGTGAATGCTTGGCACAAACAGGACAGAGGAGTTGACGGTTCCTCGTTAAGTCTGGTGTATCACCTTTTTGTATTTTCACGTATGGTGCCATTTCGTTTGCGTTCTGTCAGTATTAGGTCAGCATTAGGTCAGTATTAGGTCAGTATTATATCAGTATTAGGTTAGTATTATATCGATATTATTTCTGGGTTCTTGTTTCCCCTCATACATTATACTTGGCGCAAATTCATTTTGGTATATGTGCAGAAACGGCCAAAAATAAAAGATAAGAAAAAAGGAATGACACGCACACACACAATACCTCTGAATGAACTGTTGAAGAGGTGAAACGTATCAAAAGGAGGGAAACTTTTCTACGTACTGAAAAATTGTTATGGGTACACAATCCTACAGGTCACCTTATTAACTCTTTTTCCAATTTCCTTTCCTCACACTATTTTGAATATTCAGAGTGAAAAAAAGAAGGAATTACTTTTTCTCGTTTGACGAAGAAGATTTATAAGAAAAAACGGTTAAAACGCAAAGAAAGAAAATAAAAAAAAAAAGGAACTTATGCGAAGGTGATAAGATTGTGTGTAGTACAACAATGTGCTGGTATTCTCATTTATGACAATGAGGAATGAGAAAAATATAATTCGAACTGGCGTTGAGGGTATAGGTACACGTGTGGTGACTTGTGGGAATATATATATATATTTTTTTGTTTCCTTTCCTTTTTTTTTTCTTTTCTTTTTTTTTTTTTACCTTGGCAAGCGTTTTAGCTGGAAATAAAATGGAAATAATTCATTGACATGTACATATCTTTACATATATATATATGTGTTTTTCTTCTTTTCTGTTTTGCTGTTTTCTTTCCTCCCTCCCCGTTTTTTTGTATTTTGTTTTTTGTTTTTTTTTGCTTTTCCTTTTTTCTTTTCCCATTTATCATATCCCACATTCTGTTTTCCCCCAAGCACTTGCACATACATTGGCAAAATTTCGCATTAATCGCTTTTTCAACTTTATATTTTTTTATATTTTTGCTTTCGTCTCGTGTGTTTTTAATATATTTTTCCTTTCCACTTAAATTCCATGTACTCCACCCTCAACATTTGGTTTTCCTCCCCATCCTTTCCTGCACTAACTTCCACTGTCACTTTATATTCCAAAATTAAAGACTTTTTATTATTTTTTTTCTTTTTATCATTTTACTGTGCATTCCTTAATTCCCAAACGTTTGTTCAAGATTTTTTTTATTTTAATGGAATTATGAATAAAAAATAAATTATTACATACCGAAGCTTTTCTTCTTTTCTTCTTTTTTTTTCTCCTTTTTTTCGTGTTTCTGAAATTTGTATATAACCATTTTAAGCCAAAAAAAAAGAAAAAAAAAAAAAAAAAAAAAAAAAAAAAAGAAAAAATATTTAAAAATATTAGAAAAGATGGCAGACGAACCCTCAGCAGCAAACAATGCCAGTGGAACAGCCAACAACCAAGGAGAACACATTCAGGTTAAAGTACGATCACCTGATGGAGCTGAAGTATTTTTTAAAATAAAAAGAAAAACCAAATTAGAGAAACTGATGGAGGTTTATTGCAATCGCCTTGGGCAATCCATGGAAGCAGGTGAGTAAAAAAACATTCATGATTGTGAACTTATGTATATATGTCAGCACATTTGTATGGATAATTATAAGCCTTTATATATGCACAGTATCGCATGTCAATTTTGCATCCTTAATATCCTTCTGTATACACTTTTATGAATCCTTGCTGTGCCAACTCACACACACACACAGTGTGGCATATTTTTCACGCATGTTACATAATAACCACTTGTTTCCTTTCCGTAGTTCGATTTTTATATGACGGAGACAGGATTCATGGGGAAAATACACCAGATCAATTGGGTATTGAAGATGGAGATGTCATTGACGCGATGGTGCAACAAACAGGAGGATATTTTTAATTTTTTTATTTTTTTTCACATATTTGGAATGTATATATATATATATATATACAAATTGGAAAATAGAAGATAAAGCCGCACGTAGAGCTCCATACGGAAAGAACATTGTTGAGATAATATTATTTATCACCTTTTGATAACCTTGTAACAACTTTCTAAAAATTGTAAAATATAAAAGAACATCCTCACCGTTAAGTCTCATACTGTGTTGTGCATTGAGAGAAGAAATCATTTTTCATTTGTGACACAATAATATGTTTTGTAGACAGTTAACAAGGAAAAAAAAAAAAAAAAAAAAAAAAAAAATGTGTACAAAAATGAGAAATAATGAAATATGCACTAAATAAACATTAGTTACATAAAGGAGAAATACATATATACACACATATATGTGCACCACTAGTGAAACATACAAAAAATCCCTTTTCTTTTTTTTTTTTTTCTTTTTTTTTTTCCTTCTCTATTTTTCCATCAACTATTCCCATATTCTTCATATTTTAAATCTAATATTATATTGTTATATATATCGCTTCATACACCGCCACTTACAGTTGCTGCATAATTTTAAAAACCTTTTCAATTTTTATAAGTTATATTATTCCTCTTTGGAGTATATTTCCTTTCCTTTTTTTATTTTTTTTAATTTTAATTTGATTTCAACAATATCGCACATGCTTTTTACTATTACTACTATGATAAAATATGTATACAATATATGTATGTATATATATATATATATATATATATATATATGGTAAAAGCTATGTGTAGATCCAATCGATTGAGACACTTGAACCAAGTCAATGTAGGTGTGTAAAGCTGAAAAAGAATAGCATTTTGTAACTGCATTCGAATGAGCAACATTTAAATCTTCTTCTGCTTATATTATTGACCTACCCGACATTTGAAATGTAAAAAACGGGCTTACAAAATTGTCACGAATAACGCCTGGTTGATGTTGTTGCTTTGTTAAATTTTATCGCATCCGATTTAATTCCACCTAGTTTTATTTATCTTATTTTTGCATTATTTTTACCATATTTTTACTTCATTTTTTCCCTGTTTTATTTTTTTGTGTGTGTGTTTGAAAAGCGAGAGATTTGCTCATTTGTCCAAACTCCCGTAGCGTTCATTGTTGCATGTGAACGAATTGCAGTTTTTCTTTTTCTTCTCCAATGCACGGCTTCATTTTGTCAGAACATAAATGGTCTGTCTAATGATTTACTACTACGACATTCATTAATCGTACATGTAATTATGTCCCAATGGTAGTAATGGAAAAAGGGAATTCCTTCACCATGTGCTTATATAATTAAGCGTTGCGCTATTTTCCTCATTTAAGAAGAATAGAAGTTTTCATTTTATTTTATTCTATTTGGTTTTATTTTTTAACTTACGGGGAATAGCTTGTTAAAATATAATGTACACGGGAAATTGTCTACACCCCGAACCACACTTTCCCTATATATATACACACACACACACACCATTCTACACTCACACAGATAAACAAACTCCCAACACACATTTTTTCTCATCTATAAGAAATAATTATTCTGGTAGGAAGTTGTCGAACTGGAAAAATAAAAAGGAAAATATGACCAACCCAATGTGTCTATATATATAACTATCCATATGTTTACTTGTACATATCTCCATTTGGGCACATACACACACTATATGAAATCTTTTTTTTTTTTTTTTTTTTTTTTTTTTTTGAACCCCCTCCATCACGTTACACTCCTTGACTTCAGTTGTTAATTTATTCCATTTTGATATTCTTTTTCAATTGGGAATCATGGCAGGGAAATAGAAAATGGTAAAATAACTTATCAAACGTGAAAAAAAAAAAAAAAAAAAAAAAGTTCTTTCTCCTTGTCCCATTACCATAAAAAAAAAAAAAATAAATAAGTTGAAAATGTAAAGAAAAATTTCGAACGTTCTTACCTTGTGCTTACATGAAAATTTCCCCCTTTATAAGTATAATGTATATATTACTTATCTTAAGTGGGACGAGAATATAAAGTATATATATATATTTTTTTTTTTTCCCCCCCTTGCAATCCTATATATGGTTCCTCATTTACAGACATGTATACAAAATCTACATGTGTATTTTCCTAAGACTTTTCAAGTATTCATTTGTGTATCTTATCTACACACTCTTACTTATGCACGAATGCGCATGTATACAAGCCAGAGGGAAAAAAAAAAAAAAAAAAAAAAAAAAAAAAAAAACAGTAAGAACAATAAGAACTTTTTTTTTGTCTATCTCACGCAATCGAGCTTATTGTACATAGTAAATTTATAATTACCACCACCTGTCAAGGAAGTATATATACATGTGGAAATAATGTTCCTTCCTTTTGAGAACCTAATTTTTCCTTTTCTCGTTTTGTAGACTATGTGAAGATGCGAATGAAACACACATACGCATAGGCAAACAAAAGAAGGAAAAAAAAAAAAAAAAAAAAAAAAAAAGGGGAAAGAAAAGTGAAGAAAAAATAAAATAAGAAACAGGGAAAAAAAAAAAAAAAAAAAAATATTATATATACGTACATTTACACTTAGGGTGATATACACATGCGCAGACGGAGGGTTGTTGCCACATGGTGTCTAAGGGACAGCAAAATTGCAAAGAATTTTTTGGTGGAGCGTTTTGCATGAGTCCTTGCAGAAAAGAAAAAATCGAAGGATTTAGAGCAGAAAAAAAGGGGAAATTGGGGGAAAAAGCAAAAATAGGGAAAATAAGGATAAGAAAAAAAAAGAAACAATAGCAAATTATTCAAAATAGCGAATTATCCAAAATAGCGAATTATCCAAAATAGCAAATTATCCAAAGCATCGAATTATCCAAATTAACCAAATTGGGGAAAAGGAAAAAATAAACAACCCAAACAAACCAATCCAATCGAACATAACGGACTTAACGAAAAGGCACAAAGAGCAAACTTCGCGCATACAAAAGCCAACCACTTAAGCTTGACTATACGATAAAAAAAAAAAAAAAAAAAAAAAAAAAAATCGAGCAAAAGGTTCGAAAAAGTTGCAAGCTTATTGCAATATAGTAAGAGCTACAGAGGTAGATATTAACATAATTTAAAATGAAATTATGTGCTTTTTTTTTTTTCCTTTTCGTAACATGTGCCTCTGATTTATTCACGTATCCTGCGGAGGGAAGTGAAGACATCACTGATGTTGGAGTGGTGGAGAGTAACAGAAGTTTTCCAGGGGGAGAGATCACAAATGAAGAGACTACAAGTGAAGAGACTACAAGTGAAGAGACCACAAATGAAGAGACAACAAGTGAAGAGACTACAAGTGAAGAGACCACAAATGAAGAGACAACAAGTGAAGAGACCACAAATGAAGAGACAACAAGTGAAGAGACCACAAATGAGGACAAACAACACGAACAACTGAATAATATTCATAGACTGATTAGGGAACAGGAAGAGACTCTGCATAGAGAAAATAAAGAGACGGAAGGAGGGGAAGTGAAGTTAGGTGGTTATGCGGAAAGAAAAAGAAAGGAGGAATCAAAAAGTTGGAATGAATTAGTAAAGAAATGTGAAGACGAAAAAAAAATTATTCTTGAGGAATTCCAAGTTGCTCAGAAAAATCTAGAGAAATGCACTGAGAACAATGGAAAAAATCTAAGTGAATGCAAAGAACAATTGAAGGAGATCCAAAAACACTTGAATGTGTGCAGGGAAAATGAAGATAAATGCTATGGACGGATAGAAGACATAAATATGCAATGTCATGAAAACATAAGTAAGAAGGGAAAAGAAGGAGAAGAGTTAAGGGAAAAAATTCTTACACTAGAAAAAAAAATAGAAGAGGCAGAATTAAAATTAAAGAATTATGCAAAAAGTAGAAGGAACTCCAACAAGGAGGATAAAGATGATAAAGATGGTAAAGTTGATAAAGATAATAATGATTATTTAATCTCTTATAGTATGGTTAAAAGTTATTTTATAAAAATTTTCAAAATATACAAAACGCTTTATATAATCATATTTGAAAAAACGTTTCTGTCTAATATGCTCATCCAGATTTGTTACCTCAAAGATGTCATAATGAAATATATTAAGCTGTATGCAATTATTACCATGGAAAGGTTGCAATTGTATGTGAAAATAGTTTATGAAAGCAGTTCTATAGCAAAACTTTTGGACTTTTATGAACATTCTTTACTTAAGCAGTATATAATGTTGCTCAAAAATAAAACTCCAAATTTTATCTCAAGGGCGGAGAAATTGTATTACAAAATGATGCACACAATGAGATATGACATTTTTTTCAAAATGTTTGAATCATTAAACAATAAATATAGGAACATCAACTTGGACAATTTCGTGCATAAATTACACAAAAATTCGAAATTTTTAATGAATAAAATTAATTCCATAAATCCAGAATTGAATGGGATAATCCCACCAAAATTGGAAGATCAGCTCATTCTACTAATATTTTTCACGGCAGTCAATACTATCCATTTGTATATATTTTTTTATTTATTATTTCTATTTTTCAAGCTGATAAAAAAAATATCCTCTTGTTTATTTATGTGCATCCTTATCTCCATTGTGTTCATATATAGATGCACAATTTTTATACTTACAATCCCTATTAGACCGTTTATGAAGAAGAAATGCAACAGAAGCAGAAAAGTGTATAGAAGACATAATGAAACAGTATGCACGAACCCCGAGCGTACCTCCTATCAGCACCAGGAGTTTAAAAAAATGCACAAGGGCCAAAATGTTCACCACAGGAAGGGATGAAGTGGGGAGAGGAATGAGGAAAGAACTGGGAGTACAGGATCAGAATTGTGAAGCCAATTGTGAAGCCAATTTTGAAGCCAATTTTGAAGCCAATTGTGAAGGCAATTTTGAAGGCAATTGTGAAGGCAATTGTGAAGGCAATTTTGAAGCCAATTGTGAAGCCAATTTTGAAGGCAATTGTGAAGGCAATTGTGAAGACAATTGTGAGGTGAATCTATTTTGAACTCTACCTCTTTTTTTGCTAATTGTGCATATACAGACTAGTACATTAAACAGCTCTAACCATGAATGAAAAAATAAAAAAAAGGAAATGATGAAACATGGAACTCGATTATTCCCACACCTCCCACCCCCTCGACAATTGAATTTTGGCTAGGTGAATACTGGCAAAGTGAATTTTTTTTTTTTTCTTTTTTTTTTTCTTTTTTGAATATAACCCCAGGGAAGAGGGTACGGCATAAATAGAACTAACTGCAGGCACCCATATTGAGTCCAACCACACCTCTTATATTGTTGATGTTCATTTCTCTGTTGTTCAATTTAGTGTGATCCAATGAATATAAATTATCTATTCTTATAAATTTGTAATAAGTCTCGCATATACACAAAGCAGTCTATTTTGTTTATAATATTGAAGAGAGATGGGGTGAGAAGAAGTAATCAATCCCTTCGTTTATTTTATACGCCTCATGCGTGCGTCCATATATATATATATATATATATATATATATATACATACATACACATACACATACATATGTATATGTCCTCACCACACACTTGTTATCAACCATAAGTAACATTTTTCGCGTTTTATATATATTTACTATTTTTTACTTTTTTGTTTTTAAGTTTAAACGGGTTATATCAGAATTAAGCCTCCCCCGAGATATACTTGTATGGAAATACAGCAAAAAAGGTTAGAAAAAAAAAATTAATGGGTTCCCTTTGCTTAATTTATTACAACATTGTCCACAGTTCTGTCAGAATAGTAGCTTCTTTACCCCGATTTACGAGGATCAATGTGCACTTCACCTTGCAAATTATGAATAATTTTTATTTTAATCTGTTTATTTTGATCTGTTTATTTTTCCTTCTTTTGTATAAATTGTCCTTTCCAATTTTGTTTCCTTATAAAACTGAACGAATGGGGGAGTAGGGGGTGGGCTAAAAGTGTATATCGAATTGTTCAGTGAATATGAATTTCCGAGAAATTTCAAAATGTTCACATTTGATCATGGGTAATTATGGTCCCTATAAGTCTCAAAAGACAAAACTAAATTTAGGTGCAGACCCTCTGCAGATAGTTCCTACGATGGAAGTTAAGAAAAAACGGAAACAAAAATAAACGGTGGCAATATGGGGAAAAAAAAAAGAAGACGTAAAACAAAGCAAACATGGATCTAATGTTTCGTGGGTAAGCCCTGTTTCACAATACCCTATTGTTAAATTATGACAATGCGCGCTTGTATTTTCATCAAATGAGAATGTGGACGGCTGGGGGAAAAAAAAGGACCACGATGTGGGAATTCACAAGGAAGTTCTTCATTCCCAATTTCACAAAAAAAAAAGTGAAAAAACATGAAAAAAAAGAGAAAAAAAAGAGAAAAAAAAGAGAAAAAAACGTGAAAAAAAAGAGAAAAAAACGTGAAAAAAAAGAGAAAAAAAGGAGAAAAAAACGTGAAAAAAACGTGAAAAAAACGTGAAAAAAACGTGAAAAAAACGTGAAACAAATGAACAACAAAACACACGCTGCATCAGCGTGAACACTGTAGAAACGCTTGCACGGAATGCTGTCGAAGCAATTTCAACTTTGCTGTCTTCTGGTCATCTGTTAGGAGGTATTCTTTTTAATTTTATTTTCGTACAATTTCCGTTCTACATTTTCGCTAAAAAATTTATTTTCCAAATAATTTTGATTTGCCTTTAGCTTTTCATCATCTATCGAATTCGCCATTTTGTAATAAGCCCAATCTTCCGTTGATTTGTCGACAGTATTGATTTGTTTATTTTCTTGTATATTTTGAACAAGTTGATCAATATTTGCAAAATTGCCACCTATGTTCATTTTGTCCTTCATCTTGAGGTAACGCTTGTAAGAGGAAGAAGTTTTGTCGATTTTTTTTTTGACAGTGTAGATTTTCCCTGCATACATATATTTCTTTTCTATATGTACTGAATTATTTTCATAAAAGCTTTCCAAAGCTGTCTTTACAACATTTGAAATATCGTTAGAATTATTCTCGTTTCGACATTTCTGCTTAAATGTTTTGATGCTCATCTCAGTTTCATTTTTATCTTCCACTGTGTGCGAATGAGGTGATACTTGCATGGCTGAGTATTTATTCAAATGATTATACAATTTTTCTATCGTGTTGTAATTTTTCTCTTCTTGTGGATATTTTTTATGAAATTGGAGAAGGAAATCTTCATCACTAACTGATTTTTCATGTGTATATAATTGTTCATATTCTTTGTTAATTTCGTTGAATGTTTTTTCTATTTTTTCTTTAATAATGGAGTTCTTTATGGCATTTTTTATCTTTCTTGGAGTTCCTTCATTTCTCCTTTTATTTCTTTTGCCCTTTCCGAATTCCTCCCTGAGTAGTTTTGCTTCACCCTCTAACTCTTCCTTCAAATCATCTGATAGGTCATCTCCACATAACTCCTTTTTCAGGCTTTCTTCGACATCATAATTTTCGTCATCCTCATCGGACGATGGGAATTCCATATTCAGGATCGTTGCCATCTTCCCTACTTGGTGGAGCGTCCTGGATGTTCATCAGTTTGGTGATTTGTTTTTCCCCTTTTGGCCTTATCTACATCTATATAAGATGCACGTATATATATATATATATATATATATATGTATCGGTTAAGAGAAATGCCATTCCTTGGTTTTAATCTTTTGTAGAAAAATGAAAAGATGTAACAACACGGGGACTAATAATGGACATTAGAGATGTTGGTGAGATGTGCATATACAAGGATGTTGTTATCATTCCAGGAGTATAAAATATGCACATTCTTTTTCATAAAATAAGTATAAACACATGTGAAAAAAAAAAAAAAAAAAAAAAAAAAAAAAAAAAAACGAATGGCTTCTTCAAACCCGTTTGTTGCTAACACTAATTTGATTAATGACCTACGAATACAGAATTGGAGAAGAATTAAGCAAAAGAAATTTACTTTCCCTATATTTATAAAAATAAACATGAGAAATTTATATTTTCAACAGAAGGGTACAGTAATGATAATTGTGTTTTGTAGCATTCACGAACGAACAACGTGAAGGAGAGAGTGTATCATCCACACGTGAGAGAAGAAAATGTTTTAAAAAGAAGTAGATGAATATATATATATATATATATATATATATATATATATACATATCCTTAATTCGTTTAACCCCCATGTACTATTTGTGCGAATTCTTTTTTTCCTTTTTTTTTTTGTGGAACCCCTTGTATATTTGAAAAAAATAAAATGCTACTTATTTTACTGATATTTCTCACCACTTTTGGGGGGGGTTACTAAAGTTTCTACAAATATGTATATATTATATAGAAGCATATTATATATATAGGTATATGTATAAATGTACTACAGTTCAGTTGAGGAAAATAAGGAGAGGCATGATATGTTTTTTCTCCAACCCCAGGTTTCCCATGAATGTTTCTCTTTTGTTAGATGTTTATCTGTGTGGGTTTACGGGTGTGTAATATGGCACAATAAATATGCGAAGTTTATCATTTTTTTTTTCCTTTTTTTTTTTTTTCCTTTTTTTTTTTTTTTCCTTTTTTTTTTTTTTTTCCTATTTTTTTTTCCCCTATCTTTTTTTTCTCTATTTTTTTTTTCTCTATTTTTTTTTCTTGTTTGTTATCACAACGCATGATTCGAGGCGGAAAAATACAAAATGGGAAGAATGGGAACAATCGATTTGCCTATGAAAAAAAAAAAAAAAAAAACACACAATTTTACTTTTCCATCTCCTTTTTCTCGAATTCTTTTAAACAAGTCATTTGTTGAACTTAAGTCTAGAAAAAAGATGTCACACATAAAAAAAAAAAAAAAAAAAAAAAAAAATGGGGAATATATGAACATATATTAATGTGAAGTCAACAAATTTTGAATTTGTATAATTAAACCAGATTGATATTGTAAGGATTATGAAGGAAAAAAAAAAATATAAAGAGTGAAAAAATGAAAGAGCGATGTTTTATGTATACACTCTCCCCCCCACTCCCAAAGGATGGTAATCGTGACAGTGGTTAAATTAATAATTAAAATAAAATTGTAGATTTAATTGGATTTATTTCCATTATTATATAATATACATTTGGTTTCATGTGGAGACTTTTTTATTGTTTTTTTTATTTTTTCCTTATTTTTAGCATTTTTGAACAGTTCCCCTTTTAATGAATTTTAAACCGTTATGAATTTCACAACACATTCCAACATGGGTTTTCTCTCTTTTGAGTCACCCTTTGGAAGAATACTTACTGTGCACGCATGTGTACATTTGTGTATGTGCACAAATTTGAACATTTAAAATGTTTTAGGCGGAATGAAATTACTGCGCACTCTTCATCTTCGCACGTTAAACATTTAAGAAGAAAGTCCAAGGGAAAACTACCCAAGAGCTGTTGGTAACAAAAGTCTCAAAGGACTCATTTGGATATTAAATATATGTGTACATATGTATTGCATGTATATATATATATATATATATACATATAATATATTTTTTTTATACCTTAAGAACACCGAATTTATCAACCTCAAAAATAAATTACATAACTAGAGAATTCATCATCCGGAATTAAGCATTGTCACATGATAACACATGGAAATTTAACTCCTCTCACATTTGTTGGTATATTTAAAAAGAGCAGAAAAGTATTCTAGTAGCTCACATACCTCTTTAACAAGTTAGCATAAGTGTATATATAACAAGCCGAGGCAAGGAATACATTTATGTTTATACTTTATTCGTGAAGGGAAAAAAAAAAAAAAAAAAAAAAAAAAAAAAACGAAAGAATTATTTTTACATGGCTATAAATAAGCACTATATGTGTTTACGAGTGTAATCACATGGTTTACTGCTAGACACGTTGATTTGCACACTCCCCCCCTTACCCCTTCAAAAAAAAAAAAAAAATATAAATAAAAAAGTTCACACTTGTACATATATATACACATACTACACATAGTACATATATATATATATATAAGCTCCAATGAGAGGAAACAAACTTGCTCAAAATAAGGACTCCCCATGAGTACACGATGAATGTAATGACCATATTATTTGTCAAACTCTTTTAAATAATTAGCTATTAACTTTATGATCATTTGAATATACGTGTGTATACTATGTGTTATAGAGAAATGTAATTATCTCAATTAGGGAACACATTGGCATTTTATAAACAATAATGACATTTTTTTTTTTTTTTCTCCTTTTTAATGCAAGAGTGATTAAAATTGCTTGATTAATTCGCCGATTAATTGATTGATTAATTCGCTGATTAATTGATTGATGAGGTTTTTTCCCATTTTCAATTTGAAAGCTTTTTTGGCTCTTTACACCTCATCCTATATCTGTACTTCGCGAGGATTAGGTAGAGAAATATTCTATTTACTTTTACTCAAGTATTTCCTGAGTGAGCAGGTGTGTACCTCTCCATATGTGATGCGCGTACACTTTATTTTGTGTGTAGAGTAATTTATATACTTGCTAGAAGTGACCAGATAGCTTAATGTGCAATCCTTTACTGTTGGTGAGAATAGAGATTGAAATGGAGAAACCCTTTTTTAAATATTTAATCATCGAAAAATTTAACAATCCAATTCAAATGTCTTCATTTTTTTTTTTTTTTTAACCCCTTCCAGACCAAGTCATATATACAGCTCATTAAGTATCAGAAATATACAGAAAGAAAAGAGAATCATTACAACCATTTGGTCACGCAAATAGAAGCACGTAGAATCAACAAATTGTCGTTCTCTCCTTCTCTCTCTTTCTCCATATTTTACTCTCTTTTTTTTTTTTTTTTTTTTTTTTTTTTGTTGAATCACATATGGCCGATTTCAGCAAATCCAACTCCTCGGGAGCGTCGAATAAAAAACAGGCATCTATTTTAAGCTTCTTTAAAACGCAAGATGTTAAGATAAAGAGAACAAACAGTTCAGGAGATACAAATGGGAATAAATTGCAAGGGATGACAGATCTGAAAAAAACGGGAGAGAAGAAGATGGGGGAGGAAGGCGAAAGCAGTTTGGTAGTTAATCGTGACAGTGCTGAGACAAGTGTAGTGATGAAGATGATGAATAGTTATGCAGCTAATAAAAAAGAGGAAAATAAAGATAACATGTGTGAAAAAGGAGGAGGAATGGGAGGAGTGGGATATCTAAATGTAAAAAATGATTCAACGATGATGAAAAATGAAAATGAAGATATTGATGCAGGCTTCGCAACAACTGCACACGTAAATTTATTCTCTGATGACAGTCAAGATGCAAATAGTAAGCTTATTAAAAATTCTTTGGAGAAAACAGTAAATCATATGAAAGAAAATTATGATAAGGATGACTCAGACAATGCAGAATTGAGTACAGATGAAGGAATAATTGTTAGGAAAAAGAGAAAGGTTATAATAGATTCATCCAGTGAAGATGTACACGATGATGGAATTAATGATAAAGGAAGAGGAAATGAAAAGAACTCCAAGAGGAATGTAATAATAAATCGTGAAGGATTGGGTGTAGATGGTAAGTTAAACAATTTGGTTTATGAACCAAGTAAAAATAACACAACAGAAGAAACATTATTCACAAATGATAACAGTAATAAAGAAATTATGAAGATTCACAAACGAAAGGGAGAAGACAGTAAGAAATCGCAAGAATTAGATACGTTAAGAAATAAATTTTTAAGTATTCCCATAAGCTTAACAAATGATAAATTTCGATTATACATAGAACAATATTTCCTTTATTGCAACACATTTGAATTTCCCAAATGGGTTCAACCACAATATATTCGGGATCTAAATTTGAGGACCCCTGAAGATGCAGATTATGACAGTTCGACTATATGGACACCTCCACCAGATCACCCATGGGCAATTGAATACAAACAAGCTCATTATACGCCAGGAATGCAACAATTTTGGAAAATAAAATCTAAAAATTTTGATAAAATAATATTTTTTAAAATGGGAAGATTTTATGAAATATTTTACATAGATGCATGTTTAATGCATACGATTTGTGGATTAAATTGGATGGGCGGAGAACACAAACCTCATTTGGGTTTTCCTGAACAGTCATTACATTTTTATGCAAAAAAAGTTATTAACAGTGGTCATAAAGTGGTTGTAATAGAACAGATGGAAACACCAAAAGAGTTAGAACAACGAAATAAGGAATCATCAGGACCTAAAGATAAAGCCATAAAGAGAGAAATTAATGAAATATATACAAAAGGTACCATACTGCATGATAATATGCTAAGTTCTGAGACCAAATATTTAGTCTGTTTTCACTTTGATGACATAGAAGATTTTGATCCTACAGGCGCTGATATTAACAATGGTAATTCAGGTGGTTCTACTGATTGTGCTTCATCTACCGAACGAACAATAAAAAGCAAATGTAACTTTGGATTTGTTGTTAGTGACATAGCTACATCTTACATTGCAGTTGGGTATTGCAATGACGATGAATCTAGAATCGAATTAAGGACAATTCTAGCACAGTTATGTCCAGCAGAAATTTTATATGCATCTAAGAATATAAACAAAGAGGTTCTATCTATTTTTAAAAATATTCCAGCAGAACCTGAATTAACAGCTGTGAGTACATTTCCAAACATAATTGCATCCCTAGATGAGATAAGAAAATATTTTGAGAACATTCCTCCAAGTTTAGAAATGTATAAAGAACAGAATAGTGTCATTTGTGCATTTGGTGGGTTCATTGTTTATCTTCGATCCCTTTTATTAGATAAAAAAATTTTTCGATTCTGCAAAATTGAGCATTATGATTTGTTTAAGAAGGAAAATTATATGGTATTAGATGCAACAGCGTTGAAGCATTTAGAAATATTAGAAACCCAATCTGGAGAAACGAAAAATTCTTTATACGATTATGTAAACAAAACATGTACAAATTTCGGAGCAAGAAATATGAGAAGATGGATTTGTAGTCCCCTACTTGATTGTAACAAAATTAATGAACGATTAAATGTTGTCGAATTTTTAAAAAAAAATGAACATATCTTATCTCTAATCAGGCTAAAATTGAAAAAATTACCTGACATTGAAAGATTGCTAAACAAAATATGTATTCAAGCCTCACAAAGTGAAAGAGGAGCTGTTTTTTTTGATAATATTGTAAATACAAAATTGAAGGAATTTATGACCTTTCTAAATGCCTTTAAAGAAATTGGGAGTATGTTAATCGAAATAAATAGTATAGAAAAAGATGAAGAGGAATTACCAAAACGATTATTTGAAATTAGCAATACTTCTGATAGGAAAAGTTTAGTTAGTAATATACAAGGAAGTTATCCACATATTGAACAAATTACAAATGAATTTTTGAAAAAAATAGACTTCGATGGAGATAAGGAATACAAACCTGCTGAAGGTTGTGATGAAACCATTGATTTGATTAATAAAAAAGAAAGGGAGGTAGAAAATGAACTGAATTGCATTTTAACAAATATGAAAAAAAATTTGAAAATTTCAAGTCTTAAATATGTTCATGCAAAGTATAAGTATGAAATCGAGTGTCCAGATAATGTACCCAAATCTTTTTTAAAGCATGTTGAAATAACATCAGCTAAGAAAGGCTTTATCCGATTTCATAATGAAGAAATAAAAAATTGTGTCGACATGTTAGAAGATATTGAGCAAGAAAAGAAGGATGCAATTTACCCTTTTTTTAAAAAAATGTTTCACTTGTTTTATGTCCATTATGAGAAGTACATCTCTGCATGCAGACTTATGTCCGAACTGGACTGTTTGCAAGCCTTTGCCTTCGTTGCTTTGAACACCTCCTTTACCTTAACACGTCCGATTTTGCATCCTATAAGGAGAGGCCCCTCAGAAGAAGCACAAGAAGCAGAAGAAGGAGAAGCGGAGCAGGAACCGAACCCCCAGGCCGGAGCTGCATCTATTGCTACCGCTGCCTCATCTGCCACATCTGCTACATCTGCTACATCTACTACTGTTTCCACTGCTGGATGGGGCATGCATGGAAGAACCCAAGCTCCAAGCGATGCACGAGAACCGCTGCTAATACTAGAAAATAACATTCACCCAGTTGTAGCAACTCTGATGCCAAACTTCATATCGAACAATATATACATGGGGTGCCAGCAGGAGAATCAAACCACCTTACTTTTAACGGGGCCAAATATGGGAGGAAAAAGCACACTACTACGTCAGATAGCCATATCTGTTATTCTAGCACAGATAGGAGCATTTGTTCCATGCTCTTATTGTGAATTGACTGTAGTTGACAAAATATTTACAAGACTAGGTTCCAGTGATAATTTATTTGAAGGCAAAAGTACGTTTCTTGTAGAATTGGAAGATATTTCAAACATGTTGAAGCAGAGTACAAAATATAGTTTAACAATTTTGGATGAATTGGGTAGAGGAACATCATCCTTTGACGGTACAGCTATCGCCTTGTCAACACTTGAACAGATATCAGATGTTGTAAAATGTAGATGTATATTTTCAACACATTACCATTTATTAGTTGAAGAAGTTAAATATAATAAAAATATATCGAACTATCATATGAGCTTAAGTATAGATGATCATCAAGAAAAAATTATCTTTTTATATAAATTCATAAAAGGAGTTTGTCCTAAATCCTTTGGTATCCATGTTGCTAAATTGGCTGGACTTCCAAAAGAAATTATTGATTTGGCACGAGAAAAATCGACTCTATTTGAAAATGTAACTGATGAATTCTGCAAAATTATCAAGTACAAAAGTATTATTCGCTCCTTGTTGAATGCATATGATGATCAGAGTTTGGGTTCTCTCTTCTGCAAGTATCGACAAGAATTCTCTTCCTGAGATAAGTTAGTTTAAGAGAGAAGACCACCCACTTAGACTATTTAAATTGGTTAGGCCACTTAGCCTTTTTTTTTTTTTTTTCAAATTTGTTCAACGTCCAATTTGTTTAGATCTGCTTAAATTGATTATACGACCACAGATGTGATAAAGGGGGGATGGGGCCCCCCCCCCCTCCCCCCTTCCAATATCACCAAAGAGGAGACGATGGTTTTGTCGTTAGTAGTGGTTTTCCTCTCCCTACAATGGCATATTAGGAAGTACTAAAAGGATGTTGTACACATAAATGCATAATAGATGCATACATATGTGCATAATCCATGAGTACATACGCACATGCACATACACATGCACATACACATGCACACACACATACACGCATGCACCTCTTTGTCAAAAAGGAATTATTTTTCATTCTACTAAATGCTAGCGTTTTTTCTCCCATAACATTTTTCGCATTACTGGGGTGTGACCTTGATGGAATATTTTATATTCTTTCACTCCTAAATTTTAAAAGCTTTAATAATTTTTTTTTTTTTTTTTTTAAATAAAAATGCAACAGCGCATATAACATTTTTTGAAGAATTTGCGCTTTTTTAAAAATAAAATGTGACAGAACGTTTTACATTTTTGAAGGATATGTTTTTTTTTTTTTTTTTTTTTTTTTTAAACCTCTTTGCCATAAAGCCATTTTAGAACTATATTTAAGAGTTTATATTTAAACAAGAAATGAAAGATTTCAATTCTGCCTCTTTTCTTTTAGTATAGAACCGAGATTGAGTGTAATAATTGTCATGATACATAACGCGTTCACATAATATGGCCCTAATCTTGTTTTAGAAGGTTTTCTTTTTTTTATATAAGGAGGTTTAAATGTATACTTGAAGAGAGAAAGTCAAACAATGATGTGTATTCTGCTCGCGAAGAACCACAATGAAGTTAAGATTTTTTTTTTTTTTTTTTTTTGCATAAGATTATAACTTGAGATATTTCATTTATGTTTTTTTCGTGCTTTTTTTTTTTTTTTTTTTTTTTTTTTTTTTTGTTTCTCCCCGTTGAATGATCTGAAATTTTCCGCCCCTACAGATGACCAACGGGATGATCAAATTTGTCACAAAATCGAGTGAGCAGCATAATCGGGTAAACTGCATCCCCTAGTGAGCATCCATACCCGAGTGAACTTCATAACCATATTAAATTTGCCCACATTTGAACAAAATCACAAACACACTAGGAGCAGTCGATTTGGGGAAGGGGGCGGGAGAGTAACATTTCATATTTTCTTAATGGGATGAAAAAAGGTAAATAAAAGGAATGTTTATAGAAAAAGATCCCACATATGAAATCCAAAAAAAATGTGAATATCATATTGAATCGAATAACATTGTATATATGTAGTAATCTTGCACAGGTGTGCAATCCCTATGAAGCGACGGAGAAAAAAAAAAAAAAAAAAAAAAAAAAAATTCTGGTCACTGAGAAGGAGATTAAAGTAATATATAGCAGAAAATACACATCTATTCACATGGACCATTCTGTGAAACCGCGACCTGCACTCCAATTATTTATGAAATCCACTTATTACCTCATGGTCCCAGAGTGAAGAGAATATGAAACGCTGAAAGAAAAAAATATATCTTTGGAACATATTGCTCTCCTCAATAGGTGTACATATATGTGCATACACATATATATATATATATATATATATATATATATATATATATATATATATAAAGAGATAAAGAGAGGGAGAAGGAAAAACGCTCACTCCGGATGAGCATATGCAACTATGTTCATCTGTTTATGTATACAGCGTCTTTTTGACAAGACGCGCTGGGGAGGAAATTGCTTAGACGTGTAGATGCGTTCCTATGCAAAAACCTTTGCTGGATTTAGTTATTCTCGTTTGTGGCACTCAAAAATAGGGACTCCTGTGTGATAGAACTAGAAAGGAACAGATAAAACTCGACAGAACCAGAGAGAACCACGCAGAACCTCACGTAATCATAGTATGAAAAGTGGTAGAGTGTTTTTCCTGCTGCTGTGCTGTATGTACGAAGTTTGGCTAGCGCACAAATTTGTTAATGGAAAATACATATCGTCAAAAGGAAATAAATTAAAGATGGAGAAAATTTTCAAAAGGGGTTCTCATTCACCATTCCTTATTGACAAGACCCAAGAAGGGTTCATCAAACACTCTGTGTTTCAAAATAGGAATAAAAAAAATATTCCCAACACATTATTACACTTTACTGATGGGACAAATATTACCACGCTTTGTAAGATATCCATTTTACTTAACAAAGAACAAAATGGATTAACTCCGTTTTCTATTTTGCTTTATAAACAGGAAAGTACTAAATCAAAGGAATTTTTAAAAAAAGACAATAATATAAATAAAAGAAATAGAAAAAAAACATTTTTTAAACTGTGTGCAAAAATGCCAGTTGTTACTATTAACAAGAAGTTATATCCGAAGGAATATAGCACAGATTATGAAAATGTGTTGAGGAAATTCGATGTTACATATATCAATTACAAAACGAGATTGAGAAGCAAAAAAGAGATTGACATAAAATCAATTGATGACTTGTATGGGCAAATTTACGACAGAGATATATTGAAAAAGCAATTTTATTTTTTCCTATACCATGATGATATTAACACATGTTACAGAGTTTTAAATGAAAATAGAAATGTATTAACTAGGGAAGAATCTTTTAAAATATTAAATAGCTTACCTTACATTTTTGTTAATCATTTGAATTATGTCTATCCAACCAAAGAAAATGTCGACATAGTTCTAAGCAAATTGTTAAAAACGTACATTTTCCAATATGCGAATGATAAAAACATTGACTTTTTGAACTTCAAGTATAAGTACAATGAGTTAAATGAATACTGTCAGCAATTGGAGCGAGATTTCCAGAAAGAACAGACACAGGTTCATGATAAAGAGGAACTCTCGAAGGAAAATATGTTAAATCCAAATGAGAAAAATCAAAAGGGCATTGATCGAACCGATGAACGCGCCATATATGACGATGGAAGTAACACAAACTATGAGCAGAAATATCAGCACATGTCATATGATTACAGAATTATCGAATCTACAAACAAGTACAAGGAACTAATGGAAAGATTTAGAAAGTATCCAGAGAACATAAAACTGCAAAAGGTGCAATTGCTATACACAAAGATATTAAGCATGAAGGGTAATAAAATATTCGAAGCGTTTAGAAAACATGAAAGTGTAAAAAAAAACGAGGCGAGAAAAATTTACAGGAATGCCAAATTGTCTATTGATGTAAATAAACTTACTCCATATGTAAATGAACCAATAAAATATGATAAAGAGGAAAAAAAAAAAATCAATGAATTATTTCACAAATATGTAGAAGAAAAAGATTTAATAAATGCAGCTCTAATAATAAGAAAATATACAAACTTAATTGACACAAGGGATGAAAAAAGCCAAGAAATTATGAAAAAATTTTTACGATTACATGAATATATATACAAATGTAACAAGTATAATGAAAAGGAATTGGCTCATTTGAGAATGATTTATTATTCTACTGTTCAAAAATCTAGAGTCATACGGAAAATTTGTGAAGTAGGTATGTGGCAACAAGGAGAAAATGTTACACATAAAGAAGTTTATGAAAAACAATTAAATAGATATCTACAGCAAAGAGAAGCATTACGTGATGAAAGAATGGAACAAAAAAATATTGACATGGATGAAATAAGAGATTTTAGTTCTGCATATCCAATGGAATGGCTACCTGTCCTTTACAAAGATTTATTTGAGCAAATCGAAAAAGAAAAAACTTTAAAAGATTCTGAAAAAAAAAATACCCTCAGTAGGAAAAGAGATTCTATTAAAAAACTATTTTCCACCTCTATTGCTGAGAAGGGTACTAATAACGACACGTCTTCTGATTTTCCACTAAACGAAAAAGGTAACAATAAAGGAATTCCACATGACCTTTTAAATGTAAAAAATGAACTTAAAATTGGTAAGAATATTTTAAATTATAAAAAAAAAAAATTAGGAAAAAATAGACGAAAGAAGGAGGGAGGAAAGGCCTCCAAGAGGAGCCAAGAAGCAAAATCTTCCAACAGCTCTGATGACACAAAGGAAGAGGATGCATAATATTGACAAAAATGGACTCTTCTGAATGTAACATTTTAGGTTAATCAAGCAAAAGCATAGATGCATTCTGCGGGATGCAGTATATACCCGCACGTGTATATATATATATATATATATTATATGATTCTTTTTCTTTTTCTTTTTCTTTTTCTTTTTCTTTTTCTTTTTTTTTTTTTTTTTTTTTTTTTTCTGTGTCTGTGTGTACATAATTGTGAAAAAAAAAGTCACACACATATTTTCTCAATAAAATTTCTGCAAATTTTTCCGCATTTTTCCATGTATCAAAATATGGAGAAATGGAGGTAGAGAACTATTACTTCCCTTGAGAAACATCTTTCCGTATTATTCTACCTTACGTTTTTGCTCTTCCTCATTCTTGTCTTTAACAAAAAAGAGAGAAAAAATTAAAATGTTTAATTCATAAGTTAATTAAAAATATACGTAAAAAATGTAAATTATCCTACGGGCATGAGCAGAAGTCACATATATTAACTGGAGCCATATACATTTTAGTAAAAAAAAAAAGGGAAAAAAGGAAAAAAAAAAATTTGGAGATGCACACATAAGAGGGGAAAGTGGAATGTTAGGGGTCTCGATTCAGATGTATTTCCAAATGCGTGTATTTGTGACGTGTGTCATGCTAGAGGAGGTGAGTCCAGGGTTTAGGAATCATACACACAGGTGAGTACATATACATATGAACATGCTCACGTATGAACATGCTCACGTATGAACATGCTCACGTATGAACATGCTCATGTATGAACGTGTTCATGCATGCAGGTTATCGTGAGGAGGTAGGGCAACAAATTACAGGCGCCCCTTGAAGTAAAAATACAAAGCAAACGAGACAAATACAAGCGAAATGAAATAATTAAAGGTAAAATCAAAATCCCTGAAATAAATGGAAGATATGTATATATTAAACAACAAACTAATGGGGGTAACAAAAAAGCGAGAGAAACTTCCTACATGCTTTATAAAAATAGGAGTTATAATTCCGCCAAAGGTGTTGAGGATAACTAACAGCAATATGTATAGGAACTCATTAAAAGAGTTGAAATATTTTGAAAAAAAAAAAAAAAAGTTCACTTTATATAGTAGAGGCTGTGGATCTAGGTGTTTCTGTTTCCACTTTTGTTGCACTGAACATTTCTGATGATCCCGTTGTTCGTGCTGCACAAACTCTATTTCATGATTTTCCTTTTTGGAAATGTTTTTAAAAATCGCTGATATGTTCAAATTATTTGTGCATAGACTTAAAATAATGGTAAAGAATGCCAAGCACATATTTTGAAACCAAATGGAGAATCTATAATTGATGTAGAGATATTCTAAAAAAACGCTTGAAAATCCACTAGTTAAGGTAGCTAATAATGTTGTTAGAACACCTATTATTATGTTATTATTCCATGAATTATTCTTTAAGATGACAAAATTAGTAGAGTTATCATCATGTTTGTTTTTCTCAATCACATTATTCTCTTGAATCCTATGTAAATAATTATCCCAAGTTGGTGTTCTAACCTTTGAAGCTTCAACATTGTCTGTGATATTTCTAATGGAGCAATAATCTATTATTGTTCCATAATAATAATAGTAATGATTCCTTTCTGAATTTTGTAAGATATGCACACAATTAATATTGTTAAGTATATTTGAAAGAACATTTCTTTTATTTATTTTTTTCGACAAACGAGAAAAAACAAATAGAGTACTAGTCAATGATTTCCCTTTCATATTATACAATGAAGTATTGTTATTATTCATCATTTTAACATTTCCAATATGAATATCCCTATTTTCCATTACATCTGTTATGTCGACACTTGGAGAATTATAATTCATGTTGTAATCCTTTAGACATATCAATGAAAAGAGTAGAAATATGATAGAAATTAACTGCGTTTTTTTTATTTTCCTTTTTAAAATTATAAAGGTAAATATTACCACTATTAATATTCTGAACTGATACAATAACTGGAATAACGGAGTGGGGATATTTGACATGGAAATGTAAAAAAAGATATTTTGAAAATAATATAAAACGCTAGGCACAATTAGAGATAATACATATACCCTTTTTTCCTTTATAATATCACTCATATATTCTCGTACTAATTTTAAATCAAATTTATTTTCATTCAAATAGAAAACTGTAGAAATCAAAAATTTCATTATTTCTGAAATGAATATGATATTTTCTTCCTTCAGTTTGTGATTTATATTTTTAATTTTCTTAATTCTTATAGTCAATTGAATCAGCAGTGTGTGTGTTATGAGTACCATGAACAAGATTATTCTAACGAGGGTGTCACTCCTCTGTTTTTTCTTTGCCTCTTCTGAGGTTTGGTCATGCTTTGTCTCTGCTGAGGTTCGATCTTTCTTTGTGTCTACTGAAGTCCTACCTTGCTTTGTCTCTGCTAAGTTTCGGTCTTGCTTTTTGTCTACTGAAGTCCTACCTTGCTTTGTATCTGCTGAAGTCCAATCTGGCTCCTTCCCTTCTCTCAAACATTCGGGCAAAGATGAGTCCCTAATTTTCTCCATTTCAATTTACATATCTACATTGGGTTCTACTCTTCACTTCTCATTTCATGTCATCCATTTGCGTTCCTTTTTATATGGAAAAATGAGTACAAATAGAAGTTTATATATTTATAATTTTTCATTGAGTTCAGTCTTATTTTATTATTATTTATTTATTTTTTTTTTTTTTTCGTGTGTGTCTACTTTAGTGCTTCCAGTGTTCTTCCTTTGATCCCTGTTTTAGAAAGGGATTTGGTGATTAAATGCCTTTTTTAAGTGCTCATTTGCTTTCTCGAAAAAAAAAAAAAAAAAAAAAATATATTTACATGTGAGAGACAACAGTGGAAAGACTTATAAATTTTATTTAATATACTCCTTGGTCATGTCCTCGATTCGTCACTTGATTGCACTATCAAATGTTTACTTCCTTTTTATATACATCTATATACTCATGTGCTGGTGGTGCCTTAGACACATTTACAAAAAAATAGGAACCACAAAGGGCCCAAGTGAATGAATCGCGAAATATCAAAATTCTCAAGTGGCGTACAAATCTAGCTCCTTCTGCTCTTTCTTATTTCTAATACTGTGTTGGGTATACGAATGAGCAATCAAACATACAGCATAATAAAATACTATGGTTTAAAAAGAGAAAAAAAGCATCTATCAAAAAAGTGTGTTGCCTGCTTTATCGCATGACACACGGACTTGCAATATAAGAAAGAGTACGTTGGAATGTATATTAAAAATGGTTCATCTTGCAACATGAGAGTAGAATCAAATGTAGATTATTTTCTTTCATCCAACTTGTTAAAAAAGTAAAAACATGAAAATAAATAAATAAATAAATAAATAAAATAAAATAAAATAAAATAAAATAAAATAAAATAAAATAAAATAAAAGTAATATTACTGTGATATATACTTATACGTTCAGCAGAAAAAAAAAAAAAAAAAAAAAAAAAAAAAACATAAAAAAAAAAAAAAAAAAAAAAAAAAAAAAAAAAAAAAAAAAAAAAAAAAAAAAATTACTGTGATATATACTTATACGTTCAGCAAAAAAAAAAAAAAAAAAAAAAAAAAAAAAATCCGTTAAATCGGGAAATCTTTGCTTTGGAAATTCTTATATTTATTATAAGCAATCTCTTCGTTTCGACAGAAAAACATACGACAAAAGAAGATTACATGAACGACCCCTTTTTTTTAAAGAATATTTAAAGATGTAAAGAAACAAAACTTTGTAATTTTCACATATGAGTCTTTCTTCCCACAATCTCCAAGGGCCCATACATGGTGTTGTATTTATCTATATAATTTGCTTCTCTCTCTTTGCATCTCTTCAGACATTTGTGCACAAGCATGCACATATTATTATGTGTATACATGATCCATTTGGGAATTTTTACTAATGTTCCATTTTTCACGAACACTTAAGTACATGCGTATTTTAACTTGTTCGTGTGTTTATTTTTTTTTGCTTCACTGTGTATTTTTCCTCATTTTTTGTTTCACCATATGTTTTCTCTCATTTTTTGCCACAATATATTTTCCCTTATTTTTGTCACCATATTGTCTTCATTTTAAAAAAATGCATAAAAAATATATTCATTAGAAAATTCACTAACTGGTGAAAAGAAAAAAGAGATAGTTCAAAATTGAAGACAGAAAAAGGATGTAATAATGTAATCGTGAAAAAATGAAGTGCGGGTATTTATTATTTTTATTGTGGAAAGGAAAGAGAAAATAAAAAAAATAAAATACCACCCAAGTGAAAAATGTACATGTATATGGGCTTTATATTTTGCTGCTGTATGTATTTTGCGTTGGCAAATGCCGATTGGAACATGTAATAAATACATATATCACGAGAAAAAAGTTTCGTTCCCATAAATAGATTCTTGTATATGTATATGTTAGAATCTGTGTACATATGTATTTTCCTGCGTAAGTATTATCCCTAAACACATGTTTAATTTATTATATTTTTGTAATATTTTCAGCTGTTTGAGCTTTACGTATGAACGAATATTCCGCCCTCTGCATCAACAGTCACAAAAAAAAGAGCATAAATGTGTATGTATATATATATATATATATAACGAATAAAAATGGAATATGAAAAAAAGAAAAAAAAGGGAGATATCAACAAAGATGGAACCACAACAAAGGACGTCATAAAAAATGGTTGTTTAAAAAATGGTTGCTTAAAAAATGGTTGCTTAAAAAGTGACTGCTTACAAATGGCGTCAAAACAAATTTCATTTTATCAAATTTTTAACAAACTGCTTTGTAACAAGATGCACATCTCCACTTAAACATACATCACTAATTAGAAAAACGTATAAAATGTTAAACGAAAAAAAAAAAAAAAAAAACACATAACATATACATAACATATACATAATATATACATAACATATACATAATATATACATAATACATACATATATATGTGTATATTTTCTACATACATTATTCTTATTTTTCACACACATGTGTGCAGCGAAAGCCTTGCCGAAAAAGATGAGTATGCAGCAATTCATGTATACTACATGTACTACACAACTACTTTGTGCTTAAGGCTGATGACATGCGGAAACATACACACACCTTAACATTTTCGGGTGACTATGTCTAAGCCAAATTCTTCATACTCCCGTCGAGTAACAAAAAATGAATTGAAATTTTTAAAGGATGATAGGATACTACCTCCTTTCCAGGAAGAATACTGTTTATCATATTTCCCATTACTTAACACTTGAAAATTTTGAAAATTGGAGTTATGAATCATGTCTAATTGATTAAATTCTTTTATAAATCTCTGATCGAAATTCTCAAATAGGGTTGAAGAGCCTGTCAAAATAACATTGTTTAACAACTCTTCTTTATGTTTCACTGATTTCATATTATTTAGCATATTAAATAATGTAGCATGAACGCCTTCAAATTTATCTTCTTTAATAAATAAACTATTTATATGATAATTTAGTTTTGTATTACTTAACAAAGAAGGAGTAAAAAATATTTCACAAGCAATATTATTAAATTTAGAGATATTTATATTTTGCCCATCTGGCAAAATGTATATATCCATACTTTCATTAAAATTCATATTTTTGGCATCATGAATTTTATTTTCGCTGTTAGCTACTTCACATAAATAACTTTTTAAATCTTTCAGAGGAAAATATTTGGCTTTATTGTAATAATCTTTATGAACTTTTTCTTTATTATAACTTGAAAATTTCCCATTTTTTTTATAAAATTCATAATATGGAACACAATATTCTTTATTATATTTTTCCAACAATTCTTCGAGAAAGAAATCCACAGTTGAACCACCTATATTATAAATTTTATAATTTTTATCATCAATTATTCCATCATTGCAAAGAGAAAAGTCTGTGTAACATGACCCTATATCAACCACGGAACACACATTTTTGTTATATGCAAATCCGGTTAGAACTGATTTGGAATTAAAATATAAGGCTGGTACTTTATATTTTTCAAATAATAACTCTGATATTTTTTCTTTTATTTGTTTATTCCTTTTGTTTGGTAATGAAAATAAATAGGGAATATTTCCCATTTTTTCATTTAAACCGCAACTAATATCGTTGTGCTTATTTATCATATTCTTTATCCCATTAACATCAATAAGTTTATTATCAATTAGATTTATATCAAAATAATTATTCTCTGCTGCCCATTCTTGGAGGGGGGTTATTTTGTTCGATTGGACTGATTCGTTTTTTTCTTTTTCATCGCCAAAATCTTTTTCATCACCAAAATTTTTTTCATCACTAAAATCCTTTTCATCATTAAAATCTTTTTCATCTAATTCACCTTCTTTTGCTTCGTTTAGAGGGGGTTGCGAATCGTTGTTTGATTTGTTTTCCCCATTCTTTTGAACACTTTCTATGGCACCGTTCGTATCTCTGTCCATTGCATCCGCATCAGTATCAACAAACTCGACTGATAAATCGGTCTGCTTATGTAGTTTATTCCCTATAAATTCTTTTACCCTTCCTTCCAATAATTTGTATACAGATCTCCCCCCATTTACATTCATAAAGAGAATTTTTTCCAAAACATCTTCGTTTATATTAAAATGGTTTTTACTGTCCAGGTATAAACACGGTTTAATTTTGATATCTTCCAGGGCCTCCAAATAGCTTAGAGGGTATATCAGGTTGAACTGATAAAATTCTCCTTTTGTGCACAAGCATTTTTTATAAATTTCATTTTTTATATTTATCTCCAAATCGAGGGGTACGCCAACATTCGAGTTGAAGATGCTTATTGGATTTTCATCCCCTGCATATCCAATTTTTGTATTTTCAAATCCCAAATCAACTACTATGCTTAAAATATCGTTGTATGTATCCATTTATGTGCATGTATGCGCGTGTACAACTGTGTGTATAAATGCAGGAGTGCATCAGTATACTCGCATATGTGTAAGTGAAACGAAGGAAAAAAAATGAAAATATCGGAAATAAAGAAAAGAAAGAAAAGGAAGGAAATAAGGAAAAGGAAAAGAAAACAAGCAAAAAATCTAATAAGCTATTAAGCTTATTCATCAATTTACACTTAAAAAAAATTGGAAGAAATGGAAAATAGCAGAAAACGAATTGTCAATAAAGTGTGCGTGCTAACATGATCAGTACCACGAATAGTGCATATAAATATATGTAATATGTATTAAAAATGTTTCAAAAGCATTAAGCTTGTACTACACACACAAAAAAAAAACAAAAAAAAACACAAAAAAAAAAAAAAAAGCATAAAAAATATAGCTAAGTGTATGAATTGTTCATAAAAAAAAACTACAATAAAGCTTATATGAAAAAAATGTACTGCGGAAAAGGTGGAAAAAAATTAAAATATGAACTGTTCATAAAAAAAAAAAAAAAAAAAAACTCACTATTTTTATCTCCGCGCTGCAAACCCGTTTTTAATCGCTTTTCCTTAAAGTAGGAATAAAGTAATTAAAAAGGGGTACATATATCACACAAAATAAACATGTATAGAATATGTACATATCATAAACACTCATGTGAATATACATGTAAACATATACATATTCACACATTTGATTATATGAATATATTTGTATATACTTGTGTGCTTTTTTTTTTTTTTTTTTTTTTCCTATCAGTCCTTGTTAAATAGAAAAATTCTTTCGACACATAACACAGTTTGATACTTAATTACACGGGAAGTAGGAATATGTAACATTTAAGCATCTATATGTATGCCTAATTAATCATGTACTCACTTCAAATGGGATATCTATAAGGGATACATTATATATGCATATACCAGTTGCAATCCGCTCATATGTTGCAAATCACTTGATGCAGGACATATGCATGAGGAATATGGCTTATCCCATGTGTGTAGTAATGTGAAATATATGTCTCTTTTCAATTAAAAACCTGAAACTTTAAAAATTCTCTCATTAAAAGGCAAAATGAAACAAATGCGTTTTCGCACACAAAAACATGAATATTTTTATATGCACACTCGCATTTTCATAACTCACGAGGGCATAATAAAATGGTTTCAACTACCTTGTGTAAATAAGAATTCTGTTTAATAATGTGAAATTAGACGTGGGAAAGGGTAATAGAAAAAAAAAAATAAATAAGTAAAAAAAATAAAGCAAATAAAAAATGAGTAAATAAATAAATAAATAAAAAATGAATAAATAAAATAATCAGCCCCCAGTTAAAGAAGCCAAAGTCCAGTATAAAGCACGGGAAAGAATAACACTTTAAAAAAAAAAAAAAAAAAAAAAAAGAACTTTCACAGTTCTGTTACGACAATTTCGATGTTTTCATGGATGAACCTGCACGATTAACTGGTTAAGTGGTTTTACTATGAACATTTGATTATGCATTTCGAAAATGATGTGGAATTTATTTATGTTGTAAATTCCCTCCCTCGTAAAGAGAATATTAAAATATAATTTTATGCTTTTACGTTTTTTTAATTTTTTTACATATTTTTGAACAATTCCCATGTAGAGAAAACCGCTTAACAAAACGGCCCCTTCCGTAGCTTTGCTTTTTTTACTACTTGCAGATAGAAAGTTATTTAGAGGAGTACATATGTTGGAATCACTGCTGTTGTTGTAGTGGACATAAGTGTTATCCCTAACAATTTGATGAAACTTTTTTGTCTCTTTGTTAATAGGAAGAATTACTTTTTCCATCGAACTAAATGATTCCAAATTTTCTTTCACATCGTTCATCTTTTCGTCTACTCTTTCGCCCGCTTTTTGGATATCATCAGGGATATGATTGGGATAATCAAATAAATTCTTTGACATGGTTACTTGGAAATTTTTATCACACTGATAACTTGCACTTATAGGATTATAATGAGATAAATTAATCTTCTGTGTCAGATTATTTTGCGAAATATTAATTTCATCGTTAAGCTCGGACAGGTAAGAAAAATGTGAGATATTCATTATCATCTCCTTTTCTTCTGCAGTCTTTCCACATTTGCAGAATTTTCCACATTTCGAGCAATCCCCATCACATATGAAGTTGTCGTGTGTCAACATCTGAACCGTTTGATCAGTATCTAACGGATTTTTGGTATTATTTGATATTTCCATATCGTATCCAGGATAAGCATTCATTTCTGCGTTTCTTATCACATGATGTTTGTCTTCCCCTGTTGGAATATAATTCTTCTGTAAAAATTCTCCCTGTTCAAGCACTTTTTCAACATGAAAAATTGCATCTTCTTCTCTTTTATCCTTGTCGAACTCAGTAACTTTGAAGCCATTCTGTTGAACCTCATTTATGTTATAATCAATAGAGAATGAGGAATTCATAGCATCCATTTCTTTGACTTGTACATAAAAATTTTTAAGATCCTCGTCTGAATTGTTCTGAATGTTGATTCCAATTTTTAAATATTTTTCCTTTTCGTTATTCAAATAAATGTCCTTGCTGATTTCGTCAACTGATAGGACTATTATGTCGTTCAAGATATTGACTTGTTTTTTTATGTATCCCTTTCGGGTTTGTAGTTCTCCCTTTACCTCCCAATTCATATGAACACAGATGTTTGAAAAGTTTTTAGGTGAAATCAGGGAATCCTTTTGCCATACCTCCCTCTTTGCGTAGAGAAGTGAAGTCAACTTTTCATTTTTCCTTAGATATATACAATCGGATGAGTATACATTATACAATTTAACGAAACACGGATTGGATGGTATTTCTCCTCTTTTTCTTTTGTGACATTTTTCATTTTGCAAAATCTGAGGCCACTTTTTTTTATTATGCTCAAGAAGTATATTACGCAAATAAATATCATTCCTACACATGTTTTTAAAGAAAAAATACATGAATGTGTCTGTACCATTGTAGGTACTGAGGGGATATGTTCTTAGCTTAATCAAAGGGATGACGTGCATTAACCTTAGAAATAAAAAGCATTTTTCCTTTTTTTCTGTAAACATTTCAGGATATTTGACACAATTTTCTTTTTTTTTTTGCTTTTCCCCGTTTGATTTTATTGAATCATCTTTGTGTTTACACAAAGCTGTTATAAGACATTTATGCAAACCTGTGCAATTGGAGTTTACCTTAATGTTCAGGTAAAAAGTATCATTTTTGTAAATATCTCCACTGATTTTTATATGCTGAATTTGTTTGTACTTAAACTTTTGTTTAAACACATTGGTTTCTTTACCTAATGATTCCTCATTGTAAAGATCACTAACTATGCTGAATTTTTTTTTTTGCGATTTGCATTCATTTGGTGGATGCTTCCCTCCTTCTCCTGCTCCTTCTTCTTTAGCTCCTGCTTGTTTATTTCTATCATTAAAAAAATCGCCACAAAGGTAGTTAACATTTCTCTCATGAGAACTGGTCTTAACATATTCATTTGGTGATTCGTGTAATATGTATTCTTCCTCATTATGCACTAACTTATAGCAATTAAAAAAAGCGGTAGGAGTTATACATAGACTCAAATAATTAAGTGGGATGGATGAGTGATTAACTATTTTTAGGATCATTTCGAATTGTTCACCTTCTAATAATTCAATAAAATCTATTTCATAATTACTTACACTTTTTACTCCTCCTGATTTGATATTTTCAAATTCGAAGGAAAGTAAATATGTGTTATCATAAACATACAATACTAATCTGTTGTCTACATCATAATCTTTGATTCTTTCAAAAATTTTCTCCTCTGGTACTCCTATATTGCTAGACCATGTATATGAATTCATTTCTTTGTTTAATTTTTTCATATTTTCTTTTTTACCCATTTGGTCATCACAGTTGTATATGTCATCATATTTGATGGTGTGTATCCTGTCGAACTTTTTGCTCAGCTTTTTCATTCCATGTGTGAAGAAGTTCTGGTAAACCTTTACTAGTCCGAAGAGGTGCCACGTGATTCCTGCGACGGGGTGAAGTGAGTTCATGTGGGTGGGTGCACACAATTGTGAATGCAGCTGTGCATGTAACTTAGCATGCAACTGTGCATGTAACTTTGTATACAACTGTGCGTTATACTTTGCATATGACTTTGCACATGACCCTGCATGAGTGCGAGTGTGTTATTATTATCGGGTTGCATTGTAAGGAAGCCATTCCCCTCCCCCACCACCCAGTTGGTGTTTTCACATCACTTGTAACAAGTTTGTTTACCTGCTATGAATAACAAGCCTTTTTTATAAGGACGAATGAACAGAGTGAATATTTTGGTCTCCCTAGACTCCAAAATAATAATCCTTTTTTCGACCTCAATATGATTATTCATGTCTTCATTAAGATAGTATGCACATATGTGTGTTCCCTGACATTCAACCTTCGTATGAATGGGATTGACTAATTTAAATGTGATAAATATATATTCTCCTTTGGAAGCATACTGAATGAATTTGGTATTTATATTTGTTTCTTCCTCTGCCGTGTGCTTTTGATAAATGTTCTTAACTTGTGTGTTGTTGATGAATGTAAGACAACTGGTGAATTTTTTTTTGAATTCTTGAACATACGCGAGAAAGCATCTCTTGCTACTCGGGTTTACGAATGGTGACGTGCTGATAGATTTTATGGGAGAGTCTAGTTGGAGAAACGTGGGCTTTCCGTTCTCTAGCCTTTTAACATCTCCCCCTGCATCTGCCTCAATCGTGGCCTCAGCATATTTAGCAACCTCAGCATATTTAGCAGCCTCTGCATATTTAGCAGCCTCTGCATATTTAGCAGCCTCTGCAGATTTAGCAACCTCTGCAGATTTATCAACCTGAGCAAGAATCGACGTGTCGGCCTGCGCCCCCTCGGTGTCTTCACTATTGAGAACATCGAGCGCCTCTTGAAAATGAGGCAAATCTACTGAATGGTAAAAAAAGCAATCGTTACACATACAATTTATGAATTTCTTGCATGCAACATAGATATAATTCAACTCGTGAAGATTGGTTTGAGATAAATTTTTGAAATCCTTCGTCATAATGGTGTATAAGTCGTGTATGGTTGTGTCATATTTGGAGATTTTAAACAAACTATCATTTAAAATGTTAAAATAATTAGTTTCAACTCTGTTTTCATATGTATATATATTCGTTTTACACACATAAACAGAGTTCATAAAATGTCCTTCATCATTTCTTATGTGAACCATAGGAATTCTTAGGCTAAGAGGTTTTATGATATTCTCTTTGTTGTCCTCATTGAAATATAACATTCGATTTATTTTTTCATTCATCTTGTTTGGTCTTTCCTTCTCGTTATTTCTTTCCCCGCTCGTTTTATTATTTATGCATGTCTGTTCCTTATTATGGCAGGCTTGGTCTTCACCAATATTTTCCTTACCTTCTGCAGAAACGGCTCCTTTTTGTGCTGACACAATATCTTCTTTTTCGCCTTTTCCAACAGACCTTTGCACACTTTTGAAGAATTTGTTTAAAACCTTGTCGACATAAATTTTATACACATAGGCAAACTCCCTAATGAAATTTATTTCCTTGTCGGGAGAGGCGCAATAGATATCAACATTTTTATTCAGAACGTATGACTGTTCATAATTTTTTGAGATTGAATTTAAAATACAAATGTAATGATTGAGTGCTTCATAATATAAATTAATACTAAAAGCTTGACGAGCCATCATAAAGTGGAGATGCTCATAAATATGCTTCATTTTTATTTTTTCATATTTTCTTAACACTTTTGAATAGCAAAATAAAGCTAACCTCTTGAAACCACATTTGTTGAATGTGTGTCCCGCTAATGTCATTTCGAACAAATATTTTCTGCATTTATAGTCATTCTTTTTTAGCATATTTTGATCCTCTAGTTCGTCTTGTGTGAAATCGTTATATGTGATGTGGTTACTTCTAGTTATGTGTTTGTATTTCTCTTCTTCTTGTTTGGATATTCCAAATGTTTTATTCTTGTCTACTTGTTGGTTGAAGTTGCCATGTTGATCCTCCTGGTTTGTGTTCATATGGATAGGCATCCCATTGTCATGGTTATATATGTTCGTTTCTTCAAGAGATGGTGAAGGAGAAGATTGCTTATCCTTTGAAGTGGTGATCCTACTTAGGGAAGAATATCCAACATGCATATCATTCCCCATTTGTACATTTTGACAAGGACTTTTATTAATGCTAGATAAATGTGGAAGTACATGTTCATCTTGCCTGTTCAGGTGATTTTCTTCCATCATTGCTTTGTTAAATTCATTATTATAATTTTTGGATGTTTTCGTCGTAGTACCCTCCTGTTTAGAATTTTTGAAAATTACATTTTCATTTTGATGAAAAGAATTTGTGACGGAAGTATTTCCTACCATGATATTGTCAAACATGGGGAGTGGAGAATCATTTTTTTTTTTTTTTTTTTTTTTTTTTTTATAACTATAAGTTATCTGTTCTAATAGGAGTGCTGATCTTAAGTTGTTAATTTGGAATGATAATTTATTGGGTACGTTGTTATCTTCTATGGGTCTGTTTTCCCCAATGTGTTTTTCTTCCATGTAAGTAAAGTCCATATTTGCATTTATTAATATATTGACAGATGCCTCATTTTGTTCTTCATATAGAAGAGACAAATAGTAGTTGAGAATTGAACAAATAAACATATAATTCAAGTACTGGCATTTTGAATACATTTGATAACTTAGATCTAGATAATATAAGGAATCTTTTTTGTTCACTTGAGTATCCATATTGAAAATGCAAAGACTTATAAGTTCATATATATTCCCTAAATAGAAATATATCTTTTCATGCTTAAATTCATTAATGCATATTTTTAAAATGTTATATGACAGCTCATACTCTCCAAGGATGAAGTAAACATCACTAAGGGTTTTGTACAAGCGTTCTAGTGGTTCCTTGCTGTAGTTCTTCATATCAATAGGAAGGAATGGATTATTCACACCGGTTGTGATGGTCAGATTGGCTCCATTAGCAGCGTTGACCTTAGAGAGGGTTTCTGAATCTGTAGCGTCACCTATGCCCGTTCTGGCCATACGAGTTGAGTCGTTACTTGCATTTCTTTGCACATTCAAACTCTCACCAGATTCATTTGGAAGCATTTCTGTTCTATGATTCACCCAAGAGGAAGCTTTTTCTTCTTGTTGAATGTCTTTATTAGTAAGAATACTGTTCATACTTGATGAGTCATTGTTTGGTGCTAAAATATTTTGTGCAACATTAAGAAAAACATTGCTTGTATGTTCAGTAACAAAAAAAGCTGCATCTGAGGAGGTAAAATTTAATTTTGTTTTTTTCCACATAAATTTTAATTGATTCCTTAAGCTTTTTTTATTGTTCAAAATTAAATTGTTAATATCATGGGTAATAGTAGTAATGTAAGGAATAACACACGTTCTAACAAAATTGTGGATGAACATTTTGAGCGATATAATATCTACATAATCTAAACAACAACAAAAATAGGTTTCATCAATATATAATGGATCTTTTTTACTAATATAAATTATCTCGTCTGACATAATGTATTCATAAATTAAATTCATTTCTCTTGATAAATTATTTTTTATTCTTTTTGTTTCTTCAATGTCATTTATGCTTGTGGCTGTTTTTATACTATCTCTGGAAAGGTCACTAAAATGGATACTAAGATTATTAGCATACAGTTTCTGTATGCTGTTCAGTTTCAAACTGTAGTAGTTATTCCTTTGTGTAGCGTATTTTTTTTTATTTTCCTTCATGCAATTAATTTCTGTATATGATAATAACTGTTCATCGCTCAGTAAGCCTTCTTTACAATGCACTTGTTTATAAGATGAATTATTAGTTGAATTCTTTTCGTCTTCTTCAAATGTATGAATGTTTGATTGAAACAAATTTTTTTTTCCCTTTTCCTCTGTTTTATCTTGTGAATCATTTTCTTTGCTTGTCTTTTCATCATCTGAATGGTACAATTCCATAGGGGTGCTAACAGAATCATTCATTCGTTTATCCTGCCATTTTTTTTCATCACCTTCTGGATTATTCACCCCGTTAGACTGTCGCTTCTTCTGATGATTATTAGAATCGTCACATTTTTGTTTTACGTCACAATTGTTAAAAAATTGATGTGCTTTAATAATAAGCAAATGACATTTGAAGCTTAAAAATGTGGATTGAATTTTCACAAACAATTTCTGTACATCTGTTTCTATATCTTCATCATGGTTATTTGAAATGTGAAGTAGTATGATACATTTTGGAATATGTGGACTTAGGTTAAAATTAATTTTTCTTAAATCATTCTGCATCATGTTTTTATATATATCAATTACATTTTCATCTCTTGTACTACAAATGTAAATGATTCCTAGTGGTGTACATGAGCTGTCATTAAACATGTGTGTGTATTTCCATGCTGTTGTAAAGTATGTTCTAAACCAAGGTAGGAAAAATGCATTATATTTATTCACATTTTTTAAGTGTTCTTTTCGTTCTGCATTACTTTTAGGATCTTCCTTATGCCTTCCTGTGTAATTGCAGTAGTGACTGTCTGTCCATTGTCCATAACTGGGGATATGATAAACCTGATTTTCTCCCTTTTCATATATACCATTTGGAGTGAAATCTGAGTAAGAATTTCCTACTCGAGTGCTTTCTATGTGTGCACTTTTCTCTGATTCGTTTTCATTATAAAGACTATGAGAAGGAACGTAATTTTCTTTTTTTTTGAAAATACTTTTTTTTATATCTGTTGCCAATGCATTTGAATTGGCACATATGTAGTTAAAATATTCTTTGCTTTTCAGAAAACTGTCTTGATTGTTTTTTTCAAAATATGTATTTAAATTTCGATCATTGTATATATCGCTATATTCAGGTTCATTATGTGAAATGGTATCTATTAGTATCCTATCTATAGAATCCAATTTCACATCTATGTATTCTTCTAGATTGACAAAACGTAATTTAAATTTTTGGTTATGTATTGTCTTTTCACAAATTGTATTGTTTTTATTTAAGTAATTTATACTGACATTTCCACTTAATGTTAAGTCGATATTTTCATTTTTCTCATTCACTAAATGATCACCTAAGCCAAACGGTTGGAATAAGTCATTTATGCTGATTCCTATGAATACTGATACTTCTCTTTTCACAATTCTGCTGCTACTGATTAGGATTGTGGACACGTAGATGTCGTCTATTATGTTTTTTATTTCTTCCTCAATGCGTTTGGCCATGCTTACATGTCGAGGAGAAAGTCACATTTGAAGCCCTTCCGGAGAAGAAATAGATATGGAAGATCCAATATGGAAGACGTGGGAAGACTCGATGTGGAATAATCTTTTTGCAGGGTTTACGACCAGCTTACATATCTCGGATTGGTTTTTTTTTTTTTTCCGTTTCTCAAAAAAAAATACATTTACAGTCTATCAGCAGACACTAGTGGCAAGTTCATGGAAAAAAAACTTATTCCTTCGATAAGGTACACATGCATCTAGCATGGAATATGAAAGAGGTTCATGGATTTTACTACCAAAGATCTCTTCAGAAGAATCGCTGTACCTAAGTGGGTGAATGTTTCGAATAAGTTAAAAAAAAAAAAAAAAAAAAATAAGAAAAAGTGGTGAAATCAAAAGTGAAAAGCATGTAAAAGAAGGAAGATAAAATAGTCTTCTACGTACCATGTAAAGTTTGGAATAAACGGAGCTCTTTAGATACATAAGAGAGAGAAAAAAAAAAAAAAAAAAAAAAAAAAAAAAAGTCTCAATTTTGTACCCTACATTTGGATATACACAATATTTAATACATTGGGTGGTAGTTTTGAACGATGAGGAAAAACAACCATGGGGTCTCTATGCATAAGGAGATTGTTATTCGGGGTGATCCTCTTTAAATTGGAGAAAATTGGACTACTTTGGATTGGGTGAATGGACGAGTAGACGATTGGACTAGTGGATTACTAAATGATCAGATGCTTGAATGAATGCTATGGGGAAAGTAGCATGGAACATGTGCTAGGAGTTTAAAAAAAAAAAAAAAAAAAGAGAGAGAGAGAACTCTATTTTTTGTAATACCTTTTTTGCTATCATTAGAGACAAAAAAACACTTCCAAAAAGAGTAATTACAAAAAAACGAGGTAGATATATTTATTCAGTGCAGAAAAACAGGTTACACAGAATGATGAATATGGAATTGTGGGCGGAAAAATACATTTGAAGCATAGTTATATAATCTAGGAAAGAAGTCCAAGAACAATGAATAAATATAAATAAGAAATAAAAAAAAAAAAAAAAAAAAAAAAAAAACCGAGAGGAGAAGAGCCTCTTTTTCCCTCTTTGTGCAATTTTTAATTTGCATACTCTTCATAGAAATTTTTTAAGGGAAGGAAATTGTACCTTCTTAATTTTTAACTAATTATATGACGTTGGTTAGCATCGTATAATATATAATACACATATATGAGTATTTTGTTGATGTATATATGGGTAACCATGACAAATCTCACTTGGTAGTTGAATAGGGGTGAAGAGAAAAAAAAAAAAAATTGGTCTACCGCTAAACACAGGTGACAAATTTGAAATAGAGTTACATTCATTTTCTAGTTTTGTATTTTACATGGGGTAAGCTCATCCATCCCCATGACCTAACATTTTCTTCACATTTGTGCAGTTTTTCACGGGCTTTACATAAATATTTTATATACTTATATATATATATATATATATATTGCATGTATGTGTATATGTATTGTATGTGCACTTGTGGTGAAAACAGATTTTTCTCTTCCTCTCAGAAATGTAAAACACGACCTCATTTTTGCCCCAGTCACCACACAAAAAAAAAAAAAAAAAAAAAAAAAGGTAATATAGAAATAGATATAGAGATAGAGATAAAGAGAGAGTCAGAAAGAATAGCACAGAGAATGGATATAATACATGTGAAATATGTGTCCAAGTAAATTTTGTTACTTTATTTACAACCCTTTTTTCAATCGTTAATTTAAAAAATTTCCTTTTTTTTTTGATCACTCTACATGTCGTTAACCCATCTGTATTGTTATTGTATATATCCATATGTGGGAGAACATTGAGATAGGAAAAAGGTAACAGAATCTTTAAACACTTCTCTACCAGTGAAATTTTTCAAATTCTGAAACAAATGAAACATTTTTAGTAGTTTTATAGAGAGAAGAAACAACAATTCAGCATTTTCCTTTTTTATTAAGAACTCACAAAAAGTGCTTTTGTCCCATTTCTGCTCCGTGTATATGGATATATACACCTAAGAGGAGTAATTAAACGTTATTTTTGCTAGATAGAGGGGATCCATTGCATATGCGTGTGCACATGTGTATGATTATATAAATACATATATACATAGTGTTCTTTTAATGGCACCTTTGTTTACGTGTCATGTATATGTAGCCTGTTGCTATCCAACTTTTAACTACATCCGTGACATCATTTAAATTTTCCTCTTATCGCAGAAAAGAGTCCCTTTTTTTGTGAGGCTTGAAAATGGAAGAAAGAAATAGAATGTTGGAAACACTCATAGAGGAGTACATTTCTCCTGAACAAGTAATGTTTCGCTATGGCAGAGAGAAGAAGGTGGAACTGATGTACGAAAAAAACAAGGGAAAGGAAGAAAACAGAATTCGGAGAGAAATAGTGAAGAAGTTGGTTTGTTTCGTTCAGTCTGAGGGAGGAAACGCAGAAAATAGTGAGAAATCACAAACGAGTGAGAAATCACAAACGAGTGAGAAATCACAAATGAGTGAGAAATCACAAATGAGTGAGAAATCACAAATGAGTGAGATATCACAAACGAGTGAGAAATCACAAACAAGTGAGAAACCACAAACAAGTGAGAAATCACAAAAGAGGGTGAAATCTGCAAGGAGAGGGAAGTCTGGGGAAACATCTAGGAACAAACATGAGGGAATAGTACAAATAATAAGAATTCTAAAGAAGTATCTATTTTGCAACGAAAATATGAAAAGAGGATCAGCAGTAGATCTAATCGCAAATATGTTTGAAGAAATAAATATGGTAGAACTAGATAATGAATACTTCAGATGTGTCATACATTTTTTTATTACAAAAATTGAAGATTGGCACTGTGTCAGTGGTGTAACAAGATTTATGTTAATTATGTTCGACAGATATCGAGACTTATTAAGAGAAATGAAATATTCTTCTGATGAGACAAAAATGTATAAGAAATTATTTGTTTGGAATACATCGAAAGGAAAGAAACACAGAAGAGGATTCTACACCTCTCACGAAGATGTAATTGGTGCAAGTGAACAAGGCAACAATAAAAATGAATTAATAGGATCAAATGAAGATGAAGAATCCGTGAATGAACATATTGAAGGGTACCACTATAACCAAATGGATAGTAGCGATGACGGAAGTGAGTATGATGGATATGATAATTTTAAAAGAGAAGAAAAATATTATTATAAAAACTTCTCTAAGGATGAAGCATATGATTATAATGATGCTGATGAAGATGATGCAGATGAGTCTGAGGAAGAAATAGAGAAAGAAAAAAATGCATGCATTGTGTATAAAATAATGAAGAACTTATTTAAACATGTACACGCGCCAAGTTATTTGCAAAACATAAGACTAAATTGCTACCGAATTATTTTGATCTGTTTGAGAGAGTTCAAAAATGAGATGGTAGCTATTCCCAATTTTATAGATAAGATTCAGGTGCAGCTGGAAAATGAATCAGACCCCAGAAATATTTTGGTTCTCTTCGACATCATACACATGATTTGCAGCGGGTACATAACGCATGAGGGGGAGAAGGTGGAGAAGCTGGAAAAGAATGCTAGATCAGACTCTGAAACGCAATCTAGAACTACTCCAGTGGAAGCCAATTTTCCTGAAGGAAATTCAGATGAAAGGGTGAACGAGAAGCAGCACAGATCCCTGTTTACACATGATAGAGAAATGGAGTATCTAAAATCAGTTATCGACATTGCATTTTACTACTTCCCTATAGAATTCATCAATAGTGAATGTAGGTATGATGGAATAACTGAAGAAAGTCTACAGCTAGCTTTTTACAAATGTCTGAAGTCAAATAAAAGGTTAGGTAATTATGTGATAACAAATATTTTAGACGAACTTTACAACGCCCAAGATGATGAAGTAAATGAACATAATTTGAAAAATATAAAAAATACATTAGAAGTATGTGTTCCATATTATGGTAGTATCTGTTGTTCAGATTTTATCCCAACTATTATTGGACTCACTGAATTGGAGTGCATTGAAAATGATATATCTGACAAAATGGTGAACTATTTTGTTGAAATTCTTTTAATTTTTTTCCAAAATTTAAATAAAGAAGAGGATGAAAAGTTGAAACATTCCCTATTTAGCATGCACCTCTCGGGCATGTTCAGAAAATTTCAAAAGCATCTTATTCTGCACAAACGCTTGTGTGATTCGTCACTGCTGTTGGATGATTCTGATGTGCCAGCATCAACCAGTGATAGCTGTTTTCAGCAGCTTCCTCAGTCAAGCGATGTAACCAAGAGGGAAGATAAAAGCAGGTTGTCTCAGTTGAGAAACGTGGGAGAAGTGGGAGAAGCTGGAGAAGTGGGCGAAGTGGGAAAAGTGGGAAAAGTGAGAGAAGTGGGAGAAGCGGGAGAAGCGACAGACGTGGGAGAAGCGGGAGAAGCGACAGACGTGGGAGAAGTGAGGGAAGAGATGTTGGACAAAGGAACAAGAAAGTCGATCAAGATGGGTGGTTCCAATTTGAGACAACTGTTCAACTTGGAGGGCATCGAAAATTTGTCTGAACCCCCACTGTCGCAAAGTGCATCACAGGGTGAAGTGAATGAAACGGATGAAAGTGTAAGAAGTGATGGAAGCAATCGACAGGATCAAAGTGAACGTGGGAGTGAACTTGGGAGTGAAAGTGATAGAAACATTCTGACCATTATAAGGGAAAAGAAGCACATTGAAAAAATGAAGGAAAAGAAAGAGAGGAAAAAAAAACATAACAAAATAAAACTAAGCAAATTTCCAGTTATTGAAAAAATACTTATATGCATATCGAAAGGAAGCACGCATATGTTCTTGTATATAATCGAAACTATAATTAAGCCAATGCTTAGTGAGTGTTACTATTTTGTAAATTCATTGACGAGAGAAACGGGAAAATGGAGTGAGGATATGATCCCTCAGGGAAATGCCAACGAACCAGATGAAAACCAAGAAGGTGATACACAACATGTACGAGATGAGAAGGTTAAAAGAAAATGGAATATTGTAACAACCTACATAAGATTTATAAACAATGTATTGAATAAAAGTGCAAACGTTGATGAAATAGTACAGAGAGGAATTAATTTTTTGAAAGAAATTTACATAATCGAAAGGATAATGATGATGAAAGGACGGGAGGAATTTTTTTACACCTACCACGAATCAGGTTTACACCTTTTTAACATTCTGGCTAATTTTTTATGTATGCATGTGGATGTTTCTGCAGGGGATAGAGGCACTCAAATGGACACTCAGAACGACACTCAGAACGACACTCAGAACGGCACTCAGAACGACACTCAGAACGGCACTCAGAACGGCACTCAGAAGGACACTCATAACGACACTCAGAACGACACTCATAACAACACGCAGGACTGTCGAACAAACCGAAGCAGCTTGTTCCATGAAACAATAATTTTATTTTTCTACATGATAGGATTGCACCCTGGGAAAAACATAAAGCTTCGTATGTTAAGCGGAGGTGGACCCAACAGTGTTATAAAATTAGAAGAGAATAACTTAATTTTTGTGGATGCATGGAGAAAGAGCATCCTCGAGAATCAAGATAAATTTTTAAGAGATCTAAAAGTGAACAATGAAAATGTTATGCGTGAAAGTAAGGAATATAAAGAGAACGACACTTTTTTTTTTCTTGGGTTAGTAAATAAAATCATAAAATACAAATATGAACATGTTCAGAATTATTTAAACATTCTTTTAATTAATATGTGCTTCTTAGTCTTGAAACTATATTTTTGTCCGAGTAAAGATTTTCATCTGTATGTATCGTTATTAACTAATATTTATCGAATGCATTTACCTTACCTTGTCTTTATATCAACCAATGTGGCATCATTTGTTTTGAAACATTTTTATTACAATAACGTTGAAAAGTTCAAAGATAATTTTCTCTCACTGGAGAAGGAGGAGGTAGATATAACATGCGCAATGTATGAGAAGATTGGAAATATCTATAACCATGAAAGAAAAAGATTAGACAAATATCCAGCGTTATCACAACAGTGCACGCATCCTCACTTAGGTAAGTCAAACACTGGTACCACCATCTGTGAACTTCTGAGCTTTGTTGAAGAAACAAACCCGATAAGAGGAAATTCAAATGAGGAGGAGATTCTAAAATGGAGGCACACTCAGGTAGAAAGTTTTTTTTACCATTACATGGATGAGAATCTGACAAAGAGGTTGTATGTAACGGAATGTGATTCAATACGCGATGATAAGAAGGCAGAAGGAAGAAGCAAAGACGAGGAAAAAGAGCAAGAGGTCAAACGTCAGGGGAAAAATAAAACGTGTGAATTTGACATTAGTGCACAGACAAATAGAGAAGATATCATATCGTTTTACCTCTCCTTTATCGTAAGTATGGCCTACGTACATATTTACCACGCATGTGAGAGGACAATGCTGAACTTGGGAAATGAACCAAATTTAGCACAACAAAATGCTCGTCGTGAACGAGACCCATCAGGGTTATACTTCTTGAAGAAGCAGAATGAAACAAGGAGTGCACTATACGAACCATACATACTAGTAAACAACATGGAAGTGTTGGAATTGTGCATAAATTATATCTATGAAGAAGCAATCATGAAAAATTTTCTCGCATGTGAAGTTGATTCCTTTCCGAATTCGATGGTTGGAGGGGAAACGATAAATGTAATTATAAAAATAGACAACTTAAAATGCATAAAAATAATAAACAGTAATGAAGAGTTAGGCTATTATGGTAGCTATTTGAATAGACTCGGTGGGTTCATTAAGATGAATGAAATAAAAAAATTACGCAGAAGTGGGCAGTGTACCGAAAGGTTAGAAGCAGATCCAAATGGCCATTTGGCAAGCAATTTGGAGAGAAATTTGGCCAGCAATTTGGAAAGCAATTTGGAGAGCAATTTGAAGACATATCTTATCAGTAGAAACATATTCACAAATGTGGAGATATTCGAAATAGACAGATTGATACACATTTTAAAAACATTCATAAGAGTTCATGTTATTTATGAAAGTATTGAGCAAAAAGCATGTCAAAATAGAGAGAAGGAAAAATGGATCAAATTTGAGTATCTACATAAGAAATTGAAAAAGAACATAAATCATATTTTTATTTCCATGAATAAAATAAAAAAAAAGAATTTTCTTGAAAGGATGATTGATTGCTGTTTATGTAGTAACCTTCCATGTGTGCATTTACCTGATAAGAATGAAACATTTTATAACATCACTGAAGAGAGTTCTCAATCTGTCTACCCAAATAGCTCAATGTTTGTGTCACATAGAATGAACATTCTTCTCTTGTTATTCATGCCTTCCCTTATGTCTATTCACTTACAAATAGGGATCGAACATGTTCATAAACTGCTAAAATTGTGCATGTATATATATATATATATTTTTAACTTGCATCTCTTGAGGAATGTTCCAAAAGATGAAATTTGTTTAAATGGCATCATTTGCACTTGTGAGGAGGACCCTAGCACATCCATATGGAGGAACGAAGACGGTACTTTTATGAGTGGCGAAAGTATCTACACGTCATATAAATCCGTTTTTAAGTTTTTAAATGAAAAAAGTAAAGTATACTTGAAAAATAATGGTGATACATTTGAACATGGGGAAGTAGTAATACAAGATTGCTTTAGTCATGTGAATGCCATGACTTTGAAAAATGTTTTTAAATGTATTCTTCAGATAATTGCAATTATAACTCACAATTGGGATGGCATACAAGAAATGGTAAATTTCATTTTTACTCCATTCGATTTGGTTAGTCAAGTTAGAATAACAGTAAGCAGTGCCTTATTGTTTAAGATTATTATGAAACTCTTTACTGTGGTGTATGAAGCATTTATACGCAGGAAGGAGAAATGGTCTCGTGGAGAGAAATGTAAATTTGAAAGTAGTGAAATAAATATGTTTTCATTATCCAACCTTGTCAGGACCTTTATTGAAATCCCTTTTGGTAATGAAGCAAATAAATTTTTTTTTTTCCTGGATTATATATATTTTTGTGAAGACGACCCGGAGTTTTCTCCAATTATGCACGGGAGCAACAGAAATGTAATTCACTCGAAGGGTGAGCGAAGCAAGAGTCGAATGGACGTACTGATACTGGATAAAAGGTACTTGAAAGGAAGGCCCTGGGGAAAGCACATGGAGCCTTGTACAGCGGATTATACAGCGGATTGTACAGCAGATTGTGCATCAGATTATGCAGCAGATTATATCTCAAGGGAGACAAAGAGGGTGGCATTTTTCCCTGACACCGAAGGTATAATAAATTTGGTAAACCCGAAAAGTATAATATGTATAGATAGGAAATATATGCTTGAAGGTGTGAAAAAGGACGACAATGGAGATGAGTGTGATTCTTTTCTTTATTGCTATTTTTTTCATTTCTTGCTTCAGTGTTTCTCAATTAACTATGATTTAACTTTTGAAATGTTGAAGAATGCAAGTAATGAAGTAGTAGAGGAAAATTTGGAGTTTGTATTTGACTCTATAAAGGACCCATCAAATGAAGAGATGTTTAGGAACGTTCTAATTGATTACTATTATATGTATATGTCTAAGATATATAGCTACATATATTCAGTTATACACAACATAGATACCAAGTTCTTTTTCGATAAAGAGAATCATAATAATATTACTTTTGAATCAGGTACAGAATTTCTAATTTCATGTAAAAACATTTTGATGAATTTTCTTTATACAATGTGGAACTATGTGTACTTTATCGACGTGGCTAATAAGTTCATTTCGATGTCAGAGTTTGTTTTGCTTATGAAAAGAGAGAAGTTTATCTCCCAGTATTCACTACCCTTTGACATTATAAGAAAAAATAAAAAGACGTTACAGTTTTTGGACAAGTGTTTACATAATCCTTTGTGCACATATGGGAATGACAGAGAAGGCAGTATGAATTCTTCCTCATCCTCTTCTTCTGTCAAAGCAGGAGAAAAATATCTCCCCTCAATAACTAATGAAGAGACTAACCATAATGTGGAAAAGGACAAAAAAGACATATGCAAAGGAGAAATAAATTCTAATTGTGTTATGTTAGAAAAAATCGTGAACATGGATGAAAATTTTCAAAAGGAAGTAAAAAATGCAGACATGCAAAGAGATGATTATTTGGAAAATAAAAATGAAAGGGAAAATGAGATACTAGATTGCATTAATTTTCTCTCATTTTTAAAAAAACGAAAGGAAAAAGTTACTAATAAATACAACTGCAGATATTTGTGGTTAATCCATCTGATGTCTATTATTCTGCTAAGCATGCCAATTAGGGATATCTTAAATGAACATTATAAAGTTATGGAAATATGTATACTCAAGGGGCTTAATAAAGTTTCGAATTTTTTCATAAGCAAATATGAATATAAACATAACAACAAGAAGTATATCAACAATTTGTTGAAAAATAACACGATGAAAGTTCAGTGTATTTTTTCAGATAATGAGAAATTCCCAAATGATCAAGTGAAAGATTGGAAACTTAGGGATAAAAAAATCGTGGTGAGAGAAGTTATATCGCTTCGTTTGCTGTTATGTTTACGTCTTCTATACCTCATAATTAATCTTTTGAATTTTGTCGTAGAACATGATGGGGAATTTTCTTATGGGATCATAGCAAATAAACACATGGAACCTTATACCACGTTGAAAGCAGATCCTTCTAATTTTTCCATTAAAAAAGACATTAATTTTTTATTATCATATAAATGTAGACTTGTAAAAAGTCTGCTCAAGGTAATTGTATCGGTTCCATTTCCATTGGCTAGATATGTATGTGCATGTATTTTTTACTTGATTTCCTTTTTGGATTATCAGTCCTTTCTTCCCTACGACGTGGTTCAAGATGTAAGTTTTTTTTTTTTTCTATCCACCTCCGTCTTCTCCACATGGCATGAGAAGCAGTTCTCAGCACAACTGTGTGTCTGTGTGTGTGCATATTCTATGATATGTCCAATCAGACAACATCCCACTCATAACACAACTCCTTTTCCACTTCATAGATTAAATGGTACCTGTCTATAGCATCCGTTGACCCCCACAAAAAAGTTAGGAAAATTGTTGTACTTTGCAGATCCAGATGGATGTAATTTGGTTTTGAAAATTTTTTTTTTTTTTTTTTTTTTTTTTTTGTCAATCAATCAATTAATCAATCAATCAATTATTGGAACATGATATATTGGAACTTAAAAAAAGATATTTAATTTTAAAATAGTTGGATCCGGTGTTATCTTAAATATTTTGTGGCATCCACTATTGTTTATTCCTCGTTTTCGTCTTATTCGCTGCTTTCACCTTTTTCTCATCTGCTCATGCATGCATACTCCTTTTCCTTGTGGAAAACAATTAAAAACAAAAAGGAAACGTTTGCAGAGGTGCTCGTTAACCATTGCATACCCATGCAAATAAAAGAAAAATAAATGAAATAATAGTTGCAGTAGTGACCATAGTGGTAATAATAATAATAATAATATCTCATAAGTTGCAAACAGACCGACAAAAGTGTGTCGTTACAAATATGTAAATATAGGAAAGGGGGCGAGGGTGAAGAGTAGCACGCATGTAAATTACATAATAAAACAAAGAATGAAATAAAAGCTGAAATGTGAATTCAAAGTCAGGTAACACCAAACAGACTAGTGGGAAATGATGTAAAATCAGTTTTCTCCAATTTTTGCATTACACTATTGTGTATGAATCTTGTACGCATGAATCTCGTATGTATGAATGGCATCTACGTATGCGCGGAACCAAGGTGCTTTGATGTACTTAGCTGGTGTGAGAAACTTAAGGAGATGCCTTCTCTTCCCCTTTACTGTGCTTCGTTACAAATATGTTAAGATCGTGAGGTAAGTATATAAGAATATGCACATGTGCATATGTGCATGGGGGTTTGGGTGGGCACAATCCATACATGTGTGTACGATTGTAAAATGGATAGCTTCTTCTGTTCACGTGTACGAGGCGTATGACTGTAAAGGTGTAAAACCATTTTCTTATTTTTTCTTTTTTTCTTCCACTTTTTGTTCCTTTACTTTCTTTTCTTTATTTCCGTTTTTTTTCTTCCACTTTTTCTTCCTTTTCTTTCTTTTCCTTATTGTCTAATTTTATCTGGCTCATATGAGCTAAAATGTTGTTGCGAGGAAGACAAGGAGAAAAAGGATAAACAGAAAGGGTGCATATAATACGAAAACGTATTTCCACCTGAACATGTGCATTTGAAAATGGGGAAAAATTGTGTACGCGCAATTATGAGGTATGTGGGGAAGTGAATAACAAAAATGGGAAAGGAAAAGAGAGCAAAAATTGGGTTCTCATTCTTGGAGTCCCCTTTAGTGACGTTTCGACTAAACTTCAATTGATCGATTTGAAAACTTACGAAACAAAATGGCCATAGATCATCAGATTTAAAAACACCTTGAATGGGGTCCTACAAAGTGGGAAGGGAACATTATGCAGATATGAAATGTTTTAATCATATGAACCATAAGTGGAGAGATGAAATTCCCTGGAGGAGGAACAGATGTAAGTAGATGGAAGGGTAATCCCTCGTAATGTCACTCGAGGTGGTGGTGGTGGAGCAATCCCTCTATCATCTATTGTATGTACTTAACCATGTATATATGCATATGTATTGTATATAGACATTTATGTAATTGTAGAATTTAAAAATAAATGAGCTTCTAATCATTTGTGCAACCTACCAATCGGATTTCCCCTTATATTTTATTTTATTTAGGACCATAGCAACGTGGTGATGGCAGTTATTTCTGCAAAGGAAAGGAAGTTCATTTTTCAAAAAAAAGCAAATTTTTTTTTTTTTTTTTTTTTTGTTTCTTAACAATGCTAGATATTTTTATAAGTTATATGAAAAGATTGTATTTTTATTTTATTATTTTATTTTTTTTTATTTTCTTTATCTTACGTGAATAGGTTATGCTGCGTTTGAAAAGTATAAAAGAAATAAATTGTGTGCATTGAATGATAGGGATTTTTATGAATACAAGAATGGAGACAAGAACGAAAGCTCATGTTGTAGCACATTAAAAAAAAAAAAAAAAAATTCATGGAACTCCTAATGAAGGAGAAAGTGTTCATATCATTTATACCCTTCTTTTAGAAAATGTATCGTCTGATTGGTAAATGGCATCATCATAAAACTGTGATGAGACAAGAGGTGAGAGATAAAATATTGGACAATCCTTTGATAAGAGATGAGATAATAATAACCTCGATTACAAAAGTGGAATGGAATACAAGTATGAAATGCCTCAAAAAAAAAAAAAAAAGATGCATAAATTTTAGGAAAGCGTCATTCCCCATATATGCATTTCTTTTAACTTTATCTGTTATAGACAATGGGAGTTTGTTCTTGTCTAATTTCCAGTATTTCATAGGATCACTAAATTCCATGTTATCTGATGTTGGAAAAATGTGCAGTTTGTGTAGTGAATGAAATGTCTTTCTCCATGACCTGATGTGTTCAAGTATCCACATGGTAAAATAAAATATACAGCAAAAAGGAACAAAAAAAAAAAAAAAAAAAAAAAAAATTAAAAAAAGTTTGACTTTATATGTGTACACATAGGTGTAAAAATGTTACCAACTGAAATGTTGTAGGATCCTGAGAAGTCATGGATTACTCCAGAGGATGTTCCGATTCCTAAAAGGGAGGAGCGATGGAAAATATAACAAAATAGTAGTAATAAAATAGTAATAGTAATCATAATAGAAAAATTCCAACTTACCAACATGCCCGATCACTGGGATGAATGTTGATATACATGGTAGATAAGCAAATACAACGCAATAAGGAAACTGTGATGAGGGAAAAAAGAGACAAGCAGACTGTCGGTGCAAATTCTCCTAGGTGCATATATGTGAGCGGCTGTATGTGCACAAAAGGGAGAGAAATCGAGAGGGAGAATTACTTTTTGAATTCGCGTTTGAAACCCTGCACTCATTCTCATCCTCATACGCATACTCATACATTCCATTTGTTTGTTACACCAATATGAGTGTTTACCTTGTTGTCTTTTATACTGATATCCGTATTTTTCATAAAGTCATTTGGCATGTTGGTGTATGAAACGCGGAATGAGCAAAAGGAGGGGAAAGAAAATTCTTCAAGTGGAGACCATAAAAAAATAGGTAAGAGCCTTATATCTGCGTGGTTGAGTAGCTGCTTAAAGGATGGTTCGTGACCAGGTAATCGAACAAGAAGGAAAAAAAATAAAAAATAAAATGAAATAAAAATAGAGATAAGAACAAAGCGCTTCACGCATTAAAACGCTTGTATTAATATTTAAGCAAAAAAAAAAAAAAAAAAAAAAAAAAAAAAAAACATATACATTTGCATATACATATATATGTGCATGTACCTATGAATGTGTGTGATTATATTAGCCCTTTTTTGAAATGATATTTTAATTCTCTCACTGTGGTGAAATGTTCGGTGTAATTGTGCACGCGAAAGGTTTATGTGCGGGCACATGTATTGTTAATGTATTTATTCGTTTCACGTTATTCTGATTTGATTTTTTTCTTTTTACACGTCTATGCACAAAGTGTTTCATCCTTTCAAAATATGTTTTTGATAACAGGAAAAAGGGAGGAAAAAAAAAGAAAAAATTTCATACCACATGGCAAGTGTAAGCTTATGTACACGTGGCTTGGAAGAAACGGCTTTTTTATACTTTTTTTTTTTTTTTTTTTCCTTTTTAATTTCACGATTAGTAAACATGAATAAATGAAAAAACTTACACAAATGATTTCATTTCTTTTTTTTGTGCATTTTTTTGTGTTCTTATTTGTGCCCTTTTTTGTGCCTTTTTTGTGCCTTTTTTGTGCACCTGAGTTTTTCAAGTTTATCTCTCATAATGAAACAATAGACTTTTTTTTTTTTTTTTTTTTTTTTTTTCCCTTCTTTCTCCCCCTTTGCATGAGCATACAAGTGCGATGGGAAAACATAAGGAAATAAGAGACCTTATCAAAGAACGAATTAACGTGCAGGTGCAAACATGTACAACCTGTAAACCAAGACTTACATATACCTTTTTTTTTTTTTTTTTTTTTTTTTTTCTCTCTCTTTTTTAACAACACATTGATACATGATAATAGCAAACTTTTTAAACAAATTTTCATCCTATATTATTTCACTTATTTTGTTATTCTCATGGAAATTATGATATATATTTTCCATTTCCTTTCTTTTTTTGTTCGATCATTGTTGTAAAAGGTTGGTATACCAGTTTGCCCTGTCGCTATATACCCATTTTCGAAACATTTTTTTTTTTTTTTTATTTTCCATCCACCTTAAAGTATTTTCCTGTTTGTTTCTTCACTTTTTGCGTTTCTATATAAAATTATATCTGAAGAACTTGTCTTTTTTTTTTTTTTTTTTTTTTTTTTCTTTTTCTGATAACGTCCATTTGATAAGAAAGATATTTGTGCTATATGTATTCGGAGAGTTTGTTGAAACCTTGTCTATTCGTTACACAACCACTTAACTGTGTAATTTTATATTATATTTATTACCATTTTTAGTACCATTTTTAGCACCATTTTTAGTACCATTTTTAGCACCATTTTTAGCACCATTTTTAGCACCATTTTTAGCACCATTTTTAGCACCATTTTTAGCACCATTTTTAGCACCATTTTTAGTACCATTTTTATTATTATATTTTTTTTTTTTGTTATTGATTTACTTTTTATTCGTCAGAAAGGAAGTTTAGGAGGTAAGCACTCGCCTCTCTTTGGCTTCACACATGCGTGTGCACCGCTGAACTAATAGAGACAATAACTTTTCTCAAATCAAATGAATGATAAACAATGTGAAAGTGTGGGTTCATCCATCGATAGTACCCTGTTCAATGTCCTGGCCATAGGTAGGGATAAAAGTAAACAGACATTAGAAGAGATAAAGGAGCTGCAAGAAAAAAATAAAGAACTTATGCAAAATGAATTGAAAGAGTACGAAATTATTAATCAGTTAATTAGTGACAATCCGGGAATCCTCCCGGAATTAGTAAGCAGTTTTAGTGATTCTGCAAGGGGTGGATTTATAGATGCTCATGTGGGTGGTTCATCTGTACAAGATGGAGGATTCCAAGGTGATGAGTCTTCCAGGTTAAGCGACTTACTCAGGCGGGAAGGAGCAGAGACAGGTGAATCTATGTATGATGACCATGGCATAATGACCCGAAGAAATCATATCAAACCGAGCGAAAGTGGTAGACAAAAGGGAGAAATGAATCCATGCCATGCCAGTACCAATACCCATTTGGAAGAGAACCAAGTGAATGCAAAAAAAAAAGTTAATAAGGAAAGGTTCCAACATTTAAGCATAAATAAACAGATAAAGAAAGAAGCAAAAGTTTCAGAAACAGTAGCAGAGAAAGAAAATAGAAAAATGTGTAAACATGAAGAGATTATTCCACTTGAAATTGTTTATGATAAATGGCCCCATCGGATGAATATATTACATCTAAAAAAGAAAATAGAAAAACAGAGAATGGCTTTATCAGATCCAAAGGAATATCGCACAAATTCTATTTTACTTAACGAGATGAAGAAAATAAGAGAGTTATCTTTAAGTGATGGAATCATTTTGAAAAATAAGAAAATGAGTTTATTACATGAACGAAGGAGCCAAGTAGAAAAACAAAACTGTGATGTGAAAAATGTTGAAAAAAAGGGAACAACAATTCTCTCCTTACCGTTTGAAGAAATTAAAAATAAATGTAACAAAGAAGGAGGAATTACTGAAAATGTTTTGATGAGTAATAAGTTCCACAGTTCATTCAGTTCTAAAGATGAGGACGAGTATATATTGGGAGATTCATTCATTACAGCGTTGAGGAATGAATATAATAACGATAAATCAAAGAAAAGAAACAGTAACCATTGTAAGGTTAACATAGGAATGGAAGAAATGGAAAATGAGAAAGAGAAAGAATGGAAAATATTTTCCATTTTAGCAGATAGGAGAAATGCAAATAATGATAGTAAAATGCAAATGAGTTATGAAGCGAGCTATGAAATGAAAGAACATGAATGTGTAAATGGTTTAAAAAGTGATCATTACGTAGATCGTTCAATTGGTGATAAAGAGATTTCATCCAGTGATGAAGACATCGTTAGTGATAATGCACGAATAGGTACTCATGGAGGATCATGTATAGATTCCTGTGAAGACAGAATTCTAAATAGAATAGATGCACACTACTTCATAGAGGAGGGGGAGGAAGATAATAGTAATCGGAGGAACGATTCATTTTTTCTGAACAGAATAGACACAGAAATGTCTAAGGAGGATGAATTCTTAGATACACGATACACAATTGCAAAAAGGTATTCAAGTGATACTGGAAAAGAGAAAGATTGGACAGAAGTTATAATACATTTTTCAAGATTAAAGGTAGAGGAATTTTTTAAAGAGAAATTGGAAAATTATGAAGATTTCTACCTATCTATTTGTGTGCCAATTTCTTATAAAAGTGAGTCTAATCGAATGGGTACAGAAAAACGTGGAAGATGCAAAAGTGAAAACGATTTAAATAGATACAAGTTAAGAACAAAGGGTGAAGAATTTGTTTTGTTTAATATGGGAAGAGAACAAGAAAGAAAAGAAGTGAACGAAGAAGGAGCAAAAAAACAAAAAGGTAGAAGAAAAAATAACAACAGTAGTTTTGTTCAAATTGGAAAGGGGGAGGTAGTAGTGCATGACGAAAAGATGCTCGAGAATAATAATTCCATAATCTATGATAAATTTCTTTTAAAAAGTAAACACGTGAGTGAAAATTACATCGAGATTTGTGAAGATTTACATTATAAGGTGGATAGACAAATTTTTTATAACATGGAAAAGTTACCCCTTTTGTTATGCGCCACTGTAAATGAAAAAGAAGAAAAGGAAAAAAAAAAAAAAAAAAAAAAAAGTTCATCAAATATGAACATATTAGAAGAAAAAAATAGGAATATTGTTAAGATGCTTAATCATCCATTCATTATTCCTTATTGTTGTGAAATTCTTGGATATGCAGAAATTCCATTTATGTCACAAATTAGTGTGGAAATACCATTAAAGCAGATATACCTCCAGGAAAAATGCTTAACCAGTTTCGTCAAGCGATCAAGTATCATCACTTTTTTACACATTGTCATTCAGATAATATTAAACAAGGAAGAAAAATTATTTTATAAGAGTGAAAAGAAATCAAAGGGACGTTCCTTAACGGAACCTGTAATAAGTGGAAAAGTTTGTCATTTGTCAGAACAGATGTTCCGTTTGAATGGGATACCTTTCTTCTCACCTGAGGATGACATTCATCAGGGTTGTAAGATGAGTAAGTCCAATCAGTGTGTACCTGGGATAAGAAATGAAAGCAGAACCCGAATGAGTGATGAAGAGAAGTGGGAATCATTGAATAAATGGCCCCAAATGAAATTCGCTGCACAGAAAGAACATGTAGATGAGAGAAAAGCAGACGAAGTCATGTCAGCACAGAGGGGTGAAGCAGAAATTGGAGATGCACATGATTACAAAGCAGAAAAAGACGATGCAGAAGAAGATGTAATAGCATTTTCTGAAGCGAACGAAATTTCAGCAGAAAAAACTTGCAGTGCAGAGGATGTGCTCTACATCTATATACACAAAATGATGAATCTGTCAAAGAGGAACTTTGAGAAATTATCTATATGCTTGAGGTTTCACAAAGATGAAAAGTATGAATACAAAAGTTTCAGTTTGGTGGATGAGAAAATATTCAACATCTTGCTGTGTTCCAAAAGGAAGTTAATTGAGCTAAGGGAGGTGATACTGGAGGTTTGGAGGAATGATCCCCAAGACAGAAAATCAGGAGATTTTGAAAGATCTGGAGATTTTGAAAGATCTGGAGAGTTTGAAAAATCTGGAGAAAGCAACCATGACAAGCTTAACCTCGTTAAGGATGCGAGTGAAAATTTGTACTCTAGCGAAAATCAGAAAGATTGCATTGGAATTATAAAAATTCCAATCAAAGAGATTAACCATAATACAGACATCATGTGTCTTGAAAAATATTTCGAAATGAGTTTTCGCTTCTACGAAGATATCAATTTTATGTTTCGAATTATTTTGATGAGAGGGAAAAAAAGCACACACAAAAAAATTCATCAATTTTGTGAAAAGTATATTGAAAATTATGATAATGAAACGACGAGATATTCCTTGTTATATGAAGATAATCATATGAAAGAATCTGCAATCAGTTCTGCTTTAATACAACGGGATGATGATGAGTTAGGTGTAGAAAAGTCCTCTACTTCTACTGATGATCCTGTGGATGATGTGAGATCCTCTCTTTCCATTAATGAGCAATATTTTATTTATGATTCTGATAGTTTGAACAATAATGAATATTATATGTATGAAATTCAAAGAGAAATTTTACACAGAGACGCTAATAGTACTAATGTAATTGCTAGTGTGATTAGGAAAAGTAAAACAGCACGTGGAGTAAACAATGTATTGGAAATGCCAAATTATTTGGTTAAAAAGACCAATAGTGAAGACATATCAGCCGCTTGTAGATACATCCTTGAAAGTGATGAAAATGAGAAAGAAGAAATGTACTTATCAGATAAATTTAAAAAAGACAGCAGATATATAGAAGGAATGAAAGATGAAAATTCAGAAATTTATCTAGAAATAGAACTAATCAAGGATGAGCTGCTGTTAAGAGGAATAAAAGAATATACAGTTGATCATATGATAGCAGATTTGAAAAAAAAATCAATTGTAAATAATGATAAATACATTTTGAAAACACAATTGGAAGAATACATCGATAAAATATTTAACAAGTGGGAAAAGTTAACAGGTAAATTATTCATTCGAAATAAGAAGAAAATGTTCCTAAATGATGTGTGTGAATATTTAGATAATTTATATATTGATGATGATAGATATATAAGCAAGGAAGAATTTTTTATATTCTTTCAAGATGTAGGAATTGTATTCGTAGACTCAACTGTGTTTGATGAATTATGTTTATTATTTTATGACAAACAGAGGGGTGAAATTTATTTTTCTGCATTTTCTTCTTTAATTATAAAAAAGGGTGTTGAAGAACTGAAAAATATGGTTTATGGCTACGATATTTTATTGAAATTATTCTCTTATTTTTACATGCACAAGGTAACTCTGGAATCGTTAGAAAATGAGTTAGTAAAAATTAGTTTACAAACGAAGAATTATTATTCAATGAAAATTAAAAAATACTTCTCCTCTGAGAAGTTAACAAGTTCTACTATTCACCATGAAGGAAGAAGTAGAAGAAGAGGAAGAAGAAGAAGAAGAACTCCGTCCCCCACCAATAATGAAAATTTAGAATTTTTTTTAAAAAACGACCAAAATCTCTGTTCATGCACATCTCTACTATTTTTACATTCCATCAAATTTATGCTCTCTAGATATAGCAATAATGATTTTACAACATACGACTTGTTCTTTCTTGTTAAATATATATTGCAAACACAATGCAAATATTCAGGGGAGGATACTCAAATCCTCGTGAGTGTTATCAAAGGTATCGAATCTGTTAATTTGACGTTCTTCCTAACCCTTTACCATATGTATGTGTGCCAGCACAAGGTTGATGAAAATGAACCTGATAATAGAACCCATAAACAAATGAAGCATGATCAACGGGATCAAATGGAAGAGATCACGCACCCAAGTATACCAAACTTCACAGATGATGAACAAGAACAAAAGGAACATATCCCACTAAGAAAAGAAAATCAAAATAGTTATAATAAAAAAAAAGAGACACAGATTTGTGAAAGTGTTCTCATATCATCTTGTAATGAAAGCAGCGTTTCTTGGTGTCACACAGGTAATATGAATGAAAAGATACTGGTAGAAAGTAATATGCATGAATATAAAATTGAAACAAAAAACCAAACAGAGGGTGAAGTAAAATCAAAGAGTAGCGATGTAGATATACAAATGGACAAAAGTGAAAAAAGAATTATGACTTTTTTTACGCTGAAAAATAATGGTAAGGAAGATATATCTCCACTGAAAGTGAATCCAGAAAAATTCATTGCAAACACATTTCAAAGGAACTGCTCCTTAGAAGAGAAGAAAAATGGAATGGTTAATCTGGATTTGACAAATGAAGATTTTCAAAACGAATTATTGAAAAGATCTCTTATCTGTATGGAAGAGACAAATAGTAATTACAACCGACTTGACAATTCTAACGATTCAGAAAAGAAAAATGAAAAAATTTTTCACATCCATGCTAAAAGTCTAGCTGATTATGATACACCTTTGAATGTACATGGGAAGAAACACTTGTATGTAATGAACACGAGAAAATGGTGTAATAATAATACAGTTGAGAGGAAAAATATAAATATGCATGGAGGAGGTATAAAGAAAGCTTATAAAAATGGACTCATTATTTTGTATTGTAGAATTGTAAGCGGATTTATAACAGTGGAATATATATCCCAGTGTTTATTTCACTATTTTGGAAAAAGAAATGATGATAGGAAAAGACAGAATGATAAAGTTTCCATACTGAAACTATTCGATCAGATGGGTATTTACACATCATACGACATTGCTACGTGTATGTTGAATTGGTATGTACGTGAGGTAATTCTGAATATGGAAGATGATAAGGAGTGTACATCTGGTAGATGTTATGTTGGAGGGGCTAAGGACGTAATGGAAGCGAACAGATGGGAGACGAAAGAATTTGAACCACATCTGTGTGGAGTGAATCGTCTGCAAAATGGGGATTCCTCGAATCGGCTGAAAAATCTAACTGCAATCAACCACGCACACAACATAAAGAGAATCATCGAAAGACACATACTAAAAGAAGAAGTAGGAGGAAATATGTTTTCAGGTAGCACACTGGAAGATTTTTTTTCCCTACTAAAAGAAAGAAACATAGGCATAGATATATTTTCGAAAAAGAACATTTTCACTTATAGCGATTTTTATGAAGAAATTGAAAAACTGAATTTAAACTTTTCAAAAAGTTACATACGTTTGTTATTTTCAAATTTATTAACATATGATTTGACTTCTTTTACTAGCGTAAATAACAAGTTAATTTTTTACGATTGTATAGAGGCATATTGGTTAAACTGGAATAAAATTAATTTTGAGTTTTATTCTGCACAGACAGATGTAAAGGAGGATTCTAAAATGATTCTAAATAGTGTTAAACAGAGGAGAAAAGAGTTAGACATTTTTAAGAAGACACATCATGTAAGAAGTGGTAACAGAGTCAGCAATATTTCCTCTAAATGTAGATTAATTTGTGTTAGTGGAAATACTTCCATTTCGAAAGAGAAAAGTTTGGGCGAAAGTGGAGAAATACAAAAATTTTCTTCTCTACCATTGTATAGCTTATTCTTTTATTTTTCCAAGAAAGGTATACTGAAAGGTGGGCAACTTGTGAAGTATTTTTTTTTTGTCGACATTTTGAAGCACGAAATTAACACTTTGAATATGGATGATTACATGAACAATACTTATAGCTTTTATGATTTTTGCCAATTTTGCAAGACTAAGGATTTGTATCAGTATGAACATAACGATGACTATTCCTTTAGGGAAGATTTCTTAAGGTTGATAATTATCATAAATGGATCGTTCTTGAATAAAAATGTGTCCAAATTGAAGTATAAAAATGAAGATCCTGAGGAAAGGGCTCGTTCACTGCAAACAGATGCAGACTGTAAGGAGAAGAAGATTTTGACACTGAAGCGTTTTCTGCAGGAAAAGGCACATTTGTTTTCTAAAAATTTCAAAAATAATTTGTGCATCATTAGAAGTGAAGTAGCAAATATAAGGAAGATCATTTTGCGTGGTTCCGATTTTCCCTTCGTCAGAAGTTGCAGCGCGAGAAGTTACAGTTTGAGAAATTCCAACATGAGAAGTTACAGCTTGAGAAATTCCAACATGAGAAATTCCAACATGAGAAATTCCAGCATGAGAAGTTACAGCTTGAGAAGTTACAATTTAAATGGCAATTGCAACCGAAGAGGGGTCTGCTCAGCAGGCCAAAGTAGAGAAAGTACAGAAAATGAACAGAAGGAAGAAGAATCACTTGTCGAATTTTTCAAAAGAATCAAATATGTTGTAACATACATCAGAGAATATTTTTATCTGTTTGTTTTCTGTTGTAAGGTAGCAAAGAATGAATTGACTGACGTGTGTTTTCACGAAAGGGAGTGGATATTCTACAGGAAAAAGCTGAAGGAGCATTATTTAGAGAAGATGGAAAAAAACGAAAAACACCGTGAGTTGAAAAAATCGAGAAAGAAGAATTCACAAGCGAATGTGCATGCGAATATACATGCGAACGTTCGCATGAATTTGAGTGATGATGGAGATAAGAAGGACCAAGGCAAGGGGTATGGTTTCCCATTTGTGTATAAAGAAGTGTGTATATCATATGAAGTTACAAAATTTACAAATAAGGAATGCAAAGATATGGTGTACCCATATCTACTTCTTCTGTGTGATTTTTTAAAAAAGGTAGTGCATATTTATAAAGATGAATATATTCATTATGTAAAAAATGTATTTCCATTTGATTATAAAAAGAATAATGCAAGAACGATTTTTTTGCATCATGTAGAGAATATTATGACCAGGTCAGGTAGTTTTGACTCGAAGGAGTGGAACAAAATATATACCATATTTGAAACATTGGACATAAGAGTAAATGATTTTTTTTTAAATTTATGGAATTTTTTAGAGGGAAATAATTATATCATAAGGAAAAAAAATGGGGTTATTATTTTTAATGATTATCATAATAGGATATGGGACCTGATGAATCCGAAAAAGATTCATCACGCAGATGTAGTAGGGGCTCAACTGAGTGCATGTAAAAAGAGAAAAAATTCACCAGAAAAAAAGAATGTACCCTTGGATAGGAATATTCCTCTTTGTAAAAAAGAAAACTTGGATAATCAAGAATGGAATGAACTTTATGTAAAAACTGTTAAATATATCATGGCATTTAACAAAATGGTGTTATCTGATGTGAGTGGATTTAATCATAAGTTTATAGAATGTCATATTGTAAAGGATAAAATATTTACAAAGTTCATGTGTAATATGTACACAAGAATATTATTCAATGAATGTATTTTAACAGGACTTAATGTTAATCGATTGTTTTCACATATAAATAAAAAAGATTGTTTTATTAACATACTTTCCAAAAATTTTAATCATATATTTTCTAAACTAGACATGGAAATATATGTTAGAAGATACGCCTTCATAGTAGACATGACATCTCTCCATTTGAGAAATTCATGTCATAATTTTTTTAACATAAAAAATTTCCTAAATGACCTGTACAAGCAAGGTAAATATTATAATGCACATTTGAGGGAAAAATTATTTAGTTTTTTTCGAAAAAATGAGAACATATTTACAAAGAATCAGCACATTATTCATAACAACTTCGAATCAATGGATAAGCAACATTTAATATCTTGTGATAAACTCAAAAACATATTGTCTTACCATGGACTTTTTCTTTCATGGGCTGAATTGTACGATTTTTTTCAGCCCTTAAACAAGTTCTGTGTTATTTATGATTGTAAAAAATTTGAGGTATATGAAACTGGAAAACCAGGTCCTTACATCTTGAAAGCTTATATCAACCTCCCTAATTTGTTAAGAATAGCTCATAGGGAAATGCATCACAAATCGAGTAATAAACAAGGGGCCAACCTGAGCTATTCCATCAATAGCCTTAACGAAATAAAATATCCAAACAAAGGGAGTGTCAAACTGGAGCGATCCAAAATGGAACAATCCAGATGGAAGAAGACAAATGAAATGGAAGAGAAAGGTGAAGAAAGTAGTAAGTTATATGAAAATAAGAAGAACGACAAGGGAGATATGCACACAAATGGATTGACCAAGTTAAAATATGGATTCTCAAGAAGTTGTAACAGATCAAGAGAAGAAGAAGCATGTGGATTCATAGAGTCAGAGGATGTAAATGCGAAGGAAGAAAAAAAAAGAGAACTTTTTTACCTGAATAATAAACTCTCATGTGGAAATTGTGCAAGTGTAAAAAATTCATCTGCGGGATACTTATTCAATTTCCAATTTAACAGATTAACCATGGGAAGAATATTATTTTTTTTCTTTATCAAGCTAGCTAATTTGCAATTGATAAGCCATTTGACACCTGAACAAATGTTTTATGGAATCAAACGAGTAAACAAACAGGATATCGCAAAAAGAGAAATGCAAAGTGCATGTCATCTGCTTCTAAACATCGAAGAAAAGCAACTAGACCATCTCATACCAGAGGATTTTATTTTGAATAAAGAAGATTTCACAAATGGGGTTCATTTAAATTTATTTCTCTTGAATGAAAAACTTTGCACCCTATTCAGCAGGGAATATTCTGCATCGATTCATGTAAATCAATTTGTTAATTTTTTCGAGAATGAAAAGGGTAAAATTTCCTTTTCGAATTACAATTATGTATATAACTTTGCCTACGAATGGGTAAATTCCATGGCCTTGCACGATGGATTTGTAAGCAGGAATCAGTGTGAGGCATTGCTTAGGAAGTTTGGGTTGTCAGACTTTAAGAATGAGAAGGTGGAGAAGGTGGAGAAGATGGAAAAGGTGGAAAAGATGGAAAAGATGGAAAAACTGGAAAAGATGGAAAAGATGGAGAAGGTGGAAAAGATGGAAAAGATGGAAAAGATGGAAAAGATGGAAAAGATGGAGAAGGTGGAAAAGATGGAAAAGATGGAAAAACTGGAAAAACTGAAGAATCTAGAAATGATGGAGGGAAGAAGAGAACCTGCAGAAAGAAACAAAATTTCGAAAGAGGAAATTGTAAAGATGTTCAGAAATTATATAAAAGGAAAATGGGAAAAAATACTGATGCCAATTTTTAATCGAAGCAAATTTTACACACATAATTTTAGGATCTTGATACAGGAATTTACAGGGATGAGAAACTTCTTACATAAAATGAAAGACATAAACTGTGCAGAGAAAGAAAAAGAGGAAAGAAAGGAGAATAATTCGAATCAGTTGAAAGAGTGCGTTGATCCAAGTGTAATTATATCTCTTAGCTATTTTTGCTGCTTTGCAATGAAAGAAATTATAATAGAAAATATTTACACAGAAAATAGCATGTCGTTAGATGGAGAAGTAAAAAAAGGTAATGATTCATTACATATGAATTACCTCTTTGAGCACACATTTTCAACTATAAGAGAAAAAGACATAATTGAACTTTTCGAAAATAATAAAGAAATTTTCAAATTAAAGTTGCTTCATAACAATAAAAGCATAGCTGAAGCCGATTTGCATATTTTGGAAATGTTTTCAATTATGAACAACAAAGAAAAGAAAAGTCATAAAATTTTATGTTTCATTCCATTAGATAGGAGTAATAAAAATATGCTTTTTTTAGATGTACAGTTTTATTATCAACGGAAGAAAATGTTTTCCACGGAACCCATATTTGAAACAAGGCATAGAGAAGTTAATCGAAAATTTTGCATTGAACAATTGGCTGAGGCAAACTCTCATCCAGTGGAAATAGTAAGATTAAATTCTTCTATCATGCACGTATCTGAAAATTGCCATAATAAGAAAGAGTTAACTAAAAGTATCTCTTTACAAATGAACACTAATTGTGGAAATGGAAAATCGGTTCATTATGGTGCATGTGAAAACAGTAACAGTATGGTAAAGAAAAATTGTAATGCCACAAGGTTTGATGATAGGAAGCGAACAGATGGATTGATTGCTTCACAAGTTTCTCATACGTTAAGCAGAAATGGAACGAATTGTATGAATCGAAATCTGAGCGGTGAATACATTTTGTTAAAAAATGACAAAGAGGTTCTTACTTTGGCTAGTCAGCGAACAAAGCATGGTAGATGTAATAACGAGAATGAATGCACTGAAACGAAATCCGTAACTCTGAGAGATGACACAAAAGGAGAAGAAGGAGAAAAAAACGAATACATACAGAACCCAAAGGGGCAATACACCAAGAAAAGAAAATACAAAATCAAAGATAAAGACAGAAATATGAACACATCTAGGGATATCTCCACTCACATGTACATAAGAATTAACCGACTGTTTCTGTCAATGTGCCTCCTTAAGAATTTGCTTCAGAAACTGAGAGGAGGAGGAGAAGAAGGAAAAAATTTAGACACTTGGAGAAGAAAGGATGTGTTCATAGCTGTTTATGTAGAGGTGTATGAAAAGGTGTCCCATGCAGATCCTGATAGATGTAGTGATGGTTGTAGTGGTGGTGGTAACCACAATGAATGGGATCCTGACAGTTATCATGAACATGGGTATGGATGTTGCACAAATGATAAGAATTGCTACATAGATGGAACTATGCGGAGTGCTGCCCAACCTGAGGGTTCCGTAGAAAGATACACTCTGCTCTCAAGATCCATTCCACAAATGATTAGTTGGGAAGAAATAAATCTCTCCCATGACAGTATCTTTCAAAAAGGTGAAAATGGTGGAAATGATGGAAATGATGAAAATGGTGGAAATGATGGAAATGATGAAAATAGACAAGCAGACTGTGCAGTTGTGACAAAAGGGATACACGGGAGTGAACCATGTGAGGGCAGACAAGAAGAGAAATACAAAGGGAAGGTCGAACAATCATTACAGAAATTGGGTGAAGAGACAGACGCATCAAGGGAAGAAAAAAAGGGAAGGGACATCCAGCTAGCCAAGGAAGAGAAAAAAGTAAACCCCAAAAGTTCAACAAGCGAGAAAAAAAAAAAAAAAAAAAAAAAAAAAAAACATATATTGGATAGATACCTAAATGTATACAATTTAAAAATAAAACACAAGGAACTTATCCAAGCAGAGAACTGTTCATATATTGAAGGGAAAATAATTGTAAGGGCTCTAATATCGTTGAGTCATATATCAGAAGATGTTACGATTGGTGAACACATCTTTAAAATCAAAAATGTTTTATATGAAAATGAAGATATAATATTTTGTTCTGAGAACCTCTTTCAACCTGTTTATGGAAAATCCATATTTTTTGAAAATGAAAAAAAAGACAAAAAATATATTCTAGACGGTGTATGTGAAATGAAGAAGGGTTCTTCTTCTTCTGATGATGATGAAGTTACAAGGGGTTATAAAAATCAAACGGATGTTTATCCCGAGGAAGAAGTTGAACAGATGGCACTTGTACCACATCTAGATGATAATAATTATGAAAAAGTTAAAATAAATGAGAATATTTCTAGAAAAAATGCGGAGGAAAAAAAACAAAACGAAGAAGCAATTATATGTTTCTATGACAAAAATGACAATGAAAAAGAGGAAAGCCAAGAAAGACAAGTCATTGGATATGTCTCATATGAATATGTAATAAATAAGAATGAAGATGAAAGATATTATAAAAAGAATGGTTTTTTTTTTCCTATACCCAATTTTGTAAAAATATATTTTTTGAAAAAAAATAAAAATAATCAACATGTGTTAAATGAGAAAATTGGGATGCTACACAAATCTGTTAATGATAAACTTTTTGGTGATGTGTTGAAAAAAGTAAACTATAGGAAATATGTAAATGTAGATATTTTGATTAATGCTTTGAATAATTCCATTTATGCTACTTATGTAGCCTACATTATTCGATTGTTAAATCATTTTATAGGTTCAGATAGTTCTTTATACTTTCCTGTGAAAAATATTTTATTAATTATAGGGTTAAGAAAATTATCATCACACTTTGCAAAATCAATGAAACATCTGTTTCTGGAAATTGAACATTATCTCAATAATAACATGCACAAACTGGGAATGGTTGAATGGTCTAACTTTGTGAAATGTATGCTAAAGGCTCAGAGTGAATCCTCTAAAATTGCTTTTACATCTCCGGTTGGTAGAACTGCATTAGACAGAAACGATAGATGTAGAACCCGAAGCAGGAATATAGAATCATGCAATCCAGGGATAAGGGATCAAGTTTCCCATAGATGCTCAAAACTTCACAGACAAATGTCATACCTTTTTTCATCAACATCTTCTTGCACTTCTTTTTCTGCTTTCACAAGAGTATGTACAGGAAATAACACAAACTCTTCTTATGAGAATTATAAGGACGAGAGAAAATTTAAGCAAAAAATGAAAGACAAAATGAAGCAAATAAATCCAGTGAATCAAAGGGATTGGTTTTTACTAAACAATTGGGAAAAGTGGCATACGCACAAAAATGGAAAAAGTTTCTTTTTTATATTCCTTTTTCTACATGATATGAACATTTTTTATAAAGAAAATAAATACACAATGAGGAATGAAAAACAGAAGAACAGATCTCCTTTACATATTTATAGTCCCTTTAGTTCATACAAAATGTATCACGTGAATGAATTTGCAAATAGATTAAATAATGGTAAAAAGCGATTACCTGTTCTTCCCTATATAGAGAGTGCAAAATTGGAATACAAAAAATTAGAAGGGATGAATACTAGTAGACGTCATTTCTCCAATAGGAGCACAAAAGAAATAGACAGATGTGTCTCTTGTGGAGTTAGAGTAATGAGAATGTGTTCTCATCATTTGCACCTTCACAAAAGAGAGCTAAAAAAAAAATATGAACAGTTAGATAATCGTTACACATACAAGAGGGGAAAAAAGTACTTGGAATATGACCCTAGAAAGTCTCAAGAAGGTGATATAATGGCCCTGAAAAATGAAAAACATGACAGTGATGTAGCAACATCTGAAATGTATAGAAGTAAAACTACTGATATGGATATGGCAAAACGTGTACAAAATAAGAAAAAGAGGACATCCATATATCAGTATAATTTATTAAAAAACGAATCTTATACAGATCCGATAGTGAATAAAAAGTATGAACAGAAAATGAACAAATTTATGATGCGTGGAAAAAAAAATGATAAAAAGGAATATAAATCAGAGCAGCTGGATCTGGAAAAATATACATTTAAAAAAGAGTTAATGGAAATAGATCAAAGTAAACTAGTTGATAATAATAATTTTACATACAAACTTTATGTTAAAGTGAAGAAACTACTCAATCCAATATGTTTAATTAAAAAAAGGAAATTTTCAATGTCTTTTCAAATTATGTTGAGTAATAATTACAATATTTTCAACACATATAATAATATTACATTCCAGAATTTTATAAGTCCAAAATATGGGTATACAATAAACAAAATTCAAGCTATGAGTAAACCACTTGGCATTGATAATTATTCAAATATAAACACTGCAGTTGTTTTGTCTCTTCCAAGAAGGGAAGAAATAAATCGTTTTGTGAACACTCATGATATATCTACCTCTTCTGATTTTTTGCAATTCTGCTTAGAAAATTTGTCTCTTCAGATATGTTTTCATGATGTTTCATTTTGGAACATTTCCTCAGAAGAAGAATCGAAAAAGCAAGATGCAAAGTACATTGGTAGGGATGACATTCGATATAACCATTTCTCCTCCACCATGGAACAACATGTATGGAAAACGCAGAAAGAAGGCCTCATTGCAAGTGCATTAATTCCGCTAAATATTCTTTTGAAAAAGCATAAGATAAAGGTTAAAATTCCTTTAACTAATTCTACATCTTTGAAAAATGGAGAAAACATGAATAAAGTAGAAGTTCTTCTTATGTATGAAAAGGTGAATGTGAAAAGTCATTTCGTGGAAAATAAAATAAAACGAAATTACACAAACGTGGGGATTACAAAAGAAGAAGAAAAAAAAAAAAAAATAGTTAAAGAGAACAAGCACATTCATGGAACACACATGGATGAAAAGAAGAGGATTATACCCTCCTCCCATTTTTCACGTATAATTCATGATTATAAGATGATGATTCCATTTGAAAACGGCACCCTGGCAGGTGAAGGAAGAAAAGGTGAATTTCCTAATGATAAGAGACAATTAGGATTCAAATTAAATGATTCTGATTGTGCGGAGAAATATGATTTCATTGATCTCGCAAATATTCCTTTGTTAACTCTTCCCAAAATACCACCACCGATATCGTAGGTGGGGGTTGCTGAAAATGTGTTATTTTCACGCGTACTACTTTATCACTATACCACTTTATCGTTTTACCATTTTATCATTTTATCATTTTATCGTTTTATCATTTTATCGTTTTATCATTTTATCATTTTATCGTTTTATCATTTTATCATTTTATCGTTTTATCATTTTATCATTTTATCGTTTTATCATTTTATCATTTTATCACTTTTTTTTTTTTTGTGTATTGCATTTTTCTGAGTGCGTGTGTTGCCTGCACAGTCGAATTCATGGTATTTTCTTGGAGTACCTTTTTGTTCACATCTTCTTATTCCATCTTCTTCTTCTTCAACTTCTTAAAATGTATTTTTTTTTTTTTATGCTTGAGTCATTATTCCAGAAGTGTGCAACTCTGCATATGCGCCTCCTGTTGGGTGCGTGTGGAGAGACCCTGAAGGATCATCGATTGTACACGGGTTCGGGGTTCATGTGTATCTGCATTCCGGAACCCTCTTCCCTCTTTTTTTGTCCCATTTTTTGTCCTTTTTTTGCCCCATTTTGTTAATTTTTTAAATTCTCGTGAAGTCATCTGAATACACACAATTTGTTAGACTGCTGGGGTCATGTCGTTTTCAGGTGGTTCTCCTCCAAATAGTGTTGTGCTACGTTCAGATTTGTGAATTTCTCTCTCCCCAATTTAATATAACACTACAGATGAACATTTCGATGATTTTGTCGATTTTGTCGATTTTGTCAATTTTGTCGATTTTGTCAATTTTGTCAATTTTGTCGATTTTGTCAATTTTGTCGATTTTGTCAATTTCGCTGGTTTTGTCAATTTTGTTGATTTGATTTTTTTTTTTTTTTTTGTCCCTGATGCGTACGCGACTGATTCGATCGAAGATGCATTTCTAGGTGAGAATTAATCTGTGCAACTGGAGACAGCTCTAGAGTTGTGAACTTTTTTTTTAGCTTCATTTGCAAGCGTTTAAACTGCCTCCAAATGACTTAATTCATGTTTTTTTTTTTTTTTTACTCCCTCGGCTATATGCATATATGTATGCATGTCCACTGATTCGTTGAACGATTTGGTTATCCCTTGCAAGGGGACTTCCCCTCCCCCCGGGGTTTAAACCCAAACGGAGTTCTCCATCTAAACAAGTGATGTAATGGAAGCCAATTAATCAAATCTCTCTCATAAATCATAGATAAAAAAAAAAAAAAATAAAAAAAAAAAAAATAAAAAAAAAAAGGTGTACGTTATGACAATTGATCCTTGGAGACAAGTGACTCATTATGGTAATTCCTTTTTTGTATCCTTATTTTTTTTCAGCAACTGAATCTATATCATTTTTCTTATTTATCCATTTCTACTTTTCGGAGAGATGTTCCTCATTATGGCAATAGATACATTCATAAGAATTGCGTCTGCATGTTCCTTTCATGTTTCCCACGCAAGGGTAACATATTCCTTTGTAATGTAGCAGTTTGGACGGATGGCTAGAGGAGTGAATATCTGCATGATCTTTGTTGTGACAATTTGGACATCTTCTACCCCTTTTCATACATCCATTATTTCCTGAGAAGAAGAAGGTACACGGGTGACACACACCCATATCATGTGCATCTATGTCTCTGTACCCAACTTGTTTCACGTAGATAAATTTTTTCATCTTTTCCTCTGGGCTGTGGGGTGCATCTGCATTGTGTGTGTGATTTGTTTGATCTTCTTTTGTGCGATCTGCTTCTGTTTGGTCTGACTTTGCCTCATCCCTCTTTTCTTTCTCCCCATTTACTTCTCCATCTTTTACTTCTCCATCCTTTACTTCTCCATCTTTTACTTCTCCATCTTTTACTTCTCCATCCTTTACTTCTCCTTCTTTTACTTCTCCATCTTGTACTTCTCCATCTTGTACTTTTCCATCCTTTACTTCTCCATCTTGTACTTCTCCATCTTGTACTTCTCCATCTTTTACTTCTCCATCCTTTACTTCTCCTTCTTTTACTTCTCCAACCTTTGCTTCCCCTTCCCTTTGTTTATCTATTCTTCCCCATTTTGCACCAATTGCATGGGAATCATGATGGCAATACACACATGTATGCATCGGTCTGTTGCACTTTCCCTTAAAATAATTATCACACGGTATACACAAACTCTTAACGTGTAAAAGTCGCGAGGGATGAAATAACGAATGAGGGTTCCTGTGATCTTCATGGTGACAATTTAAGCATTTCTTACCATTTGAACATCCATAAAAACCAACAAAATAATATACGCATGGGTGACAAGCTCCTCTCTCATGTCGACTCAATTGATTTCGAAAGAAGGGTAAATCTTTAGTACTTTCATTTGTATGCTTATATCTTCTTCTCAACTCGTTGTATCTTTTTTTTTCGTTATTTCCTGCTCTTTTTGATGATTCATCTGAATATTGGATATCATCACAGTTACTCTTTTGCTTTTGTCTCTCCCATTGTTTTCTTCTACCTCTATTAGAAGCCAATTCATTTTCTGCATTCCTCTTAAAATGCAAATATGAGTTGCGCCTCTGGAACCACTTCATGAAGTGTCCTCGTCGGTTTCCACGTCTACTGTCACGTCTACTGTCACTTCTGCTGCCACGTCTACTGTCACTTCTACTGTCACTTCTGCTGCCACTTCTACTGCCACTTCTATTTCCACTTCTGCTGCCACTTCTGCTGCCACTTCTACTGCCACTTCTACTGCCACTTCTAACATTGATATGGTTCCGACTGTGGTTCACGCTGTGATCCAGAAGTAATTGTTTGTCACTGGAAGGAGTGTTTCTCACTTCTCTCATCCCATGAGGATGCATGTATTTCCTATCGGTCCTCACCTCTCCATAAGTACTATCATTTTTACATTTTTTCTCAAAAGTTATATCTTTAATCAAAGAATCAGTATGATCATTTTCCTTGTGCTCTGTTGATATTCTCACATGATCTTTGTGTGTTTTTTTTTTTTCTTGCCAATCGACTTTCTGTCTTCTCCATGTTGAATTGTATTCACTTGAATATACCCCTCCTCCTGAGCGAGATGAAGAAAGGGTGGTTTTTGGTTTTTCCTTTGGATTTTCTTTACTTTCTCTGTTTCTTGAGTTACATACATTCTTCTTAATCGGTTGTTCACTTGTGTTATGTGCCCTGTCGAACCGGTCTAATAAAGCGCTCTTGTCTCGTTTCCTGGAAATTAATTTTTTGTATGTGCCCAAGGAGAGATTGCACACATAACTACTATGATCTTTGTGTTCAGATGCAAGCGTGGATAAGCTTGAAATGCTTAACTGATGATTCGACTCCATTGTGAATTGGCTTGATCTACTTAATTGATGTTTCGATTCCATGGTGAATTTATTGGAACCGTTTCCTTTTCGATCCTTCCTCGATTTTGCAAATATGTTTATTTGTCCTTTGTGTGATTGATCGTGGCAATATGCACATTCATGCATTTTTCTTGGGTGCATGTTTTTATTATGTTGACACATGCCATTAAAATAATCAACACAAGGTTTACATCTCTTTGTTCTGTGTAACATTTGGTAATAGCACATGGAACTAGAAGAATTTCGATGTTCTTCATGATGGCAATTTCGACAATGGATTGAGTAATTGCATCCACTTGAAAAATAAAACGAACACGGGACGCACTTGTATGTATTGTGTTCTTCTAGTGAATATAATCCCGTTAATTCACCACTTATGACTTTTGTTTTTCTCCACGTTTTTTCCATAATCTTGTTCCTGCTGAGGTTCCAGATTGTGTGCCTCTCAAAGGGTCTGTCGAAATGACCATTCCTGTGCTTCTCAAAAGATCTGTCGAAATGGCCATTCCTGTGCTTCTCAAAAGATCTATCGAAATGGCCATTCCTGTGCTTCTCAAAAGATCTGCTCCTGACCCTATCGTTCCCCAAGGTGCTTCTCGTTCGATATGCATTATGTATTGGCACATTTTGAATAATTTTTACCTTTTTATTTGATTCTTCTATTTTGACGTCCTTCTCCCCCTGTTCTTGCACTCCTCCTCCTTCACCATCATCACTATGGCCATTACCATAACTAAAAAAATTATGAACATCATTAAGAGATAATTTAGTAACATTTTCTATGTCTTTCATGTAAAATTTTTCTTCCTGAGAATCCAAAGGATTTACTTTTTTGCTGTTCTGACTTGTGGATGTAAATGAACATTTTTCGAAGTAATTAACTTCATTCTCATTATTGATAGACTTATCCATATTTGTGGAGACGTTACTTCCTCTGAAATTGCCTTCATTTTTGTTTTTATGAATAATGGTATATCCGTTCTGTTGTATCCTCATTTCAAGATCATTTGGACTGAGTGATTTTTTTTCATTTGTTCCATTATTGTAATTCATGTTGTCACTTGATTCCTCTCTTCCTCTGTTATTCCTAGTGGTATGATTATAATTCGTGTATGATTCATTGGCAATTCTATTTTTATTTACATATTTTGAATCGTTATCTTTATATGTTACAAATTTTGTCGTGATGTTTTTTGCTTTATAGGAAAAATATGTATCTACATTTTCTTCTGTGCCTCTTTTTGAAAAATTGGGTTCATTATACTGTTTTAGAATCCTTTTACTACTATGTTTTATATTTTCATTTATCTGAATTGAGCCAACATTGATAAGTTCGTTTCCATATTCCCTGAAAATTAACTGATCATTTCTTTCTTCTTCATCTTTCTTGTCAGTCAATAATGTACTTTCATCAACTGATTTATTTTTTAAGTGATGCATATAATACCTGTTTACGTAATGTGTATTATAACTTCTGTGTGTTCTTATTTTTCTTTCACTATTGTTTTTATTCTCTGTATGATCAATTTTCTCTATTTTTCTTTTCCCTCTCTTTATATTTACACTATGACTACTTGAGTGTGCAGATCTTTTAGCAGATTCATTCTGGAATATACTTCTTCCCTTGTTCTTCTGTGGGCTCCTTTTCCTTACACTTCTCAGGAGATCATCATATGTTAACTGCTTATACCTTCTCATGCTGCTGTGGTTTGGTTGACTCCATCTGTGATCTCTCCTTGAGGTGGTTCGATAAGAGTATGAAGTGTCATTGGTGGAAGTGGGATCCTTGACTATAGGATCGTGATTATCATTTGTAGGATCAGGGTTACCCATTGTAGGATCGTGATTATCAGTTGTAGGATCAGGGTTACCCGATGTAGGATCAGGATCTGCTTTGAAGAAAGGCACAGCAGCAACTGATGCTACCCCATGAACCATCTCAAGGGTAACCAGTTTGTCATCCGAAAATTCGCCAAGCAAAGATGATGCACATACACTTAGAGCATTTTTCATTTTGATATGATAAGATATATGATCAGTATGGTGGCAATAAATACTACGCTCATCACAAGGGCAACTCTCCTCATTTATGTATAAACATACTTGGCACATGTTTCTATCATGCAGATATGTTCTAAAGTACATGTTTGAATTCTTTTTTTCGTGAATTTCATTGTGACAATCATGGCAGTTGTTATTGTTTATCCTGCAGAAGGAACTGTCATTCCTATGGATGAAATAAGTTTTACATGGTTTTTTGTTTTCTTCATTGCACTCATGACATGTTTCTTCCACTGTGTTTCTTGACCTTTCAGAAACACTTCTACCCTCTTTTACATTACCTTCCATCTGAAAAGTGTTACATGTGTGCATGAGTTCATTATAAATAATGGGAGAAAGACGACGATCGCTAATATTACTCTTTACCTGTTGGAGATTATAAAGAAGTTCTTTGGAAATGATATCTACATGTTTTTTTTTTGCATATAAATCATATAAAATAAAAAAATATTTTTGTCGTATTTTTGATGACAAGTGATCAATGGCGTGACAAAATTGACATTGATTTAGATGTGGACAGAACCCATTTTTTGCTAAATGTGTACACACTTTACATTTATTTTTTAGATGTAACATTTTACATGGATGTAATGAAGAATTCTTATTTATATGAGTATAATGATGACACCATTTACATTTAATTTTATGTGTACATGAATTGGTGCTTCTACTAAATTTATAGCAAGGAACGCATAGCCCATATATATGTAAATATTTTTGTGTAATAAACAAAATAATTTCGTCTTCTGGATTTATGTTAAATATTTCAATTAAAGATTTTGTTATGCTACATCCTTTAGCAGCATATAATTCATTAAAATTTTTTAACGCTTTTTTTCTGTTTTCACCTAGTTGTGAAATTTCTTTCACTTCACACAATTTAGATATTTCATTTCTGTCCTTTATTCCTTGACATGGGGAATTATTGGGATGGATTTTTCCCCCGTGTGTTTGTCCATCAGAAAGAGATGGTTTCTCATAAAGAGTGGGCCTCTCATAAAGGGTTCGTCTCTTGTATAAACTTGCCCTATGATAAAGGGTTCTTTGTTCTCCATTCTTTCCATTCATTCTATTTTTCAATTTGGAAGATTCCCCTTTCCCAATCTCGTATTCCTCACCGATTGCATTATTTTTCATCTGATCACCTTTATTGTTTCTATGTAAATGTTTTGTGAACCCATCCATATATTTCCATTGACCATTTAAATTTGTCGTGTCTTCAGCGTGTTTTTTTTTTTTAGCACCTTTTATCATTTTGACTTCATTGTCGGAGCCATTTTCACATTTCCAAAATTCGTTCGAGCAAATTGATTCCTCCATAGTTCGTTTCGTGTCCTATTTGCAAATGGTGTGTGTATGTGTATGTGCACTTGTCAGGGTTAAAAAGTAAGGGAAAAAAAAAAAAAAAAAAAAAAACATATAAATTCTGACTGTTCATAAAAGTTCTAAAAACTGCTAAAAAAGGCTATAATCTGACTGTTCATAAAATTTCTAAAAACTGCTAAAAAAGGCTATATTCTGACTGTTCATAAAATTTCTAAAAACTGCTAAAAAAGGCTATAATCTGACTGTTCATAAAATTTCTAAAAACTGCTAAAAAAGGCTATATTCTGACTGTTCATAAAAGTTCTAAAAACTGCTAAAAAAGGCTATAATCTGACTGTTCATAAAATTTCTAAAAACTGCTAAAAAAGGCTATATTCTGACTGTTCATAAAATTTCTAAAAACTGCTAAATAAAAAATGTTCTGCCTATTCATAAACTTTGGAACAACTGCTTTTTAAATAAAAAGGGGGCCCACTTTGAAATGAACGACAGTGGATTGTATTCACTTAAGCGTTTAGACATACTCAAGTGCATACCACAGAAACAAGAATGCAAAGCTGGTGTGTAGTAAAGGTAAGTGTTTGCATGCCAGCTTTCGCTAGCTGTGTCCTAAGGGTTATATGTGCAAAGGTACTCCTTTGGGACGGTTCTTCCCATTTGTAACGACAGTCGAAATGCTGTACAGTTTTACTTTGATGTGCATTATTTTTTCTGCTCTATGATCTTTTATTTCCTTTCCGTTTGACATGGAATACTGTTCACACTTGGTTTACCCCCTATGTGTTTCGTTTATTTGAAAAATATAAATGTGGTAGAAAAATAAAAACCCTTTGGCTTTGCTGTCACGTTTATGATACGCACAATAATTATGCTTTTTCTCTGTTTCGAAATGTAGATGTAACAAATAGGGTATGTAAAACTAAGAAATTTGTATGGGTAAAATAATTTCCATTTCACAAGAATATTATGCATATTAAGCTGTTGGACGTGAAATGAAAATTCTTTATAAGTTCTTCAATCTTTTTTGTTCTTATAGAAATTAACTTAAAAATGGAAAATAAGAAGTGGGAAATATGAAGCGCAAAATAAGAAGCGAAAATAAAAAGTGGGAAATATGAAGCGCAAAATAAGAAGCGAAAATAAAAAGTGGGAAATATGAAGCGCAAAATAAGAAGCGAAAATAAAAAGTGGGAAAAAAGAAATGCAAATATATACTTATACACGTACTTGCAGATGAATATGCATGTGAATATTTTTGGTTGAATGTTATTTTTACTCCAAAAATTTTCAACTGCAATTTTTGCAGAACTTCGAAAGTTGTTGCAAAGTGGAATTTCCATTTTTTGTATCCGTTTCCATTTTCTCTTGCGCACTTGCGCAAAAAAAAAAAAAAAAAATTAAAGTAAAACAAAACAAAATAAAATTAAGTAAAATGTATGTTCGAAAGACCTTTGCAGAGACCCTTTCAATGCATGCTTAAAAATAAGTCCCAACGGAAATATATACGTATATGTATGTATATATATATATATATATATATTTATATGTGTGTGTTTTTTTTTTTTTTTTTACACCCCCATGAATACTCTTTTCCTGTTTATAAAAATTGCCAGGCGCAAATAAATTGATAATCCGTAGGACGAGGGGGGGACCCTAGGTACGATATGTCGTTTTGTTTAAGGTTTTTTTTTTTTTTTTTTTTTTTTTTTTTTTCCACTTTTTCCTTTGGTGTTTTGTGTTGCCTTTTTAAAAAAGAAAGAAAAAAAAAATGGGTTGTTTGAAAAAGTTAAAGTTTTGCAAGGGTTTTAAAAAAAAAAGAAAAAAACTGTATATAATTTCTCACTGGAGTGTGATATATTTTCCCCTACACTTTTTTGACTGGCATGCCACAGAATTGCCCATTGCTATATTATTTTTACACCACCAAAATAGATACAAAATTTTTCTATGTATTTAAAACCCCCATCTTTTAAAATTAGTAACATTATCACTAAACGATATTTCCAGTTGTGATTTAAAAGAGCACTTGTACATACTTTTGCCCATGCATATATATATATATATATATATGCATACTTGTTTGTAATTATTTGAATTACATTGACAGAAAATAAATACAAGGAATGTAAATTAGAAGGAAACTTAATGAAAAAAAAAAAAATTTACTCCATATGCACATATGAAAAAAGGTGCTACTTCCAATTTAGCAAATTGGATTATATATCTTTTTTTTCATTCTCATATGTACATGAGAGGTTATTAAAATTTTTTGGAATTTTGTTTTCAGCATTTGTCTACTTTTGTATACCATTTTTTGGAAATTTACTTATTTTTTAGCTGAAAAATTGTGATAAACACATGGTAGAACCGCGTCGGAACATGGAATTTTTTTGTGGGACGAGGGCACGATAAAAAAGAAAAAAAAAGAGAAAAGAAAAGCACATACAAATGTGTGTACGGATGAATACTCATTCTGCATGTTATACTTTGTGATGCACAATAGTACATATTTATGTACCTAGCTTTAGGGGCATTCATAAAAACAACGGCCTCGAAAGGTTTCTATATCTGAAGACATGAACCTTCACAATGCTGCGGAATGTTCGTCGTCTTCCACCATCGTTTCTTGTCTCGTTGATTCAGCTTGTTTTATTGGTTGTATTATTATTTTTTTTATTATTATTATTTTCTTCTTTTTATGGTTGTGCAGAGTGTAGAAATAATGTCCTAATTGGCCATCATTTTTTTTGCCTCATAAACAACTTTATGCTCGTCCGGCATGTAAAAGGGCTCGTACACATGAGGAAATGGTGTGTCATAACCACATACTCTTTTAATTGGTGTGTGCAAATTATAAAAACATCTTTCCTGAATTTTTGCAGCAATTTCGGCACCGAATCCGTTGGTTACTTGAGCTTCATGTGTTATTAGAAGTCTTCCTGTTTTTTCTACCGATTTTTGAACTGTTTCTATATCCCATGGAATAATAGTTTGTAGATCGATAATTTCACAATCAATTTTGTGTTTTTTTAATAATGTATCTGCTGCTATTTTCATTTTATGAACTAATGAACCCCATGTTACAATAGTTAAATCAGTTCCTTCTTTTACTACATCTGCTTTCCCTAATTCTAATTCATATGATTCAACTGGAACTTCACAAACTGATGATCTGTAGAGAATTTTGGGTTCAAAAAACAAACAAGGATTAGGATCCTTAATAGCAGAAAGTAACAATCCCTTAGCTTTATATGCATCACTAGGTACAATAATTTTAATTCCAGCAGCATGTGCAAAAAATGCTTCTGGACTTTGGGAATGATATAGTCCTCCATGACCTACGGCACCCCATGTAGATCTAATAGTTAATTTTCCAACATCGAAACTATTTCCTGATCTGTATCTATACTTAGCTACATCATTTACTATTTGATCAAATGCTGGGAAGATATAATCCCCGAATTGTATTTCAGCAATGGTTGTAAATCCATTTTCTGCTAATCCAATTGCAAATCCTATTATGCCTTGTTCACACAGTGGGGTATTGAATACTCTTTTGTCTCCGTATTTTTTTTGTAAATCTAGAGAACATCTGAAAACTCCTCCAAAAGCCACATCTTCCCCTAGTAGTATAGCAGTGGGGTCTTTTTCAAATACATTATGCATAGCTGAATTTATTGCTGTAAACATGTTCATTTTTTTTTTTTCAACATTGTTTGTGGTGGAAAAATATCTGAATGTATTTGTCATCCTGCTGCAGTATACAGGAGATTTTTTTACTCCACCCATGATCTCATTATTGTGTAAACCAATTTTTAAAAGATTTGCTACATTACATAATTTCCCCTTCATTTTTTGGAAAATGTTGAAAAGATGTACCTAGAAAAAATTATGTACCTCTTGATGGTGTAAAAGGGCGCATTTATGTTTTGTTCGTTTGTTTTTAATACCTTTAAGATGTGTTTTTTTTTTTTTTTTTCTTTTTTTTGGGGTGGGTAGAGGTAGATTTTCGCGTTTAAGGAATTACATGGAGTTAACTTTGTTTTTTAGGAATTACATGGAGTTAACTTTGTTTTTTAGGAATTACATGGAGTTAACTTTGTTTTTTAGGAATTACATGGAGTTAACTTTGTTTTTTAGGAATTACATGGAGTTAACTTTGTTTTTTAGGAATTACATAGAGTTAACTTTGTTTTTAATTACATATAATAAATTTCCCTTTCAGGTTTTTTTTAAAAATAATTAGATTCCTACACAATGAACTCCTTTTCCAAGTGTATATGTGTGCACGTTTTTTTTTTTTTTTTTTTTTTTTTTTTTTTTTTTTTTTTTTTTTTTTTTTTTTTTTTTTTTTTTCATATATTTTTTTTGGTGTTTTTTTTTTTTTATTTTTTTTTTTTTTTTTTTTTTTTTTTTTTTTTTTATTTTTTTTTTTTTTTTTTAAATTATTTTATAATAAATTTTTTAAAAAAGGAAAATATTTGTTATTAAAATGTTTTTTTTTTTAAAAAAATAAAAAAAAAAAAAAAAAAAAAAAAAAAAAAAAAAAAAAAAAAAAAAAAGACCATTTTTTCTTTAATTTAAATGTGTACAATTTGCTCTTTGTCGAAATGTGTAACAGTGCTATTGAATATATATCTCTCTCTCCTTTTCTCACTATTTCGCTTCTATTATTATTTTTTTTTTTTACCGAAAAATTACATTGTTTGATCATTTTGCATACAAGTAAGAGGTTGAATGATCATTGGGAAATTTATATAAAAAAAAAAAACTCAACAATTATTTAGGACTGTTTAATCTCTTAAAAGAAGGGCAACATGATGAGGATCGATAGATGGAGATACAATTTGGATCTTGTTTATCGATCACACTTTTGCATATGTAACAGTGGCTATATATATTATAATAACAGACACAACATAGAGAAAAATTAGGAACAAAAACATTTTCCCTGTCTTCGTCAACTCTGCAAAAGGGTGTGTGGAGGGGAAAGAAAAAAAAAAAAAAAAAAAAAAAAAATTAAAATTAGTAATTATCGCAAAGAATGGCAGTAGCAATAACAGTGAGAAGCAAAATAATTAAAAGTGCGTGGGCTGGTGAAATTAACGTGGATACACCCATCCACCCCTTTTTTCCAAATAAGACGGGAAAACATGTAGATCCAGCAGCAAGAGTGTGTGTGTGTGTGCAACAAGACATGGTAGCACATCCAGTGAAAAAAGCGTAATCCGAATGTGCAATCTTGGTGCACGCAACGCTTGCACAAGCTTGCTCAAACGCACACACGAGTACATGCATGTGAATGAATAATTATGCATAGGTCATTCGATGGCGAGTGTGATAATGCTGACATGTGATTCTCCTTACCTTGTGGCTTCGAAGGTAACTTTTTGTTAATAAGCATCAAGGCCTCAATTAACCCTTTGCCAACTGAACCTGTGGCAAAATAAGTGAACATAAACTGTTCTGTTATTTCCTTTTCGTTTATGTATTTTTCCTCTACCCCTTCCCTTTTAGCTACAACAAAGCGTCCCAATTGTTTTACATACACTAACAGAATACCATCATGACACTCCTTGTTTCCTATACCCCATTTACGTAATAATTTTTGTGAAAAATATTCTACCGATTTTTCATTCAAAGTGTTTTTGCTGATGCTGATTTCAGGAACTAATGCAACAGAAACCTGAGAGCGTGGTTGTAGAGGTGGAACATTAGTGCAATTGTGTGTACATACTTGCTAAGAAGTTATATTTTCCAAATGTAGAGAGACTGGCATAACGGTGGCCATTCAAGTTGGGCTATCAAAGCTTCATGTAAATGTAAATAAAAGAAGGGGATATGGGGAAGGGGAACCCTTCCCCGTTCGATGATCACTAATTCAGGAGAGGGCATTAAATCGAGGACACATGCATGTTACAACGCTACTATGTATGCATCTACATATATGTCTACACACACACGCGTACATGCGTACATACATACATGTACGCGTGTACACATGTTTATGTGTTCTGATTTATGGTCCCACTTGGTAGTAGTAGATCCCCTTGTTTGCACAGTTGTGAAAATTAGTGTCTCGTATTTTGAGCAATATTGCTTCAACTTCCAATTGTTCACTCAAGCTTAAAAGGTGAGATGGGTCACATAACCATGTATGGCTTATCCTGAAAAGTGTGCATAAAGGAGAATTGGTGAATAAACATGAGTATTATACATGTATATATTCTATGTTACCCATAAGTACTTAATGTATACTTTTTAAGATAAAAAAAAAAAAAATATATTAAAGTCAACATTAAAGCTTTTCCATATTGTTTATAAATTTAGGAGTTAACTATTACCCTAAGGATAAGACACACTCTTCAGGATTAACAAAAGGGTTTGGGAAGGTGTGTTCGTCATAAGGTTCACCTGCGGGGGCGTAATTGCTTTTGGAGAAAATGTAGATTTAGGAGAGGATGTATCTCGAGAGTCCAAAATACTGAGAAGTGACTATTCTAAGGTGTAAAATAGTTGTGACTTTTAAAGAGAAGCGAATGTATTTGCTTCATTACAAAAGCAAACTCTACAATCGTAGGATTTCATTTCATCTTAACTTGTCTTCCTCTGCCAGATCTTGTATCAATGGATACAGCATCTTCTCACTAGGAGTTCTGCAAGGAGAGGAAAAGTGAGAAATTATTTTTTTATAAAAAAAAAAAAAGAAAAGAAATGAGATCAGGAATTAATTTCTTTATGGGATAAAAAAAAATTATCTTTGTCACATCTTTCTTTTTATAAGCAGTTACACATATATGTTCATACGTGCATTTATTTTTGCATTTTTTTACATGTCTCGGTTTTTTCCTAGGGTGTCCTTAAAGTAAAATTTACCAAGCAAATCCAACTTTTCACATGATGCATATTTTTGCATAGAAAGAAAAAACAAAAATAGGAAGATTGTAGGGAAGGCAACTTTCATTTTGTCCCCACGCGCTGGTAACTCCAAAGAAGGATTTCACAACAAGGAAAGAGATAAATGATAAATGGTAGCAAGAAAAAGGGAACGCAAAAATTGACGAGTCACAATGGTTAGATTGCAAAGATAATTCACTCTTTTAGTCTTACATCAAGACCTAGACACAATAATACATGACCGGCTAGTGTCCGCAGAAACATACAACATCATTTATTAAGTCAAGGAACATATATTTGTTATCTCTAATTGAAATTCCCTGTTTTAATATGAATTTTGATGGGTTCCCCAAAAAAAAAAAAAAAAAAAAAAAAAAAAAAAAAAAAATTTTTAATCAATTTGAGCAGCTTAGAACAATGCACATAGAAATGCACTAAACAAAGCGGAAAAATATTTAAGATATATTCTGCTTGCACATTGGTCATATGGTAATTATGCCGTTGTCCATCCTGTTGAGTATATCTACAGATTGAGGTAGATGAATATATCTCTAAGGGAATATGCGAACTGTGCCTTTTTTTTTTTGTTTTCTTTCTTTTTCACATGAGCATATTTGAAAAGGCGTTATTACGCAGCTAAAATGCTGTTTTTTTTTTTTTTTTTTTTTTTTTTTTTTTTTTTTTTTTTTTCATTCTTTTTTTTTAAATTTAATTGGACACACACAAATTAATTGAAAAGGTTTTTTTTTGTTTCTAAAATGTTTTTTTTTTTTTTTTTTTTTTTTTTTTTTTTTTTTTTTTTCTTTGCAATCCTTTTTATGAAATGTAATTACACACACACGAAAAAAAAAAAATATAATAAATTCTTGCACTCATACAAGTACGGCTGTGCGAAGATTTTGATGATGATAGATAACGAAAAAAGAAAGAAAAAAAAAAAAAAAAAAAAAAATATACATATACATATTTATATATTTATATGTATACACCACTTCTATCCATGTCCAGAATTGTGTGCACACACACACACACACAGACAGCATTATGCATATATGCGTGTGTATATAAGTGTAAACCTTGGAACGTCCGAATGTAGGCTCTCCTTCATAGAAGTACGTTTCAGAAAAAGTGTTTGAGTTACTTCGGATATGTACAATTTTCATAGTGCAGATGGGGTTGATGACAAATGAGGAACAAATATTAGAAAAAAAACAAATCCACTAATAGGGGAAAACATAACACACTAAAGGTGCCACTTCTCAAACAGATGTTACTTCTCTAACTGCGAGGATGCGTGGAGAAAATTGAGGCGAAACTCCTCAGTAGTAGGTATACCTCCTGGGAGAGTACCTCTTCCTCTGGTGATACTTGTTGTTGGAGAGGAAATCTGATGATAAGTCAACATGTTTTGGAATACTGTGAGCAACAGACAAATCGAACATGTTCCTATGGTCTATCTTGGACATGTTGTTAAAATTTTCAATAAATAATTGTGCTAAGTTTTCATTCATATCAAAGTAGGATGAAAATCTATCTTTTGTATCAATTTTGATTTGTAAGATTTTGTTAAAGGTGTTAATATTCAAATCGTTTGATATTTTATTTACCCAGTAAATAATATCATCTTCGTTTTTCCATTTTCTATTTTTATTTATAAAACTTAGGGTAAGGGTTTCTGAGAGTCCATTAATTAGAGATCTTTTTTTGACATGTTCCTTTTTGGAAATAAGGGCTAGACATCTAGCTACTAATTCTGTATGGTCTATATGTAAATTATTATATTTTTCTACCAATTCATTTGCAGTTTTATGAAAAAAAGGTAATACATCTTCATTCACATTTTGAATTTTTTTAGATGCAATGTTTGAAGCACAAGTAAAAACATCTTCATTGTTTGGTAACTGTTCAATGGAAAATTTTATTCCACAATTTTTTTCAATTTTAATTAAATCTTGCTTATCTTCATTTGAAAATAATACAACAGATACTCCTTTCTTATTTGCTCTTCCAGTTCTTCCTGATCTATGAATATAAATTTCAGCATAATTCGGTGGGAAACATTGAACAACCAAATCGACATTGCTTATATCTAACCCTCTGGCAGCAATATCTGTAGCAATCAAAATTTGAAACATTCCTTGTCGAAATCTTTGCATTGTATGTTCTCTAGTAGTTTGGGCTATATTACCATGTAGTACTGAAAAAGAAAGAGATTTAAAAGATCCCTCAGAACATAAAATATCCGCTTCTAACTTGGTTCTTGTAAAAATAATTACTTGACCTCCATTCGATTTAACTAATATAATGTCCTCCAGTAGTAATGCCTTTTCTTTTATATCATATGGAGTTTTTATTGCAATGTGTTTAATATTTTTAGAAGTCTTATTAGTCGAATCAACAACATCAATAAAAAAGGGGTTCTTCATGTATTTTGATGAAATATCTTTAATCCACGAAGGAGTAGTTGCAGAGTAGAGTAATATTTGAGCATCTTTTAAATTTATATAACCTAATATTCTTTCTAAATCGTGGGTAAACCCCAAATTTAACATTTCATCAGCTTCATCTAAAACTAAAAATTTTATATTTTTAAGGGATAAATTTTTTTTTTCTAAATGATCTATTATACGACCAGGTGTTCCTGTTAATATTTCAATTCCTTTTCTTAATTTATTTTCTTGATATACATAACTCTCTCCTCCATATATGGACATAATATTAAAATTATAAAATTGACTTATTTCTTTAAACGTGTTTTCTACTTGTTTCGACAATTCTCTTGTTGGTTCTAGTACTAATATGGATGGATCCTTATTTTCATCTCCTTCATAGGAATTACTACTAAATGATCTATTTGTTAAGTGGGTATTTGAACTGGTAGTACTTCCCATGTTTTTCATTTTTAATTTATGTAATTTCTCCACTAACGGTATGGCAAAAGCTAGCGTTTTTCCAGAACCCGTTTCGGATCTTCCTATTATGTCTCTCCCATCATATATGGGCCTAAAGCTCTGCATCTGAATTTTCGTCATGTGCTTTATGCCTTTGCTAGATAAGAAGTTTACAATTTTCTCATTTATTTCTGGAATATCTGCGAATTTGTTCTTGTCTTGTGTGTTGTTCCTATCTGATTCACAACTGTTTTTATCATCATCACTACTACTCATTATAGGCATGGGTTCTTTAACTTCTACATTAGGAAAAAAAGTTTCGCTTGAAAGGTTTACATCCCCTACATGGTGTTCTATTTTTTCTCCATTTTTTGCACTTCTGAAGAAAAATCTTTTTTTCGTAACTTTTGGATGTATTCCATTTGGACCTATAAAAAAGTTCTTCTTCACAGAATATCCTACCACTACATTATGTATCCTCTGTTGGATTACATTAACACATAAAACTAGCAAACACAAAGTTATATGAATTTTTAATCTTGTACCAACATGTTTCAGTATACTTCTAGGTGATGATCTCATGCTTTGTTTGTGTCTTTGAGGATTTGCCTTCACTTCACAAACGGGTTCAGAGGAATGGTCCAAAACTGAGCATCACAGATAGAATAAGGCAAACGGAACTCCGAAAGTAGAAATAGGGAAATTAAAAAAAAGTGGCTACTATGGAGGGGAAGGGTGGAAAAAAAAAAAACAAAAAAAAAAAAAAAAAACATAGTCCTAAAATTTCGCATGTTTTTCTTTTTTCATGACATGTACAATAATGTACTGCTACTCTGCAAGTGCCTCCTCATCCGAAGTTATGATAAGTCATGTTCAATCATATTTTACCATGTTCAAGGGAGGAAAAAAGGAACCCCCAAGGGATTGAATATAAAATGCATATTTAGCACCACATATATACTCGCTTAATATGCAAGTATAAAAATTATTCCTTAAAATGGATCGTAAAAAAATATAATAAGCTTAAAAAAATGAGTATTTTTCAGAAAAGGAGAAGAAACAAAAAAAAAAAAAAAAAAAAAAAAAAAAAAAAGATCACAAAACTGCTTTAGTTCAAGGATGCTTTGGTGTTTTTCTTAAAATAGAAAAAAGTGTGAACTATCATAAGGCACAGTGCAAACATGTATAATGATAACTATACATATACATCTTTTTATTGTATGTTATATAATTGCAACTGTGTACACTCATGTATGTAGTTAATATATACATAATATATTATATGCACATCCATTATGTATGACGTGGCAGTATGCTCCTTTATGATCCTTAGAATCCTCAACATTGTAATGTTAAAAAAAAAAAAAAAAAAGAAAAGAAAAAAAGAGAGAACATCGAGGTGTAGAAGTGTGCCTTTTTCTCATGCGTGCCATTCCGTTGAAATTATTTTTGAATTTCCCATAAAACGGAGGTACTGTATTATATCGATTTTTCGCTTTACCTTTTTGCAATATGATGTTACATGGCATAGTTTGAAACAAATATAATTTTTCAAAATTTATTTGGAATATACATAAACTACATCACAATGACAATTTTTTTTTTTTTTTTTTTTTTTTAATAACACAAAGTTTGACGCTACCATTTATGAAAAACTTCTTTAAAGTTTCATCACATTTTTTTCATGTAACATTGGTGTCAATTTGGTTTTTTTACCTCCTCCCTCCATCCTTACGATTCCCCCAAGAGGTATGTGTTACTATATTTTTTGCATGATCCTTTTGGGGCAATTTGTTCTGTTTGGTTGTGAATTGATGGCTCACCTTTTTAAACCCACGTCGATAGGGGATTGTCATTATTTGAAAAAAAGAAAAAAAAGAAAATAGCCGAATGACGTGTATTTCCATGAAAATAATGGAATCTGAACTTCTTTCTGTTAGTCTACGTGGCGAAGAGGTCCTACCGAACATTACAAGGAAAAATGTCTGCCACAAGAGTCAGAGTGTGTTTCCCTCTCTCGATCTTTATCTCTCTCTCTGTCTGTCTCGCTCGGTCTCTTTTTTTTTTTTTTTTTTTTTTAGTGTTCAAGTATAACCACAACGATTGCCGTTTCACGAATATATATAGAGCTCTCATTTTACCATTACATGTCGCGCTCTTATTTCGTATTAAGTCCACCCGTGTGTTAAATATAAAATGAAAGGAACTACCAACGGTGATGATCTTGCACAAGGTCAAACATGTTTTCTCGTTAATCTTTTTCATTGTACCACATGTGAATGTTGCAAAGGTTTTTCTCTTTTTTATGACAAAAACGGGGGAAACGGCAAAAGCAGCAAAAGCAGCAAAAGCAGTCAAAACAGCCAAAATAGCCAAAAAAAGTCTCAAATGGCACAAAAATTATAGAAAAATTATGAACGTGGAATTTAAAAAAAAAAAAAAAAAAAAAAAAAAAAAGTCTAATATGACACTCAAATTATGGAAAAAATTATGAACATGGAATTAAAAAAAAAAAAAAAAAAAAGCTCTAATATGCAATAATAAATGGTCACAAGAATACACATATTTTTATATGCTGATTAGAATATGTTATCCTTAGTACTAGTCAAAAAAAGGGGATAAAAAAGGTATATATTGTCATTTAGTATATGTCTTTAAGAATATATTTAATCAATGAATTTGCAACATTTAATTGTTTTACATGTAATATATACAGTGGTATGTTTTACCCTTGTAGGGATTTTTTTTTTTTTTTTTGTATAAAGTATGTGATTTTTTCTGCATTTCAATCAGATAGATATTTCTTGTCTACACGATATTATTGAATACCTTTTTTTTTTATTTTGTTTTGTTCCGTGCACTTAATATACTACCCTGTTTCCCAAAATGGACGAGAATAAAAAAGTGTTTTACAACTATGTTGACAATATGCACACGAAAAATGAGGAAATACATAAAATACTGGAAATGAAGGAGAAAATAAAAAAGGAAGAAGAAAAAAAAATAGAAGAATCACAGAGAATTATAAAAAATAACCAAGTCTCTATAAATACCGTTGAAAATGCACACAAAAATAAGGAACTAATTTGTATAAATTTAAAAAAAGAAATATCAATTCAGAAAAAAAAATTGCAAAATATGAACGCCCTTTTAAGTGAATTACCTACTGTTATACAGGGGGAGGAGGACAAATACAACGAATTTAAGTATTCCCTAAAATGATGAGAAAACAAAAAAAAAATTAACATATTTTTATATTTTTTTTTTTATGAATGAATAAATGATTGGAGGTGGTTCACCTTCCAGATATCTTGGAACTTAGATGACATCGTGTAATAAAAGTACTTGTCGTGCACTACGGCACAGGTGTACAGTACACATATCCATGTTGCAAAAAACTTTTCTTTTATTTTCGATCAATTTTGATCAATCCTCGAAGGAACAAATCTCTCAGGGAAATAGACGAACTAAAGAACAACCTGGAGTCTCCTTTTTACATTAGAAACAATGATGATATTTGGGACAAAATAAAAAAATGCCAAATGAATATCGATCAGTTGAATAATGAAATACAAGAGACATATAACGAATTGAACCTTCTCAATACAGAATATAACACTTCTAAAGAGAAATTCCAAGTAACGGAAAAAATATATACATATATATATATTTTCCTCAAGGAGACGTATAGATAGTATAGTTATACTTGCACCTCCATTCGACCTCAACTATAAAAGTATAGCTTTATCAATTTTTTTTTTTTTTTTTTTTTTTTTTCTGAGTGCAGGACCTTGTTGAATTAGAGCGTAATAAAAATAAAAAATTAAAAAAGATATCAGTGGCATTACAGGTATAGTCCACACTTCGCTCTCGAAACCATAGCACATATGTCGTCTTTAATGTTCTCATTCTCATTGCAACAAATATTCATTCATATAGACAATTGCATGGATATATAAAAAAAAAAAAAAAAAATTCATCTCACTGAACATTTGAAATGTTTCACTATCACCATGATCAGTAAAAGTTTTACATTTTTTTTTTCCTTTTTTTGTGTAAAAAAAATACAGTTCATTCAAAATTTTAAAAAAGGAACAAATGGAAAAGAAAACGATGAAGATGATTTAAAAAAAAAAATGGAAGAAATAAATGACTTGTATAAGTAAAATTTTTATGAATACCCAATCATTTCATCAAATGATAAGTGTGTAACTCTTCTTTCAGGGGTGTGTGGGTATTTTTCTCTCCCATCTACTCTCCTTCATCTTTCTTCGATTTTTTTTTTTAAGTCCCTTTTATAATTTTTTCGTAAAGACCTTTTTCGACTAAATATGTCTTCAAATTTCACATTATTTTTGTGAAGTTGGTAAATTTTATTCGTCACTAAGTTCTCAGAATTGTTAAAAAGGTAAATGTTCCCTCCTGTGCTAGCTCCTCTGGATATTCTTCCGTTTCTGCGAAGGGCGAATCGTGTGGTTGTGTAATGCCTACGCATATGTGCAAGGGATGGCACACGCAGGGACGTAGTGGCTTAAAGAACAAGATATAAAAAACACAGACGAGTAGGTAGACAGACGAACAGATGGACAGATGCACGTTTGTATGATGCACTGGTTTGTGCGTAAAAAACTGGATAGACACATGCCCTTGCATAATTCGAATAAAAATAGTAATTTACACTATAGTGGGTGCTATCTCTTTATCTATTTACAATAATGTCTCATTTGTAGCAATTAATTTTGTGCTTTATTTTGATGAAGTGTGTGTATTCACTTTTACGTTGTGATGCAACCACAGTTCCGGTGTGCACATTCTAGTGGTACATGGGTTCAGTTGAACACATTTGAGGTTCACTAAAAACCATGGAAGTGGTGCATCTATGCATTTGCGTAAGAATAGATCCCCATTTTGTGTATTCTTATTTCGGTGTCGATTTAAAGGTCTATTCGTGTGGCCATTCTGATCTATCACTCGCGCTCGTCCTTACCTATGCGTATAAATGACAGCATTTGTAGGTGCATCAAAATGGAATAGATGAGTAATTCCTTTTACATCTACTCCTCTATGGATTATGTCGGTTGATACAAGTATTGACTTTTCTGAGTTCTTAAAATGATCCAAAATGATAAACTGGTCCTCTTTTTTTAAAGAAGAATTAAATGAGAAAATATCATCGAAATGAGATTTTAGTAAACTAAATGCATTATTGCAATTGCTAACCGTGTTACAAAAAATGAGAACTTTTTTGTGATTTTCTTTCGAAAGGATATTTTTTATAGCTTTTACTTTTTCTTTAATATTGTACACGGGTAAGTTTATAAAATTATAATTAATGAATGGATGAATATTGTGGAGATAATTCGTTTTTATAAAAACTGCATCTTTCACGTATTTTTTTATGTTTTGATATACTGATTTTTTCCCCTTATTACATAACGTGGATGACGTTAGAATTGAAACACATTTAGTATTTTTTAATTTATTCATTTGCTCATAAAGTCTTTTCATATATTTTATGATTGGGTTATCGAACATAATATCTACTTCGTCCATTATGAAAAAATTTAAGCTTTGCAAAAATGTTGCTACAGCTTCCTGGTTTTCTTTCATATGAGTGACAAACCGTTCGGGAGATGTAATCAGGATCAGGTTCTTGTTTTTGTTTAAGTCTATCGGGTCTTCCTTGTTCAAAATGTTGATTTTTACTTTAACATTTCTACGAAGGAGGCAAGGTGGGAGAAAAGTGTTCGTACATATATATATATTTTCTTTTTTAAGGGTAGACTTATGATAATTAGATTGAGATGCCTGTAATGTGGAGAACTCTCCGTTGAGCATGTAAACATATTTTACCGTGAGAGACGTCGAACAACATCGTGGCATTGCCTTCTTAGTAATCCACTGTACTGAAAAATTAAGACAGAAATTTTATCGTCCTTTGGGCGTTGCTTAAGGATGTGGTTTAGAACTAAAATTATGTACGATAAGGTTTTTCCTATTCCATTTTCTGCTCCTATGATTACATTTTTCATATTTTGAGAATTTTTATTATAATATTGCAATAAGTCAAACTGAATTACTGATGGTGTGATAATATTATTTTTGTTTAATTCTTCAACTAGGGTTGGGTGAACAAGTAGTTTCGAAAATGTTTGATCTTTTTTAAAAAAAATTCCTCCATCTTTGTCATTTTGTATTTCATTTTTACATGGAAAATATTCAACTGGTGGAGGAGAGAAATGATTGTAATGTCTTTGCAGATTTTTTGAAAAAATTATTTTACCCTCCCCAGTTCTTACATTTTGAAGTATACCTTTGTTAAACGAAAAAGAAGCATTCACTAATTTGTTAATGTTAAAAGTATTTATTAATTTTAAAAAAGAAAAAAAAAAAAAAAAAAAACTCAAAACAGGCGCAAAAAACATAATAATTCTTGACTCTTAATATTTTTTTCTTCTATTTTGTCCCTAAATTCTAATAAGATATAAAAGAGAAAAAAAAACATACAAAAGAAATGAAGAGAAATATAGAGAGACATGAAGAAGGAGAAGAGGAGCAACAAAAGGTAGAGGGTAAAGAAACAAAAGAAAAATATATACATAAAAACGACACTAATGGGGAACATAATAATAAAAAAAAAAAAAAAAAAAAAAAAAAACGGAAAAAGTTATAATACTTGGAAGTGCATGTAAATCTATATATGGTGTCACAGTTGTTAACAAAATGATGTAACATGGGGTGTTATATTTATGTGTCACTTTGTGGTGCTTCGTTTTCTCTTCTGTCCAATTTTTTTTTTTTTTTTTTTTTTTAACACTAGTTGTATATGATACTGGGTACACTTTTGCCAATTGTCAAAAATTCTACAATTGTTTTGTGCCTCTGTATGTTAGTAATATGCACTTATGTAAATATTTTACGTTTCGTTATGTGTACATATGTGTATATTGGTATACGAATATGAGAAATCGGAGAGTGTTCATGAGTAGTTGTGCATACCATCCATATCATGTAAATGGAAAATGAAGGAGAGTGTTTATTTATTTATTTTATTTTTTTTTTTTTTAGAACAGTTTTAAATGGTTGGATGTGGACACAAAATATGTCAATACAAAATGGTGAATGAGTGAAGACGTGGAAAGGTGAAAAAGTACAAAAATAAAATGTGATTCAAAAGTGACAAATGTTTTGTTTTTAAAATTTCATCCATTGTGAACAAAAATGAAAAAAAAAAAAAAAATTCTGAACGTGTGCATAAAAAAATGTGACAAAAAAATAATAATAGAATATATGATGATGATGATGCAAATGAATGTGTGCTATTATATATATATTTTCAATTCTGTCCAAAAATTAATCTTCGTGCACAATCTATTTCTTGTTCATTTTCTTACCATGCACTAATTTATTCCTCTTATCCCTTATAATTAGTAAAATCCATTTGTTCTTTTGAAAAAAAAAAAAAAAAATTGCCAATGAGTTGACACAAATGTGAAGTATTTTTGGATAGAACAGCAAAATCAGTGCTATTTTTTTTTTCCTTTTTGGTAATTGGACATACGAAGGTAATATACACAATGCTGTCTTAGTCTTAGTACTTTCGCGAAACAGTTTCGTGGTGGATGAAATTTCTGATAAGTAATAACATTGTGTCTATGTGCAATAAACACACGTGCGTATGTTCACAAATTGGGAGCACAGTGCAGAGTGGAAAATGAAGCGAAATATAACAAAGTGATGCAGCGTCAAACAAAATAAAGCGAAATATAACAAAGTGATGCAGCGTCAAACAAAATAAAGCGAAATATAACAAAGTGATGCAGAGTGAAGCAAAATAATGCAAAGTAAAAAAAAAAAAAAAAAATTCATCAAAATGGAGTAAACGTTTATCTATCTGAGGCTGAGGCAGTATGGGAATAATTACGAAAAATAACAACTGTACAAATTTACATATATATCGGTGAAAGAATATAAACATTCATATAAAATTTATCTTACACAGAAACTAAAAAAAATATGTGAATTTATCAACAGATCAAGAGAAAAAATAATTCAAACGAACGAGTTTAATATAATTACCAAATTCCAGTGTTATAGAGAGACCTTCACTTTTGAAGGCATGATATTTTTATCCAAAAGTGTTCATAGTGAACTAGAATTTTTTTTCTTTCACTTTTGGCACATTAAAGGTAGTGTAGTAAAAAAAAAAAAAAAAAGTTATTCAGCTGTTTATGGCACACATTTGTGGGTAAAAACACGAATAAGGGAAAATCCACTATTTCTTTAGCTTTTTTTTTTTTTTTTTTTTTTTTTTTCATGTTCATAATTCTTCAAAAATATCCATTTTTTATATTAAAATAAATAAAAAAAAAATATGAACAAGCAATGTGAAAAATGTACAGGTGAAAAGTTAGATATAAAAAGAAATGAAAAAAATGTGTGCACATATTGAGATGAGGCTGAACAAAGTTTGAAACAAGCAACGAGTAGGTAGTAGTGAGTACAGCAAAAATAATCTATACAGGAGAAGAACAAAATGCCAGAAAATATACCAAGTTTGGCGAAAAACGAAAAAAAAAAACTAATATGGCATATTTTTCTGACTTTGCTAAGAAATGTGATCTAGACGGATGCAGGAATCATGATTTTCTTCCATTCAAGTGTGAATACTGTGGTTTAAGTGTACTAATGCAAAAATTTAGAAAATGCATTTTCTATTTTCAACACGCGAATGTTGCTTGCAATATATATATACCATACTTATGAAGGGTTTGCAAGAATCATTCGATATATGATTTGTGCCTTTCAAGATGAATGTGCTTACATATATGTGTATCACCACATTTTAACGTAATTTTTGAACATATGCACCAGCATGGTATTTCACACGATTCTACATTTGTCGTCTCACACTCCTCTTCCCAAATTCCTCGTCCCACATTCCTTTTATTCCCCTCAGTTTTGTGAGTTGCACAGAAAAATTCAGGAGCACGCTTGCGCGAATTTAAAAAATGCAGATTTAAAAAAAGTTGTTTTATGCAAATATTGCAATGGTGTTCTTCCAGATGTAAGTCAAAGAGTGCATACAGAGCAGATTTCACAATTGTGTCTATATCCCACTTGCGTGTGTTCATGCCTACACTTAGTAAGAACCTGCATGAGATGATAATACACACATTTGCACGTATCAAATACATTGAGGCTTGTAGACCTTGGAATGCATAAAGGTTTTATCCCCCTCACTTCACAAACGCAAGCACAAATAGATATTTTACTTTATTTTATTCTTTACAAAATTGCAGAAAATGGAGGAAATAGAAAAACACTTAATTTACAAGTGCACCTTTAAGAAAAAGAAAAACTCAATAATGATATGCTACAAGAAAGACTGCAAAACGGTAATGAGACAACATTCGTATAACATGTAATTAAATGGGGTAAAGTGACTAAAAGAGAGTCTATTAAATTCCATTGAAAGGGCACATAAATGTAATGATAAGACATGAACCCCCCTCCACTACCCAGAAAAAAGAAAAAAAAGAAAAAAAGGAAAAAAAGGAAAAAAAGGAAAAAAAGGAAAAAAAGGAAAAAAAGGAAAAAAAGGAAAAAAGGAAAAAATTCGAATATGAAAAAGCACACGCATATATCTGTACATATATATATGTATATACATTTCCACGCTTCTCTTTTCCAAATAAAACTGAAAATTCGCCAGGTTTTGAATGGTATCAATAATTATACCTGTAAGAAATGTAAAAAGAATTTCTGTTTGCCTCATCGTTATTCTGATGCACACGGGTGTGTTAAGGAGAATTCTGAGAAAAGCTTTTTCAAAAGTGAGAAACTTGCGTAAAAGCAAAAATGGATTAACAAAAAAAAAAAAATGTAACTGTGTTGTATGACCATTTTTTTTTTTTTTTTTTTTTTTTTTTTTTCTCACGTTTCTATATGTGTAGGTCCATTCGATTTAAGTTTGGCTCAAACATATTCATCCTTATTTTTATTTTTTGAAAATAGAATATTTTTTTTTCTTTTAGGAATCCGTCAAAAAATGTGGCACCCTAAGATTACAAATGCAGAAAAGTGAGCGAAAAAAGTAATGTTCAATATAATAACTTCGTCTTCTTATGTTATTCCCAAATGTACTCAATTCAGTATTATCTCGCTAGCATGGACGTATGACATATTTTTACAAATCCATATTCGAGCATGGCATTTGTTAGTTTTTTTTTTTTTTTTTCTTTTTTTGTATATCCCCATTTTTTTATCATATATATATATACATACATACACAAATACAGTTTCATTTTTTTTCACATTATTCCGAATTTGTTTTTATGGCTAGAGAATTTTTTTTGCATTTGCTCCATTTTGCTGAACATGCAGACTTACACCTTACCAACTTTATTCATTAAATTAGAATTAAGGAATGAATGACATAATAACATACATTCACTTGGTAGTGCAAGGTACGTAAGAGTTGTATGGTAGGAGAGAAAAAAAAAAAAAAATTATAGTAACAGTTTTGAAATATCAAAGTGGTGTAAAAAAGGCTAGCTGAGATTTTATGGGGATTGCAAAAAATGATATCATAAAAATGAGACAAAACTGTGAAACGTGAGAAATGCAACACAATGTTTATATGTAGTCTTGAAAAGATGGTATTGGTGACAAGGAATGGGTGCTAATTTGGAGTGAATCCGAGCACGTTGACTTTTATATAGTCATCGCACATGCACACATATTCATACACATGTTCATACCCATACACATACCCATACAAACCAGACGCTGAAAATATCTTGAACGCGAGAGAAGGGCTATATGGGGACCTTCCTATTTTGGAAGTTGAAAAATCGCCTGACCATGTTGTAAAGTGGTTCACACAAAACATATTTGGATATACAAATATTAACAGCTATGTTTAGAAAATTTAAAAAAAGGAATTTTATTTTGTGTCTCGTGCTGAGAATGTTATTTCCATTGGGGCCATAAAAGCTCAAGCCGCTAGCTGAGTACGAGAACAAATCGAGAATTCTGAATTTTGTCGCTTTGGAAACTTCATCATTGCAATTCATTCGAAATAAACATGTCAATTTATTTGGACCTGCAACTGTCAGATACAGCAGGAAGCTGTTTATCAGGGTATAGTACCTACAAAGTGGGTAATGGGTGGTGATGGTAGGTCATTTGGGGGCTGGCTAGCTGGGTCAAGTAGTGGATTGCAATGAACTCCACAGATGGGCAGACATACAGATGTGCAGATGTGCAGATGTGCAGATGTGCCTGTACACAGTTCTGCACAATGCTGCACAAGGAGGAGGGGGTGGGTGGTGGACTTACGTCATGAAGGTATAATTGGAAAATATGGGTTTCCTGTACTTTCCACCAAAGGTAAAAATAAAAGCACTATTGACAATTTGGAAACAAAACCAGATGCAGGTCAGAAAACTCTCGTAATTATCACTCATAAGCCACCAAGAGGATTTTGGGGCTGCGGTATTCATTTCGTAAGATGATGGCAATTCATAAACATAAAAAAATTGGAAAATAATTATGTAGAGAAAGAAAAAATTAATAATCAAATTTGAAAGTAAAGAAATGATAGTTTGGGCTCCGACGATACTAGAGGTTGGTGTTTGTGTTTTTAATTTTCGAGCTGGTTTGGATAATGTCATTGATTTTGCTAATAGTAACAATATCACATTGTCAAAAAATAAGTATCCATATTCTGACATAACAGCATGAGCATTCATAAAAAGTACAATTTTAACTATTGAGATCATGAATCCGTAGAGGAGCATATACTTATAGCAATTTATAGATGTCACTAAACAAGCTCTTCCTTCTCTTAATATATCAATAACACTTTTTAAGTTTTCATTTCTAGTACTAAAAGGCGATACAACAGATGTGTCAGCATTGGAAAGAGCTAAACCTGCATGGGAAATTTTCAAAGCACCACAATCGTTGCTACCATCTCCACACATACCTGAAATGTAATCATATTTTATAAAATCCTTAATCACCTGCATTTTATTATTTGGGGTTAGTCTCGAAAAAATTCGTACACGTAATAAAAAATCTTTATATTCTTCTGATTTTTCAAAATTGTATGTATTGAAATCTTCTTCTTCATTCTGAATTTGAAAAATGTTATGTCTTATGTATATGTACGCCTCACCTGTTAGAATTATTTCTTTATACATGTTTCTGAACAGCACATCTTCTTTGCATACTTCTTTATCATTTTGTATGTTTACAAATATTATATCTTTTTCTTCCTCTCGTACGTATCCATACACAATCACATTTTCTTTGGGTTCATTATTTTCATCGTTCGTGTACTGAGAATTTTTGCTATGTGTCAGGTTTATTTGGCTCATGGATTCTAAGAAAGGTGTCTCTTCTCCCACGTCATCTAAGTTATTCCCCTCTTCGTCATGTCTACCTACAGTGTGGTCGCACTTGTTGTGGAGGTTGTTGCTTCTGCATCTACTGCATCTACTGCAGCCATTCCGTGCGCTTCTTGCATTATTGCTCATGTTAATATTCGAGGCATAAGCAAGATTTGCCTTACTCCCTGGAAGAGACCTGTCCTCCTCCTCCTCCTCCTCCTGTCCTTTTAACATCACATTCTTGTGATTTCCACTCGTTTTATTCTCTATCTTCTCACGTGGAAGAAGCAACTCGTTTTCTCCCATCTCGTAGTTGCCACTAATGTCGTGATAGAACTGGGGGATTGCATTTGCATTGTGCATATCATTGTAGGCGTGTTCCATTTCTTGCATCTGTTCCTGTTTCTCTTTCTCCTTAATAGATGTTGAGACGAAGGATTTCTGTTGGAGATCCATTTTTTTTGTGGTACCTCCATTTCGAGTTGCTTCCTCTAATTGGTTTGCATTGCTCCGTTGATTTGATTCTAACAGATCTTTAGCACGAGTGTGGTGGTGAATGTTTTGGGATGGATCCAAATAAATGAAATTGTTTCTAGAACCCACTGGTTGTGTAACGGGATCTGCCCCAGATGCAGGACCCGCTTTTTCACCCCACTGCGTGTTCGATTTGATAAAATTTTCAAAAGACAAGAATTTGGTACCAGTAGAAAAAAAAATATTTTCCTTGTCATTTGATGAACACTCCTCAGAAATGTTATTCGAATTCATGTTAAGAGATAAAAAGGATTCATAAAAATTAATGTTATTAAATAGGCCAATTTTGTTTCCAACGTATAGACAATTGTAAGCATTGTCACCAGTTAATATGACAGGTCTGATAGATGAATTTTTCAATGTTTGAATGACTTCTTGAGCATCTTTTTTAATGTAATTATTAAACATAATAAGAGATAAGAAGTTCATATTTTCTTCTAATTCCTGTCTTGATAATTGTAATATTTCATGAATAGACATATTGTGTATAATTTTGAAAGCTAGTCCAATTACATAGAACCCGTTTTTACTATATTCTTGTTCTTTTTTTTTAAAAAAATAAACTTCTTCATTTTTTATACATTTCTGATAAATTTTATCAAAAGATCCTTTTGAAAAAACAACAAATGATTTCTCTCGAAAATTGAAGGAACCATAAGCTAAAGTAGTTGATATTTTTGTGAAATAATCAAATTCGTACGTTTTTAAAATGTCGAAATTTTTTAAATTATAATTAATTCTTAAGGAAACTTTTTTTACATTCATGTTATATTTATTAACATAGTTACTTATTTTCATTTCTGTGGCTTCGAATAATCTTTTATCTATTTCATTTCCATATACATTGTTAATATTTGTATCATTATAAACACAAGCACAACCAGCTAATGCATATATTACTAGATGGTAGTTATGCGGAGTGTTTTTCAATGTTGCCTTATTAGTCCACATTAATTTGCTGTTATAAAGAAGAGATGTCACAGAATTCATCGAAGAATTAGATTCGTTAAAAAGACAGTTTCGAATAGGGAGTGGAGCTTCTTCTGTTTCGTCTACTTGTTCATCATCAGATTCTATTGACATGTCACAAACATTTTCACGTCCTACAATGGGTGCATTCATTTTTTTTTTTTTTTTTTTTTTTTTTTTCCCATCTTGATTTGTCGATTCATGCACTTGGTCAACATTACAAGTGTCCACGTCAATGAGGAAATTTTGCTCCTCCACTGCGTCTCCTTTCCCTTCCTGCAGAAACATTTCTGAGTCCAGTTTTGCACTCTCGCCATTTGGAACGGTCGTAAATACGTTCCCATTGTAGTTGCCACGTCTACTGTCACTTCTGCTGCCACGTCTACTGCCACGTCTACTGCCACGTCTACTGCCACTTCTACGGTCACTTCTATTTCCACTTCTGCTGCCACTTCGATTTTCACCCCGATTATAATTGTGATGATCTTCTTCTTCTCCTTTTACATTGTCGTTTCCTCTCCTACGCTGTGCACTATTATTCACGACCCTCTCCTCATGTGCATATTCTCCCTGGGAATGTTGAAAAAGTACCTGTTCATCTGTTTCATCATAACTTTGAAAAACATCTTCGCTGGAGGATTGGACATTTCGTTGAACATTCTCTTGGGTTCCATGGACCTCGTGTTCGTGCAGATTGTTGTGATTTGGAACATGCTTATTACCATGGTTCTCATTTGAATCGTTTAAATTTAGATCACTTCCATTGATATCTTCATTTGCATCGCATCTATCTTTGATCTCTGTCCTATCGTTCGAAGATGATATATTATGGATTTCCTTTCCCTTGACATTTTCTCCATGGGAGAGTGCAGAAACCATGTTAGATGCACCCCTTGTACCTTTTATGCTTGAATATTGAGAAGGTCTCGATGAAACATCTGCCTTGTCGGGACTTCGGATCCCCTCTTGCATATTTCCTCTGCTCCTGCTCATGCCTCTGCTTCTTCTTCTTTTTTGGTTCTGATAAGTAGTACCATTTTGAGAAGTACCGTTGAAAGAAGACGTCCTGTCCCGACCAGTAGCATTCTGAATCTGATTAAGATGCGTTACTTTTTTATGGGAAGAATTTTCTTCAATTGGTGTAAAGTTTGAGTTAATTATAGAATGATAATTTTTATACTTAACATCATAAATGTCGTTTGATGTACTCTTGTTATGATTATCTGGCCAGGTTAGTTGATTCTTCTTATATTCATTCAAAATATTATTGCTAAAATGGACACCTGAAAATTCAATTTTATGACCTGTTAAGGTACCAGTTTTATCAAAAAAGAAAATTCGGATTTTTCCACATATAGGTATTCTAGATGGAGCGATACAACAAATATTTTTTTCATTTTTCAATCTATTTGTTGAGATATTTAATCCTATATTCAAAACAACAGGTGTCCATACTGGTAGTATTTGAGACAGCGTTCCAATTGTATAAAATATGGATGTCATGTTAAGTCCTAAGGTATGTATTTGAAAATACATGCATATAAGAGAGAAAAAAATAGTAAATGCGAATACTATGGGTAGCTGAGAATCATATTTGAATAAGAGAGGGTTTGGAAATAGAACATTTTGCATATATTTTCCTTTGTATGTGTATATACTAACGTTTATAACTACTGCGTATATATTTTCTGTTGTATTGAGAGTTGATATCACATCAGTGCCAGAGTAGAGGATATTGTTTTCATTGAACTTTTGTTTATTTCGCTCGTTCGAACCCATGGGAGATGCACTCATAATGCTATTTTTTTGTAGGGATGAAATATTTTTCCATTTTTCCTTGTTGTTGTTATGATTCGATGATTCCAATCGATTAATGGAATCATTGTTAGAGGAGGAATAAGTTCCATCGTGATGATAAGCGTTGTTGAAAGATGTTAACTTTGATATGCAGGTTTTTTTCATTGGTCTTGATTCACCTGTGAGCAAACTTTCATCCATTAGAAGTTGCCCATTAAGAAGTAAACAATCACACGGGATGGTCATATTCGAATTCACAATTATGATATCTCCAATAGTTAATTTACTGGATGGTATATGTTGCACAACTGAATTTCTGTAAACATCGACAAAAATGTTATTACTTGATTGGATGTTATCATAAATTTCTTTTTTATTTTTTTGATTTTTCATAATTTTATTAACAACACTTAGTAGTGATATGGCTAGCCAAATGAGAGATGTTATGACTTCTTTCCAGAAGAAATTCTTATACGTTATAAATAACTGAAACATGTAGATACCGTCTAGTAGTTCTCGTTTTATATTTTTAAAAAATGAATAAAATTCAAGATAGATATTGTTATACCCGTATTCATTTATATTGTTAATAATTTCCTTATTATTTAACCCTCCTTTTTTTAATATATAATGAAAATCTAGATTCTTCACTTTCTCTTCTATGCTGTGAGCAATGTTATAAAATGCATCTTTTTCGTCATTATACACATACTTCATACTTCTAAAAAAAAAGTATCTAATATTTTTTTCGCTTGTTAGAACTCTTATTTTGTGTACTGTCAATGTTGGATGAAAAGAACATTCAGTTCTCCAAGTAGATAAGCCATCTTTTCTTCTCGTCTCGAATCGAGAACCAAATTTATTTTCATTTATTTTTTCTCCTAATCCGTTGCATTTGTCTTTCATGAAGTGTTCATCTAAGGAATGTTTCGTGTCTAAAATGTCTTCATACTTTTTGTTTTTGTAATATGTCCCATGTTCCACATTCCACTTTTGTTCATTTCGATGTGGTTCATTTGGCCATTCTCCAGTATTTACAAAATTTTGCTCCTTCAAGTATCCCCATTTGACTATTTCAGAAACAAATGTACGTTTTATTTTAGCTTGGTATCGTAAGTATAGATTTATATATTGTTTAAAACAGGTTCTACATCTGTGATGAAATTTATGAATCCAAGTTGTTAGATGCAAGTACGTTTTTTTAAAGGATGTTTTGTATGAGTTCGAATATTCATCACTCTTGGTGTATATAAGTACGTAATTACTTTCTTTCAGTAATGCGGGTTCGAGAAAAAAGCTGTGCATATGCTTTCTTACAGTTAAAATTCCATAAGTAATGGAAAAACATAGTAAGAGAAAAATAAAGAAAACACAAGCGCGGTCATTCCATAATACTTCACCGTTTTCATGTATACAATATTCATTTGCAATTAAAAAAATGATAATAATATGTGTACATAAATAAAGTATAATAGATGCATTTTTCAATGCAAATCCTATAAGACTACTTTTATATCCTTCTTGTCTAACCACAATATCATCAGAATCATCTGGCTCGTAAATGTAATTAAAGAATTCTGAATTTTCATTTTTTCCATATGATTCATTATTTTTATATTTGTGTTTTTCATTTATTAAATTCTTAAATCGATTCTTACGTATGCACCATATCAAAAAGCTTATTAACAGGAAAAAGTAAAAAAAACAAATGTATTTCAATTCAGAATATGTAATTGGTAGTTTATCTGATCTGCAAATTTCACCCATCTTTTTTCTTCCTCCTCATGTGAAGGAATTAAAAAAAGAAAAAGAAGGAGGAGGAGGAAGGAAGGGCGCAACGAAAGATGGAAGGATATACAGATGGATAGAAGCACAGATGTGTTTTCACGATACCTTTTTAAACAGTTGCACACAAAATACAGTGTTTCTCGCCTTGTGTCTCATAAAAGCAGAATCATAAGCTACGTTGTGTGTTATGCATCTATTTCATGGTGCGAAATGGGTTCTCCTTATGGAGAAAAAAATACGTAGATGTGAAGATGTGAAGATGTGAAGATGTGAAGATGTGAAGATGTGACGATGTGATGATGTGACGATATGAAGATGTGAAAATATGGAAATGCGAACCAAATGGCAGTGTTACAAAAATAAAATCTATTACAAACAGGAGTCTGATGGGATTCTTCCCCTGTTAATCTGGTTCATTGGATTATGCATGAACACACACTATTACATTTTTTACATGCGTAAGTTGTTCAACTTTGTTTGTTGAGGTACAATGGGAACCCCTGTTCGCTTGACAGAAGTAGGGGCTTCTTCATCATCCTGAACTTATGAAACTACAACTTCACGTTAGTATGAAAACTCCCCAACGGCTAAAATAATCAGAACAACTTTTCAAAGTGCTTGTGTAATGAGCTATTAAAACTGGTAGATATTATAAGTAAATGTGTTAATATGAAGAAAAAAAAAAAAAAAAAAAAAAAAAAAAAAAGGGGCTCCTTTTATATATATATATATATATATATATATATACATACATATGTATAAAATATAATATAGTTGTGCAGGTATTTCACCCCTTAAGATATGAGATTAATGCAAATTGTGGTTAAATTTTTTTTTTTTTTTTTTTTTTTTTTCTGTGCATTCGATGCGACTTTCCCATGTGGGAGGATCTAAAACTTTTCTCGAAAAAATGTTTGTGCGATTTTATTTTCCTATTCGTTTTTCGATTCTCTAAAGCGAACAGGTCACGTGAAACGACGTGCAATTTTATTCTGTGTCGAAAAACTATACATTTGCTTTTTCTCATTCGCTTCGTCCTGCTTCTTTTTCTACTATTGTTACCTTGTTACGTGGTTACATTGTTACGTTGTCACATTGCTACTTCACTTCTTCGCCACTTTACTTTTTTTTTTGTTTTTTTTGAATTTGTAACCGTGATGAGAATGCAGCTTCTAGTTTCTTCTTCGCTACCCGTGTTTGAAGCATGCAGCGGTTGGGGTGACTAACAAAATTGTGGATATTAGAGATATGTGATTATTCTTCAAAGATCTTTCAAATGTTTCTTCTGCAAAGTTTTTCCATTAAAATAGGGATCTCCTAAGATACACGCCTAATAACATTAACACATTACACGTTGAAAAATATTCTTTTTTTTTTTTTTTTTTTTTTTTTTTTTTTTTTGGTTAATAAAGTAATTCTTGTACCATCTTGCTATAAAAAAATAAGGTTAAAAAATATAAAGATTCACCGTGTGAAGAAAAAAAAAAAAAAAAAAAAAAAGAAACAAGCAATCATGATGATAATCCATTAATCTCATGCATTGAAAGAAAATGAAAAAAAAATGAACCCAAAGAGACAATCGGTACAACAAAATGTGCATGCACATGTTTATATATGGTATATATATATATATATATATATATATATATATATATATATATATATGTGTTTGTTTGTATGTATATGCATGTGTGTAGCTCCTTTTCGACACTAGTAGTCGATTTGTTTATTTAGAATGATTAAACGAGGAAAAACTTTGAGAACCAAGTTTGAATACAAGTACCTGTTTTACACACTGTCGTGTGTGTCCATCAATATTGGTGAGTGAATAAGAGAGAAGGGATATGTCTGAGTTACATGATACTTTTTTTTTTTTTTTTTTTTTCTTTTCTTTTGTATCTCGTGAAGGGAAGTCTTTTTCGAAGTTGTCTCTCGTGCAGATACCGCTTGACTAGTTTTTAATTCGCACAATGGCTGATTTATATCTATTGGAGAATCGAAATGATACATGCTTTTCCTTGTCAGCATTTTAAGCAAGTCGATGTGCATACAAACTTTCAAGATACAAGCACACACTCATTCATTCATTCACTCACACGCACGCATGCATATATGCATGTATATATATATATATATATATATATATATATATATATATATATACACATATGTGCATCTGACCCCTGGTTCCCCTCATTTTACAAGTCCAAATTTGTACCCACATTTTCACAGGAATTTGCAATGAATACATTAAAAGGAAAAGAGAGAAATACAAAGATGAGGAGCATAAAATTTACTTCCACTTGACGGAGAAGAACTTTGAATATATTGATAAAAAAAAATATGAAAGAAGAATTGAGAAAATATGTAAAAATTTCAATTTACCACTTGTGACCATTTCAAGGGCAGCAAATAATTACTACCCCATAGATTATCATTTACAGTACTTGAATGATCTTTTTGAAAAAAAAAAAAAAAAAATTTTTAAAAGTTTTATAGAAAATGAGAAAAAAACAAATTTAACAATAGAGAAACAAATAGATGCATTAATAGAAGATTTAATTAAACATGTTGAGGAAGAGTTTGCAGTTGAGGAGACAGATTTGGAATGTTCTCCTTCTTCACTATTTTTGAGAAACCTAGATTGGAGTTATTTGAAGGAATTCATTTGGGAACGCAAAAAGGTTAAGACTAAATCAGTAGGAGAATTTTTAGATACATTTATAGATGAGTTGTATGTTTATGTATACATCTATCTACTATGCAACTATCACAGAAACAATTTTTTCGATTTTGTAAAAAAGAGAAGGTCGTATAGACACTGCAGTGAGAATGTTGGAAAGGACATTGGTTTGGAATTAAATAGCTACTTGGGGATAAACAAGAAAGAAGCGATATCAGACAGTAAGGAAATGGATGCTGCAGATGGAACTACAATAGTAGAACCTGTCATCGAACCGGTGAATTATGTTCTAAATATTGATACATTGCGAGAAATACAAAAGAGCTTATCTACCTATGGAGTAGTCGTTTTGAAAAATTTTTTGAAAAAAGAAGATATAGAAAAAATAAAAAAAGAATTATTTCTTGACAAAAAAGAAATAAATAATATATCATCACTTTTGATGCATAAGGATAATAACATTTTCTGCATAAGACCAACACGGGGAAGACAATATTGCATACTACGTAATAGCAAAGTTAGTGACTTGTTTACAAACATACAACAATATTGGATGAACATAATATATTCATACTTACCTATTGGTGGGTATGTAAATGTATATGATTTATTTCACAAAAATGTAATTTTTAAATTAAAGGATTTTAAAGACATAAGCATGAAAATTGAACAGAATGACAAATTATTTTTATCTGAATTGCAATTAGTTAACAATGAACCATTGAGTGAAATTCAATCACATCATGTAGACAATGGACTAAGTGGCATAAGTGTCATTTTGCCATTAAACAAGATAAACGATGATTCTGGAAATTTCGAATTTTTTCTTGGAACTCATTTATTCTCATCCGTAAAAATAAAAAAAAAAAAAAAAATTCATAATTTTAAAAAATTTATGGAGGTATATTACAAAACAGGATCATCATTTATTCCTGATATAAATCCACAAGACATCATCATATACGATTCCAAAATTTTGCATAGAGGTTTATCAAACAATTTATGGGTCAAAAATTCTTCCTTAATTTATCGATATGATTATAAAAAATATCCTCCACCTGGTCAGGATTTTATTGACATTTGTTCTTACAACTTTATTGGCAAATGCATTTCGTTTTTTAATTTTTTGACAAAATATTTTTAGCAGTTTTGTATTTAACTTTTATAGTGGGTTGTCGTAACATAGAAGAACAGGCGATAAGCAGGGGTGCAAATCTGCATGTCCTGTTTTTTTTTTTTTTTTTTTTTTTTTTTTTGTGATTGCACAACTCATGTATCTGGATGTGCAAACGCGAATATCGTGTGCATGTCGAATACTTATGATATACCCACATTTATAACCATTTTGCATTTCCAGAATTTATGCGCACCTTTGGTACTTTTTCATTCTCTTGCAAATGAGTCCCCTCCACCCCCACAAATCTCAAATTCCACACATTTCATTTATTTCCCAACAGCATTAGAAGTGATAAGATTGCTTAATTTTTATGTTTTATTTTACCTCATTTTGTTTTCCTTTATTCTTTTACATTTTTTTTCCATTTTGGAAATACACAAAGTGGGAACATATATATCTGTCCCTTGAATAATCTTCTTTTTCACGACACAAATGTGTCGAATAAACACATTAGAACATTTCAAAATTATAGATCAGTGACAATAATTTTGCGTATAAGTTTTTCTCGTTCTCGTTCTCGTTCTCGTTCTCTTTCTCTTTCTCTTTCTCTTTTTCTTTCTCTTTTTAATTTTTTTTTTTTTTTTTTTTTTTTTTGTTTTCTTTAAATGAGGTAAAAAATAGTTAATAATTTTTAAAAGAAAAAAAAAAAAAAAAAAAAAAGGTGATTGGGACTAAGGGGAGGCAGCAAAAGGCACTGAAAATTTTTATTGAAAGAAGAAAACCCCACCTGGTGTTTTTTTTTCCCTCTGCTTTACATTCCACAAAAAGGGGGTAAGAAAAGGAGGCAGAGATTTTTCTTTTTTTAATATTTGTTAGAAAAAGAAATATCAATTTCTTCTCTTTTCTTTTCCATTTTAAACAAAAGCATAAATGTGAGATAATGTGAAAAATAGAAAAGTGGGTAAAATGAAACAAAATGTATATTCGCATTTTTATGTATGTTTACGGGGTGAAAAAAAAAAAAAAAAAAAAAAAAGCTACATTATTTTGTTTTACCGCGCTCTGTTTTGCCATGCCTTTGTTGTTCCCAACTTTGCTTTCTTTTTTCTTCCCCTTTTCACATATAATCCCAATCGGGAACAACGCATTTATTACATGTAAATAACAAATAGGCATGTGCATCAATACATATGTGAGCACTAAATTCAAGAGATAAATTACTAGTTAAAAAAAAAAAAAAAATATATCAACATTGTGTATAAAATATGAACCCCCGGCCACACGTTGTTATGAAGTTTACCGACCCTCCCCTGTGTATATATATACTAATCCGAATGGCTTTTAACAAATTGACGCAAGGAAAAGAAAGGATGATAAATCCATTCATAATAATACATAATTCAGTGCATATGAATGATACACGACTCAGTGCATATGAATGATGATACACGACTCAATACATATGGAACTCTCAGAAAAAGGTAGAATATACATTATATATATGTTTATCCACACAAACGTGGGATGGAAAAAAGAAAAAAAATTAATCTAAAAATAAAAAAATTTTAAAAGGTTACAATACTAACAAAATAAATAAAATCGGAATGTACTATTTTGTAATAGTTTATACAGTTTTGAGGATATACATATATATATATTTTTTTTTTTTAACATTAAAAAGAAGGAATTTTTTTTTTGAATATTTCATATAAGTTACATTTCAACAATTGCGTGGAATTTTAGTTGACAAAATTTAAGTTCCTTTTTTTCTTTTTTTTCTTACCCACCTATTAAGGGCAACACAAAATGGCGAAAGGTAATGAAAAGAGAGGAAAACAGGGTATATATACTTTAACATATTCAGTTAGGGCCTATTTACCGCTAAAATGAAAAATGAGGCTTTTAAAAAATAGGGGAAATAAGAAAAAAAAAAAAAAAAAAATGTATATACTTTACGTTCTTTCAAAACAGTACGCTTTTAACATTTTAGAAACGAACTCTGAGTTTGAAAATTACACCATGAGAGTAAGCATATACTCAGTGGAGCTACCTACTGAAAGATGGAAATAAAAAAGGTGTGATGGATCAGTGAAGGAGTAGTCATAACAATGCGCAATATAATATATTAAAATATCCATTCTTTTTTTTTTTTTTTTTTTTTTTTTTCGTACCCATTTCTCACAGCTGTTAAGAAGCAGAAAAAAACTCTTAAACCAGTGACGAAAGTCATCACCATAAATTTGAGCAAGTTGACACACGATGTGTGCTATAAAAGAAAGGCTCCAAGAGCTATCAAGGAGATAAGAAAGATCGCAGGAAAGCTAATGCACACAAAGGTACATGCATTCGTAATTTGAAATTATCTTCTGCATCGTATTTTCCAATTTTTATGTTTTTTGTGCATGTAAATGAGTGAGGGTTTTTTCCGACAAATGTTATAATGTATGTCCATATAATGTATGCACATATATGAGCACATATGAGTGATGTCTACTCCGAGCATCATGAATAGAGACACATTGATCTTTTATTTTTATTCAGGACGTACGCTTGGATGTAAAACTTAACAAGTTCATATGGGGCAAGGGTATTAGGAATCCACCCAAAAGGGTTCGAGTAAAAATAGAGAGAAAAAGAAACGAAGATGAAGACTCCAAGGAGAAAATGTACACCATTGTTCAGCATGTCATGGTTGACTCTTACAAAGGATTACTCAACGAATGTGAAGTGAACGAGTGAATATACACGATTGCTTGAATGGGGAAAATGGATGCAATGAGTTAGACATAGCCGAATTAGAAATTGTGTTGCGCAAGATGTTATATATAGATAAGTATATTTGTGTGGACACGTGAATTTGTTTACGTTTTTCATCTCGCATCTGTACATCACTCCCTCAGTATTGTTGTATAAGTTTATGACTTTATATATATATTTTTTTAATTTTTCATTTTTTTTTTTTTTTTTTTTTTTTATTAACACGTAAAAGGAATTAAATATATACGTTAGCCTTATGCTTTTTAACATATATCATAACGACAGCATTAATTTAAAAGTATTAAGAAAATGTTCTCGAATGATTATTAACTGGAACAAATTTCCAAAATGATTTCCTTCTTCTCACACCCCCCCCCACAAAAAAAAAAAAAAAAAAAAAAAAAAAATATGGTGATCCTAGGACAAGTTATATTTGATTTGGTCATTTTCAGGAAAATCTATGGTGTATACTTTTATCTGTTTTTATTTGTTCTTATGTGTTCCTATCTGTTCTTATCTTTTTTTTTCATTTTTTTTTTTTTGTCATCCGAGTAGCAGTAAATACGATGCGAGCATATTTTTTACTCTCCAAATTTGTGTTTCTTTGTAGTTGCGTAAAAAAATAAATTTGTTCATCCTCTGCGTGAATTGAGATTTTTTTTTTTTCATTTTTATTCTGAACAGGTTCATACAAAAAAAAGAAATAAAACAAAAAATAAAGATAAAAAAAAAAAAAATAAAATAAAATAAATATGTAAATAAATTAAGTAGAAGAGAAAATTGAGGCTTTTCTTACAGCACAAATGGCTAGCTTTTTTTTTTTTTTTTTTTTTTTTTTTTTTTTTTTTAAAATATTTTTTAACGGGGTTTTTTTTTCCGAACATTATTTCACACCAAATGTTGTTTGTTATGGAAAAATATATTGACTCATTAGAAATGCATTACTAATCTTAAAATGTAGATAATACACACGTTATCATATGTAACAACAAATTCCAGCACCTTATGTAATAATATGAAAAAGGCATGTATGAGAGAAAACAAATTTAATCACCGTTGGTATACATTAACCATGCTATTTGTAAATTCTTATAAACTTTTTTTAAAACGTTTACAGAACAAACAAACAAAAAAAAAAAAAAAAAAAAAAAATGCAACTCTTCTAGCTGCTTAAAAACACTACCTTAAATTTTTAGAAAAAAATAACTTACACAGTTTTTATGTATCTATTTACACACATTTTATAGGATGATTTAAAAAAAAGAAAAAAAAAAAAAAAGTAAAAAACAAGTAAAAAGTTAGACTAAAAAAGGAAAACTGCAAAGGTATAGAATGCTTCGCTTTAAAGCCCACAACTATGAATAAAGCCAGTGAACTAAGTAACTACTTCAGGGTAAATAGCGAATTTGTGAATAAAATTGATAATGAAATAGAAAAGTTTTATGTATGGACATACAAAAGCCCAAATGTTGATCTCTATCCTGATGTTGTATTTTTTAAGTGCTTAGTTCTTGGGATAGATGGAGACAATTACAAAGTAAAGGAAGTTTCTCCCGAGACAAACAGCGAGTATGTAGTGAAAAAAGAACATTTGTTTAACTGTAACAATGTGGTAAATGTAAATAGTCATAGATTAAATGACATGCTGCACCAGAATTCGGCCGAGGTTTTAAATACCTTGGCACTGAGGTATGAAAAGAATTTTATATATACTATAGCCGAGCCAATGTTAATTTCGATAAATCCGTATCAAGTTATTGATGTCAATATGGATGATTACAAAACTAAGAATTTGGATGAACTTCCGCCGCATGTCTACAGCTATGCAAAAGATGCAATGATGGATTTTATAAATACGAAGAATTGTCAGTCGATTATTATAAGTGGAGAAAGTGGGTCAGGAAAAACAGAAGCCTCTAAATTAGTTATTAAGTTTTACCTGTCCGGTGTCAAAGAAGACAACAAGATTTCGAAAACTTTATGGGACTCCAACTTTATTCTAGAGGTCCCTTACCTGAGTTTTAAGAGAAATGCGAAAAGGCTGAAATGGGGGAGGAAAACGAAAAGGAAAAGTGGAAAAAATGGAAAGGAGAAGTAGAAAAAATGGAAAGGAGAAGTAGAAAAAATGGAAAAAATGAAAGCTGCACATATGCACAAGTGCAGATAAAATATGTATATGTGTGTATATGTATGCACACATTTAGCAAAAGATGGTGATTATGGGGTAATTGCTAGCCGTTGCAATCGTCCCCAATTGTGTTTACTTGCTGGTTCTCCCCTTAAGCTGCATGTTAGCCCATGTATGAGCAATTCTGTTATCTATGAGAGATGCTACTAGGGGTGTTATGATTTAGTGCACCACTTGCTACCATGACACACATATGTTAAGCATAATTTTCTTATTTCATCACCCCATGATCGTTCATATATAGGCCTTTGGAAATGCAAAAACTATAAAGAACAACAATTCCAGCAGATATGGAAAGTACATTAAGATACAGTTAGATGAAAATCAGAATATAGTGTCCTCCTGTATTGAGATTTTTCTCCTGGAAAAGATAAGAGTTGTGTCACAGGTAAGATTTTTGTAGTTATGAAAAGAGGCCTTACGGCAGGGACGCTTGTCGAGGGAAATTTCTGAAGATACACAGTTTTGCGTATTTATTTGTTTAGTTAGTGCATTTATACGTTTGAGTGTATGTGTTTATACATGAGTTTCACGTACGTACACAGATTACTGCGTGTTTGTTCTCATTTTTAATTTGTTAAGGAGGATCAGGAGAGGTGCTACCACGTCTTTTATCAAATTCTCCAAGGCATGAGTAATGAAATGAAAAAAAAGTACAACATCAAGTCGGAATTCGAGTACAAGTATATTTCTAATAAGTCGGTCACCATTCCTGGTAGGTGCAAAAGCGAAACGGGAAAGAAATGAAATGGAAGAATAAGTAAAAATATTTAAACAATATGTGTAAAGAAAAATAGGAAAGTAAAAATGATCACAACAGATGCACAGTTTCCTAGCTCATCCCTAAGTATGCTAACTGCACTACTACATACAATATGTTATTTTTACAGAAATAGATGATGCTAAGGATTTTGAGGCGTTAATAACATCCATGGATAAAATGAATATGTCTAATTTGAAAGATGACATTTTTCTGACATTGTCTGGTAAAAAATAAAATATACGTCACATTGCATAACCTTGTTGCTTTTTAGATCTGACAAATATTTTCGTGTTTTTTCTCTATTACTCCGCTTCTTTCTCTATTACTCCGCTTCTTTATCTATTACTCCGCTTTTTTCTCTATTACTCCGCTTCTTTCTCTATTACTCTGCTTCTTTCTCTATTACTCTGCTTCTTTCTCTATTACTCTGCTTCTTTCTCTATTACTCCGCTTCTTTCTCTATTACTCCGCTTCTTTATCTATTACTCCGCTTTTTTCTCTATTACTCCGCTTCTTTCTCTATTACTCTGCTTCTTTCTCTATTACTCTGCTTCTTTCCCTATTACTCTGCTTCTTTCTCTATTACTCCGCTTCTTTCTCTATTACTCCGCTTCTTTCTCTATTACGCCGCTTCTTTCTCTATTATTCCGCTTCTTTCTCTATTACTCCGCTTCTCTCTCTATTACTCCGCTTCTCTCTATTACTGCGCTTCTCTCTCTACTGCTTCGTTTGATCCACTTATTTGCTCCTCCTCACTATACCTACTTGAAAGGAATAATGCTATTAGGAAACATAGAATTTAATGAAATTGAGAAAGGTGGGAAAACAAATTGTAGCGAATTAAGAGAAGAAAATTTAAAAGAAGTTCAAGAGGCAAGTGATTTGTTAGGTATAGATTATGTCAGTTTAAGCAATAGTTTAACATTTACAGAAAAAAATATAGCTAATCAGAAAATAGAAATTCCTTTGTCTGTTGATGAATCTTTGTCAATATGTAGATCCATTTCGAAAGATATATACAGTAAAATGTTTGAATATATTACAAAAAAAATAAATGAATTCTTAAATAATAATAAAGAATTAGATAATTATATAGGTATACTTGACATTTTTGGATTTGAAATTTTTACTAAAAATTCTTTAGAACAGCTGCTCATAAACATAGCAAATGAAGAGATACATAACATATACCTCTTTGTGGTTTATGAAAAAGAATCCAACCTTTACAAGAATGAGGGAATCTTAGCAGAGTCTGTTAAGTACACAACGAATGAGAGTATTATAGATTTGCTTCGGGGAAAGACTAGTGTAATATCAATTTTGGAGGATTCTTGTCTAGCCCCAGGAAAGAAGGACGAGGTATGGGCAGTGAAGAGCAGCGGTCTGTGAGGGATCGAAAGTTAACCATTTTGTCTATGTACGTGTATGTTTATGTGTATATGTGTATATTTGTGTGGGTATGCATTTGTGCAGGCATGTATGTCACGTACATCTGTTTTGACAGTTCTCCCAAGCTCTCCATACATTCACGTTTGCATATGTTTATTCCCTTTCCTCCTGAACCGTTCTTCAGTCCATCGTGGGTGTCTTCACAAACAAGTTCTCAAAACATCCACAGTACGGTACTTGTAAACGGGATATGAATGGAAGCTTTATAATCAAGCACACAGTTAGTGATGTTACCTACAGTATCACTAATTTCATTTCAAAAAATAAAGATATTCTTTCTCCCAATATTTTGAGATTGTTAAAGGTTTGCATTTTTATTTTGGAAAAAGGACGAGGCGATGAATTCGGGAACTTCAAAAAAAAAAAAAAAAAAAAAAAAAAAAAAAATTAAACAATATTGGACAGTATTAGACAAAATTAGACAATATTAGACAGTGTTGTTTTTACTATACATATATGAAAGCATCACAAATTGTGCGTTTTATAGTTCACCTTTTTTACGTGCTGAAATAACGAATGAGCATAATTTCATAGTTACTTTTTATATATGTGTAAAACATTTATGGTTCCCCCTTTGTATTATAGGATTCCAAAAACCAATTAGTTAAAAGTATGTATGAAGACATAGAAGTGACAGAGTCTTTAGGGCGTAAAAATTTAATTACATTTAAGTATTTAGAGAATTTAAAAAAAATAAGTTCTTATTTAAAAAGCACAAATATATACTTTATAAAATGTATCAAACCTAATGAAAATAAACAAAAAAATTATTTTAATCCAAAAAAAGTTTTTCCACAACTTTTCTCCTTGTCCATTGTTGAAACGTTAAACATCAAATATTTTTTTCAGTATAAGTACACCTTTGCTTCTTTTTTAAGTTATTACCAATATTTAGATTTTACCATTTCGAATGATAACAATTTGGATGACAAGAGTAAGGTCTCTAAGATGTTACAGGCGAACTTCAGCGACGATTCCTACAAGGTACACTTACTCTCAATGTGTGACAAGTTCTAGAATGGATATTGTGTGTCTCTGTTTTAGAGCTACTTATATATTTATATGTATAAAGGAATCTTTGTGTTCTTCATCTGTCACAAGTGCTTTCACTTGTGTTGTGTATATAAAAATGAAACATTTTGTGCACACATGTGGGGTGGCCAAACCAAAGCAGAATAATGTCAATTTGTTTTTTTTTATTTTTTATTTTCAAATATAGCAATGGAGCTGGATGTGTTCTCATGTCACGTTCACTGCTTTTGCCGCCTTCATTGGTTTTGCCGCCTTCATTGGTTTTGCCGCCTTCATTGGTTTTTATACCTTCACTGCTTGCACCGATTCCACCACCCACAGATAGGAAAGACGATGGTTTTTTTGAAAAAAGAAGCAATTTATAGCATTCGGGAAATTATTAATAACAACTTGAAGAGCTACAAAAACTTGTGCAATATTACTAGTGCATTGATTAAAAAAATTAAGAAGAAAAAAATTGTAGAGGAAAATATACAGAATTTGCAGCTAACTCAAGCGTACTTTAGGAAATATAAATACATTGATATGTTGAAGTAGGAGAGCATTATGTGTACTCGCTTTTAATTTGGTGTCCGTAATGGTTGTTAGGAGAATTGTTCAGGCGACCAGTATTTCATGGCTTGTAATTTTTTACCCTTTTTTGCTATAACAGTGATAGATACTTGAGGCATTTGCAAATATTGGAAATTTTTTTGCACGCAAGAAAACTATATATATATATATATATTTTTTAACTTCTTGACTCACTACCTATCATGTGACAGATAAAGCTGAACTTTTTTTTTTTTTTTTTTAAATTGATCAACGGGTTTGTTATTTTTTTATATGTACATTACACTTTGATACTTTTCGTTTCTATTCCTCTGTGTCTTTTTAACGGTTTTATTATTATTGTTTTTTGTTTTTTTTTTTTTTTTGTGTGTGTGATACTTTAATGTTACTAATAACAAGGGAGAAAATATACAAGTCACACTGTATATATATAATTTTTGTGTATACATATTTATCATTTTGTCTTTCCCAAAAAAAAAAATAAAAAAAAAACGTCTTCAATTTTTTTTTTCTTTTTAAAAACTTCATATGTTACCCCATAAATATACTTATTTATTAATATATGAAAGCATTTAAGTAGGTTTAAATGTTTTTTTTTTTTTTTTTTTTTTTTTTTTTTTCATAATATTGAACATACCCATAAAACTCACGATGGCTCAGTGTAACATCATCTATATGAATATGTTTATGTGTTGTATACATATCCACATGAACAGTCAGACGTTTTTCTTTTAATACATGTTTTATTATTTTATATGAAGTATAGGGCTTAGGGATAAAGTCATTCCTTTAAATATGATATTGTGTGCAGATGTGTAAACAATACACTTGTGTTTGTAAATAGATTGCAAAGATATTGCATAGGATTCTTCTACATTCAAACTTTTCCTGAGGAGAGAGCGTTTTAACACTTTCCCCATAGGAACAAAAATCAGTATTTATATTTAGACAAATTTGGAAATACCATTAATACAGTTTTTGTTCCATATGCAACATTTTTTTTTTTTCATGATAAACATAGTGTTCAAATATGTTTTTTTTTTTTTTTTTTTTTTTTCTTCTTCCCTTTGCCGTTTTGAAAAAATTTGTACGGTAAGATGCTAATATTACGAAATAAATAAGGCATAGATATAAACATAAATATGATCGATGGTATAACTTAAGATAATTTTTTGGTATGTCAAATGAAACACATGCAAAGTTATGCTTCTTATTGATGAAAATAAGTGATTAATTTTTTAACTAATTTGGTATTTTTTAACCTGCAGTATTGTATATTGTGAGGACTCGTCAAAACTTGATTCGTAATATGCAAAAAGTGTAACATCCGAAATAAAAATCTCTAAAATAGGGATACGAATAAAACATAAGTACTGGTCACGTGAAAATGATACTTTGCTAAGGAAGTTGTAATTTTTCTCTGCATGCAGGAAAATTGTATATAATATAATTAACAACTCTAAAGGGAAATGATAAAATTTTGCAACATTTTCGAGATCCGAGCGACATGTGCTCTCTTTAGCTTTTTCGTGGCACCCTTTTTTTTTTTTTTATCTCGCTTATTCGTTTGTTCCTTCATTTGTATATCATTATTTTTTAGCAATTCCGTTCTTCATTTTTTTTGCCATTTTTTTCGTCTTTTTATCGTCACTTTTTCGTCATTTTTTCGTCATTTTTTCGTCACTTTTTCGTCATTTTTTTTGCCATTTTTTCGCCATTATTTTTTGCCATTATTTTTTGCCATTATTTTTTGCCATACTCCAGAACCGTATTTACCTTTTTAAAAAGAATAAAAGGTGAATGAACTACTGGGGAGAGAGGAAACTATAACAGAGGTTAAAGAAAGGCATTGAAAATCTGATTTTTATTCACCCCGTATGCATGTAAGACCTGTAGAAGTATTATATGCATGTGCTTCAGTGTATTAATAAGATTTTCACATTAATCTGGTGAATTAGTAATTTTAGCACAGTGATAAGTGTAAACAGGAGATTACAAACTGGTATATATATATACCTTATGGATGCTATTGCTAGCATATTATAGTGATGAAAAAGTGATACATTTTTTTTTGAATGTAAGTTTTATGTAATTACATAACGTGACAAAAAAATTTTTAAGGGAATGGTGTAAAGAAATGGACTTACAAGTGGACAGGGAAAAAAACTGGACAAAATTTCGAGGCATCGAAAAATACACCATCAGGTTTTGTGTGAAGAAATTTTTTACGCATCCCGAATTGGGAAGAAGAAATATCTTCTCCCGTCTTTACCACGACTGTTATTGGTTGATTGAATAAGTGGTTGACTGAATGGTTGGTTGACTGAATGGTTGGTTAACTGAATGATTGGTTGATTGAAGGATTGGTTGACTGAAGGATTTGTTGGAGAGATCGTCTAATTTGTGCATTGGGTCCCGAATGGAGGTTTTTAAGAAGGCTATAGAAAAATTTGTAAGGAAAAAAAATAGAACAAGGATAGCACACGGGCAGTGAAAAGAAGAATGAGGTAATGGCGACTATGCTGCAGTACTTCGTTGATAAGCTTTTTGGAGATCTACCTGCGAACTTCAATTTTGTAATTCGGAAAAAATTAGAGTTTAACAATCCGAAAAAGTGGTATTATGAGATTTATGAAGGACTAAACAAGAACAATGAAGAAGTGTGTATTTTCATTTATGAAAAGAAATACAAAGAAATGAACAGTGAGAAAAGATACACAAATAATCATCTCACATATTCGAAAAAGCTAATTCATCCGAATATTTTAAAGGTTTTACATACTCACGAAAATGAAAAGAGGATATATATAGTAACAGAAAAATGTATTCCCTTACATTTTGAGGGGATAAGGAGTGATCCAATTTGGGGAATATATGAAATATTTAGTGCAGTTCATTTTATTAATTTATGTAATTATGTACACTGTTTGGTGGGTCCCTTATCTGTATATGTCAACGAAAGAGGGAGATGGAAATTGTCTTTATTTGATTGTATTCATGAAAAAAATTCAAGTATCCATGCCATTTTGAATGACATAAGTGATCACATAATTTGTAATTATGGTTACAATCTAAATATTCCAAATGGGGTTCATGCAACATGGATAGATGCCCATGGGCTAGCTCTTCTGATGACATGGTGTTATAAAAATTATCTCTCACGAACTAGTCATTTGGAAGATTATTATGACGAAGTTATTCCAATTCGAAAGGATGATGAAGGAGGTAATAAAAGTATTGATAAAAATGAGAATTTTTTGAAAACACCGATTCTGAATGTATCTGAAATGCACAATTATTATGACACGAATATATGGAGTATGGATATTTTGAAGGGATCAGATGAGTGCATACCAAAATTATTAACCCCTTTGCATAGTATGCTACTAAAATTAAGCAACAAAGAAGTAAATTTTCTTACATTTTTAAATGATGAAAGTCTGAAAGGAGATAAGACTATAAGCATAATGCTGTTTTTAACAGAAATGCACATGAAGACAAAGATTGAAAAAACAGAATTTTTAGATAACCTTTTTAATAATTTAGAGAATATATCTGTACATGTAAGAATTGAAAAAATATTACCTGAACTTGCTCAGAATATTGAAATATCGGAAAATAGGGTGACATGTCTGAAAATTATTTTAATTATTTGTAAAGATATATCAACAAATTATTTTGAGAAAATTATATATCCAATTGTCTCAAAATATTTTTCACTAAACGATAGAGCAGTAAGGTATGTATTACTGGAAAATTTTCATCTGATTGAAAAACATCTATCTAGTAATCATATAAACGAAATTTATAATTCTTATATGTATGGGTTTCTAGATAATAATGCATATATAAAAAATGAAACTATAAAAAATTTCATTCATGTATTTCCAAAATTGAAATCAAATTTTAAATCTGCATCATTATCTGTTTTGCTAGATAATTTAAGAGAAAAAGATTTTTGTGTTAAAACAAATACAATCATCTGTATAGCCAAAATTGCGAAGCATATTTTGGATGATAAACAGAATATACTTGAAAATGTTTACAGAGTTGGATTACAGGATTCAATCATTCAAACCAGATTGGCAACTATACATTCTATCAAATTTACCTACGACCAATTTAGTCCAACCAAGTATGTCTCGAATATATTGCCTCTTCTTGTTAAATCCCTTATTGATGATTCTTCTGAGGTTCGTCTATCAGCATTTGACACGTTGGAATCTGTGTGTTCCTACTTGAGAAAAGATTTACTATGTTCAAGTGAAGTTACAAAAGTAGATATTAGTAATGTATCACGAGAGCATGCCATTTTAAATGATTCTTCTTTGCCATCACCAGAAGTGGAATCCCCTACGAGTTACAATTTTTTAAACAAAATAAAGGGTATGATCACTTCCAAGAGTGAGATATATGTAGGAGGAACCTCCGGTTCTTCACATATCCAGCGTGAGAGATGTTTCAATATCGATGGCTTATCAAGTCGTGTAGAAATGGATCGGATGGGGGGAGAAATCCCTACCCCGTTTGTGCACAACATGAACAATGTACGATGTGGACAATATGAGAACGTGTCGGGGCATAATGTAGGGGTGCATAACGAGGGGGTGCATAACGTGGGGGTTCATAACGTGTCGGGGCATAACGTGTCGGGGCATAACGTGGAATCTACAAATAATAACCGGATCAGTGGAACTGCAAGAAGTAATAATACAAACATCTGTTTTGATTCGTTGGTGGGGGTGACAAATAATAAGGGAAATAATCACACGTCTACATATCGACATGTTGTTCAAAAAAATGATTTGCTATTTAAGGAAGAAATGAATAATAATAGTTACGACATGAAGAGAAAAAATAGTGATAAAGTGAAAAATGCTTATGGCAATGATGAGACTGCTAGTAAAGAGGACAAATGCATCTTATACGAACAGGGAAATTATGAAGATCAGAGTTGGAGTTCAGTAAATATGAATAGATCATACGAAGACAATAAACGAGACAACCTTTTTAGTGGCGATTTTAAGCTTAGAGATTCAGTTAGAAAAACATCCCAAAAAATTGATATAGACATAGATGATTTTTTTAATGAATTTGATTTAAAGGAGGAGAGAAGTGCCAAGGTGAAGTTGAATTTGTTGTAAGGTTGGGAGGGGGAGTTGCGAGTATGGTTAAAATTGGGTAATGACCTCTTTATTCTTTTACTTTTTATGATGTTTTGTGGCTGAGAAGAGATGACTTATTTTCTCTCCTTTTTTTTTTTTCTTTCCTTCTTTTCTTTACCTATTTTGCTATTGTGTTGATCCATATTTGTTAATGCTCCCCTCCCCATTTGAACCCTTGCATTGACAGTGTACCTTTTTTTTCTTTTTTTCGTTTCACTACATGGTATAAAACATTTCAAAAAAAAAAAAAAAAAAAAAGAGAATATTTAAGTATTATTATCTGAACATTGTTGTTGCTAATGATAAGGTTAACTGTTCTTCCCTTTTGTGTAGTTACTCAATTTTAGCTATCAGTAGGAGAAAATAAGGAAAAATCAAAGGCTTTCTTAGTGAATTGATAAAAGGGCAGCACTGCCTCATATGAGTTGAAGAATCTGAAAACATAACAATGTTCCATTCAAATAGTCCCCCAAAAGAAACCACAAAAAAATAAATAAACAAGGAAGAAAGGATGACGCAGATGTAAGTTCATCAAGATAAATTATAGGGAGATAAATTTGGCACTGTTTTTGTCACATCCCACTTTAGGATAGTCCAAATTTTTGATTGATCAAAAGTACAAAATTTGTTTCATAACAATATTTTACTGATTTTAACGTTTTAACTCTTTTAATATTTATGAAAATTTGAAAGGGATAGAAAAACACATGCTTACATCATATTTTATAATTCAATTTAGTTTGATGGAAAAAAGAAAACAGTAGAGAAATATGGGAAAAAAAAAAAAAAAAAATAGGAGGAAAATATGGAGAAAAAATGGTAAGAAATGAATGTGGAAAAAAGATGAAAGGAAAAAAAATTTTGCTAGACACGTGGCACATGGTATAATGGATAAAATAAAACAATTCGTTTGGGGGTATTTCAATTCTTTAAAAAATCTCTTCCGTAGGTATGTGTATGTTTGTTTTTTGGGTGAGTATATATTTGTATATATTTGGGTGCTGGTATATGCTCTCTCATGGATTTATAACTAGATGCATATGCATGAACGCGTAAGGGGAGATAAGATGACAGTTCGTAGTTATATGAACAAGGTAAATCGAAAATGTAATTTTTCATTTTCATATATTTTTTATGCATTAAAAATGTTGAGTATATAGGGTTGGATTATATTTATGGAGTAACATGCTTTCAGTGCGTGTGTTTGTATATGGTGTTAGTACAGTTGTGAAATTAATGTTTCACATGTCATGTTCTTGTGTTATTTCTTGGTATCATCTGATTAGTTTCCTAATGTATATATTTATATGAGGTTGTGTGCATATAAGCATGTTCCTACATGCACTAGACAAAGACGTGCTTTGTTTTTTCCCCAATATCAAAAGCTTGATGTTTTTTTTTTTTTTTTTGTTCACTTTTTGTCTTTTTTTTCCCCCTACTTTGTGCCGTCCGCTTGGACCCATTTGCTTTTATTTCAAGTAATATTTTACATTTGAATAATTTTACCATTTTTAAAATGTGTAATAATCGTGGTTGATCACCTCGGTATGTGCACACACACATGGGTACAAACACAGATGCACGCACAGATATACACATGTATAAATTTATATATATATATATGTACACACGTTTTGGTTGTGTTGTCTGGAAGAAGAGTTTATTGGATTTTATTTAAATATGCACATATGGGACGCACGTTTTTGTGCATCTTTTCATCTGCTTATAAATGCGATGACATTTTGTTTAAAAAAAAAAAAAAAAAAAAAAAAAAAATTTATTTAAAATCAGGTACATCTTGAACACTTTCAATAACTGATGTTAGAACATTTACTCCTTCAATTTTTTTCAATAATGCTTGTTTGCTTGAGGCATATGTCATTCTATCTCTAGAGTTTGATGATTCCCTTGCATACATGAAGAAATGAATCTTGTTGACTGTAAAGATGCGTGTTTGTAAAGGGAGTGGTTTCCCATTTGGTGTGTCATAATGAATATATTAACGATATACACAAGTTATTATAATATGCATTTATGAACGAATACAGATGTACATACAACAGAATATATAATCATGGTGGAAAGATTCTTTACCTGCATCAAAAACAACATATGCACACTGGATTTTATCATTTTGATCAATAGATTCTACTAACTCCTTCAAAGTGGTTGTGGCTCCTTTCGAATGTATAATTATTTCACATTTCTCTATAACAAAAATTATCCATCGACAAGTCTTCCTTATCTTCATGTTATTAAATTCAGTAACACAAGTATCATTTACTCTAATGCCGCTTATCATTTTGGACACACAAAGGGAATGGGAGTCAAAAGTAATATAGTGGAAAATATGGGGGGAAAAACCAAAAAAAAAAAAAAAAAAAAGTTGAAGGAAACAGGGGAAATAAAGAAAAAGAGAGAAAAACAAATAAAAAGGGTGGAAAGATGGTGGAGAAGGCAAAAAAAAAAAAAAAAAAAAAAAAAAAAAAAAAAAAAAAAAAGGGGAAAAAAAAAAAAAAAAAAAAAAAAAAAAAAAAAAGGGGGAAAAAAGGGGGGAAAAAGAAAAAAAAAAAAAAAAAAAAAAAAAAAAAAAAAAAAAAATGACGAGGAAAGAGCTAATAGAAGGGGGATGGATATCCTGGAAATTTTCAAAAATTTAAAATAGTTCAAATTTTTATTTAGGTTTCCAATCTGGTTATTCTTGTCAGACTTTATAAAATATCAAGAATTCAAAATTTTAAGGTTTCATGAATGTAAAAAATCAAGATTTGATTTTTCAAGAATTCAAAAATTGATGATTTAAAAATTTCACAATTTATGATTTTTTAAAAATACAAGAATGATAAATGTAAATGTGAAGGGGGGAAAAAAAAAAAAAAAAAAAAAAAAAAAATTAATTAGCATTGGCTAACGCGATTGTAGCTATTTCTTTTTTCGTTTTGTTTATCCCGTTTTCAAATCTCGTTTTGCATATCTATTTTTGCATATCTATTTTTGCATATCTATTTTTGCATATCTATTTTTGCATATCTATTTTTGCATATATAGTTTAGCATATATAGTTTTGTTTATCTAGTTTTGAATATATAGTTTTGATATCTCATTTTGCTTGTTTCTTTTTAAATTTAATGAGTGAACAGCAATCAAATAAAAAAAAAAAATTATGACTTGACCGGTATATATGTGTGAAGAAGAATATTTGCCGTGTTGTGTTTTCCCGGGTGTAATATGGAGTATGTACGTATGGGTGAATTTAATTAATCTGATTTTTCTTAGTATGTGTTTTGTTCACACCAATTTGGCAACACCAATTTATTCACACATGTGTGAGTATTTAAGTGCCAGTCCCTGCGACTCGTAGCATTTACAGAATATTCTAATTTGTGATATGTATCCGGATGAATGCACATTTTTAGTTAACTTTTCTTTTATGTATATATGGGGATGTATACATATTTATGCACATGTGTTTTAACACGCGCATACATTTGTAACACGCAGAAAAAAAAAAAAAAAAAAAAAAAAAAAGTAATATGCCATTTACAATACACAAATATGTGTAAGGAAAGTGATCAAACTACTGGTTTAAACAAATACATATACTATATATATTTACAAGTCGAATTTTGAATGTGTAAGATTTAACCACCCTCCCCCTCCATACACACACACACTCTGGAACGTGTAAAAAATTTGGGCAATTTTTTTTTCTTTTTCCTTTTTTTTTTTTGCACATGGTCAGCTAATTTTTTCTATTAATTTTTTTGGAAAACTTTTCTTTAGGATGAAAAGTTTGGTTGTATTGGGATTTCGAATATTCATTTTTTGCACAAATGTTTGCTTAATCTTTTACACAATATTTTACTCTTCCTCCCAAGGGAGGACAATCCACAAGTTTATACAACAAGTGTATTGATAAGAAAAAGTTAAAAAAAAGGAGGAAAAACAGCTTTCGACATGTTCCTCATTATCATTTGTACATGCTAACAGCTCTGTCCATAAAAAACAAAATTTGCCCATTTGGGACGAGACAGTATAAAACTTCTATTCCTTAAACAAGATTATGTCAAACAGTTTGTCATTAATAATTTGTTATGTGTTTGATTATGTATTGATATAAAAGGAAAAAAAAAAAAAAAAAAAAAAAAAAAAGCCAAATTAAAAAATTTTGAATGCTTTTATTCTTAGGGCTTTTCGCCAAAGTTGGCTATGAAAAGTGCGTGCGTAAATATATATACACGTGTGTAAAAACATGCGTGTGTGTAAATATATACGTGTGTGTAATATATATGCACATATATATATATATATAAGGCTTCAAGTGAAGTGTGGCACAATTTTCGTTTTCTTTAGATTTTTCTTACGCATTTATGGGGTAAACATTTCTCCCATGCAGAACTTACCACCTCCAAAATAACAATTTTTTGGAAAAGCTATCTTTAAGAAAATAGAATTATAAAATAAAAAATCCCTATACATATATTTCACGTGTGCATACATATTCTGTTATAACTTTTAAAGATATCTGTTTCATTAACCAGAAGATCACTTTTTTTTTTTTTTTTTTTTTTTTTTATAAAGAAAAGAAGTAGTTCCGTTTGTCTTTATATGTTAAATTGCTTTCTGGTGTGTTATCGAAGGCAAGTGATGAGAGAATTGAGAAATTTGCCTTAACACGAATGGAATTTTTCAACTTTTTCAATTTGGGATCATATCCTTTGTTGATCATTATATATTGCTGGTCTAACTTCGTCACATCTGCTTCGTCAAACCGTTTATCATTCTTGCACTTCTACTGAGTCTATTCCCTCCATCCTGGTGTTATTATACCAGTTCAAATCAATTCATTTTAGGTAAAGTTTAGGGATGTTAGTCCAAACTGAAGGGAGAAGAATGACGAAATAAATGTTTACATCTTAGAAGCGTACCAGAAATTTTTCTAAAAGTATTTAATCCGTAATGTGTTATCATTCTGAGTAAGCCATTTAGGGGTATTAGAAGATTGTGGGTCGGAGTAGCAGTGGTGAAAAAAAAAAAAAAAAAAAAAAAAATGTGAATCTGAATGTGCGTAAAATAAGCACTCTTAGATTTCTCTATAATGGAAAGCAAAAATGATCAATGTTATATTTTCCTCGGATGTGTTACAGGATGGTGTATATGTTTTGTCTATATTCAGCATAAAAAAGATGTGAAAAAGTTAATATTTTTCTCAAATTCTGGGGGAAATAAAAAATGAAAAAAAAAAAAATACGAGCATATATACATGCATATCTCTTCTTATGAAATTGGAAAGAGGCCCATTTATATCAACAAAACGGAAAATATGGAAATTGGTTCTGTTCCCCTGTTTCATCCAAGAATATAGATTTTTATTTCATTCATTTTTCACTACCTCTCCTTAATCGTGAGTAGGTGTGTTTATTTGTAGAACCATTTGTGTGATGTTGTGTTAATGCGCTTGTTACTTATTTGGAGCAGGATATTTCTCACACTTGTTTTTTTTCTTTTTTTTTCCATATCATACTTGCTTACCCCCTTAAAGTGAAAAGTGTGCATAAAAGGATTTGCTAAGTTTTGTATGGTTTAACCCCTTCACTGTCAGTCGAAAAAAAAAAAAAAAAGCATTGACATTTTGCAGGAAATATGTGTGTTTGAAAATATCGATGTAGAGAATATTGATGTTTGAGAATATCGATGCAGGGAATATTGATGTTTGAGAATATCGATGTAGAGAATATTGATGTTTGAGAATATCGATGTAGAGAATATTGATGTTTGAGAATATCGATGAAGAGAATATTGATGTTTGAGATTGTAGCTAGTCGAATGTATACAAATAAGACGAGTACACAAATGGTTTGAGGAAATAATTCAATTTCATTTTTTTGTGAAATTCTTTTCGATAATTGGCCCTGGCATCGAACACATGAGCCAAAATTGGCACTAATACACCCCATCCTATCGCAGCAATAGCATCATATATATATACATACATATATACATACATTTAGTGTTTCTGATGACCATACTTATATCTACCACTTTGAAGATATATTCACAAAACTAGATGTCGTAAAAATGTAGCATGATAAAATGCATATTGGTGTCTATGTAGAGGAATAGATTAATTATTAAAACTTTGGACATACCTTTTTCCCTATAAAAATATATTTCCTTGTTAATATAAGGAGGGTTATACGGATACAAAAATGCATATGGATGTAGTTATAAATTTGTATGTCTAATTAAAGAACGGAAAAGAATTGTTTCCCTTGAGTATTATTTGCTATAACATTTTTGTAATTTATTTTATTTTTTTTTTTTAAACATATTTTTAATGAATCGTTATGGAATAAATAACATATTTATATTTTTTGACAAATGAACAAAAAAAGCTATGTTTATTATGTAATACATGGATATTTGGTTTTCCTCGTTTGTGGTGAACAAAAAAAAAAATTTGTAGCGTTTTGTACATAAAACAGTTAATCATTATGAATGTTATATGCTATAAATGGGTGAGTACATAGAACGTAATATAAAGTATTGGAGAAATATTAAACATTTTTCTTTGTCAACAAAAAATAAGGTACGAATATAAGTATATCCTCCGTTGTGCTGGTGTGACGTTATTTTAAAAATTCAACATTCTGTGGTGAAAGCTTATTCAAATTGATGTACCGCTACGTGTGTTTTTACTTTTTATGGAAATATTTATACAATCGTGCTATTAAGGGATGAAAAAAAAAAAAAAAAAAAAAAAAAGTATTACCTTCTATGCATCAACTGAGAACAAAACATTTTCTCAAACTTTCCTTAAGCTTTTTTTGAAATTAAATATTTGATAATTAAAAAAAAATAAATAAATAAATAATGTGTGAGGTAATTTTTTGTGATGATTATGAGAAATATCACATTTTACTAGCATATAAGTGTGGCCAAGTATGGATAAGGGGACATGTTTCTTGTTCCTCTCTTCCTATAACACCTCTCCAATTTTATATAATCACATTTCGCACATTTGATTTGTATTACATGGAAAATTATTTACTAGTTTTGTTTCATAACTTCGCATACATTTTCCATTTTGTTATACGTAACGATAATACGTGAGTAAGGGGTACAGAGATGACCGAAATGGAACTATTATATTTATATATTTTTATGCACTTCCAAAGGTTGGTATATTATTATTTTTTTTTATTATGTTTTTAATTATTTTTTTTATTATTTTTTTTAGCATTTTTTTTAGAATTTTTTTTTATTATTTTATTTCTTTTGCATACACGAAGGGGAAGGAAACAAGCAGAAATTACACGTGTTTTAAACATATTTGATTCGTAAGACAAGTAAATAATTGTATACACATGCTCAGATATGAGAGGAAGAATATAAAATACTTATTTTATAAATACTGATGAGATAGGGACATTGTATACAGTAAGAAAATTATAAAAATGAAATAAAGTAAAAAAAGACTTCTCCATTTTTATAATTTTCTTCTGATATTTCAATTTCTTTTTAACATAATAAATAAAAATGGACGGGAAATGAGTACTCATAAACGTATGAAATTTTTTTTTTGACAAAAACGAACGGGTGATATATAAATGTTATATGTTGTGTTGTCCTGTTCTTATGGATGAACACGTTACCTCACTGTTAGTCTAGAAAAAGAAATTGGAGGGATGGTATAAAATGTGTGTAAAAGTAAATTCAATTGACGTCGAAATGATGTTGAATATGTTACTTCACTGGAAATTTTTAAATGGAAAATAACTGGGATTAAGAAAAAAAAAAAAAATAAAATACTAGTAAAGTTTATTACTTTATGTTACACGGGGTTGTTTATTTGATTACACTTTGGAGCGTATTTTTTTTCTTTTATTTTCAGTCCATGCAGGTCTTTCACAAATATAAAATGGTATATTTATAAAAACGCCAAAAAAAAAATTAACGCATTGAATTTTTGCTTTTTCCTCTTCTCCAATGTATATTTTAATTTATAAGATTTTCTCTTACTTTTTTTTTCTTTTTTTTATAAATAATTCAACGGTTAAACACATGTTTAGTATATATATGTATATATAAATGTCGAAACCTATTTTTTGTGATTCCACAACAGGAGGGAGGGGTGAGGTAAAATTATATTTTAGAATAAGTTATATATAAGCACTATTTTCTTATCGTATATATATATATATATATACATCTATAATTTTAAAGATTCTACACCATATGGAGGGGAGGGGAAATTTTTCTTTGGTCCGTCCCCTTTTTTTTTTTTTTCTTTTTTTTTTTTTCTTTTTTTTTTATTTATTTTTTTCCAAACTTGGCTTTTTACAAATTTTACCTCTTCCTCCCCTCGCCCCCCGTTCTACCCTGTTTTTAGCGTGCCTTACACTAATTTCATACTTTTTAGGCCCTTCTTTTTTTCTGCATATTTTCACGTAAAACATGTATATGTTATATATACTCTCTATACATATATTTTATTATTTTTTTTTGCCTTCTTTTGAGTACCCTCAACACCATTTGAAGTTCATTTATTTAGATATGAAAAGAAAAAAATAAATTTCATTTCCCGCCCCAGGACCCACACAATCCAAATCCAGTGCTTATTATTAATTGTGTCATTTAATTGTGAATGTTAAAAAAAAAAAAAAAAACACATCGTATACAATTTATGGAAAGGTCAAATGCTATTACTTATATATATAAATCGTGTATAAGGTTGGTATTACACAGTTTCATTTGATGCTACCTTGAGCGTTTCACTTTCCTTAATAAATTTCTTCTCACATTGGCTCCAATTTACGCCACTTTTTTTTGCCTCAATTTTTTTTTTTTTTACTTTTTTCTTCGTTTTTTTCCCAGTAATTACCATTTTGCTTTATATTTTTTTTTTTCTTCTTTATGATTTTGTTCAGTTTTAAACCTCAAGCGTGTTGCAAAATTAATTTATGTTGACTTGTCGACTTTGTTTTTTGCGTGTTCATTTTATATTATATAGTTACGTAACACCATCTATAAAAAAAATCTCCAAAAAATTGAAGAAACAATGTGAAAAATAAAAAAAAAAAAAGAGAAAAAAAAAAAAAGAGGATTTTGTAAAATATAGAGTTTTTAATTTTCTTTTTCTTTTTCTTTTTCTTTTTTTTTTTCAAATTATAAAAATCATTTCCCCACATCAAATCAGAATTCATATTTATACCTCTGTATATATATATACCTACATTCCCCTACGTATATAGATAGTTTATACCTCGAAAATGTTTACATGTATATACGCTTATATACATAAAAGTATTTATATATATTTATTTATGTAAAATTCAGAGAATGTGAATATACGCTCAAGTATATAAATTTATGTGTATATTTTTTACAAATGTTTTTTTATATGCATTTTATGTTCGTTATGCATGCCTTATTCATTTGTTAAATATATTCTTCTACAGGAACGTTTGTTACATGGATTCTGTTATATGTAGCATGTTAAATGTATGTTGTTCCCCAAACCTCAACTGTTTCATTTTTTTAATTTAAATCGTCAAGTTATTTTTAAATGTTTGTATTTTTCCCTATGTATTAGATGTTTTTCTGTACGGACAACGTAGCCCTTTTTGCCGGTACCGATTGTGTACGCATAGGAAATTGTTAATTGTTGCATATATAAAAGCTTCTTATATGTGTGTGTGTGTGTTGTGTTCTAAGAGATTAGAGAAAAGGAAGACAAAGCTATAAAGTGATAAAATCACAGAGCTATGATTTGATAAAGTGGGAAGAGCTGCAACCCGATAAAGTGGAAGAGCTACGGTCCAATTAACCGGCAGGACTATAAAACGTCATTTATATTCAATAGAAAAACAAGAAGTAGTTGCACATTTTTCTCGAATTGCTCCATTGATTGTTATTGCTGTACAAGATATTAAATCTATGAACCTCTGCCTAACCTTAAATTTGGACGTCTTTGTGCACGTGTGAAGAGAGAGAGAGTGGTTGAACAGAGTGTTCCATTTATTCTACGTTCCAATGCTGAATGGCTGCTGACATTGTGATGTTATGATATATTAGTTATATGTATTATGTTAGAGAGTAATACAGCACTTAGAGGTGAAATGCATATCAGTGAAGCATATTGCCACATAACATCGTTTGCCTAAGTCCACGCCATTCATCAGAGCACAGTGCAGACTTTACTTAATTTGTCTTAAAATACTGATTGTAACGTTGAGGAACTTTTTAAATGCCAAAAGTGTTGTCAATTTTGTGTAATTAATCCTGTGAAGAAATTTAAAAAATTTGGAAAGTGTTTACAAAAAAAAAGGAATACACTCGTCAAGAGGCTTGATTAGGCCTAGGTGAAGGAATATATATATATATGTATATGTATATATATATGTGTATATACTTCCTGTACTACCCAACATTAAGGAAATATACTGAATAATTAAGACTAGACACGATGGGTCCATATATGCACCAAAGAAACCAACCAATGTCCCTCCTTATAAGGAAACTGAAATATGATACATCACCATCCATGGTTCGAGAGAAATTTAAAAAATTCGGAGCCATCAAGGATGTGTACTTACCAATAGATTATTACACGAAAGAACCAAGAGGTTTTGGTTTTGTGGAATTTTATGATCCCAAAGATGCTGAACAAGCATTAAAAGAAATGAACGGATCAGAAATAGATGGAAATAGAATAGAAGTATTTGTAGCACAAAAAGGAAGATCAGATCCAAGACTTATGAGATATAAAGAAAAGGGAGGAGGAATACCACCAGGACCTTATCCTTATAGGAAATATTCAGATTATAGAATAAGGAAAAGATATATTTCAAAATCTCACTCAAGATACAGATCCTATTCGAGAGATAAAATTAGAAGAAGAGATGATAGATCAAGAGAAAGATTTAGATACAGAAATAGTTACGATAGAAAAATGGAAGGATATAGAGACAAAAAAAACTATTACCCAAAAAGTAGTTATAATAAATATCGAAATAAAGATTATGATCGAAGTGTAAGCAGAAGTAGAAGATCTAGAGATTATAGAAATGATAGCCCAAGATATAAAGAAAAACGAAGATATGACAAATATTACAGAAGTACTAGTAGAAGAATGAGCAGAGGAGGAGGAGGAGGGGGAGATGATAAATATGAACGAAGAAGTCGACATGATAGAAAAGATAATTATAAATCCAAATATAATAATAGTAATGATGATGAATACAGTGATGAAACTAGAAATTCTAGTAAACATTCCAAAAAACAAAATGTTTCGAAATCTATTTCTTTTAACACAGAAAAAGATGATACAAGAAAAAAAAATGACAATGTTAATGAAAAGGATAATTCCAAAGATTGGCGTGAGAGCGAAGAGAGGAATGATGATCAGAGCAACAGAAGGGAATCTGTGAACAGTCAAGACGAGGAATCTAGTTAACTTTTCGTGTCCATTATTTAGACACACATTAAGTCATGGTAAGTGTGTGCAAACTGATACATTTGATAAGAGGGATATAAATCAAGGGTATATTGGTTAAGAAGCTAGAGTAGTGACATGGGGTGGAAAATGCGTATTCAAAGATGCATCCTTTGTATTTGTTTCTTTTTCGGGACCCTCTATTTTACCAGCCTTTCGAAAATGTATATTATATATTTGTATTTCCAGGTGCATATTCAAACAAGGCCCTTCCAGCTTATATATATATATATATATATATATATATATATATATATATATATATATATATGCATATATTCATATAAATTAGCATGTTGACTCTTTCCATTCCTTCGTCCTCACATGAAAGATATCCCACCTTTAACAGAACTAACAAGAAAAAGGTGTTTTCTTTATTTATTTAAAGGGGTATTTTTTTTTCTTTTTTTTTTTTTTAAAAACGTCATTTTAATTTTCAAGGATATATACAAATGAATACATAACTGCTAAAAGTACAGAAAAAAAAAAAAAAAAAAAAATACCCAATCTTCATTTACATGTTTTTTTTTTTTTTTTTTTTTTTTTTTGCACTTTGTGTGTGTGTGCTAGTAGCATTTTTGTCATTATGTTTTGTTAATCACGTTTTTGCTAATTGTGTCTTACTATCCCATCTTTTTTCTTTTGTACTTTTTTTTTTTTTTTTATTTATTTTTTATTTATTTAAAATATTTTGCTTATTACAGGATTTCATATATAATTAATAAAAAAAATTTAATCAGTAAAGCTTTTTTTATTTTCCTCTATCATTTTATTTTTATTTATCTTTTTTTTTTCCCTTTTCTCTTCCTTTTTTCCATTACTACGCCACCCCGAAAGATTTATTTAGCATTATGTTGTTGGATTTTAATTATAAATATTTCAAAAAAAAAAAAAAATAAAAAAAAAAGGAGGTTTCAAGGGATGGTTTAAAGGAAGGTTAATAAGAAGGTTAAAAAAGAAGGTTAAAATGAAGGTAAAAAAGAAGGTTAAAAAAGAAGGTTAAAATGAAGGTAAAAAAGAAGGTTAAAAAAGAGGTCTAAAAAGAGGGCTAAATAGAGGTCTAAAAAGAGGACTAAAAGGAAGGTTAAAAAAGAGGTCTAAAAAGGAGGGTTACAAAATAAGCCTCTTTTAAAATATCAAACGAATGTGAAAGAAAAAAGAAAGACAATAAATAAATAAAATAAAACCAAGTATTACCTAGCTAAGCAAACGACTTTGTAAAGATATGAAACCAATTATTCCGATCAAGGTATAATTTGGTTAATGAAGAAAAATCTAGGAATTCTAAAGTGTCGAATGAAAAAGATAACGGAGCAGTGTGCTACCAAAATTATACATTTTTATCCCCTTTTTATGTGTGTTGTATTTGTTTTTAAAGCTAGTTTTTTTTTTTTTTTTTTTTTTTACCCCCTTTTGGTTATAATTACTGTTGCACAACAACAGAAAGAAAACATGATAAGACCTCGAATGGACATTTTGAGAAATCATGAAAAGTCTATGCAAATAGTAGATTTTAATATACTAGTATGTGAAGGTGTGTGTTGTACATAAATATTTTTTAAGAAGTATACATTTGAACATCCATGATGGTATGATATATATAACATATTTGTTCTTGTGAAATATAATTAATTTTAGAAGACTTCCAACTTCATTTCGATGTGATGAAACTTAGACTATACACAATCTTTTCAAGTTTTAAAAGGTACACACAATTTTAGAGATGGTATACTTGTAACATTTGGTTGATGTCATATGAGAATGCACTTTTTTAACATAACTTCTTTAACATGCTGTTATTGCCACATTTTTTTTTTTAAATTGGGCTACCTCTTTTTTGAAGTTTTAATTCGAAGTTTACAAAGTTTTTTTTTTTTTTTTTTTTGTTTTCATTCCCCCTGTAGTTATACAATTAGAATGGAAATATTTTTCCATCCATTTTTTTTTTGTAATTCTGTTTTCATTTTTTCTTGTCTCCATTTAGTCATTATTTCTTTTCCATTTTTCTTTTGCTACTGTTTTGAGTAGATTTCCCAAGTCCACCCATGTTAAAGAGTTATTTCCCCATTGTCTTATGTATACTAAAGTTTTCTCATTTTCAAAAATATTATTCGATTCAACTTTTATATTTATCTGTTTAAAAATGTTTGATGTAATAAAGTTCTATTGATGGAACAATTTTTTTTTTTTTTTTTTTTTGTGCTGAAGTTTATGCAAAATACTTTTATTTTTTACCCATATGTAAAATTGCATTTTTGGGTAATAACTTTTTTTTAAATTATTATATTATTTTATTATTTTACTTTATTTTATTTATTTATTTTTTTTTTTCTTACACATTATTTATTGCAAACTGATACATAACCCCGGCCAAATCATTAAGAGTATGCGAAACGTCCATATCATTATTAAATAAATTAAACATGGTTTTCATAAAAACATCAGACATCCTTTTAGTGTTATGTGCATCACTGTAATCATCTATTAATGATTTGTGAGCTATCTCGTCATTTGTAGATGTGTTATCTTTTCCAATGCTCTGTTCTGTCTTCGCTTCATCACCACCTTCTTTATTTGTGGCATTTTTATCTTCTCCATCTTTTCCATTTTCTTCAATTTCCTCTTTGTCTCCTTTTTCATCTTTTTCATCGTCACTATCATCCTCTATATCATATGTTACATCTCCCTCTTCATTAAATTCTTCATTTGGGTCTCCATGAAAATCCATATTACTTCCTTCCTCCAGGCTTTCTTCCCTTTCCAAGTCATATTCTTCCGTTTCTTCACTCATTTCTTCTTCATCTTCTAATATGTGCGCTGATTTCTCGGTAGATATATCTACCAATCCTGGGGAGTTTGCTTTTTCTGTATCCTCTGATTTCTTTTCAAGTTCCTTTTTCATCTGTTCCTGTCTTTCTTTTTCCATTTCATCGTGTATTTTTCTTAATTCTTCTTCTGCTTTTTGTAAGGCTTCTTCGCCTAATTGCAGTTCTACTTTAGCTGTCTTTAATGCTTCATCTGCTGTTTTTTCTGCTTCTTCTGCTTTTTTTCTTGCTTCGTCTGCTTCCTGTTTTGCTCTCGTCGCTTTATCTTTTTCTTCTCGTGCTTTTTGTTGTGCATCTAATTCTTTTTCCTTTTCAGCTTGTGCTACTTTTCGTGCTTCCTCTGATTTTATTCGTATATTTTTTACTTCTTCCTGTAATTGAACTTGCTTTTGCTTTTCATCTTCTAGTTGTTTTACTTCATCTACTTCGGTTATTGTCTTATTTTCTCCAGTGCCTTTTCCGCTGGTTTCTTCTTCCGTTACCCCTAGTTTTTCTTTCAGTATATCCAGATCCTTGATTGCCTTTTCTTTCTTTTCCCCTAATTCGGCAAGTGCTTTAGCTTCAGCATCTAATTTCTGTTTGGCTTCATCCATTAACCCCTTTGCATCGTGCAATTTTTTTTTTAAATCTTCAATTTCTGAGCGTATTTTTTCTGTCTCTTGTTTTGCAGATGTGACTTGCTCTTCAGCGGTTTGTATTTTTTTTTTTATTTCATCAGATGCATTTTGCTCTTGTGCTTGCTTTTCTTGTAATGTGTTTTTATCCTTTGCTGTTTCTTCTCCATCGCTTCTATCTGTGGATGATACTTCTTTAGCACTATCTTCTGTGCCTTTGGGTTCTTCCACGTTTATTTTTGCTTCTTCTGAATCTGTTGTTACTTCGGGTTCATCGACTTTCGATACAGCTGTTTCGACGTCTGGTAGTTTATCTTCTTGGTGTGAAGCACTTTCTTCCTTTCTGTCTTGTTCTCGTTCTGCTTCTCCCTCTTCTGCTTTGCTACCATCTGGATTTTCATTTGCTTCTTTTTCGTCTGCTTTTTCCTGTGCTTTTTCTTTTGCTTTTTCTTCTACTTTTTGATCTCCTTTTTCTTCTGCGTCTTTTTTGTGTCCATCATTCTCGTGTCCTTCTTTTTGGTCTTCTTCTTCTTCTTCTTCTTCTTTTGCTTCTTTTTTGTCTGTTTTTTCGTCCCCTTTTTCTAATTCTTGTTGTGCATCATTCGAAGCATTTTCTACATCCTCTACCGGTTTATCATCACTACCCACGGTCACTATCGTTTCATCACTGTGACTTGATTGACTTTCCCTACTACTTGCATCAACACCGGCTGGATTTTCCTGCGTTACCTTTTCAGATATGTCCCCATCTGATCCTTCTGCTTTACTCAATTTTTTTTTTTCCTCTTCCCTTTTTAATTCCTCTAGTTTAGCATTTTTTTGGGATAAATCTTCTTCTTTTTTCTTTAATTCAGCTTGTTTTTGTTCTATTTGACTTTCAAGTTGCTTACAGGTTGCTTCTTTTTCTTTTAAATCCTTATTTAGCTCTTCAAGTTTTCTCTTTTTTTCCTCTTCTTCGTTATTAAGTCGTTTTATATCTTCTTTATTTTGGATTAATTTATTTTTTAATTGTTGTTTTTCTTTTTCTGTTACTATTATGGCATGTTTATTTGCTTCTGCTTCTTTTTCAGCGAGTTGTTGCTCAAGTTGTACAGCCTCTTCTTCTTCTTTTCTTGCTTTTTCTTTTTGCTGTTCTGCTATTTTTTCCTTTTCCTTTGCTTCCACTTCTATTTTTTTTGCATTTGCATCTTTTTCTTGAGCATCTAATTTTAGTTTATCTACCTCTGTGCCTAATTGTGTTGCTTTTTCTTCCTTTTGTTTTGCTGCTAGTATTTGTTCCTTTGCATCTGCCTTTTTTTTTTCACCCAATATTAATTTTTGTTCTGTTGATAGTGTAGGAGCTTCTTCAGTTTCCTTTTCTGCTCCTTCGATAAATATATCACTGTTAGATGTGGTTTCTCTTTCGTTTAAGTCTTTGTTAGAACTGGCCAAATTGTCTACCCTCGATTGGGGGAGATTCGTGACATTTATTTGTGGTTCTAGTTCTAATAGTGAATTGGAACTATTTTGATTATTCTCATTCATTAATTTTGGTTCTATATGTACAGCAGTCTGTAGAACCATTTCATCATCCATAAACTCATCACATTGATCTCCCTCTCTTGTAACATTATTCGTTAAGGGCATTGAGGTTTCTACAACATTAAGATTATTTTCAAGTGTGTCACTTTGGACAGGTTCCTCATTATCTTTATTTATTAAAGGAATTTTGTTTTTTCCAGTATTAATTCTTAAATTATGCTTTTTCTCATTTGTAACAACAAAATTTTTAACATCATTTGTTGCATATACATTGTGTGTATATACACACAGATATAGAAGAAGTATACATAAACTTGAACGACAATGTTGCTTCATTTTGAGGAAAATATGGAAATGTATTTGAAGTATATATCAAAAATAGAAAGAAAAAAAAAAAAATGATAGAACTAATGATATATATTATAAAAGAATAAATTATATTTAGAACAGTTTTACAACTTGTTCATTCTTCTCCACTTTTGTATTTACCATTTTTTTTTTTTTTTTTATTTTTACAAAAAATTTTCATATTCTAATAACAGTCTAACTAAATATAACTCAACTAAATTGAATATGTTCAAATTTGAAAAAAATATATTTTATTCTAAAAATTAAAAAGAAAAAATGATGTATCCACATGTGCGAAAAATTGAGAATTGCTCTGAAATAAATGTGAAAAAAAAAAAAAGTCTATAAAAAAAAAATTATGCTTTTCTCGTACAAAAATTATATTCATCCTAAATTTTATTTAAAAATTTTTTTTTAAATAACACATTTTTTTTTTTTTTTGCTATTTTTTATTTTATTTATTCTTTCCTTTTAACATTAAATAGTAAGTAAATATCTATCCTTTGAAGTTTCTTAGACATTCTTGCAAGCATCCATCTATGAGCCGTGTGCATGTGTAAAAACTGTCTGCTCTCGAGGGTGCAAATTAGCAAGAATTCTGTCCTTACATTTTGTCGCGTAGATTCCTTATTTAATTGTGTTAGATTGTTGCTATTTATTTCTATTATTATATTATTACATTGTTGTATTATTTCACCATTTCATCATTTCATTTTTTCATTATTTCGTTAATTCATTATTTTACTTTTTTTTTTCTTTTTTGTCGAACAGTTCTGTTGAAATGATAAGTTCCATAGGGTTTAGGATTTACGAAAGAATGAGCCTATTTTTTCATTGTAACATATCATATTATAGCGAAATTGAAATTGTCATGCGCATTAAGTGCGCAACACTCGAAGTGACACGAGACAGGGACATTCTAGTCGATATTGACTATTTGGGGCGTTTCTAATAATGATAAAATTGAAAATTATCGAGGATGTTAGAATGTCTTCAAAAAAAAAAAAAAAAAAAATGAAAAAAAAAAATATAATGAATATTAATTCTCACATTTCCAATGACAAAAGGAAAAAAATGCAGAATTATATGTGATATTTAAAAAGACAGCTGCAAAAATCGAAAAACCGTTTCTATTTTTAATGGACATATTTATTAGTGCTCGATTATTCACAAAAAAATTAACATAAATATGAGGAGAAAAAAAAAAAAAAAATGAGGAGAATATTTTTTCTTTCTAAGGACGACGAAAAATCATTGGCACTTTCCTTTCTCTACGATTTCGCATGATTTTCGTGAAGGCTAATTTTCCACATTGCTGCGCTGTGTCCAATTAATTAATCGGTTTTGTTATGAGTCCGATTAAAATGGCCGAAAATTCCTTAATACATACATGCATACAATATGTGTCTATATATATATATATATATATATATATATTCATTTTTCACCGCCTACTTTTTTTATGTTGCATTTCATGACTTTCCTTAAAATTATCATTACTCCTTTGTGAATAATAACTAGTGTAATTGCAAAAAAAAAATCAAGTAAATTTTGGAGCCCCCAATGAGAGTATGCACAAAAGCTGCTTTGCAAAATTTTAAATGTCCAAGAGGAAGTTATTGATATCTTTCTCGAAATTCTTGAGAATATCTCGTACCGCAGGATTATCAGCAACTAGGGGTGACATAGCTTTTACTAGACCCTCAGCTACCTTTTTAACATTGTTATATTTACTGTAATCATCATTAAATGACACATTAGAATTCTTGTCATTCACTTTTCCAGTTTTTTTTTTTTTTTCTTTTTTCTCTTGAGATTTACTTTTTATTTTAGCCTTTTCATTTTTTTTTACATTTTTCCCACCAGCAGTTTCTCCCCCAGGTACACCTCCGTTATGGTCTCCATCGTCATCATCATCATCATTGTCATCCTCATCATCGTCATTACCATCATCATTGTCATCCTCATCATCGTCATTACCATCATCATTGTCATCCTCATCATCGTCATTACCATCATCATCGTCATCATCATATTCATCATCATCACTATACTCATCATATTCTTCCTCATCATAATCTTTTTCCTCAAAATCCTCTTCCCCTCTTGTGGTAATGTCTCATCTATCGATTCCTCAGTACCTATTTCCACAGCTTCCTCATTCACTTGTTCATCTTTATCCATTAAATTGTCACCCAACTCTTCAGATATTTCCAATGGTTCTAGCACATCTTGATTTATTGCCTTCAAGAGTTCGTAACCTACTTTATTTCTTGCTTTCTTTGCTTCTTCCGCTGCCTTCATAGCCTTGTCAGCTTTCTCCCTTGCAACAGAAACTGTGGTGGCTTGCTGGGCCTCGTTGGCTAAAGTCTCTACTTGCTTTGCAAAATTTTCTGCCTTTTGTGCTTCTTCCATTGCTACCTTTGCGGCATTTTCTGCTTTGGATTTTTCTTCTCCCATTTTTGCAATTTTTGCTACTTCTTGAGCTACAGCTGCTTCTGTGCTTGCTTCCTGTGCTGCCTTTTTCGCTTCTTCCACAGCTCCATTTGCTTTTGCAACTTCCTCGGATTTTGCTATTTCCTGGGCTTTATCTTCTTCTGTTTTTGTTGCATCTGTTTCTTTTGCCCCTTCTGTGGTTTCTACACTTGCTTTAGGTGGTTCTTCTTTTTTCAATGGTTCGCTCGCTGGTACCTCTACCTGATTATCTTTATTTGATACTTGGTTTTCTGGACTTGCCGCCTTCACTTCACCATTTTGAGACACCTCTGGAGACGAATTTGTCGAAGCATCAGGTCCTTTCCCTTGTGCGTCTTTTTCAGTTATTCCCTTTTCGGCTTCTTTACCTGTGTCTTTTCCTGAATCAGATTTAGAATCATCCTTTTCCTCCTCTTTTGATTCAGCCTTTTCTTGGTCATTAGTCTGTGGATTGCTTCCCTTTTCTTGCGCATTCGTACCCTTTGCACCACCTTCGCTAGTAGAGACTGCATCACCTTGGCTAGTAGAGACTGCATCACCTTGGCTAGAAGAGGCTCCATTACCTGGGCTTGAAGGAGCTTTCTCGTCTTGTGAGGGTTCGCTATCTCCTGATAATACATTTCTCAAGTTTGGTTTTTTCAAATCTCCATTTTCGCTTCTTATAACATTATTTCGGTGCATGTATAAATTTAAGAGGAAAAGAAAAAGGGTTACACCACGAAGTTGTTTCATTTTCAATTTGTATGCTGAAATAGTGGAAATATTTACAAATATTTTTAAAAAAATAATAAGAGACTAAAATGTTACAGTTATTATTATACTACACTTTGAAGTTAATTTTTTTTTTTATAAAAAGGCTGTAAATCTTTGACACAGGTGTAAAAACATTAGGTATTCGAGAAATTAGAATCGCACACAGGAGGAAGGGGAAAAAAAAAAGAAAAAGGGAAAATATGCACGTGTGTAAATATTCAAAAAAATGTAAGAATTAACAACTTGATATATTATGAAAAAAAAAAAAAGAGAAGAAAAATATACACATAGAAAAAATCTATGTAAAGAAAAAAAAAAAAAATTCTATTGTATTAAAAAAAAATATATGATTTAATGAAATTCTGTAATGCTTCTTTGGATGTATCTAGGGGCATAAACATGTGTGTGCATCATGCACATTTTTTTTTTTTTTTTTTTTTTTTCTCCATGTTCCCTTAACATATTTGTATTATTTTTACATTTAAAAAGGCATAATTTAGAACTGTGTGTTTAAGCAAAAAAAAAAAAAAAGAAAGAAAAGATAAGATAAGATAAAAAAGTGTTCCTTGAAGAAAAGATCATTGAATTTGAGGTTTAATAAATTTACATCTTAAGTCTTTTGTAATGGATCATGTGAAACACATTTATATCTAATATACCAAGTCAAGTGGAAAAATGATCTCCCAGATTTTAATAATATTCTTAACTATTATCAAATATTTTCGCTCACATTATTTAATGTACTTTTTAATTAGCATGTTAATTAACAAGCCGAATATTCTTTAGCATAAAATTTCATTCGTGTGTTTTTACTATTTTCCATGTTATATAATATATTTATGTAAATTTAAAGGAAATTAAAATTTCTCCCCCTTCTTTATTCAGTAATTCTGATAAAAAGGGAACTCACAAGTATACATTCATTTTTTCTTATTTTTTATTTCTCTTCATTATTATTAGCACCTGTATCTGCTACTCAGATAGAACTTAATGCATTCTGTTTTGGTACATGCAATCTAGAAAGTAATTGTAATTCTAATTAAGATGGTTAAAATATGCACTTCACCAATTTACCAACCCAGAAGTACCTGATTAATATCTGATAAGAAATCTTTTACAGTCTCACCAACCTCGAAATCTTCAGAAATTAATGCTGTCATAGATTTTACTAAATCATCTGTGACTTTTTTAATGTCTTCATATTTTTTGTAATTCCCCTGATAAGATTCATGAATACTACTGTCATCTAATGTGTCTTCATTTTTACCTTCTTCACTTTGATGTGTTTTTCCTGGTTCCTTTTCATCATCCTCTTCCTTATCCCCATCATCCTGATCATTCTCCTTAAAAATTTTCTGAAATTCATCATCCCCTTCTTCCATTTCTTCCATTTCTTCCTCTTCGTCATCTTCTTCGGTTTCTTCATCTTGAGTACTTTCCTGTTCAGGAACTTCCTCTTTTACCTGTTCATCATTATCCATTAAATTATTGTCTGTCTGTTCAGATATTTCCAATGGTTCTAATATATCTTGATTTTTCGATTTCAAATATTGGAATGCTGCTTTATTCCTTGCTTTTTTTGCCTTGTCCGCTGCAGCGATTGCTTTGTTTGCTTCAGTTCTTGCATCATCTGCTGTAGTTGCATCATTCGCCTTCTTGGCAGATTCTTTAGCTTCATTTGCAGCTTTTTCTGCTTCTGCGGATTCACTAACTGCTGCTTCTGACGCTTCTTTGGATGTTTCTACTTTTGTTGCTTCTTTCTTTGCTTCCTCCGCTAACTTTTTCGCCTCTTCGGCTGCTTTTACTGCTTCTGCTTCTGCATTTTTTGCTTCAGCTTTGGCTACCTTTAATGCTTCTGCTTTTGCTGCGGCTACTTTTACCTTTTCTAAAGCTCCTTGTGCTTCTTCCTTTTTTGCTTTCACAATATCTGCTTCAGTTATTGCTAATCTCGCCCTTTCACGAGCGGAATCTGTTACCAATATTATTTTCTTTTTTTGTGTTTCTAATTTATCCTTGTCAGTTGCTCCTTCGGTTAATTTTTCTGCCTCTTGGGCTGATTTTCCTACCTCTTGGGCTGATTTTTCTGCCTCTTTGGCCAATTGTAGCTGTATTCCCGCTGCATCAGCTTCTTCTGCTGCGGCTGCTTCTGCATTTTCTGCTTGCACTTCTATCTTTTTTGCCTCTTCTAAAGCTTTCGTTGCTTCTTCCTTATGTGTTTTTATCGACGCATCTACCTTTTCTTCTACTTTCTTTGCTTCTTCCACTATATCCTTTACCTCCTTTAAATACTGTTTTGCATCATTGGCTGCCTTTTTTGCATATTCATTGAACTTTTCAGCATATGTTACCTCTTCTTTTATTTCTGTCATTATTTTTTTTTTTTCTTCTTCTGTTTTGGCGTCTGGTTTTCCTTCTTGCTGTTTAGGATTGCTTGTTTCACTTCCTTGGGCTTGCACATCCGATGAAGCCGACACACGTGTCTGATCTGTTTCACTATTTTGTGCATCTTGCGCTTTAACACTTGGATTTTCTACCGTTTTATTTTCACCATCTGTTACTTCGGTATGTCTTTCAGCTGTAGAACTTTCTTTCTTATTATGTGCCTCTACGTGTGCCTCTGTCTGTGCTTGTGCCGGTTCCTGTTCCTTTTCCTTTTTCTGTTCTTCTTTCTGTTTCTGTTCCTCTTTCTGTTCTGCTTGTGGCTGTGCCTGCGATAGATTTGAACCAGCTTGGGGTACAGAAACAGTTGGTTGTGATCCGGCTCTTAAGTTAAATTTAGCTGAATTTACAACTTCATTACTTTGGACATTGTTTATAACTTGTGCATTATTTACATATGCGTGAAGATTTAATAAGAATACATATACAGTGGTGCTAAAGAGGACTTTCATTTTTTAAAGCATTTAAAATAAATTTAAAAGTGAAATTAAATGGGTGACGAGTTAGGAAAAATAAATTAAGAAAGCTAAGCCATACGCATACATCATTCACACCCTTTTGTATTATTATTCTTCCTTATTTTGCAATAAAAATGGGAAGGCAGAAATTTAGAACAAAATGTGTAAATTGCAATAGCAGTGTTGCACCAATAGAAGCGCGAAATTTTGGAAATTGAAAACAGAAAAATTCTATCAAAATGTGTATAATTGGATGCGTGAATATTATCGAAAGGGTAAAAAAAAAAAAAAAAATTAGATAAATAAAATTTTTTTTTTTTTTAAAAAAGAATACAACATATACATCAATGCGCATATTATGATGTGACATATTTGATTAAAATGTGATACGTCTCACTGGAATTATTTACCCATTTGGAAATGCATACTGGAAATTATGGGTGCGAGGAAAAAGAAAAAATGAAAATCAAACATGCACACGTAACAATGTCTCAACATTGAGTAATATGTGGAAATATTCAAGGATATTATTGTATTCACAAGTGTGTCCATTCAGTTTACGTATATAATTTTGTTTAACGTTATTTTTGTTTTATTTTTTGAATCATTTAAAAAAGGTAAAAACTTTTTTAAATATTGTAAAAAAAAAAAAGGATAAGTATGATTGTATCATTTTGTGTAACCAAAGTTGTGGTATTTTTTTTCCCTTTAGCCTTTTTTAAATTTTACATATATTTAAATAAAATGATTCATGGTAATATATGATAAAAAGGAAAGAGAATTCTACTCTGTTCATTTATTAAACATGGTGGAAGATCACTTATGATTATTTTTGTTTCTAAAAAAATTGGTGTATGCAAGTGATTCCCACTATGCTTTTTCAATGTTGCACTTTTTAATAGAATATAATGTGTAGTTAAAACATGTAATCCTTCTTTGTTGAATTAAAACAGTTTGAAGAAGAGAAGCATTGTCTTTTACGAGAAAAGCTAGAAGCCATTCATATGATTTTATCACAAAAAAAGGTAAATATACGTGCATACATATATACATTGCTGCAACGTTTTTGTTATGAATTTATTCAAAATTGAGTATAACGTATTTATTTATTATTATTACTATTTTGTTGTTGTTCACCAAACAATGTGATAACAACCATCGGTGACATTGCCGTTATGAGTGAAAGACAGCAAATAGTCACACATACTTTTATAGGTCTACAATGATAATCATTTTTCAGAAAAAAAAAAAAAAAAAAAAAAAATCAACGCAAAAATTATATTTGAAAAAATTGTTCCCCCCTTATAAAATGGACAACGGAATAAGCAAAAAAAAAAAAAATTTTTTTTGGAGTATTAATGAGGTTTCCCTTTTATATATTTTTTACTTCAATTTGATAATCACGATGGGTTACAATATGTAAACTACTAAATCTCGTTTTTTCTAGTACGTGAGCTAAAATAATAAATATTTGAAAAAACTAAAAAACGCCTTAATTTTATTTAATATACCTTTCCCCACCCTATAAAAAATATTTCCTTGTGTTGATTCGCTTTGAGATACAGGTTCATCTTTCTTTTCTTGATTACTTTTTGTGTTATATAGATCACTTGTTATGTTTTTTTCTTCATGGAGTAATTCTGTTTTATTTTTTGAATCCTGGTTTTTTACGTCTGTCGCACTTTTGTTTTCTGTTGGTTTATTTGCTTTAGCAGGTTCAGAGGCAGCGGGAGTAACTTTTGTTTTTACATTATCTTGTGTTGTTACAGCCGATTTTTGAGGAGGTGCTGGTGACTCTTTCACTTCTACTTGTTTTGTTATAGATGATGGTTGTTTTGGAATTATCGGTCTTTTTACCACTGCTGTTTTAGGTTTCTCATTATCTGGAATTGGTATTTTTATTTTTTCTAATTCTGACACTTCATTTGTTTTTCCTGATAATGTTAGTGCTGTTTTTGCTTCCTCTTTTGCTATTCCTGCGGATCTTTCTGCTAAATATTTTGCTCTTTCAGCATCTTCCTTTGCTTCCATTGCTTCTGCTACTGTTGTTGCTACCCTTGCTCTTTCTGCTGCTGCTGCTGCGTCTTTACTTGCTCTTATTGTGTCTTCTTTTGCGAAACCAGATTCCATTTCTGATAAGTCTGCATCTATTATTTGCGTATTTTTAATAAAATATCTCTTTACCTGTTCTACTGCCTGGGATGCCAACTCCACTAACATTTTTGTTTCCATCGACAGTAGTTCCGCTTCCTCAGCTAATTTTTGTATCTGATTTTCATCGTTTGCACTTGCGCTTGCAATTGAACTTGAACTTGCAGATTTGTTATCAGATGTTACATTATTCCTAGCACCAGAATTTCTAAGATTAATTATTTCGTTATTTACAACATTATATTCGAGTGCAAAAATGTTTAAGAAGAATATAAAAAATATAGTGCTCCAAATTTGTTTCATTTTACTATATCTTTTACTTTTAGAATAAGGAACGGAAAATATATTGATGCATGCAAGAGGTAATAAAAGCTAAAAAGAGTTTAGGTGTAATTTTACAGGATGCATTTCGCTCACTTTTGGTTCTTTTTCTCTGCTCGCAGAACAGAACAAAATTTTTAGAATATTCAAATCGGACTAGCACATATTGGGGTATAATGCTAAATGGATTAACTGGAATTTTCCAGTTATTGTGGCAAACATAGAAAATATAAATTAAAAAATTTTAATTATATATTGTGAGTTTTTCAAACTGTGGTTGTAAAAAACTAGATAAATTTTTGAATCAGAGGTAGGAAATATAGACAGAGGATAACAGCATAGTTATTATATCATTTTATGAAAGGAAACGTCTCACCACCTGGGGAAATGAAAAATTGATAAAAGAAAACACAAAAAAAAAAAAAAAAAAAATTTTGCTAAATTTTGACGAAATTATTTTTTCTTCTAACACTTTTAATACACATTTTTTCTTACACATATCAGATATTTATTTTTAACGCATTCGAATAGTGTCCACATTTAGGTATCTGTGTCTGTATGTGTGTGTGTGCGTTACGGTGGTTTTCTGGGGAAGTGGTGCATATGCATTCTGATCTGAAAAAAAAAAGAGATTTTTACCATTTTTTTTTTTTTTTTTTTTACTCTATTTAATTTTTTTAATAGAATATTATTACAATGATTTTCATAATTTTATTGTTTTTATGTATTTTTTATTTATAACGTATAATATTTGGAGAATCCACACCATGTTGTGTTCCCCTATGAGTTGCATGTAATCCCTTGGCACATTTCGTCGAGCTTGTTTTTTTCCTAAATTTTTACAACAAATTACCATTCGTCTATTAACTATTCTGTTTAAATGAAATTATTTAAGTAAAAATAGGAAAAAAATATATAAAAAAATAATTTAATAAAAAGAAAAAGAAATAAAAATTTATATTTTGTTTTTCCATTTTGCGGCTTTGGCGGTAAAATCCAAGTGTGAAATTCTCCTACAGTTGTCCTTTATCAGGATAAACTAAAGCAGATGCGCGTGTGATATATTAAATCGCGCAAAGATAAATTTTATTAAATATATATATATATACATACATGTATGTTCGTATAACGTGCTTATGTGTGTAACAACAGATACGCATTAATTAATTAACTTAATTCATTCTTTTTAGTGCAACGGCATTTGACAAATAATCCAATAAATGAGTTGCTATTCTTCCTATATGTTTATACCAACATACTTTACAATTAGCAACTGAGAGCAATTTAGATGAATGAAATTTTTTTTTTCATCTGACTTGGAGAAGTATGTTTTCTTTTCATTTTACTATTTTTAATACATTCTTTCTTATGAACAACTAAATGTGTAAGCAATTTCTTCTCTGTCATGTTCTTCATATGAGTATGCACCAGTAAATCCTTTTTTCTTAGCCCTCACGTATTACACCTTCTCTTTCCGTATTTTATTTTATTTTTTTTATTTTCCCCACTTCAAATTAGATAATTCATTTTGACAATAACCTTATGTCGTCATATGGAACTGAAAACGTATTGATACTCTCGACAAATGCGTCAAATAAAGATTTTTTCCAATTTTCACATGTTCAACAGAAATTGATTCAGATCTTGCGCAAAATCTTTTAAAGAATCTGTAACTCCACTATCATCATTTATTGTGTTAATTACACTTTTTGTTAATTCATCAGCTAGCTTTTTAACCTCGACTATATTTTTGTAGTTATCTTCAAGTATCGTGTGGGCATTACTATCATTAATTGGTTCGTTAATTCGTTCTTCGGATAGATTATTTTCATTTTCGATTTTGTTTTCAGTGGGTTTATGTATCGTTTCAACTTGTTTTCCTTCGTCTTTTTCTTCTTTTCCTTTCTCTTCTTCTTCCCCCTCCTCGTCTTCGTCTTGCTCACTCTCTTCCTCTTCATCTGGGTTCGTTTCTACCTCCTCTTGTGATATATCCGCTTCTTCTACTTCTTCCTCTTCTTCCGTCTGTTCTTTTTCTTGTTCTTCTGTTTCTCCAAGTTCCTTTTCATCACTGTCTACTGCATTGTAACTTTTCCGTGAATATTTTTTTACAATATCTAGTACTCCTAGATTTTTCTTCCTCAACGATTCTTCCGCTTCCTTTTTTGCTCTCTCTGCAGCTTCTCTCGCTTTATTCGCCTTGTCTGCTGCGTCTTTCGATGCCATCTCTGCTGCTTGTGCTTTCAAAACTGCTTTTTCTACAGTTATAAGAACTTTATTTTTTGCATTTTCTAATGTTTCTGCGTTTGGGGCTTCTATTGCATTCTTCAGTTCTTTTTCTGCTACTAACAGTTCAGCTTGTACTATTGCTGCTGCGTCTAATGCTTCTTTTGCCTTCCCTATTGCTTCTTGTTCTTTTTCTTTAGCCATATGCGCGTCTTTCTCTGCTGACTCTTCTTTCGTTTTTGCTTCCTCTGCTTCTGCAGCCGATCTGTTTGCAGCATTTGTTGCTTCTTCTGCTGCAGTAGCAGCTTTCCTTGCTTTATCATTTTCCACTTCTACTTTTGCAACCAGTTCTGTTATTTGGGCTATTTCTTTTTGCTTCTTTGCATCTTCTGCTGCTTCTATAACTTCTAACGTTTTTTCTTTTATATAACTAATTTTCGATAATATATCTGCCTTTTTATCTTCACTATGTCCATTCGTCTCTACCTCTTTTTTTGCTTCTTTCGCTTTTTCTGATACTTCCTTTGACAAATTCTCCGCTATTTCTGCTTTTTTTTTTGCTATATCCACAGCTTTTTCCGCTTCAACTTTTGCCTTCACTTCAGTTTCTACCCCTTTGGTCACTTCTTCAGTTTGCTTCATCACTATTTCGGTTGCCACATGTGCATTTTTGGCTTCTTCCTTTGCCGATTCTGCTTTAGCCACTTCTGCTGCTATCTGTGTTTGTATTTGCGCTTTTTTAGCTTCTTTTGCGTGTTTTGATGCATTTTCTGCTTTTTTTTTAAGTTCATCTAATTTTTTCTCCACTTCTGCTTCTGTTTCTTCAGTGTTTATTATACTCTTTGCATTGTCAGCAATAGAGTTGGCTTCTTTTGCATTGTTTGATGCAGATTCTGCATTGTCTTTTGCTAAATCTGCGGCTTTGTCTACTTCTTTTTTTTGTCTCTGTACTTCTTCTGATTTTGTTGCATTTGTTACCCTTTCTGTTTCTTTTCTCCCTTCTTCAGCTGCAATTAGCGCTCTGTTAGCTTCTTCTTTTGCTGCTTCTGCTTTTGCCACTTCTGCTTCTATTTGTGCCTCTGTTTTGGCTTTCTTAGCTTCACCAGCCAATTCTGCTACTTTGTTTGTCTTCTGTTTTATCGAATCTGCTTTATCTGTTATATCATCTATACCAGTTGTTGCTTCTTGTACTGCATCTAATGCTTCTTTTTCTGCTTCATCTGCTTTTTCTGAAGCTCTGTTTGAAGCATTCGCTGCCTTAGTTGCTGCTTCTACTGCTTTTGCGGCTTTTGATTCATCTGCGAATTTGGAAGCTTCACTTTTTGCCCCCACTGCGTCTTCTTTCGCTTTTTGTGCTTCTCCTTTTGCGTTTTCTGCTTTTTCTAAATATTCTGCTACCTCTGCTGCTATTACCGCTAGTTCTCTTTCTTTCCTTGTTTTTTCTGCTTCTTTTACTGCTTCTAATACTTTATTTTTTGCTTCACTTATATTTTCTTCATTTCCTGCCTTTTCTAAAGCTTTTACTTCATCTGCTAATTCTTGTGTTTTAGTTGCATGTTTTTCAGCATCTTCTTTTGCCTTTTCAGCCTTTTTTCTAGCTATATCTGCTGTTTTTGCTTTTTTTACTGCTTCCTCTGCTCGCGCATTTGCTTTTTTCGCCTCTTCCATTTCACTTTTTGCATCTTCTTTTGCTGCTTCTGCTTTTACAACTTGGGTGGCAAGTTCTGCTTTTACCCTCTCTTTCTTCGCTTCACTTGACGCATCTTGTGCTTTTTTTGATTCTCTTTCAGCATCGTTTAATTTTACTGCTTTTTGAGCATTAGATGCTGCTGTAGTAGCAGTGTCTGTGTGTTCTTTTGCTTTTCTTGTCGCATCTTGTGCTCTCTGTTTTGCCTCACTAATTACATTTGATTCCTTTGCTTCACTAATTGCACTATTTGCTGCTGTTTCTGCAGATACGGCTTCCTTTTCTGCTAATACCTTTGACACTTCAGCTTTTGTTACTTCTAATGCTATTTTTGCATTTTCGCTTGCGGTTTGTACTTTTTTTAACTCTTCCTTTGCCATTTTCACAGACTCCGTTGCTTCGGCTGCTTTTGCTTTTATTGCTTCTACTTTTGCACTATTTACATTTACTGTTTTTCCATCTTCTTTTGTGTCTATTTTTCCGTCTTGTTTTGCCTTTTCCGCTTCACCTCTTGCCTTTTCTGCTCCAACTCTTGCTTTTTCTGTTTGCTGTTTTACCTTTTCCTGTGCTGTTAATGCACTTTTTGCTTCTACCTCTGCTTTCTTTACTGCCTCTTTTGCAGCTTCATCTTTCGAACCTTCAACTTTAGCTGCCTCTTTTTGCGCTTCATTGAATGCATTTTGTGCTTCTGTCTTTGCCTGTTCTGCATCCTTTGCTGTCTTATCCGCTTCTGCTATTGCCACTCCTGCTTTTATAATATTTTCTTCTATTTCGGACAATTCTCTTGCCTTCTTAGCATCTTCTGCTGCTTTTATTGCTTTTAATGTTTTTTCTTTTATAGCATTTATCTTTTCTTGTGTATCTGCTTTATCTGCTTCCTCTGATACTTCCTTTGCATTTTTTTCAGCGATTTGTACATTTTTCTTTGCTTCATCTACTGCTTTTATTACTTCTTGTATCGCATTTTCTTCTAATTTTCCTTCCTCTTTTATTTTTTGTGATCTTGTTTTTGCTTCCTCAGCTGCGTTTTCCTCTTTCTTAGCTTCTTCTTTTGCAGCTTCTGCTTTCACTACTTCAGCTGATACTTCTGTTCTTGCTAGTGCCTTCTTTATTTCTTCTGATGCTTTTGTTGCATCTGCTTCTGCCTTTTTTGCCAATTTTAATGCTTCTTGTAACTTTGTTTTTGCTTCATTTAGTGCATTTTCATCGTTTTTATCATTTATTGACACTTCTACTTCTTTTGCATCGTTTGCTGATTTTTCTGCAAGCTCCTTCGCCTTATCTGATTCGTTCGTTTGAGTCAACACTTGATTTTTCGCATCTTTTACTTTTTCTGATTTTGATACATCATTTATTTTTATTTTTTCAATTTCTGTTGCTATTTGCATAGCTTTAGTTTTTGCTTCATTAGCACTGTTGGAAATTTTGTTCACTTTTTCCTTTTCTATTTCTATTTTTGCTACTTCAGCTGCAATTTCAGCTTTCTTTTGTGCCACCTTTGTTGCACCTGTTGCTTGTGATATAGTTGTGAAATTTTCTTTTAAGGCACTTATTTCTGTTTGTGCATCTTCATTTTTGCTTACTTTACTTAATGCCAATATTGCTTTTTCTGCTGTTTCTTGTACCGCCTTTTTTGTCTCTTCCTCCTTTGCTACGGCTGTTTCAACGTGTTCTTGCACTTTTTTAAGTGCTGCTTCTACGTTTTCTGTATTGGGTTTTGATGTATCCTTTGAAAGATTTTCGTTTGTTTCTTTTGCTTCTATCACTGATTTTTTTGCTTGATCCTCCAACTCTTTTACTTTTACTACCTCCGCTGCTATTTCTGCTGCGAGTTCTGCTTTCTTTTTTGATGCCTTCGCTATATTGGCTGCTTTCTCTGCCTCATTTTTGTGCTCTTTTACTTGTTCCAGTTTGTTGGAAATTTCGCCCCCATCATTGCTTTCTTGTTGTAATGCTTTTTCTGCTTCTTCCTGTGCTTTTTTTTCTTGTTCCAGTTTGTTGGAATTTTCTCCTTCACCATTTATCTCTACTCCTACGGCTGTGCCTTCTTTCTGTGATTTTTTTTCTGGTTCCTTTGATGTTTCCACTCCTTCCTGTGATATTGTTTTTGCTTCACTCAGTGCTTCTTCCATTTTTCCTTCCTCTTGTACCTTCCTTTCTGCTTCTTGTACATTTTTTAATGCCGTTTCAGCATCAGTTATTGCATTTGTGGCTTCTTCTTTTGCTTTGCTTTCTTCTTCCTGTGCTTTTTTTTCTTGCTCCTTTGCTGTTTTCACTGCATCGTCTGCTATTTTTACTGCTTCACTCAGTGCTTCTTTCATTTTTCCTTCCTCTTGTACCTTCCCTTTTGCTTCTTGTGCCTTTTTTAATGCCGTTTCAGCATCAGTTTTTGCATTTGTGGCTTCTTCTTTTGCCTTTTTGATGTTCTCTATATGTGTTCTTATTTCTTCTTTTGCTTTTTTATTTTCATCTCCTTTATCCTCCTGATGTTCACCATCACTTTTGTTTTTTCCCTCTTTTCCTGTGTTGGCATCTGTATCGTCATCTGTCTCCTTATCTTTCTCTCTATCTGCCTTCTCATCATTCTTGCTATTTCTGTCGTCATCATTATTGCCATCTGTCTGGTCATCTTTCTTTCCATCTGTATGACTACCTGTGTTGTCATCTTCGTGGTCAACTGTATCGCCATCTGATTTTTCCGCTTTTGGTTCAGGTGATAATTTTTCTGTCTCACTAATTGAGACGTCTGTATCCCTCAATTCTGCTTCTGAATTATTATCTTCTGCCTTTATTGAAATTTCTGTTCTTGGAGACCCACTTCTTAAATTGGGCATTCTATAATTTACAATTTCTTTACTTACAACATTTTTTTCGTTTTTGTGTAAATTTAAAAATAAGATACAAAAAGTTATTTTAAAAAAATGGTTCATTTTTAATTTGTGTGCTAAAAGAATTGCAATAATTTAAAATACAAGAACATGTTATATAACAATTAAAAGAAAAAATCTAATTAGTTGAATGCATTACAAATTATCGGACATATTTTACATGCAGTGCAAGAGTAATATATTTAACAATTGTCTTGTAGTAGTACATACTGAAAAATGCCTAAAAAAGGAGAATACACAAAGTCTATAAAAAAAAAAAAAAAAATACATTTTCAGTTGTCTCAAATATTTCATTTATGAGTGCCACATTTGATAATTATTATTTCTACATGTATATGTACATGCTTTTTTTTTTGAAAGTAGAAAATCATTTATTAATTTTCGAAATACTCGAGTTGTTTACCAATTATAAATTCATAAATGTGAACTATTGTGTGAAAACAGAAATTTGTTTTTTACAAAAACAAAGTAAACTATGATTATCTGAATTTTCAAACTACTTTATTTATGTTATCCCAAATGATAACATAAAAACGAGAGTCATTTTTGTTTAATAATTAGCAAAAGTGTAAGGAATGTCACATACAAAGAATATGCCTTATGCGAAATCTGTCTGAAATGTATGCATACACATGTGTATACTTATATACTTGCATGTGTGTATTTTTTTTTTTTTTTTTCATATAGATTTACAAAAAGTTAACGCTATTATTTATTAATAGTTAAATATGCTTCACACTTCTCGTCGAAACGGAGAAAAATGTTACGAATAATGGTTTTTAATTCATTAAAATGATAAAAAAAAAAATTAAACAAAAAAGAAAGTATTCAATCAATCAAATGTTAAAAAAGCAAAAACAAGAAAAAATAAAAAACAAAAAAAAACAGTGGAATAACTTTCATTTTAGAACAAGTACAAGATTGGTGGTAAATTAAAAATTTAAAAATGAACAAGATGCAATTTAATAGTGTGCAATTTGTTCTTTTATATAACATAGTAGAAAATATATTTTTTTTATTTTCCTATTTATATTTCTTTCTTTTGTTGTTTTTCTTTTTTTATATTTTTTTTGGAGCATTTAAATTTGGCGCAAATTTTCCCTCTGTTGGAATGTAGGTTATATATATAATTAATTAGATTTCTTATGACTTGGATTAATTTGTATGAAATTATTCCCATTAGTGTGTTCATTTTTTTTTAGTACTTTTCTTCTCTTAAATAACAGTTTGTAATTTTCTTCAAAACTAACATAGTTAACCTTTAAAATCCTTCCCTATCACCAGAAAAGGATCAGGTGAGTATAGGAAGCACTAAACACATGCATCAAATATATCTTTTTGCAATTTTTCTTATGTTCATATGTTCAACAGATACTGGTTCATGTATTGCGAGAAATCATTTAGACCGTCTGTGGCTCCAATATCATTATTAATTGTGCTAATTGTATTTTTTGTTATATCATGAGCTAACTTTTTAACACCCGCTAAACTTTTATAGTTAGGATCAAGGATCATGTAAGCATCATGGTCACTTAAAGGTTTGTTAATTTGTTCTTGGGATTGTTTATTTTCATTTTTTACCTTAGTTTCTACGCCACTATTTTGGGGTTCTCTATATTCTGCTTCTTTTTCTTCTACTTCACCTTTTTTTTTCATTTCTTCTGTCTCTTCCACTTCTTCTGTCTCTTCCACTTCTTCTGTCTCTTCCACGTCTTCTGCCTCTTCTACTTCTTCATCTTCTTCCACTTCTTCTGCCTCTTCTGTTTCTTCGGCTTCTTCCACTTCATCGGTTTCTTCCTCTTCGTCCTTCTCTTCCTTTTCTTGTTCTTCTGTTTCTCCAAGTTCCTTTTCATCGCTATCTACTGCATTGTAACTTTCCCGTGAATATTTTTTTACAATTTCTAGTACTCCCAGATTTTTCTTCCTCAACGATTCTTCTGCTTCCTTCTTTGCTCTCTCAGCAGCTTCTCCCGCTTTCTTCGCTTTGTCTATTGCGTCCTTCGATGCCACTTCTGCTGCTTGTGCTTTTTTTTCAGCCTCCTTTACTGCTTCAAGCACTTTTGCTTTAGCTTCTTTCAATGATTCCATTGTTGTTGCGTCTTTAGCTTTCTTTAATTCTTCTTCTGCTATTAATAATTGAGCTTGCACTCCATCTGCTTCGTCCGATACTTCTTTTGCCTTCTTAATTGCTTCTTGTTCTTCATCTTTCGCCATATGTGCGTCTTTCTCTGCTGATTCTGCTTTCTTCTTTTCCTTCTCTGCTTCCTCAGCTGCTTTGATTGCAGCATTTTTTGCCTCTTCTGCTGCAGTAACTGCTTTCTTTGCTTTATCATTTGCCACTTCTATTTTTGCAAACAGTTCTGCTATTTCTGCTACTTCTTTTGCCCTCTTTGCATCTTCGGCTGCTTTTATTGCCTCTAATGTTTTTTCCTTTATAGAACTCATTTTCGATGATATACTTTCCTTTTTCTCTTCATTATCTCCATGCGTCTCTACTTCTTCTTTTACTTCTTTCGCTTCTTTTGACACTTCCTTTGATAATTTCTCGGTTATTTCTGCGTTTTTTTTTGCTATATCCGCAGCATTTTCCGCTTCAACCTTTGCTTTTATTCCTGATTCAACCTTTTTTTCCATATCGTATGTTTGCATTTTTGCTTTCTCAGCTGCCACATGTGCTTCTTTGGCTTCCTCCTGTGCTACATATGCTTTAGCTACTTCTGCTGCCATCTCTGCTTTTTTTTGAGCCTTTTTAGTTTCTTTCGCTGCCTCTAACGCATTTTTTGCCTTTTCTTTAAGTTCATCTAATTTTTTGGACACATCTGCTTCTTCTACTTTCTGTTTCAAATCATCTAATATTCTTACCGCCATTTTTTCTGCTTCTTTTGCTTGTGACGATGCCGTTTCAGCCTTCTGCTTAGCTATATCGGCCTCATTTTCTGCCTTTCCTTTTTCGTCCATTACCTCTTTTAATGGATTATTTTCTGCTGTCTTTTCTGCCTGTTTTCTCGCTTCTTCAGCTGCAATGTGCGCTCTGTTAGCTTCTTCTTTTGCTGCTTCTGCTTTTGCTACTTCTGCTTCTAGTTGTGCCTCTGTTTTGGCTTTTTTAGCTTCACCAGCCAGTTCTGCTACTTTGTTTGTCTTCTGTTTTATGGAATCTGCTTTATCTGTTATATCATCTATACCAGTTGTTGCTTCTTGTACTGCATCTAATGCTTCTTTTTTCGCTTCATCTGCTTTTTCTGAAGCTGTATTTGAAGCTTTTTCTGACTTAGATGCTGCTTCTACTGCTTTTACGGCTTTTGATTCATTTGCGAATTTGGAAGCTTCATTTTTTGCCCTCAGTGCATCTTCTTTCGCTTTTTGTGCTTCTTCTTTTGCGGTTTCTGCTTTTTCTAAATATTCTGCTACTTCCGCTGCTATTACCGCTAGTTCTCTTGCTTTCTTTGCATGTTTGGCGGCTTCCACTGCTTGTTTCGCTTCTTCTATTGCTTTTAATAACTTATCCATACTTACATCAATTGATTCATCTTTCAAATCCGTTTCTGCATCTTTCACCTTTTTTGTGAATGCTTCTACTGCAGCTGATTGTTCTTCTGCCTTTTTTACTTCCTTTTCAAGTTTTTTTATTGCATTTTTAGCTGCCTCTTTCGCTTTCACCACTTTTTTTGCCTGTTCTTTTGCTTTTTGTGCTTACTCCACTTCTTTTTTTGCTTCTTCTTGTGCTTCTTCTGCTTTTACAACTTGGGCTGCTAGTTCTGCTTTTACTCTTTCTTTCTTTGCTTTATTCAATGCGTCTTGTGCCTTTTCTGATTCTTCTTCGGTACTGCTTAATGTATTCGCACTTTGGGCAGCAACTGCTGCTGTGTGTGCTAAGTTTGCATATTCTCTTGCCTTTTTTGCGGCCTCTTCTGCTCTCTTTTTTGCATTATTCGCTTCATTAGAATTCTTAGCTTCACTTATTGCATTTTCCTTTGCCTTTTCTGCATTGAGCGCTTCCATCTCTGCTAGTACTTTTGACACTTCAGCTTTTGTTACTTCTAATGCTATTTTTGCATTATCCCTTGCTTTTTGAGCTTTTTCTGTTGCCGTCTTTGCATGTTTTGCATATTGTACTGATTTTTCTGTATATTCTTTTACAGTATCTAAGTTTTCGTCTTTTTCCTTCTTTGCTTCGTTTTCTTCTTCCCCTTTTGCTTTTCGTGCTTCGCCTTTTGCCTTTCGTGCTTCTTCTACTGCCTTTTCTTCTTCTGAATCTGCATTTTTTGACTCCGTTTCTACTTTTCCTACTGCCGTTTTTACAGCTTCGTATTTTGAAATTTCAACTTTAGCTGCTTCTGTTTTCGCTTGTTCGTATGCGCTTTGTGCCTCCATTTTTGCTACCCCTGCATCTTTTATGGCTTTTTCAGCATCTGCAATTGCACCTTCTGCTTTTGTTCTTTCTAACTCTATTTTTGCCTTTTCGTTTTCCTTTTTAGCATTTGTTGCTGCTTCTTTTGCTTTCTCTAAAGCTTCTTCAGCTTCTTTTTTTCTCGACTCTACATTTTTTGCTGCTTCTTTTGTATCCTCTAAAACTGCGTTTGCAATCTTTAAAGCTACGTTTGCTTTTTCCTTTGCATCTTTAGAATTTTTTGCAGCTTCCGTTGATAAATTTAACGCCCCTGTTTCTTCTTTTGATTTTTTAGCATTTTCTGCTTTTTCCTTCGCGTCCTCTAAAGCCTTTTGTGCCTCATCCCTCCTTGATTTATAATTTGTTTGCTCACTTGTTTTACCGGATATTTCAACTCCAGCCAGCAATGCACTGCCTTCTTTTGCTTTTTTAACTGCATCTTGAGCGTCTTCAGATGCCGCTTTTGCTTCTTCAGCTGCCGCTTTTGCTTTTTCAGCTGCCTTTTCTGATTTTTTTGCTGCCATTTGTACATCACTGGTTTCTGATTCTGCATGTGTAGCTCCTGCTTTTTCTGCAGTACCTGCTGCTTTTTTTGCTTCATCTGCTGCTTTTGTTGCATCATCGGCTTCTTTTTTTGCCTCATCTGCTGCTCTCTTTGCACCTTCTTCTACTTTTTTCGCTGCTTCCAAGTGCTCTTCTTCCTTTTTTATTGTTTCCTCAAACCCTTTTAATGCTTTTTCAGCGTCTCCTATTGCTTTTAACGCCTTTACTATTTCTAATTCTATGTTTACCTTTTCATTTTCTTTTTTAGCATTTTCTGCTGCTTCTTTTGCTTTCTTTAAAGCTTCTTCAGCTTCTTTTTTTTTCGACTCTACATTTTTTGCTGCATTTTCTGCGCAACATAAAGCCTTCTGTTCCATTTCTTTATTGGGTACTTTATCTGGTTTAGTGGAATCCTTCACTTCCTGTACTATCTTTTCATATTCTGTCTTCACTGCAGCGCTAATTTCCTCATTTTTTTGGAGGGCTTCCTTTGTTTCTTTAACAATATTTTTAGCATTCTGCACAGTTTCCTTTGCTTCTTTTAATGGGTCATTATTTTCTCGCAATGATTTTGTTACTTCTTGTTTTGATAAGTCTGAAGCTGCTTGTTCTACAATTTTGGCTACATTTGTTGCTGCTTTTTCTAGTAAAACTGCTACTTCCTTTGCTTTTTCGAACTTTTCTCCTTTTTTTATGGATTCTTCAGCTTCTTTTAAAGCCTGTTCAATTTTTTCTTTTGCTTCCCTTTCTTCCCTTTCTTTTGCTTCCCTTTCTTTTGCTTCCCTTTCTTCCTTTTCTAAAACTTTTTCGTCTTGTTTTTTCCCATGTTCTTCCTTAGTATTTGAATTTTCAGGTGGTGATTCCTCTTTAATCTTTGTTCCTTGTTCACCATTTCTGTTTAATTCAAGTAATTTTTTTAAAACTTCTGGATCTATATCAGCAGGGTAATATGGTTCCTCTAAATCTGTTTTTCCGAATACAACACTAACACTACCAAGACGATTTTTATGTGCCCCCTTTAAACTGTTTTGACTATTTTTAAAAATTTTTTTTTTTTTTTGTGAGTCATTTCTTAAATTATATTTTTCATGATTTGGAATTGTAGAGTTTTTATTAGAATTGTTTGTGAGTTTTGCATGATTAATGTACACATAATAATTTAAAAAAAATATGCAAAATATAATTTTGAATTTGTTCTTCATGTTATACAATGCATAAATTATATCACTTCAAATTTTATTAAAAAAATAAAACAAATGTAAAGACTCCAGGTCATACTTTTCCCCCCCTTCTATGCGCCTTTCATATTAACATTTTTTATTCTGAAAATTACATGAATCATTGTACATATTATTAACTAAAAAATATAAATAAGGGAGGGAAAAAAAAAAAAAAAATAATAATACTTTATCTTTCAATTTGTAAAATGCAACACTATAGTAACTGTAGAAATGAGAAGACGCGCATGTTAGTTGAGTAGAACCAATCTGCTAAAAGTGTGTATATGTGTATGTATATATATATATATATGTATTTTTTTAGGACAAAAAATGTAAAGTGTTCGTGAAATTATTTTTTTTTAATGTTTTATTCAATTTTTTTTTTTTTTTTCTAGAAATGTTAAAAAAAAATTACATGACTTGTCTAAATTATTTTAATATTTTTTAATTTGAATAATACACATTGTGTGTGCAAAAAAAAAAAAAAAAAAAAAAATGTACCATTTTTCCATGGAGACTTTCAAATTAATTTAATAAACCTTGAAATCCTAAATGGCAAATGCTTTAAAACGAATGAATATGTTGAAACACTTGATTTGAAACAATTATCGAATATTTTTCTTTATAGACTCAATAAATAGTAATATTAAATTGCTTTTTCTATAATGTTTATGCTCTGTTATTTAAAATAGGTAATAAAAATTCAAAATAAAATAATAATTAATATAAACAAAAATAAATTGTTGTATTATATTGTATACACAGAAAAGAAGGGAGGAGTAAATTTTTTTTTTTTTTTTTTTTTTTCATATATAACACGTGGATTCCTAATTTTAAAATTGACCTAAAAATATTAACACATTTATTCATTAAAATGATTTAACATTTTCTAAGTTGATATATATTTATTCTCCAAGCATGCATTTGATAAATTCATTTTTCTCATTGGAAAAATTTACCTTACGAAATAACACTAACTATAAAATCACTACATAAATTTTTTTCTATATTACTATTAGAAATTATATACTAAATTTATGTAAAAATATAATTATATTTTAAAGCATACTAATTAATTATCTAAATGATCTTATATAAGTATTTTATTAACATGCATTCATTAATTTCGCTATTTTATATTACATTTATTTAAATTTAAAGGAAATTAAAATTTCTCCTCCTTTACTCAGTAATTATGATAAAAAGGGAACTCACGATTGTAGATTCATTTTTTCTTATTTTTTATTTCGCTTCATTATTATTAGCACCTGTATCTGCTACTCAGATAGAACTTAATGCATTCTGTTTTGGTACATGCAATCTAGAAAGTAATTGTAATTTTTATTAAGATGATTAAAATATGCACTTCACCATTTTACCAACCCAGAAGTACCTGATTAATATCTGATAGGAAATCTTTTACAGTCTCACCAACCTCGAAATCTTCAGAAATTAATGCTGTCATAGATTTTACTAAATCATCTGTGACTTTTTTAATGTCTTCATATTTTTTGTAATCCCCTTGATAAGATTCATGAATACTACTGTCATCTAATGTGTCTTTATTTTTACCTTCTTTACTTTGATCTGTTTTTCCTGGTTCCTTTTCATCATCCCCTTCCTCATCCTCATCATCCTGATCATTCTCCTTAAAAATTTTCTGAAATTCATCATCCCCTTCTTCCATTTCTTCCATTTCTTCCTCTTCGTCATCTTCTTCGGTTTCTTCATCTTGAGTACTTTCCTGTTCAGGAACTTCCTCTTTTACCTGTTCATCATTATCCATTAAATTATTGTCTGTCTGTTCAGATATTTCCAATGGTTCCAATAAATCTTGATTTTTCGATTTCAAGTATTGGAATGCTGCTTTATCCTTTGCTTTTTTCGCCTTATCCGCTGCAGCGATTGCTTTGTTAGCTTCTGCTCTTGCTTTGTCTGCTGTGCTTGCATTTTTTGCATTTTCCGTTGCAGTGGTAGCATTTTGAGCTTCTGCTGCTGCCTTATTCGCTTGAACTTCAGTTTCTTTCGCTGCTTCCTCCGATTTGTTTTTCTCTTCTTGTGATGCTTTTGTATTTTTTGCTGATTCAGCTGCTTTGTCTGCGAGTGCTTTTGCTTCTTTTGCTGCATTTTCTGCTTCTGCTTTTGCCAACTTCGCCTTTGCTACTTCTACAGCTTTCTTCACTTTTTCTGCTTCATTAATTGCATTTTGTGCTTCTGCTTCTGCCTTTGCTGTTATTACTTTTACTTCTTCTTCTATATTTTTAGCTTTTTGTGCTATATTTTCTGCGTCTTTTTTTTCTTGTTCTAATTTGCTCATCTCTTTATTCTGTGTTGTTGTTTGTTCTTCTTTTAAAGCAGCTTTTAATTGTATATTCAATGAATATGTTTTTTCTAAAGCTTCAGTTGAAAGGTCTTCTGCCTTGTAATATGCTTCTGCCGCTAACTTTTCAGCTTCAGTTGCTGTTTGTACTTCTTCTTTTGCTACTTCACCTGCTTTGGCTGCTTCTTCTGTTCGTACCTTTGCTTCTTTCGCTTGTTCTGATGCTTGTTTTGCTTTTTTATTTGCTTCCTCGGCTTTCTTTACTTCATTTTCAGCATTCGTGTGACACTGTTTTGCTTCCGTTACTAGTTTTGCTATTTCGTTTGACAATTGTTCTTTTTTTTCAGTTTCATTAGGAGTTCTTGGTTCGCTTATTTCTTCCTTTGCTTTTTCATTTCCTGACGATGCTCCATTCTCTGTCTGATGATTTGTGCCAGGTGAAGATTCTTCTGCTTCTGCGCTTTTTCCTTCAGCTACCACTCTTGCCTTTTGTGAATCTTCCGATTCACTTGGTTCTGCATTATCTTGACCTTCCGCTTGAAGTGTAACTTCCTTTGGTCCTTCTGACACTTCACTAAGGTCTGCATTTTGAATAGCTTTATCTTCATCTTGTAATGAAACATTTTTTATTGAAGACCCATTTCTCAAATTTGGATTTTTCTCTTTTTCAAGTTCGCTAGTCACAACAACATTTTCACATGCATATAAATTTAAAAATAATATGAAAAATGTGATGCCACAAAAATGCTTCATTTTCAATTTTTGTATTATAACGCCTACTATGTTCTTAGGCGTGTAATCATAAATTGAAAAAACTTAGAGCATTAATCTAATTTATGCTATATTAATTGCAAGTTGTTGAACATAACAACGAATAAGAAAATAAACATAATTCCAAATTGTGTTGAAAATAGCAATGTGGATTATTCAAAAATGGTTAAACATCAGAAACTGTAAATAAAAAAAAAAGGTCCATAAAGGGAAAAATAAAAATACATTTTTAGTTGCATTGAATATTTCGTTCATTATTGAAATATAATTTGTTCAAAAACTTTTCGACTTACATATTTCCTTTTTTGAAGTAGCCAAATCATTAATTAATTTTTTAATTTGCTCAGATTATTTCACCAATTAAAAATTCGTAAATGTGAAACATTGTGTGCAACCAAATATTTCCTCTTTTTAGAAATAAAGAAAAACATTCTTACCCAAATTTTAAAATTTATTCAATCATGTTAGCATAATGGTTATCTAAAAATGGAAATTATTTTAGATTAATAATTACAGAAATAAAGGAAATAGCGCAAGCAAAGAATAAGTCGAGGATGATACAGCCCGTCTGAGAGATATATACATCTGTGCATATATACATGAATATATATATATATATATGTACATTTTTTAATTTTATGGATTTAGAAAAAATTAACATTAGCACTTGTTAATAATAAAATATGCAACACTCTATTAAAGCGAAAAAAAAAAAAAAGTTACGAATATTAGTCTCTAATTTATTAAAATGATTAAAAAAAAAAAAATAATAATAAAATTAAATAAAACCAAATGAAATAAAATAAAAGTAAACAAACAAATATAAGACTAAGCGGGAAAAAATAAAACAGTGCTATTCCGTTTTATATCAAATGCACGATTGGGGATAAATTAAAAATATGAAATGAACACGATGTAATTTAACAACACATAATTTGTCTTTTTATCCAAAAATACTAAGAAACGTTATCTTATTTTCCTCTTTTTATTTTGTATTTACGTGTTTTCATGATTTCTTATGTTTTACGCAATTCTCTGTTCCATTATTGAATGGTAGTTTTATCATTTTTTTTTTTTTTTTGAACTAAGATTATTATTACTATTAAAGAGGTAGAGGGGTTCTTTTTTTTTTTTTTTTTTGTATGCCCAGTATTTATTAGCTTTCCTTCTAAAGGATGTTTTATAGTTAGCCTTAATACTAACATGATGATTCACTGAATCAATTTTTATCGCTACCATGTGCTACTTTCGTCGTGCCTCGAAAAATAAAAGTGCCAAATATAGACTTTTTCTAATTTTCAGATGTTCAATAGAAATTGATTCACATCTTGAGCGAAGTTTTTTAAGGCATCTGTAACTTCAGTATCTCCATTCATTGTGCTAATTATATTTTTTGTTAATTCATCAGCTAGCTTTTTAACATTCACTAAATTTTTATGGTTGTTGTCCAGGATCGTGTGGGCATTGGTATCATTTATTGTTTTGGTAATTTGTTCTTGGGATTGTTTATGTTCATTTTCTGCCCCAGTTTTTACCCCAGTTTTTACCCCAGTTTCTACCTCAGTTTCTACCCCAGTTTCTACCCCAGTTTCTAGGTCACTATTTTGCCTTTCTTCTTTTCTTTCCGCCTCTGGCTCCTCCTCATCTTCATCTTCGTCCGCTTCTTCTTCCTCTTCCCCTTCTTCTGCTTCTTCTTCTACTTCTTCCTCTTCTACTTCTTCCTCTTCCTCTTCTTCCTTCTCTTCCTTTTCTTGTTCTTCTGTTTCTCCATGTTCCTTTTCATCACTGTCTACTGCATTGTAACTTTCCCGTGAATATTTTTTTACAATATCTAGTACTCCTAGATTTTTCTTCCTCAACGATTCTTCCGCTTCCTTTTTTGCTCTCTCTGCAGCCTCTCCCACTTTCTTTGCCTTTTCTTTTGCGTACTTCGATGCCTCTTCTGCTGCTTGTGCTTTTTTTTCAGCCTCCTTTACTGCTTCAAGAGATTTTGCTTTAGCTTCTTTCAATGATTCCATTGTTGTTGCGTCTTTAGCTTTCTTTAATTCTTCTTCTGCTATTAATAATTGAGCTTGCACTGTAACTGCTTCGTCCGATGCCTCTTTTGCCTTCTTAATTGCTTCTTGTTCTTCTTCTTTTGCCATATGTGCGTCTTTCTCTGCTGATTCTGCTTTCTTCTTTTCCTTCTCTGCTTCCTCAGCTGCTTTGATTGCAGCATTCTTTGCCTCTTCTGCTGCAGTAACTGCTTTCTTTGCTTTATCATTTGCCACTTCTGCTTTTCCCACGAGTTCTGCTATTTCTGCTACTTCGTTTTGCTTTTTTGCATCCTCGGCTGCTTTTATCGCTTCTAATGTTTTTTCTTTTATAGAACTCATTTTCGATGATATATCTGCCTTTTTCTCTTCCTTATCTCCATTTTTCTCTGCTTCTTCTTTTGCTTCTTTCGCCTTTTCTGATACTTCCTTTGCCAATTCCTCAGCTCTTTTTGCTTTACTTTTTGCTGTATCCGCAGCATTTTTCGCTTCAACTTTCGCTTTCACTTTAGTTTCTACCCTTTTTGCAATTTCTTCAGTTTGTTTCATTGCTGTTTCGGCTTCTGCCTTTGCTGCTTCTGATTTGGTTACTTCTGTTTCTATTTCTGCAACTATTTTTGCTTTTATTGCTTTTCGTGCCGCTTCTACTGCTTTGTTAGCCCGTTCTTCTACTGCCTTTACTGCATCTTCTGTCATTTCAATTGTTTCATCTGTTACTTTTTTTTCTGCTTCTTGTTCCTTTTGGTCTGCTAAATTAGCTTCTGTTTTTGCTTCTTCTGCTGCCTTTTCTGCTTCTTTTGCCGCCTTTTCTGCTTCTTCTGCTGCCTTTTTAGCTTCTGCTGATTTAGATTCTTCTGCTACTTTCTGTGCTTCCTTTTTTGCCTTATCTGCTGCTAAATTTGCATCATCAGCTTCTGTTTTTGCTGCTTGTGCTTTTGCTATCTCTGCTGATATTTCCGCTCGTATTCTAGCATCTTGAGCGTCAATTGCTGCTCTTAACGCATTTTGTGCCTTGTCTCTTATTTTTTGTAATATTTCTTCACTTACAGTGTTTTCAGATTCTGCTTCTTTTACTGCATTGTCTGCATTTTCTTTTGCTTTCAGAGCTATTTCTTCTTGTTTTTTTGCATTACTTGCTGCTTCCTGTGCCTTTGTGTTTGTTTTTACCTTTTGTGCGGCATCCTCTGCCCGTTTTCTTGCTTCTCCAGCTTTTAATGCATCTTTGATTGCTTTTTCTTTTGATGCTTCTGCTTTTACTATTTCTGCTGCTATTTGAGTTTCTAGGAGTGCTTTCTTCGCTTCTTCTGCAGCTTGTGATGCTTCTTTTTGTGCTGCTTCCGCATCTTGTGATGCTTGTTGTGCCTTAGACTTTGCATCCTTTAGCATTTCTTCTCCTTTTCCTTTTGCTTCAGCATCTTTTTCTGCTTCTTTAGCATCTTTTGCTGCTTTTTCTGCTTTATCCTTTGCTTCATCCGCTTTTTTTGAGTAATTTTCTACTGATATTTTTGCCGTTTCTACCTTTTCAGCTTTTGATTTGTCTGATATTTCTACTTGCTTCGATTCTAACGCTAATTCTACAGCTTCAGTTTTTGCTTTATTTGCTGCACTTACAGATTCATTTGCTTTTTCTTTTGCTCTTTCTGCTTTTACTACTTCGGCTGCTATTTCTGCTTTCATTTGAGCATACTTCGCCGCTACTGCTGTTTGTGACACGCTTTCTGCCTTTGTCTTCACATCTTGTACTTTCGTTTTTGCTTCATCCAAATTTTGTTTTATCGACTCAACTGCTGTTAATGCTGTATTTGCTGTATCATCTGCTTCTTTTTCTGCCTTTTCCTTTTCATCAAGTGCAGTTTTGGCCTCTTTCTCGACCGTGTTTTTTGCTTCTATCACGCCCTGTGCTTTAGAATCTGATGCTGCAGTTAATGCTCCTTCTTTTGCTTTACCTGCTGCAGTAGCTGAAATTTTTGCTTCTTCTTTTGAGTTTTCTACTTTTACCATTTGTTCTGCTACTTCAGCTGCCAATTCGACGCGTGCTCTTGCCTTTTCTGCATTATCGGCTGCTTGTTCCGCTGCTTTAGTCGAAGTTTTTATTTCTTCTAATTTTTTAGATATTTCCTCTTTTTTTGCCTCACTTGGTCCTGCTGTATCACCTTGTTCCTTTGCATTATCCTCTTTTTCTTCTTCCTTTTGTGGTTCTGCTGTATTTTCTTCATTTCTTGTTGAAGCCTCTGTCTCTTCTTCACTGTTTCCTTTTACTACTGATTCTTTTGCTTCTTCTGATGTTTTCTCCTCTTCTGTCGCTTCCCGTTCTTGATTTTTTGTCTCCTTATCTAATTTGTTTGCATCCTCTTCTGATTTGTTCTCCTCTTCTATCACGTCCTGTTCTTGGTTTTCTACCTCCTCTCCTAATTGTTTTATCTTCTCTTCTGATCTTTTTGCCTCCTCTTCTAACTTTTTTACATCCTCTTCTAATTTTTTTACACCCTCTTCTAATTTTTTTACTTCCTCTTCTAATTTTTTGGCCTCCTCTTTTGATTTTTTTGCCTGTTCTAAAGCCTTTTGCGCCGCCTCTTTTGTTTTCCCCTTCGCTTTTATTTTTTCTGCTGCCTCTGTTGCCCTTTTTTCTAATTCATCCGCTGCCTGTAGTGCTGTCTCCGCTTTTTTTTTTGCTGTTTCTGCTTTTAAGGCTTCATTTTTTACCCCCTCTTCTAATTTTTTTGCCTGTTCTAAAGCATTTTGTGCCTCCTGTTTTTCTTTTTCCTCTTCTCCTATTTTTTCTGCTGCCTCAGTTTCCTGTAGTGCTGTTTCTGTTTTTAAGGGCTCTTTTTTTATTTCTTCTGTATTTTTCTTATTTTCTTCTTCTGTATTTTGTGATAATGCAGTGGATGCTACATCTGTATTCGGATCACCTTCATTTCCTGCAATCACACTGTCTTCTTCATCTTGTAATGAAACATATTTTATTTGTGATTCATTTCTCAAATTAGTTTTTTTCAGGTTTACAACTTGGTTGATGACAGCATTATTTTCATAAATGTATAAATTTAAAAATAATAAGAAAAATGATATTCTATGAAACTGGTTCATTTTTTTTATTTTTGCACACAACGTAATAATTAAGTAATTATACTTTTACATATTTACAAAGAATGGAAAATATACATAAATAATTTATAAACACCTGATGGCTATAATTGGAAAACATTTTTATTATTCCTCAAAAAAATGATTAAAAAATTGGCAACTATTTATTTTACACATATTTATCATACTTTACCTGATGAAATGGGAAATTTAAAATACCGCAAATCAAAATAATCTGGATACATGGGCCAAAGAGGAACAACACTAGTTATGTCAATTGGAAAAGTTGGAAAATGAAAGCAGAAAAAATCTGTGATGTGCATACGGTCTTAGTGCACGAATAAATCAAGGTTATCGTCCATATGCATGCATATATATATATACACTTTTTAATATATTTTTTTTCATTTCTTCTAAGGAATATGCGTGCAATCTATTATAATTATTTTCGTGATTTCATTTCTCGTGAGCGGTGAATTGTGCGTAAGAAGTAAAAAAAAAAACATTCAAAATTTAAATAAAAGGGAAAATTGCTATGACATTTTCATCTCTTTTTTTTTTTTTTTTTTTTTAATTTTTTATTTAGTACGATCCTAAAGACGTAGTAATAATAATTTGTTATAGTAGGAAGTTTTGTGGTAATATTATTCAAGTAAAAATTGAAAGAAGTGAAAAGTTAAATATAGCTTGCTTTACCTAAAAAGCACATATGGATGAGAAAGGAATTTACTTGACTATGCAACTTTCGAGTTATTCTGATTCCCAAGTGGAACTCATGTAACAATTTGCACTATTAAAAATATATGTAAGGTTTTACCTCATAACGATAAAAATGAGACAATATGATGTTAACATAATGCAGGAAAAATATTCATACCTATGAATGCAGATCATGAATTATACATATGTTAAATAACTAATTGGGTTTCTCTTACTCTGATTTTTTTTCCACTCAGTAGCACTCAGTAGTATTCTGTGCAAATAAATTTGCATTTCATGTTTAGTCTTTAATTATACTAAGATGGATTTCCTTTTGATGATTTTAAAATGTAAGTTTAATGCTACAAAAATTATTTCTTCAGCTAATGTCACAAGTATATCTCTATATTTATTCTTATGCACTGATTCTTTGTATACACAGACGGATATATTTGTATTTGTTGGTGGTGGTGGATGGGTTGTTATTTACTGTATGTATTATGGTAATTTATAAAACATGGATGTGACAAGCCTGCTAGCTTTATTTGCATTCCATAATTAATAAAGCATAAATAATTATTATCTTTTAATAGTAAATAAAATTTTGTATTTACCTATTTATTCAAATTTGAAACAGATAATTCATGTCTCTTGATAAGTATTTCAGTGTGTCCAGAATTGCAGTATTGTTGCCAATGAGATTAATCATCTCTTTCACCTTTTCATCAGCTATTTTTTTAATATCTTTAACATTTTGATAATTGTTTTCAATTGATTTATGAGCATTATTATCATTTAATGGGTCTTCATTCTTTTCTTTTTCCTTTAGGTCTTCATTGTCTCCATCAGAGTTTTCCATCACTTGGTTTTCTTCTTCCCGCTCGGTTTTTTCCTCTTCCTCCTCGTCTTCAACTTCCCCTTCTTCGTCTTCTTCATCTCCCTCTTCCTCATCTTCGGCTGGTGGTAATTCATCTTCTTCGTCTTGCTCATTCATTTCAAGTTCTTCTTCTTCTTTTTCGTCTTCTACTTCTTCTTCTAATTCTATTATTTTATCATTTCTTGGTGTAGTTATATCCACTAGTCCTAGTCTGGTATTACCGATATTCTTAGCATGTTCCTGTGCTTTTTTCTTTTCTTCTGCTTCTACTTCTCGTGCTTTTCTTTTCGTTTTTTCCTCTTCTTCTCTTGCTTTTTTTTTTGCCTTCTCTTCTGCTTCCTTAGCTTTTTCTACCTCACCTTTTTCCTCTTCCTCTGCTTTTTTCTTTTCTTCTGCTTCTACTTCTCGTGCTTTTCTTTTCGTTTTTTCCTCTTCTTCTCTTGCTTTTTTTTTGGCCTCCTCTTCTACTTCCTTAGCTTTTTCTACTTTTTCTGCCTTGTCTTTCTCTGATTCTTCTTCTTTTTTAGCCTTTTCTATTTCGGCTTTTTCCTCTTCTGCTGCTTTCGATTTTTCTAATGCTTCTTCTTGTTTAGTTTTTTCTGCTGATGTTTCAACTGATTGCGCTGCTGTTTTTGCTTCTTTATCGCTTTCTGTTTCTGGTTCTTTTACATTCTGTGAATCAGTGACCGGTTCTGATGTCGATTCCTTTGTTTCTTCCTCTGCCTCCTCCTTTGTTTCCTTCTCTGCTTTCTCCTCTGCTGCTTCTACTACTTTATTATATGCTGTGTTCGCTCCTTCAACTTCTTTTTTTTCCTCTTCATTCGCTTCTGCTGTTATTCGTTTTACTTCCGCTTCAGCTTCTTTTCCTTTTCGATTAGCTTTTGCTTCTGCTTCACTTTTTTTTCTCTTGGATTCTGCTTTTTCCTCTGCTATTTTTCGTTTTACTTCTGCTTTTGCCTCCACTTTTTTTCTCTCACATTCGGCCTTAGCCTCTTCTTCTATCCGTTTTGCTTCTGCCTTTGCTTCTACTTCTACTCGTTTTGCTTCAGCTTCTGCTTCTTCTATTATCCGTATTGCATCAGCTACAACTTTACTAATTTCTTTTTCATTTGTTTCATTTTCTATTTTTAAATATTCTTCTTCTGTTATGCGCACTGTTTTTGCTTTGGCTTCTGCTGTTATACTTTTTTCCTTCATTTGTGCTTCATCTGCTACACGTTTGGCTTCTGCATCTGCTTCTTGTATTTTTCTCTCCCCTTCTAATTTAATCTCTGCTTCTTTTTGTTTTTCTTTAGCTTCAGCTTCTTCTATTTCTTTATTTTTTTCATTGTTGGCATCCTCTACTTTTTTATTTTTTTCAGTGTTTGCATCCTCTATCTTTTTATTTTTTTTGGCCTCAGCGTCTTTTATCTTTTTATCTTTTTCAGTGTTAGCATCATCTGGCGTTTTTTGTTCGGTTTTGTTATTAGGAGTACTAACCCCTTGTTCTTTTTTCTCGTCTACTATTTCCACTTCTTCTTTGTCCCCTTGTGATTGATTTTCGTTTTTCTCTGGTTGTTGTGATTCACTCACTAGTTCTTCCCTTTCTCGTTGTTCTTCTCCTGAACCTGCGTCTAAATTATTATGATTTGTGTGTCCTCCTGCATCTGTTGATACTTCTTTGGGAGCTTCGGGAACTGCCCGCATAACTGGTTGATCTTGTACCGATTGTTCCCTTTCTACTGAACTATCTACTGGATGTGCTTCTACTTGTGCTGCATCTTGTGTAATTTGTTCATCTTGTTGAGTGCTTCTTCCATTATCATTTTCACTTGCTTTTTGATCTTCGACAGTTTCACTTACCTCTGTCCCTTCACCTCCATCTACTCTTGTACCTTGTTCTGCGGCATCTTCTGCTTTTATATTTTGGACATCACTATGTTCTTGTCCAATATTTGGATTTGTTTCCTCATTTAATTTATCTGTTAGTTGCTTAGGGTCTTCACTTGGTTTGACTACTACATCACTTGAGTCTGTGCTGACTCCTTCATCCTGCAATGTAACATAATTTATTTGTGATCCTTTTCTGAAGTTAGATTTTTTAAAGTTTACACTTTCGTTTCTAACAATATTATTTTCAAAAGTGCATAAATTTAAAAATAAGACAAAAAGGATGGTTCCACGAAATTTATTATTCATTTTAGGTAAGAGCAACAAATATGTTACAATATTTTTAAAGTGTTTAAAGGGTAGAAAAAAAACAAAAGATACAAAATAAACATTGCTTAATTCTAATCATTCAGTTAATTCTAAATCGGTGAGTGTAATTATTGAATAAATTTTTTTTTTTTTTTTTATTATGTATTTTTATCCATTTTTGGTTAAAAATAAACACATCTTGGAGTAAAACATAGAAGTTATGAAAGCGGCGCAGAAGTCTATAAAAGAAACAAAAAATTTTATCAAAAAAAAAAAAAAAAGAGTGAAATAAAATTGCTGAAATGAATATATATTTTATTAATTATTTTTTCTGCATACTTCCAAATTTTACAACATTAAACGTTGTATTTTTTGTTCTAACTTGTTCATATTTTTTTGCCAACATTGAAATGTGAAAAGATGAACCGTGTGCGCAATAGAGGATGGTAAAATATTACTCGAATTGTTTTAAAAAATAAAAATAATATTATATTTATTTTCTAAATTTACGAATTTTATATATAACTAACATGTCTAAAATTATACCATTTTGAATATTTATTTATAGAAAAGATTTTCAATTCACAAAATGTTCTAATTGGAAATTACATGCACAAATAAGCATGTCTGATATGACGCAATATTGATTATAAAACTTCTCCAAAATAAATTTTTTGTAAACTTACAAAAAAATTAAAATGTGTTAATAATTACTAATTGTTCATTTTGTAAAAAAAAAAAAAATAGAAGACTATTTATTTGTATTACAATAGCAAAAAAAAAAAAAAAAAAAAAAAATTAAACATGCAAAGTGCTATTACATCGCATACATCACATAACAAATGAATGTAGTGAAATGGTTTCATTATATGATTGACAATCCTATCCATAAACATCAAGTAAACAAATATGCATACTATTCTTTGGGTAAATATAATGTAATTACTAAAAACAAATTGTACACATTTTTATCATTTTTTCAAACGTTTTATTTTATTTCTCTTATCAAATTTTGTGTACACGCAGGACTCGTCACGTGGTTTGCATTTTTACGCCTAATTAATTTTTGACATTTTAAAAATAGCACAAAAGTAGGGAAATATAACATAGCCCATTGCCCGAGATAATAATTTTTATTCTTTCATCGTTCTTTCTTCAGAATGGGTCGCACATATGTATGTGTATATATATACATACATATGTGCATGCACATTTGTGTAATCTACTGCTTGTGTTGTCGCCCTCTACACCGCAAAGGTTTAACACTGGAGCTCTAATTTAGACAAATATCATATGAGATAAATTCTTATTAGGACTCACTACTAAATAAGGCGAAAATTGTCTTTCATTAAGCTTAGTTACTTTTAAAATATTGGTGCACATCTTGTTGTAAACTTTTTATACTTTCCTCTCCAACGTCGCTAATTAAACTTTTTAAATGTTCAACCTTTTCTTTATTGGCAGCTGTATCATTATTACAGTGGTCACTAAGTGATTTATAAGCTTCTTTGTCATCCAATATGTTTTTGCTATTTACTTCTTCCTCTTTGGCCTCTTTTACTGGAGTGCTTTTTTCATTCTCATCCACCGCCCCAGGTTCTTTCACTTCCCTTGCTTCTTCTTCTTCTTCTTCTTCTTCTTCCTCTTTTTCTTCCTCTTCCTCATGTTCTTCTAAAAATACACTATCTTCACTTCCCTCTCCCTCCCGCTCTTGTTCTACCTGCTCCAATTCCTCTTCTTGCACATCCTCTTTATCTTCCTGTTCTTCGATTTCTTCCCATACTTGTTCGTTCGTGTCCATTAGATTATCTCCTTTTTCTGTAGATATCTCCAATGATTCTAGTACATCTTGATTCTTCGTTTTCAATAATTCGTATGCTGCTTTTTCTTTTGCTTTCTTCGCTTCGTTAGCCGCCTTTAATGTCTTTTCTGCCTTTTCCTGTGCTAACCTTAGTGTTTCTGCTTCAGCTGTTTCTTTTGCTGCAGTTTCTGCTTCTTTTGCAAAGGTTTTAGCTTTTTCCGCTTCATTTGCTGTTGCCATCGCAGCTGTTTCTACATATTTTTTTTCGTCTTCTGTTATTTCCAATTTTTTTATCTCTTCTGCTATCTTGACTGCTTCTGCTTTTATCGCTTCTGCTTCTGTTGCCAACTTCTCTGCTTCTTTCTTTGCCGCCTCCGCTTTTGCAACTTCGGCTTCTGTTGCCTCCTTCTCTGCTTCTTTTTTTGCTTCCTCTTTTGCAGCCTCTTCTTGTTTTTGTGGTATCTCTTTTACAGCTTCTTCTTCTTTTGCTACTACTTCTGCTGCATCAGCTTGTTCTTGGAGTGCTTCTCTATGAGGTTGTTGTACTTGTTGCTGTTGTTGTTGTTGCTGCTGCTGCTGTTGTTGTTGTTGCTGCTGCTGCTGTTGTTGTTGTTGCTGCTGCTGCTGTTGTTGTTGTTGCTGCTGCTGCTGTTGTTGTTGTTGCTGCTGCTGTTGTTGTTGCTCCTCCTGCAATTTTTGTTCTTGTTCATGTTGATTTTTATCATGCTGTTGTTTTCCTACATCTTTCGCTTCAGTTGATTCTACTTTAGATTCATTAGACTTCGTACTGTCTTCTAATTGTTTTAATGGCTCATCTGCGTCTTTACCTTGTGCCTGTATCTCTTCTTCACGTGGCTGATTTAATGATCCATTATCTCCTTCTGTTACATCACTATTTCCTTCAATCGTAACATTTTCATTATTATCATCTAGGTATGAAAAATTATCTTCATTTTGTAAGGATATATTTTTCAATGACGATCCATTTCTTAAATTTGCTTTTTTAAGGTTTACTATTTCTCCCCTTATAGTACCATTATCATATAAATATAAGTTTAAAAGGAAGACAAGAAAAGTTATACAACAAAACTGTTTCATTTTAAATGAGCATGCTAAAAAACAATTACTATATTTTAAGATACTTATGAGGAAAAAAAAGAAGCTAGCAGGTAGTTTTTCGAGTGTGCAAAAAAGTTAAAGAAAATTATCTATAAAAGAATCGAAAAATATATCTTGTATATACACATATATGTTATTAATTTCAAATTAGAAAAAAAAATTGTAACCAAATATCTTGTTACTCATTCATAGTTTTTGCATTTTACACATCCGTAGTAATGAGAAGCATTGGAAATACAGAGAACAAATCTGTCAAAAAAAAAAAAAAAGATATACCATATATTTACATTTTTTACATTTTTAGGGCACTAAAAAAAAAATGAGGATCTTAGATAATGCAAATTTTATTTAATTTTTTTTTATAAAAAAAAATATTTATTTTTTTTGACACAGTTTATTATATCTAAAACTTGGATTTTTATTATACATATATATACATATATTTTTTTGAGATTTAAATTTGTTCAAATGTGCGTTATATGTGTGGTTACTGGCAGGTTTAGTATATATGTCTTTTCTTGGCAAAAGAATTTTTTTAAAATATTCATTTCGCATGAAATTTTTTTTAATAAAATACCTTTGTAACAGTTAAGAGATAATTAAGTCATTTTTTATGAATTCAAATGAAAGAAATTAATTTGCATAGTTGGATTTTTTTCTCTGATTGTTTCATTTAAATAGCTAATAAGAAGAAGAAAAAAAAAAAAAAAAAATATGTATGAAATGAAACAAATTATATAGCATTAATGCAAATGTATGGAAACATTACAACCATTTGTTTTTTTAGATAAAACATAGCAAAATATCTCGATTATTGTTAAATTAAGTGTATATATTTTTCTCTCATGCATTTGCCTTTTTAATGAATTTCCCCATACGGGTATTCATTTATTTAAGTTTTACACACAAATGGTGCTAGCATGCACACATGGATTATTAAATTTAAATTCTAGATTATCATAAAAATGTAACTAATTTTTGACAAGTATACTTTGTAATGAAAAAAAAAAAAAAATTTATTAACCAAAGTAATAATCCTTTTTCTACTTCTCACATCCAGATTGGTTACGTATCCTTTTATTTATATTTTTTAATTTTTTATATGAGATATTACTAACGTTATGACCCATGGCAACGAAGGGTATAATGGCATAATAGCATAAACTTAATTTCTAATATTACATAAGTGGAGTGAAATCCTCAGAAAGTGTTATTAATAAAAAATATATGATCTCTTTATTATATTAATTTACTTTTAAAATATTGATCCACGTCTTTCTTTAAATTTTGAAGAGTATCATCACCAACATCACTAATCACTGTTTTGAAAAGTACATCATCTGTCATTTTGGAATGATTAGCACTATTATGCTTCTCTGCAAGTAATTTATGCGCGCCCTCATCACCTAATATGTCCACGCTTTTTTCCTTTTCGTCTTTATCCTTCATTTCTTGGCTTGCTTCTTGTTGCTGTTCTTGTTCTTTTTCTTCTTTTTGTTCTTTTTCATCTGCTTCTTCTTCATCTTCTTCTTCTTCTGCCTCATCCGTAACATCTGCGTCATCTTCCAACTCTCCTCCCTGCTCTTCTTGAACTTCTGATGATAATGCATCTTCGCTTTCGTTGTCCCCTTCTTTTTCCTCGTCTTCTACTTCTTCATTTACAGGTTCTTCTTTATCTGTCATAATATCACAGTCCTTTTCAGATATTTCCAATGGTTCTAGTAAATCCTGATTCTTCGTTATCAAAAATGCATGTACTGCTTTATCTCTTGCCTTTCTTGCCTCTGTGGCTGCGGTTACAGCTTTTATTGCTTCTAGTTTTACTACTTCATCTGCCTCTTCTCCTGCTTCTGTTGCTAACTTTGCTGCATCTGTGGCCTTTTTTGATTCTTCTGCTGCTTTCTGTGCATGAACTTTTGCTTCTTTCGCTGCTTCATGAATTTTTGTATTTTTTTCTTCATCAGTATTTGCTGCACTTGCTAGATTACCTGCATTAGTTGCTGCACTTAGTGCTTCGTCTGCTGCTTTTTGTGCTTCCACCTTTGCTGCATTCGCTTTGGCTATATTTGCATCTCTTTGTTCCTTTTTAGCTGCTTCTGCTTTTTCTGCTTTTCCTTTAGCTATATTTGCTGCTGTTAATGCCTTTTTAGCTGCTTCTATAGCTTCTTCTGCTTTTGTTTTTGTATCTTGTGCTGATGCAATCACTTTTGGTTCTATGGAAATCGCAATTTCTGTTGCTTCGTCTGCATGCTGTTTTACTTCCCTTAATTTTTGGGCTGATGTTTCTCTTCTTGCTGTTTCGTGTGATGTAATTGCTATTCCTAATTGTACTTCTATTGCATATGCATATTCCACTGTCTCAGCCGCTTTGTCGTCTGCTTCTTTCGTTGCATCTATAGCTTTCTTTTCTTCACGGTCTGCTTCTTCTACTTCTTCTTTTGCCGATTCTCCCATATTGGCCTTCTCAGTTCGGTTAGCAGCTTTTACTGCTTCATCCTTTGCTGTTTTGGCTTTTTTTTCTGCTTCTTCTGCTTTTTTCTTTGCTGCTTCAGCTTCTTCTACTGCATTTTTTGCTTTATCCTTTGTAATTTCTATCTTTGCAATTTTTGCTGCTATTTCTGCTTGTGTTTTTGCTTGGATAGATTCCTCTGAAGCTACTACTGCGCCTAATGCTGCCTCTTTTACTAATTCAACTTTTTTGTCTATTTCGTTGTCATTTATATTTTCATTTTCTAACTCCTTTTTAACCTCGTCCAAAGCTTTTTCTGTTTCTTTTACCTTTTTTGATGCTTCATCTGCCTTTTCCTTTGCTCTTGTTGCTGCGTCTGTAGCATCATCCTTTGCTTTCATTGCTGCTGCACTAGTTGTTTGTGCTGTTTTTGTTGTTTCTTCTGCTTGAGTCTTTGCTTGCTGAGCTCCAAGTTCTGCTTTTTTTGCTTCTTCATTGGCTACTTTTGCTTTTTCTAATAATACATTTATTTTTTCATTTGTCTTCGTCTTTTTATCTTCTTTTTTTTCATCAGATACAGAGTTTTTTTCTTTAGTGTTCTGTTCCACCTTTATTTGTGTATTTGATGCTTCCGTTTCTCCAGTTCTTTCTACTACTTCCTTTACGTCAGTTTCGCTAGTCGCATCAGTTGCGCTGTTTGTGCCAGCTGACTCGACTGCGTCGCTTGAGTGGGTTGTACCAGCTGAGTCGGTTGAGTTAGTTACCGCCTTTTCTTCCTCCACTTCCTTTTGTTCATTTACAACTCCGTTTTTTGGTGCTTCTGATTTAGGGGTCTTATGATCTCCCTCTTCTCCTCCAGTTTTTTCTTCATTTTTATTTTCTTTTTCTTCTTCTTCTTCATCTTCATCATCATCTTCTTCATCTTCATCATCATCTTCTTCTTCTTCTTCTCCTTCTTCTTTTTTTTCTGTTCCTCCTACCCCAGCTCCTCCTTCTCCTGCACCTTCTCTCACTTGTGCTACCCCTTCTACTGTTGCTTCTGCATTTTCTTTATTCTCCTGCGCTTGTGTTTTGAGTTCAGATTCTTTTGATTTTTCCTGTAGTGCATTGTTACCTTGAACTGGATTCATTACGGGTTCATTCTCCGTGTCTACACCATTTGAATCATCTTGTAAGGAGACATTCTTTATTGTACATCCGTTTCTTAAATTTGGCTTTTTCACATTTACAATTTCGTTCCTCACTACATTATTTTCATAAATGTGTAAATTTAGAAATAATAAAAAAAGAGGAATACCACAGATTTTCTTCATTTTAAATAATACATGTTAGGAAGATAGTATTTTTTAAATATTAATAAATATTAAAAATAATTTATAAATAGGTTTATTAGTATTACAGTTCTTTGACTAAAAAAAAAAAAAAAAAAAAATTTATATCATTGATGAGGAAATGTGTTAATACCTATTTTTTGCAATTCTGCATAATTTGACTTACAAAAAAGATAAATTTAAAAAAAATGTAAAAGCAAAAAAATTATCATGAAATGATGGCAAGAAATATGATAATTCTTGCGGAAATGAAAAATATATTTTTAAATAAACTTAGAAAAAGTCTAAAAAAAAAAAAAAAAAAAAAACACATGTGCATATTTATGTTTATATATTCAGGGCACGATATAAAATGCTGCTCATTGAGTCTATTAATTTATCCAAATTTTCTTTTTAAGATTATATTTATTTTTAGTATTCCATAAAAAGTGTAATAACCTATTTATGCTAATTTCACGCATGACAATGCATGCAAGTAAATTATTCTAACAGTAAACAAATATATAAATGCCTCATAAGCATGAAATTATTGTGATTCTTTTTTTTCATATTTATTTAGTAAAAAATACCAGCCTAATGAATACACATCACAATACGGTTTTTTGAAAAAAAATGCAAAAAATATCGACAAACTGCAATTGTCGCATACAGTTATGTGCAGCTTAAACTGTGTGTAATTACTTTTTTTTAGGTTTTTGAATTGCTTCATTCATTTGTTCATAATCCTCATTGTCTGTTCTCTGTAACACATAGTTTATAGTAATTAACAATCTATGGAAAAAACGAAAGTAAAAGGGTTAGTAATAGTTTATAAATTAACCAAGTAAGAAAAAAAAAAAAAAAAAATTAGACATTCAAGCATGCCCAATAATCTCACTTCGTGCATAAAATGTAAGAATAGCATATTTCATTAAAAGAATCATAAAATTTATGCTATGTATGAAATTATACTTGTTTGAATATACCGACAACTCTTAATAATGTTATGCTACAATTATCCTTTGCTAATTTTGCATTTTGTACCTAGTTCATTTTATTATTCACTTCGCTGAACCCCGATTGGAGCTATATTTATCACACAATGTAATTATTCATGTTATTTTTTATCATAGGTACCATTAATTTAGAATTCTTAAATAGTACTAAAATGCGTATAAAAACATGACTTGGACAAATATGCATAATATAAGGAAATAAATCATAGTGTAACAAAAGGAATTGCAATTCCTGTTCTTTTATCATACTCACCTTTGGGTTAGGCATATATATACACACATACATACTTACATATTTACATAATTACATATATATATTATTATATTATACACTGTTCTATATAATAGCAAAAATGTAATCCACTTTGTTGCAATCGTTTGAGAATACTCTTGCCACTCTTACCATTTGATAAATAACACATGCGAATTATTAATTATTAAATAAATTAAAGAGCTATCTTTTGATAGGACTTATTTATTTTTAAAGAATAGATTAACATCTTGTTTTAAATTTTTAATAGTTTCATCACCCAGATCGCTAATTACTGTTTTGAAAAGTACATCATCTGCTGTTGAGGCATGGTTAGAGCTATTATGCTTCTCTGCAAGTAACTTATGTGCATCCTTGTCATCTACTATGTCATCACTTTTTTGTGTTTCTTGTGTAATTCCTTCTTCTTGTGGGGTTTCTCCTTCCTCTTCTTCTTCTTCTTCTTCTTCTTCTTCTTCTTTCTCTTCTTCTTCTTCTTTTTCTTCATCATCTTCTTCATGTTCTTCTCCCACTTCTTGCGATAATTGATCTTCTTCAGTATCTTCGTTTTCCTCAGTTTCCGGTTCATCAACTTCCTCTCTCACTTGTTCATCCTTATCGTTTACATCATCAATCCCTGATGTTGATAATTCCATTGGTTCTAGTACATCTTGATTCTTTGTTTTCAGGTATGCATGTATTGCTTTCTCTTTGGCTTTTTTTGCTTCTATTGCTGCTGTTACTGCTTTGTTTGCCTCGCTTTTGACCTGTTCTAATTCTGCTCCTCCTTCTTCCGCTTTAGTTGCCGCTTCTCCTGCTTTAGTTGCGGCTTCTTCTGCTTCCTTTGCCAAACTTGCTGCCTTATCTGCATGAAGAGCTGCCTCCTTAGCTGCTTCACCTGCATTTTTTTTTTCTTCTTCTCTTGCATTTGAATTTTTTATATGTTCTGCTATTTTTTGTGCTTCGTTTTTTGCCTTATCTGCTTCTACTTTTGCATTCTCTGCTTCCGATTTTGCTGCTTGTGCTTTTGCTACCTCTGCTTTTATTTCTTCTGCTGATTTACTTGTTTCAGATAGAGCTGATGGATCTTCTCCTACTGCTGTAGCTCCTTCATTTTCTCCTTGTTTTTCATCCACTACTGGACTTTTTGCATTTTCACTTGTTTTTAGATCCTCTGTTTCACTTTTTGGGGGGACATTTTTAACTTCTTCTTGAACCCCATCTGTAGTTACATTTACTTCTGTTGTATCTGCTTGATGGGTGTTACCTTCTTGTTGTTCTTGTTGTTGTTTTTGTTGTCGTTCTTGTTCTCCTTTTTTTTCTTCTTCTTCTTTTTTTTCTTCTTCTTTTTCTTCTTCTTTTTCTTTTTCTTCTTCATCATCATCTTCTTCTCCTTCTTCTTCTTCTTCTTCTTCATCATCATCTCCTTCTGTTGCTTCTTCTCCCTCTGCTGCTTCTACTTCTTCTTTTTTTTCTACTCCCACTGCATCTCCTGCCCCTTCTGTTACTTCTGCATTTTCCTTATTTTCTTGCGCTTCTGTTTTGAGGTCTGATTCTTTTGATTTTCCCTGTACTTCATTGTTTCCTTGAACTGGCTTCATTACGGGATCATTCTCCGTGTTTACATCAGTTGGTTCATCTTGTAAGGAGACATTTTTTATTGACGAGCCATTTCTCAAATTTGTTTTTTTCACATTTACAATTTCGTTACTCACAATATTTTTTTCGTAAATGTGTATATTTAGAAATAATAAAAAAAGGGTAATGCCACAGAATTGCTTCATTTTGAGTATCACTTAAGAATAAAATATTTCTTAAATTCTTACAAAAAGTGGAAAATATAAGAAAATATATTTGATGGTTGTTATAATTGAAATTATTTTTTTTTAATGACGACTAAAAATATTAAAAAAGTTGCAGTTACAGTTTCTTTGTTTAAACAAATATAAATAAAATAGTGATTACAATTAGAAAAAATCATTAGATAAATTAAAGACAAATTGTTTTTTTTTTGAAATTTGTGAATTATGGTAGCATCACATATTACTTAATGGGACATGAAGAAAAAAAAAAAAAAAAAAAAATGGCAGAAAAGATAACACGTGAAATAAATAAGATATATTATATTAATAAACAAAGAAAAGACTAATTCAGTGATGCAAGTTTTTAGCTTAATTACTTTATTTATTTTTCTTTCTTTTTTTTTTTTTTTTTTTTTGCTAAATATCATTCTTATTTTTGGAGAACAAACATAAAATATGAGAATGAGAAAATTATTTTCAAATGTGGAATGGGGTACACTTTTGTCCTTTGCGCAAAAGAGGAAGTAGCATATAAGACATTTTCGCAAAGAGAATTGTTCTTTTTTTTTTTTTTTTTTTTTTCAAATAAAATCATTACATAAAATCTAATGTGTTGCTCTCATTTAATTACAACCATTGAAATGCTACATTTATTCCTGTCTAGAACAAATTGCAGCATATTTTGTATTATTTTCATTATGTAATTTGAAGTCGAAAAAAAAATATGAAAAAGTGTCCCCTTTTTCTTGTAAAAACAGTGTTACATTGGTGCATATCAGTTTATGTAGTAAATTTATTAAAACATTTTTTTTAATTTCTTAAAAATGCAAAGCATACATGAATTTTCAACATTTGGAATAATTCTTTTTATTGTCTTTTTAAATTAAGTCGATTAAAATAATTGGAATATATTTTTTTGAGAATGTGTAACATTTTTGTCATATATTTTTGAGAGGGAAATAAAATTGTTTTTTCAATTTATTTTGGCTAAATATACAAACAAACTATTTAATGATAATAGCTTTTAACCTAATCATTACATTTTCGAAAATTCAAATACGCCTTTCAATTACTACAAAATGGAATTGCTAATTTGAATGAAAGCAATTGGGAAATAAAATATACATTCTTACAATATTGTGAAAGAAAAATGCATCTCATGCAACTGGCTTATTTTTCCATTTGTGCTGCTTAGCAAGGTGCGTTACCTGCGTGTTGATTTTTGTGAATTCTTTTTTGATTGTAATGTGTAAGGATTATAGTATATTAATCCCCTTTTCAGTTAGTTCAAAATTTGAAGAATTTCAATTCTGTTTGAATTGCTTATTATATGAAACTTTTGTTCAATGTGCAACAGTGAATGTTGCTTTTTATGGTGCAATGATTGCTGTGATTTTCATTGTCTGTAGTTAAGTGTTTTTTTTTTTTTTAAAATCATTTTTGTATCCCACGCCGCTTATTTGTTTTTTATATACTTTTTAATTACCATTCCTTATTCTCTAAATATTTTTCCTATCTTGGTATTACTTGAAACATATTCATAAGAATAAACCGAATTTGTATCACTTGCGAGAGTTTTGGTTTTTATTGAAATTCCCATGTCATATATTGTAGTATCAACGCAATGGTACTACTAACGAGAGTAATAATTTTATCTTGCTTAAACATTTATAAATTGATTCACTGAACTTTTCCTTAGCTTATAGTAGCATACACATAGAGGGATGAGGCACTTCTATTAATGTGTATATGTTTAGTGTAGCATGTGAATTCAAGACATCATAATTTTGTTGTGTTATATTTTACACATACTGTTATGTAGATTTAATTAGAAGAGATTTACCACATTAAATTTTGCTTTAGCGATAAATGTTTATGTGCATAATATCGTAGAACTATGCGCAAAGTTTATCAGTCCAATTGGTGATATATTTTTGCCTAAGAGAAATTCTTTGAAATTAACTGAATGAATATTGTCTATACATGAACATCATATTTTTGGAAAATTTCATTTAAGAAGGTACTAGCTCACAGAGTGCATATGCGTGTGAGTTATCAACTTAATGCAGATTTAATTTAGTAAGAATATATGCTAAAATATGGAGGATATAAAAGGAGAAATAAATTTGGACAGTGAACCGCTATTAATAACTCATCAGAGTAATCCTTACATTTCATCATCTTCATATAATGAAGAAGAGATACATAAAAGTTATACGAATATTGTATCTTCAGTCTCGTAGTAGACATAAATTCACATAACTCTATGAGATCTTTCTATTACGCATTTTTTTGTGAAGACAGTTTTGCAAACTATCAATTTACTGTCCTTTCCACGTATGCCAAATTACACTATTTAAAATATTCCGTAAATGTTTAAAAACTTTTTTAAAAATGTGCATACAAAAAAAATAAAATAAAAAATATATATAATATAAAATATAAAGTAATATGTGTCAGAAAAAAAAAAAAATACTAAAAACAATAAACAAAAAAAAAAAAAAAAAAAAAAAAAAAAAAAGACACATAAAATTAAATTCGTTTTACATATAGTAGAAATTCAACAGAAATGAGTAATAACATAAAACAGAATGAATAAATTGCTTCAATTTGCATATATCTATTACCACTATTTCGTGACACACTGATTTTCCCTTCTTTGTGGAGAGAATTCAATTCGCGTGCGTCTGCTTATATCCACAAAAATGGAAATATCACTTGGGCATATCATTCAAAAGTTAAATACATATATATATGCATACCATACATACTATACATAGTGTTGTTTACTCTTCGATACATGCACATGATGCTATTTTGCTTTTTTTTATTTTTTCTATTTCTCTCCTTAATAAATCAAGGGGACAATTCGATTTTTTCAAACCGGGTAAGAAACAGAACGAAAATTTTTCTTTGCCTGATCTCTTTCATGTTTAATTCAGAGCAGCAGTACGACTTCTTCCCCTAAAAATAGTGAATCAAAACTGCACATTCTTGCTTAAATTGAGAATTTCCATCAAAATTGTGCATTTCCGTCAAAACTTGAAAGTATGGATGAAATTTCCTTCAACGTTTGCTTAATTACACAGACGGGGAGATTAAAATAGTATAGGGTATTCATTTTATTTTGTGTAGAAAAATTTTTGCTATTTTTCATGTTGGCAAATCTGGGTGTTAAACCCTTTGGGACCTTTACGACACTTCTTCTTTCCTTAAATTTTTGATTTTTTTTACAATTTGTTAATATTCCAAGTTCTTCGAAATGTTCAATGGCCTGGTCTATGGTATTTCCTTCTAGTATATCTTTTATGTAAGACGTTTCTGATAGATTACTACACAAATTTCTAAACCCTTTTTGTATATCAGCATAGGTGATTTCAATGAACTGACTTTGCTTTTTTTCTTTACTTTCATCTTGTTCGTCTTCCGAATTTAAATGTGTATCATTTACTACATTACAGGATGCGTATAGATATATTTTTTGAATTAATGGAAGACTTTTAATTTTGAAAAGAATATCTTTATGTTCTTCCAAGGGTATTTTATCCGTAATTTTTTTTATATCTGAAATCATTACTGTGTTACAATTTGCAGTAGTGGCAAAATCGTTATATTTTTTTTCGATAGATTTTATTTGATTATCAATTATAGCATCAAATGATTGTAATTTATCCATATTTAAATTTTTTAATATTTCCTTTTTATCTTTAAAATGATGCATTTCTTTGTCTATTTCATTTTTATATAATATTTTAAATGGACTTTCATAATACTCTTTTGGCGTATATTGACTGAAATTGTAAAAAGATTCATTATCATTTACATGAAAATTTTTTCTTATCAATATTTCACTTAGTGTTTCATTATTGTTTTGTATTTTTATAACCTCTTTTTTTAGTGTTTCATATCCAATTGAAAATTCATTTTTCTGATCAGTAAACTTTAAATTTTTTGCATTATCAATGAATTTACTAGCTAATTCGTAGTCTCGAAAGTTTGGTAATGGTGTTACATTTTGTTCAAGAAAAAAATTGTCATCATCAGAGCAGTCTTCCTTGGGTTGATTTTTCAAATTCGAGCTATTCTTTACATCTACCTTTTGTTTTTTCTTTGTTATAGCTGTTGGATCATCGGTGCTAGGAGGGTCGTTTCCTATCTCTGTGTTCTCGTTTTTCCTTTTCCTTTTCCATTTTTGGCGTCTCTCTAAATCGGTCTCACTTTCGCTTTCGCTTGATTCGATTTCGCTTGAATTGCTCTCGTTTTCCCTTAGTGCCTCTACAGAATCATCTTCCTCTTGATCATTTAGTAGCAGCAATAAATTTTTCTTTTCCTGTCTATTAAAAATTTTATTCATCATGATTTCCTCTTTTAATTTAATTAAATTTTTTTTTCTTTCTTCAAGATCCGATTTTTTATCCGAGAAAACTCTTAATATTGCATCAAAACATGATCTGATATCTCCATTTCGATTAGAAATTTGCCTAACATGTATATTTAGAGATACTCCTTTGAAAATTTTAGTAACAAACTCATCTTCCAGTGTGTTTAATTTATTTCGTATAATATTCATAAACTGTTTTTCATTATAAGGTTTGTAAATAATTTGGTTAATTTTCATATGTGTGTAATCTTTTATTAAATCTAAGCTGTTAGCAATTCCTACTAGTATTACTTTACTTTTAGCACTTTGAACACATTCAAATAGAGCCTTAACTACATCTTCATTTGAACTTTTACTCAAATTTTTTGTTTTTAATTCTGTACGTACATTTTTGGTAGCAATAAAATCTAATTCGTCTACAATTATTATCTTTAAGTTGTTTAACTTATTGGTATAATTAATGAATAACTTTTTAACCTCCTCTAATCCATTTAAATTATACTTTTGTTTCACGTTATTTAGGATGGAATTTTTATCCTTGTTTATTATCTGTTGTAATATATCTACAAAAATGTCATATGGTTTTTGACTATTTGAACAAGAAACGTAGAAATAAGAAGCATCAATGTTTTTGTAATTTGCTGGTGTTACGTTTTCTTTTTTCCTTTTTTTATCCTCCTTTTCTTTTTTTTTTTCCTTTTCTATTTCTTTAATGATGTAAAATATGCTGTAGGTTTTTCCTTGGCCACTAGGTCCTGTAAGAAAAATTCCTTCTCCATCTAGATTTTTTGAGCACCTTTTCAGAATGTTTCTAATTTCTTCAATTTCGACTTCCCTACCTACATCACTGTCACAATCTTTCGAGTCCAAAAGTGTTTTTGATTTTTCATAAAATTCAATATATTTGTCACATTCGTAAATATCATCAATGATTTTTTTTTCTATTTCTTCTAATTTGTTCATTGAGTTTTCAATTTTTTTTATATTTTCTTCTACTGTAATAATGTCTATGGAATTTCCTCCATACTTGATTATTCCATTTTTGTTTAAAGTTTTGTTCTTAATTTCTGGATTATTGTCTGTGTTTTTTTTTCCTACCTTAACTAAAGTTGCAATTTTTTTAATCTCCTTTTCTTTTGTATCATTTAATTTCGTACTTAACTTAGTTTTATTTTTATTTTCCTCCAACTTACTTTTGTTCAAATTTATGGATGTGGAATTGTTCACTTTCATTTTGACATAACCTTTTTTCTGCACACATGCGCATAGGAATTTGTGAATAAAGTAAATCAATTAATGGACGAGATATCGGAGGCAAATAAATGAACAATTGAATTGATTGAATAAAAAGCGAAAGAAAAAAAAAAAAAAAAGAACCAATTGGAAGACAGGGGTGGTAAACACACATAATCATATTAATAAGGTCAAATGAAAAAAGGGAAAAAAAAAAAAAAAAATGTCGCCAACTTTTATTACATCAAAAAATTTGCACGAATTCAAAATAAAATTTATTTAAAAATAGAGTTTTTAAAAATCAACATGGTCATATAAGTGTATGGACGCGTGTGTCGCTATATGTTTGTATATATATGTATATTCTCACGGGTGAGGAGAATAAAGACGTATTTTTATTTTCTTCATAGCTTTTCATAATTTTAGGGATTTTCAAAATATAAGCGCAATAGTCTTGTGCATGAGTGATAATAGACCATTATGTGCTTATGCAACCCTTTGTTGTTTATCTTACAACTGATTAGCATAATAACACTTTTGGAAATTATTACTGGTGTATGTTAGGCCAATATATATATATATATATATATAAAAGAGGAGTTTTTTCTCTCATATGGGTCAAAAGTAGCCATGTGCATGGAAGTACAACCATGTATGTAAAAAATACATTAAAATATTTGGAAGCATGTAATAATATTCCGTATATTTCCAAATTTGCCAATTTGTAATGATATTAAAAAAAAAAAATAAATAAAATAAGTTTCTGTACAATCGAATTATTAATACGGTTTTCAAATAAGCATGATAACTGGACTTAATTTTTCTTTTTCGTAGCATAAAACATGTAACACTAAAGAAGAAAAACAAATCAACTGTGCCATTGTATCACTCAATACCTACTTTTTTGCAGAATTGAGAATTTATGCACACACATTATAATGTGCAGTATGTATATTTAAATACATACAATACGAACAAATGTTCTTATATTTGTAAATTCATAAAAAAAAAGAGAAAAAAAAAGCCATGCAAACTAAAACGAAACACCATATACATTTGCCAGTAAAGGGTGGGATGAGAATGCCTATACATATGAAATTACAGAAAATGCAAACTGTAATTTTTTTATTTTTCGAAAAAGATGGACAAATTTAAAAAAAGATTTTCCTGTGGAAAAATACTTTTTATATGCACACATATTATATGCACGTGACGGGAAAAAGAAAAAAAAATTATGGTTCTGTATGCGTTGAAAAAGATGGAAAAAAGACACAAATGTTTTTATTTAATTAATTAATTAATTATTTGTTTGTTTGTTTATTTATTCATTGGCTTTTTTATTTATTTATTCCTTTTTCCAAGGAGCATGCACAATAATTAAAAAAATAAAATAATGCAATAAGGTATTATGTAAACACATTTACGCGAAATGCTTACATGAAATCACGAATACACACAAACTGCATATGTTTAAATGATTTTTAAACTAATGGGAAAAAATGAGCTTCCATAGCTTTAAGGGCCAAGATATATATATATTCGCAAATCCTTCCGCAGGAAAATGGAACTGTAATATTTATGGTCGAAAGAACAAATTAAAAGCATATATATGACACAATGATAAAGCAAATAGAAGACTGCTTTAAAATAAAGTAACTGTTTTGAGAAATGGTGTTATAAAAATGTTTCACATATGTTGGTGATGAATGGACTTTGATTTTCTTATAAATTTTTAAGCAATACAAAAACATAACGTTATATATGCCATATTTATACGTTTTAAAATTTTTTTTCTTGAAAGTCATTCAGACATTTAATAATTACACGGGCTCATGAAAAAATAAAAAAAATATACACCATTAAAAATGAAAAAAATAAAAGGTTTATTTATTTATTTTTTTTTTTTATGTGTGTGCACTCACATAATATATGTCAATACAATTTTTATACTAGTCCCGCAATTATCATAAGTATATGAGGAGAATAATTATGAGTCATCAAAAACGTTTCTCTGGTATTTCCTTTGTGCTCATTTGGCTATAATTATAATTAAACACGTTTGTGAGTGATAAAGAAAAAGGTTCTATAGGCTCATTCGGGGCTATGTATCAAATTAGAAAAAAAAAAAAAAAATGGAAGCAATATTTAAGGGGTTAATGGGATATGTAAGCGACAAAGGAAACATCGAAAACTTGTAAAGTGAAAATATATTAAAGCCCCTTATTGAAGCATTGGGCGAAAAAAAAATAAATATGTATACATGTATATATATATCCATGCACGTGACATGACGGTCTAGAAACGGGATTTAAAATTACCTCTAAATAGCAACATGAAAGATTGCATACCAATATGCACGAAAATATAGTAGCCTAATTTTTTTTTTTTTATTTTGGTATCAAAAGAAGAGTAGCGAAAGGTGCCGCATGGAGTAGTTCACCGCTGGAACACAGGAATATGAAAATTTGTTTAAAAATAAAAAGGGTTCTACTTCTATGTTTTTTTCTGGCTTTCACAAATGTAGTCTCAAAAAATGCTTCTAATAATTATAGCAAATTTGGGCGAGATAAATATGATCGTTTGAAGGGTGTAACATTACATTTCTCCCATGTCTTGCCTCATAACAATGGTGTTAAGAATAAACATATTCTAAGGAAGGATTGGATGTTCATTAGTTTGAGCAATCATGAAAAGTGTAGAACGAAAACAAAAAAAAGAAAATACACCAGTTTTGATGGAATTACAAGTGAACATAATGCAGGAACATTTCAGAGGGGTAATATTTTATGTAATAAGAAAATGAAATTAATAATTCAGTTGCTAAATAGAACCAAGTGGTACGATTTCAAATTTTTTTCCCCAGCAAAAATTAATTTGTTTTTACGACTAAAGGAACGAAAAGAAACACACAATGAAATATCAACATTAATGCATTCGATAAATTTAGGTGATGATATTTTTATTACATCTTTAAGCAGAGAAGATCAAAGAAAATTAGAAAAATTGTTATTTCCATGCCAATCTGGTGATTTCTTAACTATAAAAAAAACGAAAGAGCATGATGTATTACATGAAAATAAAATAAAATGTCTATGGGACAAAGAAAAAGACGAGCATTATTTTTACAATAATTATCCATTAAATGATGATAATATAATTGCAAAAATTTTAAAACGATATAGAGAAGAATTAAATATAAATGATGATATAAAATTTTTAGTTCATATTAATAAAAGGAGTCCCATATTTAGTGGAATTGGCGGAGGTTCCTCTAATGGAGCCTCTGTTTTTTATTTCTTAGAAAATTATTTCTATAAATTTTTAAAAACAGATCAGTTACGAAACGAATTTTTAAAAAAAATAGGTAGTGATATATCTTTTTTTAGTAGTTCAGGTTTTGCATATTGTACTGACAAGGGAAATTATGTTATCGATTTAATTGATGCCCAGGCAACAATATCAGATCGGAGAATATATATTTTTCAAATAAATGAGGGATTATCATCTAAGTTAGTTTATCAAAATGTTAATTATAACAACATAGTGCAATATAACCCTGTTAGTTTGTTAAAACATTTTATAATTAATCCGGTGGGGTGTAATATTATTAACCATATTGAAGAGAAGGAGTTCAATTATTTGAAGCATTTTGTGTCGTTTGACCATACAGAACTGAAGAATATGTTTATAAATGACTTAGAACATTCTGCGTTTCTTTTACTTAAGAAGGTGAAATATTTAAAGGACTTTTTAATGAATCAAAATATTTTTGACGCTGTAGCGATGAGTGGTAGTGGTTCATCATTATTTGCACTAACAAAAAAGAATATGAGTTTACATAAGGAGAAAAGACACATGAAAAATTTGATTAAGGACGTACAAAGAAAGTTACATTTAAATATAAAGGCTTATCTGTGCAGTTTTTTACGAAAGCCGAAACACCTCTGGTATAAGCCAAGTCAAGTCGCAGAAATGATGGCCTAATGAAGCCCCTTCATTTCGGTCATGCTTTGTGCGTATATGCATGCATCCACCAATCCATCTATCTATCCATACATACATCTGCCATGCTTAAAATATATGTACATATATATAAGTATATATATATATATATATGCACACGTGTGCCCATGTTTAATGGTACACACATTCCCATTTATTAATTTTTTTTTTAATGTTGAAATGTGTTTCGTTGGACAGGTTAAAAATAACTTCCAGAAATTGTGGCATGTAATTTCCCACTACGTATCCCTATTTAAAATTATTTGTTAGCATAATAGGATATACGACTAACATTTTTTTTCTGAACAATTTTTAAATGCACTTTTTTTTTTTTTTTTGTCCTTACCTCGTTAAAATCATACAAGCATGAACGTACATATATATACATCATTTTTATGCTAATTTTTTTTTTTTTTTTTGTCCATCATTTTGGTGCTTACCCCCATTTCCACAGATTTTAAACGAATTTGTCTTTCACTTTGTTACAACTGTTTTTGCGATTCTTTCTTAAATTAACATATCAAAGAAGGTTAGAAATTAAATATTCTTCAATTTCGTCAACACTCACAGGCTAATGTTTATTAGTAATTTTTTTTTTTTTGTGTATGTGTATCAAAACATATACTTTATATATTTTTTTTTTTTCTGTAGAGTCTTATGGAATAACTATGTTTTTCAGTTGAATTACTGTGAATAATTTTATTATGGCGATTTCTATTCTTTTTTCATCTTGTCAAGGTTTAGATTTTTCAACATTTCATTCGCATCTTCGTATACCTGAAGTGGTTTCTGATTTAGTGCATCATTTTGTGCAGAGGAAAATTCATCACTTTTTTTTTTTCTTCTCCTTGGGGAATATCCAGCATCATATTTTTTTTTACTTAGGTCTATGTTAAATTTTTTACAACAATAGCCTAAGCCATATTTTTTTATTGTCTTCAATCCTCTTGTACTGACTCTCATTTTTACAAATCTATCTTCTTCCTCAAAATAAATTCTTTTTCTTCGTAAATTTACTCTCTGTTTTCTGTGAGTTTTTACTCCAGACTTGGAAATTTTACGAGCATTCCAGTTGTCCATTTTACCCAATATTAAACATCTTTATATTTGAAAATGGGAAATAAAAAGAAGGGAAAAAAAAAAAAAAAAAAAAAAAAAAATAGGTAAGGACCAGACTAATGAAACAGTAAATTATTTACAATATTTTTTTAAAACAGATCAAAGAGAATATATATATATATATATATATTTTTTTGTTTTGTTATTTTCTTTCATTGTTTTTTTGTTAAAATTTATAATCCACTAACCTCCTTACTGGAAGTTTAATTTCTTTATGAGGTAACATCGTGACTTTGTTAATTCGTTTCCTGCCATCTAATCCATGGTGCCTTCTGGCTGTGGATGGCCCAGTCATTCTATATTTTCGGATCTACATAATGTAAATATCACAAAAAAAAAAAAAAAAAAAAAAAAGTTTTTTGCAAAATGGAGAATAAATAATGGGTATTTCTTGAAACTATGTAAAAATTTACAGACACATAAAATAAACACTTAGGAAAAATATACATTTGAGGGGGGGGGGGCATTTACACAAATGTAGCACCATGGAATGAAAATATTTTTACTTACGGCTAACGCTTCTTTATGTCTTTTTTTAGTAAATAGGGAAAATTTCGAAACATGTAACTTTTTGTTAAATACGGAATTTTTAAATATATCACTTTTTTTTATTAAAGATCTCACTGTTAAATTGGTGTGGAAAAAAAGAAGAAAAAAAAAAAAAAAAAATTGCGTATAAATGTATTATATTAAAAAATGTGTACGGAATAATTTATATTTACGCTTGAAATTCCTTGTGCCTATAATTTTTGTTTTCCCCCTTTTTTATTGCATACCATAAAATGTTTTTTGGGAATTTATTCTGTTTTCATCATTTTTTTGAATCTGTAAAAGAAAAAAAAAAAAAAGAAGAAGAGACATTTAAACTGCTCATGTTATAATTAAGCCTTGTTTGTGTTGTTGCATTTTCTTCTGGCACAGGAAAATTTTAGACAAATATCTGTTCGGGATTCATCCCTCATGTATTTTTTAGTTTGGTTAACATTATTTATACATAGAACGCATACAGATTGATACACTTATTCACATGTGTATGCACCATCATCACCCCTTTATTATGGTGCTATAGTGCAAGTGGACAAACTTACAACTGTTGAAACGCCCAAGAGGAAAAGAGAATTCAAGTTTATTATTGCATAAAAAAATAAATACACATTTTTTGTTAAGTTGTATATTTTATTTTTATATTTCCTTTGCATTATTTTATTTTTTAACAAATTAATGATATTCCTTATAACATTTAAAGGAGTAAAGAGTTAGTAAAAAAGCACACACAACAACAAAAAAAAAAAAGTGGTTATACGATAATCTTCTAATTTTGAAAGATCAACATCATTGTGTAAGTGCTCCATCCAATAAAAAGGTAAAAGGATGAAAATGTAAAAATTTCTAGTATATTTACATACTAGGCTGTCTTTAAGTTTTCTAAGTTTCCATTTATTAAGGTTCCCAAAATTGCAGGTATTTGCGAACTATGCATCTTCCATGTTCTCATTTTTAATAAGAGTGTTAATGGCTTGCTTCATGGTTTAAAAATTAACACCAAAACGAAGAAAATGTATAATAAAATAAGAAAAAAAATAAAATAGCAAAAAAAAGAGGAATAAAATATGATTTAAAAAAAAAAAAAAAAAAAAAAAGGCCTTAATGGAGTTAGTAAACAAAATTATCGTAAGCAAACAAGAAACATGAATGTCGTAAATGCTGGAAAACACACTTTTCCCATTTATTCATTTTTTATTTTTCCTTATAAGCTATATTCACATTGTCACTTGTATTTTACTTGCTATTTGACGTGATCTTATATGTGTTACATTTGTGCATTACAATTACCTTTTTTATTTTAAGCCTTCTGAATGAACACATTTAATTCAAATTGATGATTCCTCTTTGGATCATATTTTTCCTTTTGCTTATTATCCTCTGCTTCCTGCTAACATTTGTAGTTGTTATTTCCGTTTATTTTTCTTTGAACTGCTATTGCTAGCCTTTTTTTTTTTTTTTTTTTTTATGATGTACATTACCTATGCTGCATAAATCGAGTATGGAAATTGTTACGAATATGTAGTACATGTATGTAGGGTATCACAATTTTTATCAATGCACTTTTTCTTAAAATAATATTTTTATTTTTCAGTTTCTTCACCTTGTGTTCATACTTAAATAGTTTTGTGTTTACTGAAAGAAACAGTATTTGTTGCTGACTTTAGAATATTCCACCTGCTGCCGCGACACAAATGACTCTCTTTACATTTTATCAGAAAAGATATTTGTCAAATTAAATATCCTCTGATTATAACATCCTGAATATTTAATGAAGAATTATACGACATTAAAAAATATATATTTTTTTAATACTTTTTTTATAGCATTTTTTACGTTTTAATGCATAATATTTTTTCCTTTTTTTTAATACCACACTTTTTACATAAATTTTGAGGACCGAACATTAGAGGAAAAATGGATAATCAACCAAGCATGGAAGACGCCCAAAATGCCTTAGGGATGATGATATATCAAATATTGAACAATGTAATTCTTTTATTTTTCTCCTACTCGAAGTGAACTTTTTTTTTTTTTTTTCAACGATTTTGTTCAAAAGTGTATGTATTGTGTCTTCTTTTTTTTTTTTTTTCCATTTATCCCTCCATATTTATGATGACGTGGATATCATGAAAAGAGCCTTTTTTATTTTTATTTACCCATTCATATATTACTATAAAACGGATATCATATAAAAGCGTCTTTTTTTTTTTTTTTTTTTATAGCAAGTGAGAAAAACATGCTTTGAAAAATGTTTTGGTCAGAAATTTTCGGAACAGATGGGGAAGAATGAGCAAATCTGTTTAGCCAAGTGCATGGACAGAATGTTAATACAGTTTTATACATTATGCTCATACGAACATATGTTGTTTCGTAGTTTTAACATTTGCTTTATAGCTACATCATTTTGTATGCACTTATATTGAGAAGCCACTTGAAAATCAATCGAAATTGCGTCGAATTAAGTGAACTTATAAGTGTATATATATATATATTTCTTTTCTATAATCATATTTTTCACTTTTTACGCTTAGGTACGAAGCTCACACTATTGTAACGAAGGCATCTACAGAAATGGCACAAAATTTAAACATTGACTCAAATTATTAAGTTCTAATTAAAAATTAAATGTGTGAATGTTTTTTCAAATTTTTTATGTATCATAATTTGAATTGTTTTTTCCTTTTTTTAAAATAGACTTTTTAAAAACAGAATATTTTGTTAGAAAGATAAAAATTGAAAAAGTGTAACTAAACATAGTAGTGACTGATGAATAACCAAAAATGAACAAAAAAAAAAAAAAAAAAAGGAATACAATAGTTTATTCCTATTTTAATGATTCCTCAGTTTGTAACACTGAAAAGTCATGAATAATTGTTATACTATTAAATATGGTTTGAAAAAAGAAAATTCCTACTCTTAGTTACACGAAACGTTGGGGTATGCTAAATTATAATAACATATAGATTGAACAAATTTTTTTTATTATGATATTAAAAATTTTCTTGTTTCCAATTCTTGACAAAATATTTTGATCATTTTAGTACGTACCCCTTTTGGTTCATATGAAATGTTATGTCTTGAGTATATTTGAAAGGGTTAGGGAATAACATAAACCGAGCATGAACAACTTTGGCATTCATAAATAATGTAATATTCGCAATATAAATTTTCCGAAAAAAGAAAAAAATCTCCACAACGACAAAAATAAATATAAGAATTTTCCTCATTAATATATTGCAAGTCTACCTTTTTTATATTCAGTGCATTTTCATATTTTTCGGATTTGTTGCTATGTTCAATGTCTTTCAAAATTTGTTCATACGCCCATACTAGGGTTACAAAATCGATTACATTTTCTTTCTCCTGTTTGTTTTGTTCATTTATTGGGACACTTCCCGAGGTACAATTTTTTGTATTATCCCTATTGTCTGTATATTTTTCCATGCATTTCCGTTCTCTATTTAAATGATGCTTCAACTTATCTGGATGGTAAATTAAGGCTAACTTTTTAAATTGTTTTTTTGCAGTTTCTATGTCACAATCTGTTCCTACATTTAAAATGGAATATGGGTTTCTAGTTTGGTTATTTAACATTTTGTTTTCACCTAAATATTCATTTTTTTTTTTTTTTTCCGTGCTACATTGGGGATAAACTTTGTTCATATATTTAAGTGAACAAAAATCTTAGTTTTGGTTTTATTAATTTATGTAATAGTTTTTTTTTTTTTTTTTTTTTTATTCCAAATTTTTTAGCCTAGTGTGTCACCTCATTTTTACGCACTTTAATTTGTTCCCAAGGGAAGTATTTGTGGCAATGGTTACAGGGTTTTTAATTTATCGACCTACTCCATACTCCTTTAGCTGAAGTATTTATTCCTTTTATATTTCAATATGTTTATGCCAAACTTTTTAGCTCTTGCTTTCGTGGATTTTTTCACTATATTATACATGCATAACAGTTGCTGTTATATTTGACACATTTCACCAAATTAGCAACAGCATGAACGATCAGTGCAAACGTATGCCAGTAATTTTCTCACCCATGACCTTTAGCCATTTTTAATTATACATATGTATATAAATATATTGCCTTTTGTTTTTGAAGCATATATGCATGTATGCTAAAATGTGTGTACATATATAGGCATATATATTTTTTTATAATTTTTTTTTTGTTGTCCCTAATCAACAAATTTGCCTCAGTAAGAGGTAACAATTTTTTAGGGTTGCGTATCTCAAGAAAAAATAATTTTCCCCTTTTTTGTAAGGGATAAAATGGGATCTCAAAATATGTTATAGGTATTACACAAACACATAGGTGAAAGTCTATATACATATATGATTTAGCGAACGTGTAGATGTATTCGTTTAAACGTAGGGTGTTAAGCATAAGATGGAGAAGAGTTTAATTTCTCCATACTGTTAATGAACGACAGGAGGGGTACCTTCACCTGTTGATTGTGTATTTTATAACCCCTTATTATACACGCACACATTTTTAGAACTAATCACAATTCATATATTTTAGTAAATAGAAGAGAAACTTATGATATGGTTTAGTGGTAAAAAATTGGGTGGTGGGGTTGGAAGACGATTGTGTATGCCCATTTACAGTGGTAGTAGCGATAGTGCTTTTAAGGATAAACAATTTGTTTTAAAAAAAATAAATCATAAGTACGAAAATGTTTTACTATTTGGAGATGTAAATAAATTAAGATCCACAGCAATGGAACTCATAAGAAATATATCATCCTCAGATGAAAACATGAAGGAGGGGTATGCTAATTTGAAAATAAAAAAATATATAAGCACTGAGGAAAAGAAAGCCAAAGAATTAGAAGATGAGAGCGAAGTGGATCATATGGTTGCAGCGGATAATGATGACACAGGATACAGTAATACAGCTGTATCAAAAAGACCACATTCAAAAGATAATAACTCTGATATGTCAAAGAAGTTATCCTTTTGGCAGATATACAGCATGAGAGTTAAAAAAAGTCTTCATTTGCTAGGCCCTCAAGATTTCGCTTTAATTCTTCAGTCTTTTCATTTGCATAACAAGGACACAGGTAAAATTTTTCACGCACAAATTGTTAATGTGGATATACATTTTTTATTCAGTTGAGTGTGGGTTTTACACGTGTATAAGATATTTCTTCCATTTTTCACTATCTTTTTATTTCTTTTATTTATTTATTTTTTTATTTTTTTTTTTTTTTTATTGTTACATTATTTTATTCCCCAATAACACCGTGTAGGAATCTACGTGTCAAGCGTGAAACATATCGAGAATCAAATTCCATCGATGAATGGAGTTTCCTTTGTGATAATTTTAAACATTTTAAGTGCAAGGTTGAAAAAAAATAACTATAACGATTTCTTCCAAAAAATGTTGAATTATTTGCCAAATGTTTTATACGAATTGAACATACGAGACATGAACAACATTATGAGCTGCTTCCACAATTTAGAATTAAGTGACACAAAAATATGCGATATTTTTTATTTGAAAATTTTATCAAATTTGAATAAAATAGAAGATAGTTTTACGTTATCATCCTTGTGTTATATTTTCTACAAGTATAATTTTGAAAATTTACATTTTTATGAATGCTTAAAAAGAAGAGGGTTGCATTTACTAAATAATTTTGACGCGAAGCAGCTTTATAAATTTGTTTTTTCTTTGTATAAAAAGAATATTTGTTTAAAAGAAATAATTGAGAAAAAGAAAAATGACGTATTCTCCTTTTTGCCACATTATAATGATGAGCAGAGATTGTTCATGTGTGATTTTTTTGGGATAAAATGAAACGTATTTTCATTTTGTAGTTTCGCGTAATATGTGCGTCGCAGTATTTTTTAAGCTGCTTTTTTTTTTTTTTTTTTTTTTTTTTTTCATACCATTTTCCAAAATTTTTCAGCATTATGTGGAATTATTCACATACATATATATATATATATATATATATATATATATATATATATATATATATATATTTTTAACACTTTCTTTGTCTATTTTGGGGTCCAAAAGGGGGATGAAAATTTAGAACTTAAACGAAAGAATAACAATTGTGGGTGGAATGAATCATTAGAAATATTGCTCCACGTAAAGTGCTTGAATATACTTGAAATATACCAATAATGAGGAAATGTACACATGTGTAAGTGCTTCTATATGCAGAGAAGTTTACCCGATTTTGCACTTTTGTTATCGTTTCATCGTTTTAATATTTTCCTTTTTGCTGCTTTATTAAGGAAGTGCTTCAGTTAAGTCTCATTATGGATAAAAAAAACAAAAAAAAACATATACACACACATGCATGTCTATTTGCATATACGCGAAAGAGAACCATTGGGGCTTATTTCCCATGAGTATACCTTAGAAATGAGCTCAGGGGAAGACGAACTTTATGCTGATACAACTTGCTATGCCAAGATTTTTCCATTTCTCAATAAAATTATTAATTAATTTCTCATGCATTTTTTATGCCGTTCATTCCTTGCTGTCTTATTATTTTCTATCATCACTGAAATTTAAGCAAAATAAGAGTAAGCCTTGAATAACGCTCATAAACAAAGGGAAAAAAAAATGGTTCACAAAATAGATAGTTTCTTACACATTTGTAAAGCTGAAAAGGAGACACAAGTTAAGAAAGATGTCATAAAGAGACTCGTGCCGACAAAACGAAAATTCACAAAAGGTGTGACAATCAAGTATGTTTTACATAATTGTAAAACGAAAAGTAATTTAATAAAAAAAAAGTGGAATATAAATTTTATCTTAAATAAGACAAAGAGTAAGCGCAAAAAAAGGAAGAAGAGGGAGAATGATGCAAAAAATATGTCTGATAAAATTATTGTCCAAAATAGTGATATTACAGAAGAACATAAAATTGGAATTTCTTCTGAAAAGGGTTCTAGCAATTTTGTATCACAAAAAAGTTTTGATATGAAAAATTTCGGTTCTTATAAAAAACTGCTTAATAAAATAGTTCAAAATGTGAAACGTGGTCAAAATTCAACCATAATAAATACAGGTAATCACAACGGGGGGGGGATGATTAAATCTTTGCGTACTTGTATATATACAGAAGTGTATAGTATGAAAAAGGAAAAAGCTGTGCTTGCATATGTACACCAAAAATATGCCATGTGTATATATGTGCAAAAAATATTACCCCCTCATAATATGCCATTATTGGAAAAAAATGGAATATGTATTTTAACTATTCTACTTTGTGCAATTAATTTTTGTATAATGCTACGCTATTGTATGTATGTGGATTTATGTGTAGTTTTTTTTTTTTTTTTTTTTTTCCTCTCCCTTTCGAATTTCTTTTCATTTACAACGGGTTGTTTTAATTTTTCTAAGGGGTAGACACACAGAAGAGAGAGAAGAATATATTTTTTTATGGATACTTGTATAGGACATATTTAAGGGGTAAAATGATTCATATATATAATTTTTGATTGTACAGAGATGTATGCATATATGTATGTATATATATGTGCTTCTTCCTAAGCCCGTGCTTCTTTTGCAAAAACGTGAAATTGTGCTAAATTTATGTCAAGCATAGAGGGAAAAAAAAAAAAAAAAAAATTAAAAAAGTTACCATTTTTAGACAAAGAAAATGTGGAAAAAGACACGGACATGATCAAATATTTTACAAACGAGCTAGATAAAGAGACAACATCAGAAGGAGAAATAAAGAAAAAGAAAGAATCACATGAAGGTTTTATTTCCTCATGCTGCAATGGGAAGAGAATAAGGGAAAACTACACACAAAATAGGAACTTGGAAGAATGTTTAAGAAAAAAAAAGGGTCTAATTTTCGACATATATGATCGTATTGTTAACATGAATAGTGAAGGTTATATGATAAAAAAAAAAAAAAAAAAAGAAAAAAAAAAAAAAAAAAAAAAAAATAGAAAAAAATAATTTGTATTTACGAATTCGTTTTATGTATGAATGTTGTTTTTTTTGTCTGCCTTTTTTTTTTTTTTTTTTCCAGCACATAGAAAAATATCAATTTCTTCATGGGTATATAAAAATTGCAAAATAATTGACATGCTAAAAAAAAAGTCCCCTGCGGATAAAACTTCCAGAGATGGAAAAAATAGAAGAGATAGAAAAGGTAATGAGAAAAATCCTTTTTGTCACAGGTGTTTTATAAAAAAAAGTTTTGACAGATTGTGTTTTGGTTATCCCCATTGTTGTAAAGAATTGCCCATAAATAAGGTAATAAAGAATGGTGAAATATTAGAGAACTCTTTGAAACGTATAATTAAAAAGTGCATAAAAATTGTTGAAAGACGAAAGAAGAAAATCATTAACGTGTGCTTTGTTTTTAAATATAAAATTAGAATGGACAGACAAGACATTTGCATATATTTGGTTAATTTCCCCCTTTGCAATATACAAAAGAATAAAATTTTTAATAATAGTAATAACGAAAAATCCTTGCTGTTTTTGTTCAATAAAAAGATTTTAAAATCTGTAAGAAATGTGAATGATTACTCCAGTTTTATCTTTCCATTCAATAATGCGAAGGGATGCCAGAGAGTCCACAATTTGAAGAAAAAAATGATTAACTTTGTAAGTCAGGAGGGAGGTTTGCCTCGGTTGCAACACAATGTTGAGGTGACACGGGAAAGTGCAAATTATATGAAATTGTCAAACACGAAAGAAGAACGTGAAAGCATTCCCACTCCAACAAAACCAGTGCAAGAAGAAGACAACATTTCTCCAAACGCATGTAAAAATGAAGAAACAAAGAAGAGAGGAGGGATTGTTCTAATTAGGAAGTATAATAAAAAGGATATAATATTCCATATACATCTTTTCGAATTACTTATTAGGCTCATATTTGAAAACTCGAAAACTTATTTTACATTTTTCATTACCGACCTTACATGCAATTATGAATTGTACAAGAATGTGTATTACTTAAATTTAAGTAAAATTGTTAATATAAGAATGAATATTAAAAAGACAAGACATAAAATAGGAAATGGAAAGACAGAAATGGATGATAGTACAAGAAGAACAATACATACCCTGATGAAACAAAACGATGAGTGCAAAAATATAATAAATGAAAAAGACAAAGTTATACTGATCTTGCAAAATGAGGTCAGAGAAAAAAATAGCACCATGTCACAATTAGAAAATCAAGTCTTAAAATATAAAAACGACCAATCTGATATGCTAAAAACTGTAGAAAATCTTAAAAATAAAATATCAAAAAAGGAGACAAATAAGAAGGAAAACAATGTGGATGAACAATTAGTGAAAAATACTAATTATATAAAAAAATTGTATAATGAAAATAATTTATTAAAAGAAAAAATTAAAAAATTAAATGAACTGACTAAGAAAGGTGGTACTTCGTCCAATTCGGTTGGAAAATTACCTGACTCGAAGGAAAGTGATAAGACCTGCATACCGGCAAATAGCGAGGTAAATAGATAATCTATACACAACAAGCATTTTAAAATAATATAGCACAGTATAATGCAGTACAGTGTAATATAGTACAGTATAATATAGCACAGAATAATTCAATACACTATAATATAGTACAGTATAATGCAGTACAGTATAATATAACAATTGAACATAAAACAAAATGATCTATTCTATTTTTATACTCCTACTTGGAATATCCCCGTCCCCCATATCCCTCGCTATTCAGGCCACAAAGGAAGAAGAGAAAAATGAAAAATTGAATTTTTTTAAGAAGGCCTTTCTAGACACTGAACAAAAGTTATATGTAAGTTGTTTCTAATAAATGGGACGAGTTATATACATATGTTACTCCATGTATATATGCATGCGCTTATACCACGCATATTGTATGCAAATTCAAAAAGACATGCATACATGCGTGCATCCCGTTTCACCTTAACAGACAGCTGATATAGTAATAAACACTCAGAAGGAAATTATTTCAAAAATTAAAAATGAGAAGAATAGTTATTTTGAACAAGTTGAAAGGAATAAAATTATTTTTGTAAATATGAATTGTGACAAAATTTAAAGAAACAAAAATAGTACAACGATATGTGTGTGTGCAATGTCGCATAAATGTGCAGGCAAAAAAAACCTGCGTAAGAATGTAAATACCGTTATGTACATATATATTGTGTAACAAGACAATGGTTATATACATATGGTTTATTCCTTTTCACAGAAACGAGAAGTGGAAAAGTCATTAGATTTTATGCATTCCATTTGTGAAGATATAAAAACGAAGAAGGAGAAAATCTGTCTGACGAATAGGATTAACAAATTACATGATTGCATAAATGTAAAATGAGAAAAAAAAGTGGAGAAGTGAACCGTGAACGCTCTCGCTTATGTGTTTACCTAACGTGCGTGTGCATGCATTGTGTATGTATATACGTGTGTATACGTGTGTATATGTGTGTGTATGTGTGTATAATTTTTTCTTAACCCGTTCAGGACTTCTTGAGCAAATTTGAAAAGGACTCATAAATCTTCGGATAGGGGATTCACCCAGATGTGTATGTCAAGGCAAAATGCATTTCGTAGGAAGTTACACCTTTTTAGTAATAACATGTAGTTATTTCGCAAGGATGAGAAAGCATAAATATAAATTCTAGATATAGGGATGAATGCAAACAAATTCCTCTCACTCTGACTCTGAGTCTGCCTCTGCCTGTTGTCATCCCTGTCCAGAGCTGCATGCCCGTATCAAATTTTAAAAAGCAGTACACTTATCATTATACGGATAAAATTTGCACCAATAGATAGCAGCAATAAATGAAAAAAGAACTACTAGTGCAAGTAATGGAAGAATTAAAAAGGGGAAAATGAATGTATTTTTTTTTTTAAATTTAAGTTTTACTACTTTTTTATCATAATATGTTTCAAGATATAGATATATATTTGTCGAATAGTGTATAGATCCATTTAAAACTTTATCAATAAATCTATAAATCATGTTTTGATTATCTACCTTTACAAAGGAAAATAATTTATTACTTATATCTGAATATAGAGAAATATTTTTGTTAAAATTATTGCAAAAATATTCTCTAATATGTTTTGTATTTTTTTTATTATCCAAAAGGCATGTATTCCCATATGTAAGGTTGTACATATAATTTGGAATTTTTATGGTGACATGATAAAATATATTAAAAAAGTAGAATTTTCTGAAAATTTTATTAATCTGAAAATTTTCTTTTTTATTAGGTTTATAATATAATTCATTAGAATTAGTAATTCTTTTTTTATATACACTGTCTTGATGAGGAGGATTATTTTTGTCGTCCTTTTTATATGAACTCTGTTTGTCAAGGAATTTGTGATGATTTCTTATTAAGTTGTCTAAAAATGGAATTTCTTTGTACCATTTTTGGCTGTTACGTAGAATGCTTTCTTGAAATTTTCGTTTTATAAAATTTTCTGAAATGTTATTTTTTTTTTTATTTATCAGTTGGGTTTTTTCGAGAACTTGTTGGTGTCTACATTCGATCACCAAAATGTTGTTATACACATTTGGATTCAAAGGAAAAACAAAACTTTTGTTTTTAATTAAATTATTGTTTATGTATGTTTCACTATTATAGCATTTTGCTTGAACATTTAATTCTTCCTCATTTTCCTGTACATTCGTAGTGTAAATATAAATGTAATTTTTGAACTCTTTATCAAGTATTAGATTTGTGTCAGATAATCGTCCAGTTATATTAACATCATTTAAGTAGTAACTGGTATATTTGTTATTATTTCTTATTTTTATTTCATATGTCTTATTATTTTCATAAAAAATGGATATTTGTTTTTCTCCCATATCCATAAGTTGTATATTATAAGGCAAATCAGAAAAATACACCTTTTTCTTATTAATATAAATGTGATATTTTTTTAGATATAATTCTTCAACTCTTACATTTTGCATACTATCTAGGTACTGTACTGTGTTTTCATTAAAGAACATTTCATCTTCTAATGAAATTTTTTTATATATGTAATTTTCCCAAATATTTAATAATGGGCTAACACTAATTTCAGTTATATATTTATTTGCTTCTAATTCGTAATGGTACCGATCTTTGTCGAATGTAAAATACACATTATTTATTAATATATTGCTAATAAAAATGTGATATTCGTGTTTCTGCTCATTTTTGTAGTCATTGATACAACTCTTTCCTTTAACAAGTAAAATGATGAACATGGAAAATATCGTAAAAATATATTTCATTCTGTTAACATGCAGAACGATTTTTTTTTTTTTTTTTTTTTTTTTTTGAAGGAGAATTATTTGGATGGAACCACGTACATAGAATAAGGACATGGAAAATTGTACTGTTGAAGGAAATATGTACAAGTAGTTTCTTTTTTTAAAAACATCTACATATGATTCAGATAATTGTTTAAAGGTGTACAGGTGTGAATACCCAAATTATGAAGTTTTTCCTTTTTTTAGTGCTCACTATTCAAATGGTTCAAAAGGGGTAAACACACACAAGTGTGAACGATATGATTTTGGGGACAGATAAATATATAGACATATATGCCGCTTGGTATAAATTTATAAAATTTTTGATTAAAAAAAAATAAAATACCTTTTTAATGCACGCGTAATCCGACCTAGTGATAAATAAGCTATACATTATCTTTACTATATGCACATTCCTTTTTTAGCTTATTATAAATGAAAAAATACAGTTATTATTAAAAGGCTTTGAAAAGCTCTTCAAAAGTGGGTAATAAAATGATGAACATGTTCAGTTGAAGAGTTGAAATGCTGATAAGAAAAGAAGTTGAAAGTGTATATAATATGCACATTGTGTGTGTGCATGCATACAGACATACAAATGTGACATTTATCACGCACACTAACCTTTAAATTTAAACCTATCCTACGTCTTTTTTACTATTTAAATTATACATATTTTACGATTAATGTAAAGCGAAACTCTACTACATATTTCAGCTTAAAATGAGTAGAAGAAAAAGTAATGGCTTCTTATACGTTTTTTTCCATATATATGCATAATATAATTGTGGAGAATAACTCAAAAATAATTCACCTTCGCTGGAAATTGAATAAGTGCATGTGTATGGAGTACGAAAAAAAAAAAAAAAAAAAAAAAATTTCTTTAAAATATTAATTAGCCATGATTTAAAAAAAAAAAAAAAAAATGTAGAATACGCTTTATGTAGTAAATGATATACTCTATATGTTGCGATAACGGCAGCGACCGCGCAAGGTGTCATATTATTCCACCCTCATTCACTTCCCGTTCTGATGCACAAATGAGTAAAACGGGTAAACGATTTGGTTTCCTTTTCACAATTTTTATTTCCAGTTGGCATGATGCGATAGAAGAATCAAGCTACATATATATTTTACCTTCATAGGGGAATGGTATTTTAACGTGCACAAGTTTTTTTTCAAACGAGATGCATAAAACTTACACATTCTATAGACAGAAAGGAGAAAATGGCAAAAAAAAAATGATAATTTTATCATAATACCATATATAACTGCAAGAGAAAAAAAAAAAAAAATTATTACGTATGTATGTTTTTTCCCTACTTTAATTAGCAAGTTTGGGGGTATGTTCACAAGTACAATAACTTCATTCATATATATATCAGTGGAGTGTTTTAAATTATAGAATATTGATCTTAAAAAATTATTCAGCATTATTTGCTTAATTGTTTTTCTGCGGGGATATTCTCATTCATGTAATTTTTCAAAAAGAAAAAATGTAAACTAAATATTTTGTAGTTCATAACTATAATTTATTTTAACGTTTAGAAGTTTTTTTTTTTTTTTCTAAACTGGTGATGGTGGAGATAATAGTGATGGTAGTGGCGCCCGCTTTTCATCATTTCACAAGAATGTGAAACATGTTTATGAAAAAATATAAAGCATCTCTCATATCACGTTTTCTTCCCTTATGAATATAAAAAAAAAAAAGGAACAGAAATCTCATATTTGATGTTGATACTAACATTTTCTCGTGACAATTTTTCACATGCTCTTTTCAGATTTTATATAATATAATTAAAATTATTTATTGCCTTAATTCCTTGTTTTTTAAAATTCGTGTGTTTTCTTTAACAATTAAATGGGATGGTGTAAAAAAAAAAAAAAAAAAAAAATATTCGCAACAAAGAGCTAGAGGTATTTTGTGGAAAAAAAAAAAAAATAGCATAACAAACTGGCGTAACTAAATGGCATAACAAACTGGCGTAACTAAATGGCATAACAAAATGGCATAACAAAATGAGAATCGTGCAACATGTAAGAAAAAAATAAAACTAACCGTTTCATGATTTCCCCTTATTTCGCATTTCTGCTTCTTTTTATTTTATTTTTCTTTTTTTTTCAAGTTTATAGTTACGTTTCCACAAAAATTTTTTTTTTTTACCTGAAACTTGGAATAGAAAATATTTATGCTAGGGGGTGTTGTAAATAAACCCAGATGAGTTTAATTAATAGTTCAGTACGTGTGCATAATATATATATATTATATGTGTATGTAGGGTACCATAGAGATATACATACGCAAGTGAATATTTTTTTTGTTGCATGCGAGCTAGTTAAGCACCTGTAAGAAGAAAACTAGGTTCCTACAAGAGACGAAAAAGGCACTTCACAACGACGATAAAATATAATAGTACATGTATCCACTATGTGTTTTAATATACATGAGTATATATTAATACATGATCATATAAATATATATAAAAGTATGCGTATATATATATATATATATCATATAATTATTTATTTATTCATTCATTTACGTATATTTTATACCACATCTTTAAGTCTACAATTCACATGCAGTAGTATGGGTTTCTTTTTACTGCCACGAACATTCCCCTCCACATTTTCATACTGAAAAAAAAAAAAAAAATAAATAAATAAAATAAAACAAAACAAAACAAGCAAACTATATTTATAAATCTTTATCCTTTTTTTTATTAAACTCAAGTGGTGTTTTTTTTTTTTTTTTTTTCCATATTAAAAAAATAATTAAAATTTTTAAAGGAAACCTTTTTGTTATATGATTTATAATTAATGTTACTCCGACATTTTGACTAACTTGTGCGTCGTAAATATATATAATATATATATATATATATATATATTTATTTATTTACCTCCTATATTTACATGTTTTCTCCTTTTTTGAAAAAATAAATACCAAAAATTTATAAAAATTTTCGTTTATTGGGATTTTTGTGGAATGTAGAGAAGTTATATATATATATTCTCTGGGATTGATATTATCTGCTTTTAATGTTATACTCATATATAATATATTTTATTGTTTATGTTTTGTATGTATATTTTTACCGCCAAACATTGTGCCTAGAATTACCAGTGAAAAATACATGGATTAAAGAATTCGCAATTTTTACATATATAGAAAAAAAAAAAAAAAAAAAGCCTTTAATTGATAAAATATCCACGACTTTTTTTTTTTTTATCGCACAAATTAAAGCAATAATGAAGAAAAACACACAATTAATTATTTTTTTCTTACTATCATTATTTACCTACAAAAGTGTAGCTGAAGGGAATATTGATATACCCAATGACAATGATAACACTGTGATTACGAACAATGGAAATAATGGAAATGGAGATGATAACAATGGGCCATCGCACATTGATGGAAACAACAATAATATGAATGATAATGATAATAATGATTCTAAGAAAAAAGAAAATGATTTAACAGGAAATAAGAATGATAAAGAAGACGAAGCAAATGGAAATGACAAGAAAAATGAAAATGCAGATAGTAACAATGCTAAGAACAATTCAGATACAAATGCAAAAAATGATGATGAAAACAAAATGAATGAAGAATCTTTAAAAAAAATTCTTAAAATTGTTGATGAAATTGAAAATATTCAAGCACTACTTGATGGAAACTATAACATTTTTGATAAATACAGCGTAAAATTAGTTGATGAAGATGACGAAGAAACTAATAAAAAGAAATTAATTGGAGAATATGACATTAAAATGTTAAAAAAAATTTTATTATTCAGAGAAAAAATATCAAGAAGTTGTGAAAACAATTATATTAAGAATATACCAAACTTATTTATTAAATGTGCTAATGTGAAAGATCCCAAATTAAGTAAATCTGTAGAAAAAATTAAAAAAGGATTAACTAAAAATAATATGAATATTGAAGACTTCATAATAGGTTTATTAGAAGAATTATTTGAGAAAATAAATGAAAATTTTATACAAGAGGATTCATTTGATTTAAATGATTATTTACCAGATATTGAACTAATTAATTACATACTTACGAATGAAACCCCTGAATTAATTGCTGATCTTTTAAATATAATAGATGCTATAAATTTCAAGTTAGAATCTGGATCCATCGAAAAAATGGTTAACTCAACCCAATCAGGAGCCCATTTAAATAGCAAAATGAAGGAAGACATAATTAATTTATATAAAAATTCTGCAGCCAAATTTTTTAAAATTGGAATTGATAAAAAAACAAAGATGATATATCCAGTACAGGTAACACATAAAAGCATCAACATGAAAGAATTTGCTCTTAATTTCCTTGACAAAAATAATGTATGTGAGCATAAAAAATGTCCATTAAATTCCAACTGCTATGTGATAAATGGTGAAGAAACATGTAGATGTCTCCCAGGATTTATTGCTGTCAACGTAAATAATGATTTTAACTGTGTGAGAGATGATACCATTGACTGTAGCATACATAATGGTGGCTGTGATGAAAATGCCACATGTACACTTATAGACAAAAAAATTGTATGTGAATGCAAGGATAATTTTGAAGGAGATGGAATATATTGCTCCTATAGTATTTTTAATTCCATCAACAGTTTCATTTTCTTAATCATACTGCTTTTGTGTTTATATTTATTTTAGGTGAGTAATTTTCGCAGTTTATGTATATGATTACTCTTTTGTGTACAATTCACACGTATGTAGTTGGGTAATTATTTTACATTTGCGTAGCTGTGTAGTTTTTTTTTTTTTTTTTTTTTTTTTTTTTTTTTTCACCTACATGATATGTACATATATATATATATATAATATATTTTTGTGAAGTGCCTTTTTTAAAAAAATTAAATAAAAATACACTATTATTATTTTTTTCTTTTATTTTTTTGAAGCACCTGCATTACCATAATAGTAACTAATTGCTATTGTACGAGGTTTATGAAACCGCATATATATAGTCTCTTTTTTTCTGCACAAAAGTTGTTATGGATGATTTTATAATTTTACATTTATCTTTGAATTTATTTATTATACGTTATTATTATTTTCCCAAACTTGTACTATGCTTTTAAATGTTCATGTAGGTTTTTTATATTTTACGAATTTTTTCTCGATTTCACCAAATTTCAACTTTGTTGATCACCGTTTAATTGTTCCACTGTAACAGCGCTTATGTGCCAGCCATGGCACCATCCATTGAAATATTGATCATTTTAATATTTAACACCCATTTCCATTTTAAGGACATCATGGTATTATACAACAACATTATATTTACCTCCTTTTTTTTGGAAATGTTACACGATTGTTCAGTTCACACGTTTTTTTATAGAGCATTTAATTGTACACACCACGATAGGTGTTCTTAATTTCGATTTATCTTTTATGATATTATTTTATTTTACCTTATTTGTTTATATATTATTTGTTTATTTATTATTTATTTGTTTATATATTATTTGTTTGTTTATTTAATTATTTGTTTATTTATTTTTATTTTATTATTTTATTTGTTTTGTTTTTTTTTTTGCACTCAAAAGTGTGACTCATTGATACTTCATGGAACCTCACTATATCATACACTTGTAGGGCATATTGTGTTAACAAATTTTTTCAAATTATATTAAAAAATACTAAATCAATTCAGCAAAGGGGAAAAAATAAGAAAACTTGATACCAATGTTGGAAAGTGAGATAATAAAAGAAGAAAAGGAGGGGGAAAGGTGGTTAACACAGGCTAGCATGCCACGAATGTGCAGATTTGTGTAAAGGTTTTAGGATAACTCAGAAATAAGTGTTATAGGGAAGAAGTGCTTTCTTGTTTTATCCCGTTTCTACATTTAACTGTTTTTTTTTTTTTTTTTTTTTTTTTTTTTCCCGCAAAAAAATAAAATAAAATGTCTTTAAGTGCGAAAAATGAAAAAGGAAAAAAGGTATGTACACTAATGCTTAGACCTTGAAATATTCCATGTGCTTTTAAATTTCAAGAAAGAGTGCAAATTTTTTATAAAATTAACTTTTTATCAAGTGTTATGAAGAATTTGTGCAACTTGCTCTTGAGTTAACACAACTTTGTAAAACATGTGTAAATATCTTTTTTATGTAGTAAAATTGTGTTGTAAAAAAAAAACAAAAAAAAGACACAAATAGACAAATGTGAAAAACATGTTACGAATTATTGATTGGTTTCTTAAGCTTATTTTTATCAACTATTAAATGTAGAAAAGGAGGAAAAACTAAAAGAGGAAAAAAAAAAAAAAATTCAATCGGTAAATGTAAAAATCATGTATGTATAAGAGATTATCGCCAATAATGACCTGATAAATTTGTTAAATTTTTTTTTTTTTCTTCATTTCGTTTTTTTTTTTTCTCCATTTCTCAAGTCATAACTATTTTTTTCTCATTTTTATGCGAGATTATATGTTTTTTTTTCTTTATATTGCTGAATACTCTGAAGTTAAAAAATATCTCTTTCCACAAATTACATACTTATTACAATGTGTCTTATGAATTCATTTTACTTTTTCCCTTCATATTTTTGAGTTTTTTTTAAATGATTCAAATATGAATATTACATTAAAAGCATTATATGAGTCGTATATAATTTTTTTTTTTTTTTTCCATTCATATAAATAAACAGAACAAAAATTGCTCCTTATAGAGAAATGAAGGGTGTGTTATGCTTTTTTTTTTTTTTTTTTTTTTTTATTGAACTGTTTACGTATGATTCTGCATAATTTTCTTTATTTCAAAAAAAAAAAAAAAATACATGTCTGTATTTAGTGAATGTGTGTGTGTGCATGCGTGTATAGATATATTTACATACGCATTTTTCTTCAGTTGCTGTCACAGTTGCATTCATTTTTTTTTTTTTTTCTTTTTTTTTACGTTCAATATGAGTAGTAGAATGGTTCACTATTACGTCTTGGAAACAAAACTATTAACTGTTTACTCGTAGAGCTAATCATTTGGATGTCCTACATTTTTTAACGAAATGATTCAAGTTGTAGTGGATAATAATTATTCGATTTGTGCATTCCTGCTTTGACGTTTGTTAATAGTATTTTATTTTTTGTATTTTTTCCTTCTATCTATTCGTTTAATTCGCTGAAGGAGAGGAAGAAGAGAAAAAGTAAGACAATTCATTCTTTGTCTTTTGTGTAAATTGAGATGAACCATGAAATTGTGTAGTTGAGTGTTTTTTTTTTTTTTTTTTTTTTTTTTTGTTAAACATTCTTTTGTCTACTCCTTTGTACGATAATTATTTGGGAAATATTTTTTGATGAACATTTACATGTTAACTGTCCTCTTTTAATCACCTTACAATTAACAACCTCTCCTTCGAACATTTTTTGGTGGTTACATCCCTCCGTTCCTTTTTTACCTTTTTTTTTTTTTTTTTTTTTTTTTACTATGAGTCATTTTGTAAACTATGGGAAACAGTTGCAAGAAAATCATGTACGCCAAACGTAACAGAACACCACCTGACGATTTCAATCAGCGTTTTGATTTCCAAAGCGATAACAACTCAAGTTGGGACAACCCAAGTTACTATAATGAGTTATATATCCGAAATTTTAATTGTGAAAACGAATTTTTAAATAATAATAATAACACCTTATCATTGGACAATGAAGGAAATTTCATGGCAAATAATTCGTTAGTATATATTAATGAATTGTATGATATTTTAGAAAATGAAAATAAAGTGAAGATAAAAAAAGTTGATAACTCAGATATAGAGGAATTTCTTATTATAGAAAAGCATATTAAATTAAAAAGGAAAAAGAAAAAAATTAATCCTTTCAAAAAGAAAAAAGAAAAATTTGGAAAAGATGAAGAAAATAATAAATTACCTTTGCACAAAAGTGATGGTAATGATAAGTATAAATTTGTTGTGCCTTCTTTTCCTGGGGATTCTTCTCAGAATAAAAAAAAAAGTAAAATAAAAGATAGAACACATTCAAAAAACACAGAGTTGGAAACATGGTGTAGTTCTTCAAATGATAATAGATATGATATATTCGAGGAGGACAGAAGGCATATACTGAAACAAAAGCAACAAAAAGAGAAGGCTGGTGCAAAGGGGAGTGATCAGAAGGGTGGAACCAAGGATAGTAATAATGATAAGTCTAAGAATAAAGTTCATAATAATGCTAAGACTAAGGATAAAGTTGATAATAAGGCTAAGGATAAGAATAAAACTGATAATAATGCTAAGGGTAATCCGAACGGTAATACTAACAACCTACGTAATCAGCAGAATATGGATCACGAGTTCAATCTAAGATTTGAAAACAGTGAAGAATTAGATTCCATAAAGGGAAAGGAGCTCAACAATGGAACCAAGAGATTTCGTGAACCATTTCCAGATTAAAAGACGGTTCTATATGAAAAATGAAGGAAAAGAACAGAACGTTTAAGTGTGTAAAACATTTCCCTGTTTCTCTTCATTAAAAGGGATTATGTAATTATAAATATATAATGAATTTTATGTGTGTATTCTAACACTTTTCAGTAGTCCTATACTGTCAGTAGTGGTGAGAGTTAAATGTTTAGAATTTTAAAAATCCTACTTTTTTTTTAAGCTAACTGGTGTTCATTTTTTTTTTTTTTTTTTTTTTTTGAGCTTTAATTTCATCCATGATTTTGTATTTTTTTACACAAACTTATGCGATATTTATTTTTCTATTATTAATTTAAATATTATAAAACATAATAGTATAGATGCTAAAACAATTGGTGACATATTTCAAAGTTAAAAAAAAAAAAGAAAAAAGAGTGTGTTGGGGGATATCATGCTCGAAACGGTAATAATATATGTAACTGTTTGGGTAACCATAATCTTTATAATGAAAAATTAAAAAGAAATTGAAAACTTCAATTAAAAGATATTACGAAAAATAAGACATCTGAATTATGTTATACGTTATTAAAATTAAAGGAGTGTAGAAAGCAAAATGAATGTAATTTTGTGTTATGGTTCATTTAACAAGGAATGTGTGCGTGGGGGTGGATGGGATATTGAACCTTTACACATAGTATAAAATGTATATATATATATATATATTTCCACTGTTAAGAAATATATTCATTATATATATCTTGCGCAGGTTGAAAAGGAGAACAGAGCTTTGGGACCCTTTTGTATACTAATATGTTATTTTATTTTATTTTTTTTTCTATTCAGAAACGGCTCCTTAAAAATATACAAATGATCGTTGTGGTAGGATGGACCGTTTGAAAAAACAGGTTCATACACAAATACTGCAAAACTGATAATTATTCATCTACTAACCTCTTTTTTTTTTTTTTTTTTCTCATATTCCGTTTTTAAATATAACTATTTTATGTCAAAATGTCTATCACAAAAGATTTATTTTGTTTGTTACAGCTTTTTGGAGCGAGGGATGGGACATATTATTTGTTGTTTTTGTGAATTCCATTATTCTTGTAATGTATGTACATATATATATGTGTGTATAGAAGAGTAGGATATTATTTTATGGGGTTTACCCATTCCTAAATTACACGATTGGTCAATTTGTTCGTCATCATATTATGGATATTCCTTCAGGTGTTTCAATGATCTGATAGTTTTCCTTTGTAAATGTATCTGCTTAACGATTTTCTCAACTTCTGTTGGCACACCATGAAAGGAAAATAACCCAAAAAAAATCGGCAAAAAAAACAACAGTAGCTTGATAAATCCTGGGAACAAAAACAAAATTAATTAATGTTAATGGTGTCCAAGTCATCAAAGAAATGAAGAAAACTTTCATTCCAGTATTTGCAATTTTGTCAATAATTTCTGACTTCCTTTGATTTTTTAACATCCCATTATAAAAAAAAAAAATGGTTAAGTGGATTGGTCCAAAAATAAAATTATCAAACATGGTAGGTATAAATGATTTATATAAAAAAGTATTTGGTTTTGATTTTATAAAATTGGCTAAAATTTTCCCGTACCACCATGTCATTAGTGGCCCCTCTAAGGTAAGGCCAATTGTTGACATTCTAAGAGTTCTTAATATATCATATTCATTATTATTACTATGTGCTTCCATCATTTGACAGGCTATATCTGCAATGAAATACAAAGTGCCCGCTATCACACAATTCATTAATAATAGGTGTTTTTCGAATAAATTATTAAATACTTTTGACATTTTTTTGGAATAAATGGAAAAAATTCCTTTCGGAGGACCACCGTTTTTTACACTATAATGTATGTTTTCCATGTTTCGAATGTGTATTTGATTTCCTTCAAAGTGTGTTTTTCCAACATTAGGTATAGCACTATTTTCATCCTGGCATGTGTGTTCAGTAGTTTGATTTACATTTTCGATTATGGCTTCGCTAGTGCTCTCGCTAGGATTGCCGTTTCGTTTGCATTTTTTCTCATTCGTTTTTTTTCTCATTGTGTGCATGTCTTTCCGTACTTCTATTTGGAAATATCTATTCTTGAATCTCATATTTATGATATTATTTGAATTTCTATTGGTGATTACCTGTTCTCGTGTTATTGTGGCTTGACTTGTGAATCTTTGACTTTTCATCCTACCCTTAATTATATTGTTGTGCACCACCCCATCATGTGTGTAATTTGTAATATCAATTTGGTGAGGTGCTTTACATGTATCCCTTTTTAAATAACTGTTTATTGTATGGATTATTTTTTCACCCGTATGTTGACAATCATTTCTTTTTATTTCAAGCGTTTCAAATTGAGCTGAATGTATGTTTGTAGTAAGGGAACCCCTGTTGTTTTTTAACATGACACCTCCACGATTTAGTAATTTTGAATTTGTGCATCTTTCAAAAAAGTATGGCCTTTTAAAATTGTAATCTGTGCGTAAGCAATGTTAGAAATAAAAAAAAAAAGAAATTTTAAATAAAGATATTTGTAAATATGTTCATTAAATATACAATTGGTAACATTAATATAGTTTTTTATAACAGACAGCTGAATAAACATGGATATGTTGAAGATTCATATATTAGTACACATATATAAATGCTAATGATTAGGTGTAGAATAATTGTGGTAAAAGAAAATGGACAAAAAAAAAAAAAAAAATAAAAATAAAATAAATAACGATAATTCGTTTATGCTATGTTGAGCACACAAATTTATAAAATGAATTTCTCCCAATAGACTATTCACACACAAAGAATTATATAGACACATATTCTGTAGTGGGAATATGTAGTGCAAAAACATTTTGTAGAAAATGATGAATTACCTTTAGCTGAGGTATTTACATATTTGAACAAAAAATTAATGTGTTTTCTCTTAATATCCATGTACGCATTTATCAGCATTATTTACTTATATATTTACTTTCTTTTCTTTTTTTGCTAATTAATGTATTCTAATAAGAATGTGTAACAAGCAACAGTTTTTACTTAAGCTTCTTTCATGTATTAGTATTTATATAGGTGTTAAAAAAGTATATTCAATTTTTCTTCTTATTTTCTATATAATTCACGTTGCATGGAAAAACTAATTTCGAATACTTGCCCGTTTTTCTTGCATATAAAAGTTACAAAAAGAGGATTGAAAGCAAAAGCAGAAATGAATGGTGTGAAATTTTATATAAATATAATATGGTATAGTTTCCCCTTATTTTTATATGTTAATTTCCTGTTCTGGTAAAACGTGAATTTCAATGATTCGAAAAAAAGCCATCTTCACTTTTGTTATATTTTTCATTATTTTGTATTAAGCGCATAATGTTGTACTTTTTTTCTTTTTCTTCGTTATGTGACAAAAAAGAGTGTTGTGTTGTAACGTTCCTTTTTTTTTTTTTTTTTTTTTTTTTTTTTTTTTTTTTTTTTTTTTTTTTAGGAGTTTTAAGCATCGGGGTGTGTTTATAATGAATAGGGGAATGTGAAAATTTTATTTTTAAATAATATTTTTTTTTTTTTTTTTTTTTTTTTTTTTTTTTTATAAAAAATTTTTTTTTTTTTTTTTTTTTTTTTTTTTTTTTTTTTTTTTTTTTTTTCTTTATTTTTTTCTTTTCGTATATAGGAGTTTTAAGCATCGGAGTGTGTTCATAATGAATAGGGGAATGTGAAAATGTTACTTTATGAAAAGTTTACTTTACCCACCAAACCGAAAGATGAAGGAAGAGAAGGGAAGAAGTGTTAAAAAAATGATTATCCGTTAAATACTGCTATGCTAAAAAAAAATTTTAAATTGGCAATTTTTTTTTTTTTTTTTTAAAGGAGCTATTTTATACCTCATACTGGGAGTCCTACGAATTGGTTGCCACAAAAGGAGGATTAAAAAAAAAACTTATCGAATTTGAACATTTTTTTTTTTTTTTTTTTGTACACAATAAATGTAGCATTCTTGTTTTTACTTTTTACTTGCATGTGCCTTTTTGAGGACATTACATTTTTGCATTTTATCAAATTATGCATACATTTTTTTGTGAAAAAGAGAAGCATATATGCACATAGCAGTTCGAAAATAGATCCCCTCCTACCACAACACGTTTTATGAGGCATATATGGTTTTACAAACACATCTCTACCATTAAAATGTATGGACGAATTGTTTACATCATTCATTATATGAAGTGAATAATTAATCACAGCGATATCATGGTTTCCAAAAAAAAAAAAGAAGAAAAAAAAGAGATTACAAGAATGTCCCACATATCTCTCTTACCCATTTTCTGGGACTTCATCTGACACGTTCACATTTTTTGTATGAATAATAGAATTTTTTTTTTTTTTTTTACTATCTGATGAATGGTTTCCATGAAAATTCATTTTATGAGTAACCCTAGGGAGAGTCATTTTTTTTAATCTTATTAAGTCTTATTGGGTTTTACATTTGTCTTTATTGTTTTCAAGTTGTGCCTAATTCTGTATATTTTTGCGAAATGGCAAAGGTAAACATGTGAACAACGAGATATTGCTATTAAATGTAATTTGTTAGTAACATATTACTTAAGCAGAAACAGGGAATTGTAGCATGTGCTAAGCATATTTCAAATCGTTAGTGTTTTTGTGTATGTTTTTGCAAGTTAATTGTGATTTGCTCAAAAGTGAATTTTTTTTTTTTTTTTTTCTTCTATGTAAAATTGGCTTTATGATAAAATAAAGGTATTCACTACGTGTTTTAGAACTAATATTCTTTTCAGAACTGACAAAAAAGGAAAGAAAAGGTGCTATATACACTCATAAACGCATATATATATGTACACACATTAACGCATACATATATGTACATTTTTATATACATAAAATATGGCATGACCTTTACATGCATTGATTTTTCTTTTTTCCATATATTTATTTTTTGTTAGAATATAGAATGAATTTGGTTGACTATGAACTTTCCAGCGACGATGAATGTGATGAGGCATCGAGGGAAAATGAAAAAAACTATTGTGACTCATCAAAGGAAGGAAATAAATCCATAGAGAGTCAAAAAATTGAGTGCAATAAAAGTAAAAATAGCATTAACAATAGAGTGCACCACTCTGGTAGTAACAAGACTGATAACGGATGTACAACGGAAACATTTAAGGGGTCCCAAATGTTGAAGTGGGATTCTGAAAAAGAAAATGCATCAGTGGTGGTTAAGACATCAGACTTAAATAAAATGCCTAAGAATGACATTGAAGAGAGAGAGAAACACAAATATGAACGACCTAATTTGGGGAAAAATAATTTGGAGGATCAAAGGAAAAAGGGGAAGCTGAAAGAAGCACCATTCGCCAATAAATCAAAAGATGTAGAATCTGTATTACATCAGGAAAATGACAATGAAGGTGTCTATAAAAAGGAATTAAACTCTGAAGGGAATAGAGAGGATCGGAAGAACATGAAGGATAGGAATATACACACAAGCGGAATATTAGCAGACGAATATACAGACAATAGAACTACGAGACGTGTGAATATCCTAGAAAGTAACAATATTATGAATGTTAATGTTAACGAAGACAATTTTGATGAAATATTTTTCTTGCCTGAAAATGAATATTCAGATTGTGTAAATGAAAAAATTGAGGAATTGTCGAAGCTGTATGAAATCAATTTAACAATTAATAAAAATATAATAAATTCCAATGAATATAAAAATCCTTGCATTTTGGAAAAAATTATGGAGATTTTTCATATTGATGTGTATTCATCTAATTATCCGTTGCATATTTACAACCCCAACGATTTTTTATCAATCGATTTGTTCAACGAAAGAACCGAAGAAACGGATCAGAAGAAAACGAAATGGTCGTAAACATAGAATAAAAAGTTACGCGATTAATAATATTCACAAAGCTGATTTGTATGAGAAATACTTTTGGTAGATGTATTTTCCGTTTATACAGGGATAAACGTTAGATGTTGAAGATGAATATATATATGGTGCGTATGAGGAATCATAAACGTATTAACAAAGAGTAAGACACAAATAGAGTAGATGGTGAATAAATAGATAAACAAATTAAAGGAAACAAAAAAAAAAAAAAAAAAAAAAAAATAGGAACAAATGTGTAAAACAGGATAAATATGGTAATATAGGGGGAGAATAATATAACACACACAATTCATAGTACAGAAAATAAATGAATACAAATGTTGTATATTTGATTAAAGGCAATTTTATCGTTTCACTTTGTAATCTAAAAGAATTTGCAGAATAAATATAATTTAATTATTCATAAAAATATATCTATTATTGTAAATGGTAGAAATGACATCTTTTATGTTATTCAAAAATGGAAAAAAAAAAAAGAAAAGAAAAAATGTTTTACACCGAAAAGGCGTCCAAATAAGCACAAATCCACACTTTATCACAACGCGTGGCCTGCTGTATGTACAGTTTACAACATATCCCATTTTGTGATGACATCATACAGATGGGCATTCTGTTCTAGCTTTTAAAAAGGAGATTATATTAAAAAAAAAGGAAAAAAAAATCTCGATAGTGATGCGGATGGCAATGCCTTCCCTTTTTTTTTTTTTTTTAGTTACATATGTTTCGCATAAGATATGAATCCCTCATATAGTTGGGTTAACACCATAGGAAAGATAATTTGAAATATAGGAAAATTTATCAGGAGAGCCTTGCAAATATTTAAAAAATTCATCAAAATTGTTGACAGCATTTTGAGCTTTTTCCTTTAGTAATTTCTTCTCATTATCCTTATTTCGACATAATATACAATCTTCATTTCCATTTAAACAATAAAAATGATATGAATGATTGCATAAGAAATGAATAATTGGGGCGGATAATACTTCTTTACAAATGGAACAATATGTATTATCAATTATGTGGAAATTGTACTTTTGTTTTAATTTTTGTTTTTTAATTTTATATAATTCTCGTTTATCTCTTAATATTTGTGCATATTTTTTATTTATATTTTGATCCAATTGATTCATATAGGAAATCACAATTTTCTTTATACACCCATAGTTTTTGTTATATTTTTGTAAAATAGATATCAGATGTAACAACGATATGGATGATTTTTTGTTTAATATTTTTATAAATCTGGTTAGGTATTTTTCATCATTTAGTAAAGATAGATAATAAAAAATATAGTTGTGGTATAACGAATTTTTTATTTTTAGGAGATGCATACAAACGTTAAATAAATTTTCCTCAAACTTTTTATTTGTAATATGAAATAAATTCTGAGTTTGTAAAGAATAATTATTACTGTTCTGCAATTCTGCTAGTGCCTTTTGTTCTAATGTAGCTAATGAAATTTGTTTTACGCAGCTCATTCTAAATTTTTTAATCATTTTTTGTGTTTTAAAAAGAAAAGACATATCATACTTGTTCATTTTGTTGGAAATATAAAGAAGCCCTTTGTTGTAATTATAAATAGACAACAGAATGGCAGATAAGAAGGTTATATTTTTATCTTCATTTTTTATCAGTTTATCAATATTGAAGATTAGGGTGTGGTTATTTTTTTCTTTTTTCTTAAATTTTTGTAATAGGATCTGCATAACAGTAACGAATAAAATATAATCGTATTCTCCATTAAAAATGTCAAATTCTATCTTTTTATTACTTACTATATTGACTCTTTCTACTTTATCGATGTCCTGTGTTGATTCGTTTAAGGTATAGTTATAATTTGTTTGTTCATTGTTCATTTGTTCCCTTGCGTGCTGCTCTCGTGTATATTTTGGGGATTCGTTAATTGTATCATTATTCGCTACTGTGTAATTATTTCCTTCTATTATTTCTTTTTTTTTATCAAGGAATTTAAGAATAAAAAGGAAAAGAAAATCTATGTTGTCCAAAAATAGAGGGATAAATATTGTTAAATTTAAGTTATATTTTTTGATAATTTTTTTTAACAAATAGATTGTGAGTTGTGGAAAATATTTAATGAATTTATATCCATATCGAAAGAGTAAAATACATATATTTTCTACATCTAATTTGAATATATATTTTAGGCTTTTTTCATAGTTTTCAAATTTATCAATTAGGATGGAGATGTATGTTAAATGATCTTTATTTTTTTTGGAAATTTTCAAAACTACATTGTAATATCCAACATTTGATAAAAATTTGTATATTTTCTGTAAATTTATTTTGTTTTTATTGTTCTTTATAAAGGAGATAATTTTTTTCTTTTTACATTCCTTTTTATAACAAGAGAGAAGCATCATAGTATGTTCATCATTAAAGAGGTTAATTTCATGCAACTTTTCTAAATATGCGGATAAATATTGATATAATTCTAAATTTAAATATTTATAAATAACATTAGCAGTTTCCAGATATCCTATCGTGTTTATATAATGATGCATAGCCAATTCATATTGCTCCTTTTCAAATAAAAAATCCGCATATATACTATGAACATAACAAAAATTAACACTATGATAATTTTGGTTTAAATTAGAGTATTTTAATAACCAGAGAAAAAGCTTTTTCTTTTTAAATACATGAATAATTTCGTTCATGTTTTTTTCTTTTATAACTGTTTTTATTTGATTTCTACAATTTTTAAAAACCTTATTTAATTTAAACAGTTTTTCAGAATATGTGTGTTGTTTGTCTTCTAGGTTATTATTTTCATCATTTCGTCCATAATCTTTTCGATCTAGAAATATATCATATTTCAAATCACCTTTCATAAGGTTACTATTATTATTGTTGATACTATCATTATACATTTTTAATATGTCAAAATTTTTCGATTTGTTATTTTCTGTATCTTTAAATAAGTTGCTTATGCTATCACTTTTGCTATTTTTTGCATTGTCTATATCTCCAATGGTATTCCATTTCATTTTCAATTGTTCGTAAAAATAAAACTTATCTACTTTTACTTCAGGTTGGTTTATATATTCATCAATAATTAAAAAGAGCAAATTGTTAAAATATACTATATTGGTTATTAAATAATTAAATGTACCTCGAAATACCTGGAGTTTCATTTCTTCATATATCACATATATGTTCACGTAGAATTTTCTACTTACTTCTGTAAGAAGAATTAAATAAAATTTCACAGTAAATAAATTAATTACTTTATTCTCTAGCAAAATACATTCCAGACTTTTATTATTTAGGTCTAATACATATAGCACTTTTAAAACATTGTGGCATATGTATAGGATGTTTATCTCTTCATTATATATGGACAACACGGGTTCATGAAAGGGTGGTATGGCCTTATCATTATTGCTGCTAGATGTTTTGTCTGTGGCGTTTTCATTATCGCTGTTTCTACCAGTGCTACTAGCACTACTGTTTTCATGATAAGTACTTTTCTGAGTGCCATTGTCTAATGTGATGCATTCTATAAATGTAAAGCTAATGATGGAATCCTTTATGAAAAGTCTGTATACATTTATCGAAGACTTTTTCATTACTATAAAAATGTCTTCTTTACACAGAAACATATTTTCATACACATTTTTTTCCTCCTCTTCTAGTAATTCATTTTTAGTGATCGTGTAATCATTATTTATACAGTAAAATAATATTTTATTATTTTCCAAGGTAATTATGTACCGGAGACATTTCGATATTAACGTCTTCTTTATATTTTCGATTTTTTTACTTAGTTGTATTTTTTTCAGCAGGATGAAATTATGTGCCCTGATATTGTAGATGCTACATACTAATGTATTCTTGCTTTTCCTGAAAAGGAAGAAAAAAAGGGAAAAAATTTATAAATATAAATATGAACGTAAATGTAAATACAAATATAAACGTAAATATGAATATAAACGTAAATGTAAATATAAATATGAATATAAACGTAAATGTAAATATAAATGTAAATATAAAGGTATATATAAATGTAAATATAAAGGTATATATAAATGTAAATATAAATAAAAAAATAACGCTAAAATAGAATAACATTAGACAAGTATACAGATGATCGAATTAAATTGTAGCACAAAAATGGGTGTCATTGTGATAATAAAAATATGTTCGTTCTAGTACAGAAACTTGGTTATCTCATTTCATTTTATTTATCATTTAAAAGCTTTATCGAAAATGGGTGGGGAGTTAAGGAGTCACAAACAATCATTATTTAACAAATTGTGGTATACACACAACGCCTGAAATGCACGCTCGAAACTCAAAAAAATTACCCAAGCACAACGAGGTTATTCGTTTTTTCACAAAAACAGAAATCTACAAGTAAGAGATCTGAATTTATGGTAGTTACATTTAAATTTATGGGATCTATAAAAAGCACTTTGTCTACAAACACATTTATGAATTTTTTGCCGTTCGAAAAGTATATTCCTTCATGGCTATTAAGGAAATTTTTTACTTCATCTGAGTGGGGAAAGGAAATATGTGCATTGCAAAATGGGCAATCAGAAAAAGCACTTCAACATACGTTTAAACGTGCTAAACATATGCTTGCATAGGTATATGTGTATGTATATATATATATATATATTAACTCATGCAATGGTAAGTTTTACACATGTAAATGAAAGACGTTGTATATACGTGTAAATGCACAAATGAAGACTCCATTATTTGGAATGCTAATATCACTTTTGTTTTTCAATCCTTCTTCCAATACCTGTATCCTTCGTTTGATCCTTTTCAAAAAGTGGAAGTTTTCGAAAACTGAACATCTTGCTCCTATATATATGCACATATATGTATATATATATATGTGTATACTTTTTTGTTTACATTTTTTTTTTCTCTTTAAGATAACCAGAAAACTTACAGGACAAAAAATTGCTATATTTTTTTTTTTTTAAACACATAAATCTAATTAAATTTTTTTTTTCGAACACTGTTTTATTTTCCTTTTATCATAATTTTCTTGTTCTCTTTTTTTCTTTGTTTTTTCGCTATACCCCGAAGAATTCCACTTATAGACGGTAATTTGCTCTTACTCTAACTGATCTTTAAATATATATTTCTGGACTTATTATATTTGAATGTTCTATGTATAGAAGAATACCATTTTTCTTTCATAATTTAGAAAAAATATATTATTTTATTTTTTTCAGTAAAAATTGTAAAGGAGAAAGTTTCTACTCTGTTGCATACTTTTTATAAAAAGTAGAAATCTGCAACTGGTATGAAAAAAAAAAAAAAAAAAAATATATCATTCAAGAGCAAATATTATGCATAAATAAAAAGAAAAAAACATAGGGATTACTTTTATTATCAATTTGTAATGTTCTATTATATATGAAAATTTTTTTTTTTTTTTTGCTCTTAAAAATATGAGAGTCCTAATGAAAAAAAAAAAAAAAAAAAAAAAAAAAAAAAAAAAGAATCTTCAGCTAGGGGGAAACACGTAATATGTGTATATATATAAGCACATAATAAAAAAAGGAAAAAAAGAATAGAAAACCTATGTGAAAATAAAAATAAAAGAAAAAAAAAAAAAAGAAGAAAATCATGTAATGTTAAGGAAGAGATGACATAACAAACATAAATAGGAGATGGAAGAAAAATCCACAAACTGGTTTTATTCATGTCAAGTTTAATGTAAAAAAAAAAAAAAAAACAAAAACATGTAGGAAATATATATACATACACATATTACATGTATGTACCTAAATTTATGTGTACAACTATGCATAACTATGTGCATATGTAATATTTGAGAAGGAGAAAACAACAAAATGAATGATGCTAAGGAAGGTGTGAAAATAGAATTATTCCGTCTGTCTCCACCCCCTTTAAGCCTGAATATTTGGAACCTTTTTAAGATAAAAGAAATAGGAAACATAAATTGTGAAAAGATTGAAAATAATGATGACTTGAACTTATCAAACGAATTTAGCCTAAGTATGCCATTAAATTCTCGGAAAATATATGTTGGCCAACATTTGAAATCGCAAATTACTATTTCAAATAATTTGAAAAATGATATTCAAATAAGCACAATATATTTGGATGTTATAACAAGCCAAAATACGTTTAACATTTATAGAAATGTGGAACATATCATTGTCTCGTCTAATTCCTTTTTTAATTTTATAACTTCTTTTCTAGTGCATTTTGTTGACATCTTTACGTAAGAATGAGCATAAGGGATGATAATAAAAAGTGCATCATTGATGGTGCAAGACATATCATGTTAAATAATATATGAGTTATGTGTAGAATGAACTGTTCTTCCTATTAGCGTGTTTATATGTGTGTATACATGGTGACATGTTCTGTTTCTTTAGTTGATTGTAAATTCAGTATTTTCCTCATTTGTTCCTTTGTCATGAGTTCACCTTTTTCGATGCGTTTGAGAATTTGTAAATATTTGCTTCGAGAAATATACTTTTTTTTTTTTTTTTTTTTTTTTCTCATTTTTTGTTTCTTCAGAATTAACTGCGCTGTGGAATATGTGCAAGGAAATGAAAAGAAAAAAATGAAAAAGGACTTCAATTTTATATGTAAAAATCCGTTCCAATTGAAGACATTTATATTACATAAGGATGACAAAATATACATAGAGACAATCGTAAAAAATACAGAAGAAGATAATGTGATGTTAAATGATGTCCATTTTAAAGATATAAAATGTAAATTAATAAAAAGTGACGAAAAGTTTAAAACGCATAATGGATTATACTATTTGAAGCAAAATGATGAATATTCCATGATTTTTTGTGTAAATGATGAAGAAAGTAAATTACACATTTTGAAAACCATTAGTGATGAAAATATAACTAATATAGAAATGACTTTTTTCACAAATAATGGTGGTAAAGGGATAAATAATTTATACTTTTTAAAAAAAAATATAATTACTGATAATATTCGAATATACCTGCAGAAAAATGAGCATACTTTTTATGTAGTAAATAAAATGTATAAATTCGAAATTGTGTTTGAGAATAACACAGATAAAAGTTTATTGATAGAAATATTTATTCACAATAATTCAGACATTCATGTAGTTAATAATTTTGTAAAATCCCACACAATTGAGGAGAAAAAAAAAGTATCCCATTTTTTTTACGTTTTATTTGTTAACCCTGGAATTCACTTCTTTAATAAAATTACAATATATAACACAAAAACTAAAAAAAGAATGGATTACATAAACCTGTTTAGGCTCTTCGTTAAGTAGTTCTCATTTTGGAACGTTTACACACACATGTATGTGTGTGTGCGTGTACATATATACGTATATAATAACTCCGTGTTGATATAAGTGTGCCTTTATGCACATGTGACTAAATTAACATACATATTTCTTCATATTCATGCATACTGCTGAATGAACAGTGTAATAAAAACTGGTGGACAATGCGATATACGAAAAAACGAGGGCGTGGTTTTCATATTCGGACAAATAGTTTTTAAAATTACAGCAAAAAAAAAAAAAAGGGAAAAAAGTAAAAGTACATTTTGTATATATATATATATATATATATATATATATAAACACTATAGAATTAATAAAAAATAAGAAGGTCAAAATTTCACTTCTTGGTGTTTTGTTCTAAGACAAAATTGGCTGCATTGCCTACTATTAAATTAATTCTTCGAACTTTGGTTTCTTCTTTGTTTAAAGACAAATTACTGTCATCGCATTCATCCTCGCTAGATGTATAATCATTTAATTGGTCCTTGTTAAAAAAATCGATTTCATTGTAAAATGTATTTTCAAAATAATGTTCATCAAATGTTAAACCGTTGCAATTTTTCTCAAAATAATAATTATTGTATGATTTAACATTCCCCAATTCATTTTCATCAAAATAATAGAAGCTGACATATCCGTCTGAACTTGAGCATGCACATATATTTCCTAAATTATTCCATGATATATCTGTTATTGGACAGAGATGTATATTTTTAACTATACTAATTGGCGTGTCTAAAATTTCACTGTCATAAAAATAGACGCTTCCATCAAAGGTTCCTAAGGAATAAATGAACCTTTCTTCTTTTTTCTCTTTAGTTTCACACTTGTCCAATTCATTTGTTTTTTCGTCATTGCATTTGCCACTGGTGTCCTTTTTTTGGTCAAGATGTGCCTCTGTTTCGTTATCCCCTTCGTCATTTTGGTCATTCTCGTCATTTTGGTCATTCTCGTCATTTTGGTCATTCTCGTCATTTTGGTCATTCTCGTCATTTTGGTCATTCTCGTCATTTTCGCCATTTTCGCCTTTTTCGTCATTCTCGTCATTTTCCTCATTTTCTTCGCTTTCGCCATTTTCGTCATTTTCTCCATTTTCGTCGCGATCTTCCTCCTCTTCCACCTCATCTTCGCATTCCTCTTTTTCCTTCTGCACTTCTTCATTTTTGTCAACGTTGTTGGACAAGGAGTAGTCCCCCGGGGAATCTAAGAAACTATCCTTCATGTCATCATATTGGATATAGCTATCGGATATGGTGCTACTAACATCTTGGCTTACATCATCCGGAGCTTCGGTATCGTTAAATAATAATGTTTTTTCATAATTTAATTTGATCAAGTGATCACAATTTTTTAGCTCATTAATAAATAATGTTTTATCGAAAACTTTTCTTTTTTTATTGGAATCAGTTGTCACGTCTTTTATATTTGAATGTGGATTCAATAAATGCTTGTAGCATCTTTTGAGAATATTATTCTGTGTTCTTAACTTAAATGTATTGCAATTAAACTTTGCTACTAAAAAATGGCTAGTTTGTGAAAAAACTGTAAAAAATGGAATGTTATACCTTACAAATAAGTTTTTATGATATATGTAAAAGCAACTGTATGCTTTTATGTGACTAACTGTTTTTACATTTTCTTCTGGTTTTATGTTTTTATCATGAATTTTATCAACTTGTTCGAATTGAATACCGCTTGGTGTTATTAAAAATTCTCCATTAGGGGAAAAATCAATGCGTCTAAAAAAGGAAGGAAGCATTTCCTCGCTTGAAAATAAGCATCTTTTTAATTTTTTTTCTTCCTCTTCTTCCTCTTCTTCGTCTAGTTGTTCATTTTCTCGTAATTCTTTTTCATTTTTTTGTATGAACTTTTTTTTATTATCACCATCATACTTGTCTTCTTCATCTTCATCTTCTATTCGTGTTCCTTGCATTACTTTATATTTCCCTGTTTCTTTATCAGTATGGTTTTCACCTACTTCTCGGCATTTTTCGTTTGAGGATTCTCCCACAAAATCGTTATGTAAACTTTGCACTTCCCTCCTGCATTCCTTTTTATATGAGGATTGCTCATTCCTGTCTACAACCTTCTCTCCATACTCGTATTCATCATAAGTGATGTATGCTGTGGATCTTTTTTCAAGTTGATCAGCTTTTATATTTCTTATCGAATTTTCTAGTTTCCATGATTTTCCATCTATTTTCTTTTTCCATACTTTGAGTGTCTGATCAGCACTAAGGGATGCTAAATACTCGTTATTCATATCTAATGTTATTCCTTGAATAATTCCAGCATGACCTTCTAAAACTTTTACTTTACAATTAGAATTTTTAACAAATTCGATTATGTTAATGTTGTTATCTTCATTTCCTATATATAGGGTATCATTGTTTGACCAAATGATAGTATTAATAACTCCACTGCATCTAAATGATCCTACTATATTCCACCATTCTTTATAGTCTAAAAAGCTTGTATCATATCCCAATGGTATGTTCTTTGGTTTTTTGCTCTTTTCCCAAATGTATAAAAACTTATCTTCCCCACCACTGGCTATGTATCTACCATTTTTATTAAAACGCACACAATTTATTTCTCCGTTATGCCCAATAAATCTGCTTAGACATTTTACTATCAAATCATCCTTTATGTATATGCGCCACAAGTGTACAAATTCATCGGCACCACATGTAGCTATATTAAACTTAATGGCTCTTTTTTTTTTTTCCCCTTTCATTCTTTTTTTCTCTTCTTCGTCATCACTTTCACTCTCTACACCTTCTTCCTCATTTTTTAAGGTTGTTGGAATATTATTTTCTTGGAGGGATCTATAAATAGCTGTGCTATTCACTGAATTGTGATCAATGTGGGTATTATTTTCCTTTGTTCTACTGTTTTCATTAGGGTCTTCTAAGGTATCACTAATTTCCTCACTAATACGGGCAAAACTTTCATGATTATGGTGGTTTATCAGATTGTTATTGTTGTTATTATTTATTAAGTGATTTATTTCGTTCTCATTTTTTACTAAGCCATTAAAATGGATGGAAAATGAGGGAATATTACCATTTTTATTTTCTTCTTCCTTTTGTATCACAAAATGTGTGTCACATTTATTCTCTTTGTCTTTTATGAATTTTTTAAATAATTCATATTTCTTACTTAACTTTTTCACACTGTAATAGTTGGGATATGGTTGTATATCAACAGAATAAATTCGATCACTTCTTTTGTTATCTTTACTATGCCATAATATTTGAGGTAAAAAAACGCGTGGCATTTTTCTTGAGAAATAAGAACAAAAAAATTAAAATAAAAAATAAAATAAAATAACAAAAATGTGAAAAAAATATGAACAAATATAAATGGGGCACGTATATAAGGTTGGCATAAAATGTTGAAGCAAAAGGGAAAAGTGAAAAAATGAAAGAATGTGTAAAAAAAAAAAAAAAAAAAAAAAAATGCAAAAAAAGGGAAATGGTTATCAAGTAATGATGCACTTGAAACTGCGATGATCTAAAAGGGAAATAAAAAAAAAGTAAGAAACAAAAACGGGTAAATGAGGTGAGGTGTAAATTGAAATTTAAATTCAGGGGAAAATAAAAGCGTGGGGAAATTAAACGAAATCTTCGTATAACTTGTTAACAAAAAAAAAAAAAAAAATAATAATAAAATAAATAATACAATATAATATAGTAAATTTTTTTTTAAAAAGTAAGATACATTATTTAATTTATACTTATGAGCGCTAAGATATATCATGGTCTAAAAAAAAAAAATAAGCTCTATTAATAAAAAGGTTATTCAAATAGGGAACATATTACTTTCTGTGAAATTTTTGAAGCTAGTGAACTAATTCTCAAGTTACTAAAAGTGAATGTGTAATTTAAAAGTACTATAATGGCATCTTTATTTTTTAATGGTAAAAGTGAAATAAGTAAATGAGATGAGTTTAATAAATTAAATGAAAAAATTAAGTGAAATAAAAAAGGAGAGAGACTAACAGATAAGAGAGAAAAAAAAAAAAAAAAAAAAAAAAAAAAAGAAAAAAATATTATGTTATAAATTGCGAAAGAATAAAAAAATGTTTACTTATGTACACTCATATATATGGAGGTATATTCCTTCTTATATATGTTCACGTATGTGTATAGTACGTTAAAAATAAAATGGTTATGAAATGAATTCTTTAAAAAGAAAAAACAAGAACTTAAAGTTTTTTATAAAAATATTTAAACTGCAGCAATGTCTATATGTAAAAAAAAGAAAATAAGAGAAAAAAAAAAAAAAAAAAAAAAAAAGAATACAGGGATGTTTAAAACACACTTTTTTTATGCAAAAAAGAGAAAAAGATATGCATGAAATACAAAAAGGGTAAATCTCATAAACTCTTCATCATATATTTGTGCATAAGCATGTATATCTTATGAATGAATGTACATATATGCACATATATATATTATAATTATGAATGTATACAATCCTGAGCACTCATTACGTATGTGCATCGCCTTACACTTAGACTTTCTCCTCAATATATTTTATTAGGCCTCTTTCTATTTGGAATATTTTCTCAAGAAGGAGACAATTTTTAAAAATAGAATATCAATTATGAGAAAAGATTAAAAGTAGCTATATAAAAAAAAAAAAAAAAAAGAGGAGGTGAAAAACTATAGTAGTAGTAACCATATTTATAATAATAGGGGCTTATGTTTACATATGTGTATGCTATATGTAGTATCATATGTATTTATATACACACGTATATAGTGAGCACATAATGTTTTATTATTTTATTGCCAATCACTAATTTTTTTCACTTCTTTTTTGTAATTGTCTTGGCAAATGAAAGAGCGACGAAAAGAAAAAAAGAAAAGAAAATATGCATTTACTTTAATACCATTAATAAAAAAAAAAAAAAAAAAAAAAAAGAATTATAATTATACACTATCACATGTCTTGACACATTTAAAATACATTTAACACGTTTTCTAAAATTTGAAAAAAAAAATTTACACATATATTTTTATTACATGTTACAATATTTTTAAGGATAAATTATTGAGCACATTACAAAAGTGACAGGTTTAGAAAATTATCTTTAGATGGTTTCAGCTATTTGTGTCAACAAACAGACTAATACAGCACGTATATGTGTGTATATTTTCTTCTTACAGAAGCTTTAAATTTTCCATAAAGATGCTTACTTGGCTCTGTCTGAAAATTCTTTTATTTTAGTATCTCACACTATGTCATGCGTCATAAAACACAAAGCTCATTAGGGTTAACTAAAAGAGAATAGAAAAAAAAAAAAAAGAAAAAAGAAAAAAGAAAAAAGAAAGAATAAAATAAATGAATAAACTAAACGTATACACGTTTATATGTACAATTATGCATATCCACCTTACTTGTCTTTTGCTTAAGTTATATCCAATGCTGTAAAATTATAACTCTACAATTATTTCATCAATAAGAATATTTCTGTTAGTATATTCCATATTCAAATATTTTATATATGTATATTTGTGCCTATAGTTGTTTATTTCTTCACAACTCTTGATATATAAATAGATGCGAATAAATAAGGAAAAAAGGTGAGAAAATAATGTTGTCCAACAATTTCGTAATTCATTAAAAATACATATACAACTTACATAGATATGTTAAAGTAGAAAAAAAAAAAAAAAAAAGGAGAAGAAAAGAAAAGAGAAAGAGAAAGAGAAAGAGAGAAATAGATTATCTCCTTGTACTACTAGTAAAATGATCCAACATGAAATGCTATTCGAGAGAACAATAAAGTTAACACAAATCGTTGTGCAAAAAAAGTACTGAATTATTTATGTCATTCAAATGTATTGGGGAAATTATTATTTAAATTATCTATTTCTATATTCTTTCTTTTTGTGTTAACAGTAAGTGGTGTTCAAAAAAAAAATATATAAGTAATCACAAATTTATGTACCCTTGTTATATCTTAAATAATTCCATGCTTGAAAATGAAATAAATGAAATAGAGGTAGAATATATATTAAGTGCGAATATGTACATGTACACATATAGATATCCCTTAAGTCTGCATGAAAAGAAAAGTGAGAAAAAAAAAAAGCATTCCATGGTATATTTATTAAAACTGCAAATGAAACTTTAAGTAGGGATAATTTATAAAGTACTTTGTCTATTTTTTTGAAATATACATTTGTTGTGAACAGCATGTCTGTGTATTTTCTTGAATACTCTAGGGAAATAGGAAAGTGTTGAATTATTAAATTTTTTAAAAACATAGAAAAATCTTAATGCAAAGGGGGAAATAAAATAAAGCAAAATAAAAGTTAATAGGATAATATGAAATGACGAATTGTCAGTGTGCTTTACATTTTTGTAAAAAAAATAAGACGAGACTAAAATTTGAACGTAGAATAGCCATGTTCGATTATATTTAACTAGTAAAGAAAAAAAAATTGTTTTTTTTTTTTTTTTTTTTTTTTTTTTTTTTTTTTTTTTTTTTGAATTAGTAAAAAATGAATGAAGAAGAAGATTTTTCTTGCTACTTTAACTTCTTAGTATGTGGTCTTCATTTGTCTAAAAAGTATAACCTAAAATTTCAAAGAAGATTATATGAAGACCTTTTAGATATGCACTACTATAAAGGAAGGGTAAAAAATTTTGTATTCCCTGAAGAGTCTTATTTAAAGTATGATAACTTGAAAGGGTTATATAATTATACAAAAGGAAAATGCCAAGATGGTAACTATGAAAATATGGTTAAATATGGTTACATTTATTCATGTTATAAATTGAAGAAGGAAAAGAGAAAAAACATACTTTTAATGTTGATAGATGAGGAGTTCATAAAATATAGATGCAACAACAATATACACGAAAAATATGAGAAAAAGGATATACACATTTATAAAAAAAGTTTTTATGATATAAAAAAACTTCCAGGATATAGTGCTGGTTATTATATTATGGGGAAATTATACGAAAAAGAAGCTAAAAGTGAATGGATAAATAATGAAAGAAAAAAGAAATTAATAGATACAGCATTTTGTTGTTATTATTTATGTTATAAATCCTGTCCTTTTCTCGTATGTGCTCTTAAAAAGTTGCTAAAACTGCACGGAAATTTCTATTCTAATGTTATGTACGTGGAAGAAGTAGAAAAGTTTTCAAAATTGTACAACTTTGGAATTCCTCTTTACCAACTGAAGACGTATGGGTCCTTTAAAAGGGGAAATAGTGAGAGAAAAATGGAAGAAGAGGAGGATGAAGTGGGAAAATGGGATGAGAAAGAAATGAAAGGGAGAGAAGAGAGAGAAAAAAACGAAGAAGAATGGGAAGAAGATGGAGATACGCAGTACTGCGAAGAGAACGAAGATGGATATTGCGATGAGGTCGTTGATAGGTGCAGAGAAGAGTTGGTACAAGTACACATCGAGGGAACCCATGATGTTCAATATGATGAGAAAAGAATACTCAATATAGAGAGAACATTCGATATAGGTGACATAATTTTTGAACTATTAGAATTTAGAAAGGAGGAGAATAGCATAGTTGTACAGGATGCAGATTTTATATTAAGATTAGTAGAAGAAGAGGAAATGAGAAAGTTCTTTGCAGAATGGGAAAATTTATTCGAAAGGGATATATACGCTATGATAGGGGATAAAGAATGTGATTTTATTTCAGAAAAAGGAATATTAAATTTATCGACAGTAGGAAAATTCTACCATTACTTTTACATAAATGAGTTTAGAAAATGTTTAGAGTTAATAGATAAGTGGGAAGATAAGCCAATTTTTAGCTTATGCACGTTATATCTTAAAGGTTTATGCAACTTTTTACTTAGGAATTATGAAAAGGCAATTTTTTTTTTTGAAAGAATTCATGATATTGAATTTTTTTATACGAAACATTTACCATTTTTGTCAACTTGCTATTGGCATGAAAAAGAGATTGACAAAATAGAACACATTTTATTAAGTTATGAGAAGAAAGAAATAAATGAAGATTTTTTATGTCTTATAGGAAATTATTTTTCTTTAAAAAATAACAAAAAATTATCTGCAGACTTTTTTAGAAAAGCAATTAAATTAAATAAATTTTATGAATATGCTTATATTCTTTATTCTTGTGAAATGAAATATTTGGGAAAAATACGTAAAGCAGCTTTAGCGTTATCCAAATGTTTACAAATAAATGCATGCAATTTTAAGGCTCATTTATTATTAAGCACTATATTATTTGAAGAAAGAAATTATGAATTGGCAAATGTTCATCTGAGTTTATGTCTTAAGTTAAATAATAGCGATGCACTTGTATGTATATATTGTGCATCTATATACAATCATCAGCAAAAGTATGAAACTGCTTTGTTATGTTTAGAGCATGCACAAAAAAATGATTATGAAGGAGTTGATTTATATATTATGCAAGGTGTTATATTTTTAAAAATGAAAAGAAACCAAGATGCTTTGAATAGTTTTTTAAAAGCTCAAAAAATCAACCCACTTTGTAGCTATATTAAAATGTTAATAGCATTTACATTAGTTTTAGAAAAAAATTTCGATAAATCGAAAAGAATGATAAAAGAATTAATTCTCCAAAATTCAAATAATATAAACAGAAATTTCTTGAAGGATATGTATAAATGTTGTAATTTAAAAACAGTTCCAAATGAGTGTATATTAAATAAAATAGAACTATTTCTTAGGGAAGGCAGCTTTTTGGAATACTTAAATATAGTAGATAATTCTTGTCAACTGTGATAACGATAAGGAGGATCAGGAAAATCGCAACAAAAAGAAGTACTTTACGATTACAAGGTGAGAAGAACATGCACATATATATATACATAATTAATATATGGAGAATGTCAAATTGGAAATATGAAAGAGGGAAAATGCACACACATAGACATATATGCACTAATAATTCGGATACTTCAAATGAGTGGAACAATTTGTTTTTTTTAGTTAAACATGTTGTACTAATAAGACATACATAAAGGGAACGAGCGAAATGAAAGTATCCCTAAAAGTACACAATCTTAGGAATAGATAAAAACATGAAAAGTAAGATATACAACAAGAGTTTTATGGAACTAGCGCACACAAATGGGCACATATATTTCTGTATAATATAATGGAATATAGAACAAAAAAAAAAAAAAAACTGAAAAAATAACTGTAATAATAGCATGAAAAAAAAAAAAAAAAAAGAGGCCAAAAAAAGTGGACAAATTCTACACTTCTGTAACAATTTTAAAACAGCACAGAAATACGGAAATTAATAAATCCGTAATTTTTGCATTTTTCATAAAAAACAAAGCAAAATGTTCTGATAAAATAGAAAAATGATGTGGATTCATTTAGATGTTTAAAATTTGTTTTAAATATAATTTATAAAAATAACAAAAAAGGGGAACAAGTGTGCGTTTGTACATACGCAAATATATGTCGTGCACACATTTTTATGCACACATGTATGAACATTAATTTGAGAAACTGGGAAGTTTGATAAAGCGGATTCCTTAAAATGACAAAACATTGTTAGAGTGCTATTTTTACATTTTTCTTTTCTTAAATTGGATATTTTTAGAATGAGTAAACGGTTAATGGTATTTTTTTTTCGTCAATACTTTGAGTAAAATTATGTCGAAATTTCGGTTATGCTAAAAAATTTACTCATTGTAAATATGTGTGGTCAAGTAGTGCAGCAACTTTTGTTTGTTCGTATTTTTTTTTTTATGTAAATATCATAAAATATTGTGGATATATTTACATTTACTCTATTTTAATTGTTAAAAATAGTAATAATTTTTGTGAAAGTTGAGATTTTTTTATTTGTATTTATTATTATCCATCAGCACCGTAATTGCAGAAGTGTTGTGCATAAAAATATTTTGTCTACGGCATCGTCTACTTAGTGGTTGCAGTATTGCATTAGTTGCATTTAAAAAAAAATGCATTTGCACTTACATTAGTGTCTATGCATTCCTATGAACACATATAACAGTGAAGCGATAAAAAGAAAAAAAGAAAAATTAATAATTATTCTACACATTTTACACATTTAATTAAAGTTTTGTAACTGCAAATAATTAAAAAAAAATAGTAAAGTTTGTTATGCACTTAAAGTGCAAAGAGGAGTTATTTTTGTTTAATTAATGCACGAAGTAGACACCATTTCCATTTTTTTTTTTTTTTTTTTTTCGTTTTCATTTGTTCTACAGCTTTTAACTTGTTAGTAAATATTTACAACATTTTTTTAAATATTTGAGATTATTTATAATACGTCAGGAGGAAAAAAAAAAAATATAATAATAAAATAAAAATAAAATAATAACAATAATAAATATGTAAATAAATAAACAAATTTATAAATATGTATATTTATTTATATATATATATGTACGCAAAAAATAAAATGAATGATATCAAAAATATGTACCGTTAGTTTGTTATTACCATTTTTGATTAGTATTTTTTTTTATTTTCTACGCTTTTTCTAACAGACATCCAATTTCAATTTGAATATTTTAATTTTTAGTGAAGTAAATTTTTAATTTTTCTCAACATTAATTTTGTAAAAAACATTGAATTATATACATTAATACGTGTGAATGTAAATACACATACGATATATGCATGTGTATACAGATATAATATATTTATGAATGTATGAATATAAACATCAATATAACACCCTTGTGAGAGCGTGTGAAAATTTTTTCTTTGGTGGAAAAAAAAGGTTAAGGGAATTTTTTTTTTTTTTTGCCCCTTATTTATAAACACATTAGACAAAAAAAGTTTCATAATTTTTTATGGTTAAATTCATCTGAAAGAGAAAGACAAGATGAGAGCAATAATTTTTACTTCATTCCTTATCTCACTATTTTTTAAGAATGTTGTGTATGGATACAATTGTACAAAAGAATTGTACAATATAAATCTTAAGGATTTGTCAGTTTCTACTATGGTTACAACGCATACAAGTGCACGTAAAGTTTTAGGTAATTGGGTTTATTTCTTTTTTAGCCATTTTTCTAACCCAAATGACGCTATAAAATATATAGAAGACACCAATATTCATGTTTTAGATAATAAAGATCAATCATGCTTTGTAAGAGCTTTTACTATATTTTTAATTCATAGTTATGCTAATGATATAAAAGCCATGTCAAATACGGAAAATTATGAAACCTTTTTCAAAAATTTATTAAAAGACGTTAATGAAGACTTTAGAAATGATTTTCTTTCTATTTTTACAAGTCAAACACTTTTGAGTTATATTGATGGGATATTACCAAGTGAGCAAGATATTCTGAATTTGAAAAATGATGCCTATGTTATTAAAAATTTTATTTCTAAATCGAACAGAAAAACACACGCTACTTATCATAGCAGCCCTCTTCCACTTTTCACATCATATGGTTCAAGATTGTTTAGAAGTAATTATTTACCAAAAGAAGATCTATCTATTAGTATGAATGAGATACTTATTGCACGTGATTTCAACTTTTTATCTTTTATTGGTGTTTCTGACATGTATTACAATTCTGATATAACCCTTCCTGCAAGAGGTACTTCGGCAGTTATTGATCATAGAAAAAAATTAGGATTTAGGAAACGTAGTAGTTCTCTCCTTTTATATGGACCCCACAATAATAACCCTGCTTTTTCATATTGTGAAAAAGATGGAAAAGAAGAATATTTTGGATCTGTAGATGATTTATTACCTTCCTTTTTTTCAATTATAAAAACGAAAATGGTTTATGGGCACAGGAAATTTTTAAGAGAGTTTGATTATTCCTTAATCCACAAAAGCTACAGTGTACCTAACTTAAAAGGTTTAAGATTTATTAAAAATCTTTTCAAGAAAAAAAACTTAGAAAATTTTGTAGGCATGTATAGTGATCTTATGTCTACAGAATTAGATTTCTTAACTGAGGATTTCGCAGAGTTGTTTGACATTACTATGAATTGTCACGCGCGTGAGTTTTTCGGTCGTGCGGGAAATAACTACTACGCTCTTAAAGGAAGAAACATAGAATCGTAAACATATTTTTTTTTTTGTGTTTTTTTTTTTTTTTTTTTTGTTCTTTTTTTGTTTTATCATAGTGCTTTATTAGCTTTTAGATTTGTGCTTGTGTGCTTTGTCTTTGTGAATTTTTTCTAAAAAAATTATGCATACGTATGTGTGCACATATACATGAGCACAAGTGTACTTCAGTTAATTTTTTTTTGCAAGATTGCTTTCTGAAAAGAAAGGTGAAATATGTTTTATTTCATTTCTTTATAAAAGTTCTTTATACTTTTTTATCGAAATTTGTTTAGGACAAATTGAAAATGTGCTTTTTGAAATTTTTTAAAAGAATAAACTATACTATTTTCATATGCGCTTGTGGTTATATAGTTGCTTTAAGAAAAACTTTAAAACCTTCAATAGGATTATATTATTATACAAGTATAATTTTAGTTTATTTCGTGTTTTTTTTTTTTTTTTTTTTTTTTTTACATTAACTATTCCAACTTTGTAACTTTTGCGTTGTTCAAAATATTTAGGTGTTCATATTTTTGTTGTCTATAATATAGTTGGTAAAAATAAGAAATGAATTATGGTTTTCATTTACGGAACAACAAATGTGTTTATACATACTTTATGAATATTAACTGTTGAATTAAAAGAATGATTTAGTAAAAGAATGGGATAAATGCCCAAAAGGCAAAAAACGAGAAAAAAACAATTTGAAGAAGATTTATATACCAAAAAATTGAGAAACCACGAACACACATAAGCATGTATGCGCATGTATATACATACATTTATACATTTTTAAGAACTAAAACAACATAATTTAAAATTTTTGTGATATACATTCATTTGCGGACGTACTAGAAAAAAGCAATAACACAAAAACAAATAATTTATAATCCTCATTGAGGAAATACTCTAAAAAAAAACGACAACGAAATAGAAAAGTGTAGAAATTCATATTTTAATAATTGTATACGAAAAATAATAAACAATATAAAAGATGGTGTGTATTTGTTTTATGTCCCGTGTGAAAGGACTACTACATTTCAATACATAAAATATGTAGATATAAAAAAAACAGAAACAAATGATGCACAGTGCAAGCCTACTTTGCAGCATTGGGGCACACACGTACAACCGACTTAAGGGTGATTGTCATATTTTTATTTTAATGGTGTCTGTGACAAATGTTTTCTCAGATGGTAATTCTATTTCAATTTTTAGTTTTTTTTTTTTTTTTTTTTTTTTCTTTTTAATTTCATTTTCTTTAATAACTATTTTTTTCTTTCTTTTGTCCCATAATGTTTTTTTTCATAATTTTTTTTTTGAAATTGTTTTTCAACTCGTCTTTTGTTTTAATCACTATAGGGTTCCACGTTTGCACAACGTTGGAAAAACGTTACTTCCAATTATACAAGTTCAAGAGAAAGTTGAGAGATAAATATTCAAACTCTATCTTATTATATCCCTTTCTGTTTTTTTGGAATCATATATATTTTAATAATAATTTTGTAAATAGCGTTGCCTAATGAATTCGTTATCCTTATCTCCTATGTAAAATGTTACTTGTTGTGGTTTATTATTATTTTTTTTTGTAAATATGCAAAAACATAACATTTTTATTAACGCATGTAATGTTTTTTTTTTTTTTTTTTTCTTTTCTATTTTCTTTTGGGTAAAAATATATGTAAAGTAAGAAATGCTTTGGGGATCTCCAGATTCGTATAAGACTCTAGTTTTATCGCTTTCTGGAATTGTAAAAGGTTTGTCTATGTTTTCCACGTTTAAAGAAATTATTTGATTTGAACTTTTAGTCCTTTTTAAACCCTCTTTTTCTGCTAGATTGCGTATTCTTTTGACCGTTCTATCTTTGTGTTTTGCCAACTTGTCTCGTAATGCAATAATTCTATATTTTCTACTTGTTTTTTTGAACACTACATTGTATTGATTGTGCAGTTCATTTATTTTTTCTTCTCTCCTCTTGTGTACATTGCCTAACACAATTTTATAAATTTCATTTTTCTGAATATTGGGGCGAAGTTTATTCTGTGTTTGGTGTGTATACATATATAGAGAGAGAGAAAGAGTGAACGAGAGAAAAAAAAAAAAAAAAAGAAGATTATATTATTACACTTCTATTAATTACATTGTTTTCATGTCAAGATGTAGGTTTAATGTGTGAAGCAAATATTAAGTTTAAAGTGAACTTTTTTTTTTTTTTTTTTTTTTATCTTACTTGAAAACGGAACACATAAATTACAATCAAAATGATTGGAAGGAATTTTATCTTGTGTAAGGGGAAAACATTGAACAAATAATGGAACATTTGTCTTGAAGGGCATTTTTTATAATATAGTCTATTAGTCGTTCCTAATTTAGATGTGTTGTTACCCCTAGTTTTGGAAGCGAGTATTGATTTTGAAGTAGCTACCATGTTGTTGTTCCTTATGGTAGTAATGTGTTCTACTTCTTTATTTAATTCATTCTTATGATTCCATAATTTAGAAGAGTCGTGATGTTTATCATTCATTTCATGTGATTTTTTTAAAATTAAACGGTGAATTTAAATATGGTAACTACTCTCATTTTAATTTTCATTTTAATAGCGGTTTAGGTATTATTGCGGGGGAAAAAGATTAAAAAGTGTGCATCATTGAGTTAAGGTATGTAATTTCTAAAAAGCTAAATGCTATAAATCATAAATTTAACTATAAAAAGGGATATAACTACGAAAAAAACTTAAAAAAGGTCAAGGAAATCAAAAAAGTCTAAAAAATCAATAAAGTCAAAAAAATCAATAAAGTCAAAAAAATCAAGGTCAAGAAAATAAAAACAAACTATAAATATGACCAAAAATATGTAAATTCAAGAAACGCTTGAAAAAATCAATCCAAAGATTATTTAAACACGTGAACAAAATTAAAAGCAATTCATTTTGGTTTAAACATCTTGAAATTAAGGGATTGTCAAAATGTTAAATAACAACAAACATTAATGAAGGATTAAGAATGTTTAACAAAATAATGATGAAAATTATGCTAAACAAGCATGTTATTGATTACTTATATATGAAGCAAAAAAGTAGATAGATATTTTTAGTTTCTTTTTTAATTATTCTTCTTATAACTTGAAGATTTTTAAAAGAACACACGAAGCACTGCAATTTAACAGCTCAAAAATAATTGTGCTTATAAATTGATTGTTGTGCTATGTGAAACAAGTTTATTAAGCTTTTTTTTTTTTTTTTTTTTTTTTTTTTCTTCCCCATCTTTATATATAAACAAATTTTACATATATATGTTGAAATATTGAAATAATACATGTATTTTTTTTTTTTTTTCACAGGCTATTTAAATCTTAACACATATTTATCCCTTTTTTTAGAGTTTATATTTATAATTATTGATGCGCTTGAGCTAAAGAAAAAGCTTTCATATATTGCCGCATTTTGTTGAAACGTGAAACTTTAAACTTTTTCAAACAAAATCGAAAAATTATTTTCATTGAAACCCTTTTTTTTGCATAGAACATATTTGTTTGTGCTTTAACTGTGAAAAAAAATAGCTTTGTGAGGATAAAACATGTATATATACTCCTATGTAAATGAATATATATAATTTAGCTCTCAAAGTGCAGTTAGCACATTACAAGAATTGAACAAATTATAATGTTTTAATACATCAAATGAAAAAACAAGATGGAAAATAAAGGAATAAATGAAAGGCTTCTATCTATGATATATGCATGAATATACAGACTTTTGTTATATGTAATGTGCACTTTTTATGTTTTTTAATTAAATTATTTTAATTTAATCAGTGTCCATATATAACAATGTTTTAACAAGGGCATTATGAAATTTGAACGTGGAGGCACAGATAATATTTAGAATGTGCCATTATTAGAACAGATGATAATTGGAAGTGTGTAATATATATATATATATATTTTTTTTTTTTTTTTTTGCACGCACGATGCCTATTGCAGATTTTATATTTTCTAACAATAATCTATTTTGAAATAACAATGAAACAAGGCTGGTCATAATAAACATTAGAAAAAAAGGGAAATTGTAGGCTTCATAAAGAGGCTTAAATCCATTCTTCCATTAAACCCCAAAAAAAGGAACGAAAAGGGAAAAAAAAAAAAAAAAAAAAAAAATTCTGCATTTTTCGTATGGGTATAAGTTCTTTTAACATGTCTATAAAGAAATTCAGTATGTACAAATAGAAAAAACATGTTTTACTTTCTAAGTTTTTAAAGAAAATGTCGAATATTTTATATTATTTTTTTTATATAAAAATAAAACAGCATAATGAAAAGTATCAAAATAGGGTAATAATAAAGTAAATGTAGATATCTTTTTAAACATTCTTTTATTATATCTCTTAAACAAGTCACTACACTTTGATTTTATGTAATTCAATAGTTTTATATTTTCATTTTTTGTACTCTTTAGTAATTACTATGTGTATAAATCCTTTTTTTTTTTATACTACTTTTTTTTTTTTTTTTTTTCCAATGTAAATATAACAACAAAGTTGGGAAACGCTTATAAGAATTTTTTTTAATTAAACATTTGAGCAGATTAATTTTTTTTTTGAATATTTTATTCAAGCAATAATTTCCCCACACACACTCCAACTCATTTTAATATAATACTTTTTTATGCTCTTTATTTTTAAAATGTTGATCTTAATGAATTACAAATTTTAAATTAAAACAACGGTTAAATAACCAAACGGAAGTGGTTGAAGAAAAATGTAAATTTGTCTTAGTACGCATGTGCATATAATACGGTTTAAAATTGAAATAAACAGTCTAGTGATACAAGGAAAATGCTTTAATTTGATTTTATTATATATACATTTTTTTTTTTTTTTTAAATTTATATATAAAAAACAAGTTTTCTTATAGCTATGATGGAAATAATTGAAAGAAACTATAATGTTAAAAAAAATGATTTGAAATATTAATGTTTAGAGGGTAAGTTTACAAAATGACATTTTAAAAACAGCCAACTTGTAAGATTGTTTTCGTAGTATATTTAAATGAGTTTTGCATATCTGTGTGTTTGCATACAATTGGGAAAGATGTTCTGTACCTTAATACAGGAACTTTAAAAAAAAAAAAAAAAAAAAAGGCGCTTTTTTATTATGCTAATCAAAAACAAATGTTCTTTCATAGTAATATATAGGATATAAAAAAAGAAAAGAAAAAATACATATAATATTATTTTATGAAGTATAATTCACATTAGCATATTAAAATATTAAACTACAGAACAAATGATTCCTGATCAACTGTTGTATATATTTTATTTTTTAAAAATGTCAACATAATAAATCCGGGGCATACAACATTGTTCACTTATATATATAGTATTTATAATAGTGAAAATTTTCAATGATATTCTTACATTACATATATTTATTATTTCTTACATGGCATGCTATTTTAAATATATGTTTGTAAAATGTTTTCAGTTATGTGTAATCGTAAAAAAAAAAAACATAAATTCCATTTTCTTGAAACATATTTTGTTTTTTCTAATACATATTTGTTGTGTACATGAAAAAGTTCATATATAATTCAAAAAGTATACTTCTTTTTTTTCTCACAATGCCCATGACATTAAAATAATTAAAAAAATTTAAATAAAATGAGAAATCAACATAATAAAGGAATTACTAAACACAATAAATATATATATGTATATATATAAACATCAAATAAAAACAAATTAGAAAAGCACGTACTTAAAACAAAATGTATTTCTATTGGGTGTATAAATAAAAAAAAAAAAAAGTAAAGGCACGAATAATGAACTCGTAGAAAATAATGAAAGTCAATCATATATGTTCTCTCTCAATATTTATTTTATGTTCTTATATAATATATTTAAGAGGAAAATTGGAGGTTTTGTCATTTTTCGTAAATGTTTTTACGTTTTTTTTTTTTTTTTTTTTTTTTTTTATCTTCCCTGTACTTTAATTCTTTGTCTTTTCATTATATACATGCATATCTCCTTCTTCCTTGGTCAATATTTTTTTCTCTTTTTTTTCCTTTTGTTTTAAATGTTTGAAAAGTGATAAAAATTCAAAATATAATAGTTTCTTTTTCATATTATTATTTTCATGGGATCAGTTATATTTTGTTAAAATATGTTTCGTTCTTTTCTCCCTTTTTTTATAATTATCTCGTTTTACTAGTTATTTTCCTTGGATTTTGATTTTAATTCCTTTTTGATTTTTTCTTCTTTTGACTGTTTTTTGTTACTTGAGACACTTTTGAAGTAACTGTAAAACAATGCAACATTAATGATTAGTAATCCAATAAGTAATAAAACTAAGTAGTTATTTTGAACTAAATGAATCATTCCCTTCATGTAGCTTCCGAAAAATTGCAATTTGTATAATGGAGATATCATAGAAGATGATGGACCAATATCTATTGATTTTCCAAGTGCTTCTTGTTGTTGTTTATAAGCAGCCAATCTACGTTGATAACATGGTGAATTTTCAATAGCTTCTCTTAGTTTTCTTATGGATTCTTCACTAAACATTTCATCTAAATCAGGTGGTGGTAAAATTGGTTCTTCAGGTGGATTTCCTCCCTCAGCACCTAAATCCTCTAATCCTGCATTGTCTTCAGCATTGAATTCTGGAACAGCATCTACTTCTGGGAGATCTTGAATATCACCTGTATCTACAACTTCTGGGAGCTCTTGAAATTCTGGTGCATCTACAACTTCTGGGAGCTCTTGAAATTCTTGTGCATCTACGTCTGGCAGATCTTGAACATCAACTGCACCTAAATCAGCCAAATCGTCATGAACATTATCTTCAAAGTTAGGTATGTTTTCAAGTGTATCCTCAGAAAAAACATTTTCATCTAAAAGAGGTTCTACATCAGGAACTGGATCGAAATCTCCCAAATGTTCCATTCCTTCTTCAATAGATGGCTGAATATCATGTGGAACATGGCTTTCAAGACTATCCTCAAATCCTTCAATGGGATTAGCGTCTATTGGAAATTGATCTTGATCCATTTTTTATAATATGTTGATTCTACGATTGATATATATTTAATTTATGGTATATATATTTAATAATATATGTAATTTTTTGCCCTGGATGCTATTCTTAAATAGTGCAGCGTTATATATTCCTAAAATTTATAATTAAAAAAAAAAAAAAACACATAGATATAAAATAAGGAAAATTAAAATAATTTGCATACATGTTTTACAATCATATTTTACAACGGCATATGTAGTACTGATAATGATTATTTTTTATAAATAATACATTAATAATGCGTACCTTTTTGGGATTAGTCGTGATTTGAAAGTAATAAGGGACTGAAAAAATGTTTGAGAAAAAGAATGGTTTTGGTTGCTTTCTTATTATTCCTACAATTTAGATATGTTCTAAAAATATGTTATAGTACTTCTAATGATTGTTTGTCATGGATGATCTAATTAAAAAGAAAATATAATTAAGGAAAAGAGAGAAAAATGAAGTTAAAAATAATCATTTAATTAGTAAGAATAGATCCTGATGTATTTGTAAATATTTATTTTAGTAAAGAAAAAATAAAATTCTCATGTAGAATGAAAAGTTTTCATTTATTTTGTACGAATTAAATAATTTTTCAGTGGAATCAATTAAAAAAGATACATATCATGCAAATATTATAAATTAATTTAATAAAAATACATAATATTATTTTATATTTTGAAAATAATTTAAACTTTTTTTATATAAAATTTACCTGGTAATATTTATGGGCTTATCACAAAAAGTAGTTCTTTTTTTATTTTATTCCTAAAATAATTTAGAAAAAATAGTTTTTAAAATACATTTAAAAAAAAATAAAATAAAATAATAGTTTAAAAATTAATTTTTTATAAACTTTAAAAAATGTAATTTTTTTAAAATATTATTTTAAGTTTTTTTATAAAAAAAAATAATTATATAATACGTTATTGTTTTTATAACAAATAATTCTATGAAATAATGTTTAAAAAATTACAAATTGGGCACTTAATTCTATTTTTTTTTCTAATTATGTATATATTTTATCTGTTTTTATTTAAGATAAAGGATAATGAATTGTATATGTAAGATGTTACATTGAATTATGCACATGTAGAAACGTAATTTATTTTAAAATTTAAAAAGGGGCTTTTGATTTTCTTGTTTTTAAAAAAAAAATTTTCATTTTTTTATTTTGTATTCTACATATTTATTTTTTTTATGCAAGGAAAATGCGTCATTTATTAGTATGAAAAAATAAAAAAATAAAATTTATTCTTTCTTTAAAAAATTTATTTATTTTAGCACTTTTTTTATAAACATTTGTATTTATTAATAATACATGTAGATAGAGCAATTACGGTGATGGAGGGCATAATTTATAGCGCATGATGGCATAACTTTTTTTTTTAATTTAAATGCATTGGGTAGGGCGGCTATTTTTTATAATTACTGCATGTAAAATAGATTCTTTTATATTTTTTTTAAACTGTTTTTATATTAGATCTATTTTTAATAAAAAAATGCATATGAAGAAAAAAAAAAAATTATTATATATATACTATATGTATATTTCTTTGTAATAAGGCTAGTAGATTAACGTATTAAACTTTCCCTAATTAAGAAATCCATTATTTAAGAAAAATCTTTTCCCTGTTCGGTAGAAAAGACATTTTTTCATTGATCATTAAAAAGAAAAAGGTATTATATATTCTTGATGTTTTTATTTTTTATTATTTAACTCGAATCTTAACATGAAGGGAGGGGTCCGTACGCAAAATCGGTCTTGTTAGTCGTTCAAATTGATGAATGAAATTTTTGCAATAGAAAGGGGGGAGGTGGATATATATTTAGTTGTGATGTATAATATAGATGTGATTATTTAAATTTAAGTATTTTAAATTAATATGAATATATATATATTTTTACCTATATATTTTGTTAAGGTGAATAGAATAATTGTACGAGGAGAGAAAAGTAATTCTAGGATAGAATTAGGCTGCGTAACTGAAAAAACTATTAGACGTTAAAAATGTAGTGTATTTATATTTTATCTTATTCTGTAATTCCATATATATATATATATATATATATATATATATATATATATTATAATAAATCGAATTTAACCGTGGGCTACTTATTCTGCATACATGATTGCATACTTTTACATAAGAGGAAGTCTAAATTTTGTACGCATTTTGTTTTAAGCATTAATTATCTTAAACCTTTTTATTTTTCTTTTTGATTTCCCACAGTGGTGAGAGGATTGTATATATTATCTATGCTGTATTGCAGGACAAAATTTTATTCATATTTTATTGGTTATATATATTTAAATATAGAGAAGTTATTACTTATGTATAGAATGAACTAAGTTGAGTTTACGAATTAAAAGGTGAATAAATGTATTTTAATCTGTTGTGGAGTTGTTCGTTCCTACGTGCAGTTTTGCTGGTAACAATTGTATCAAGTACATTATTCTCATTTTTTATTGAAAAGGTTTCGAATAAATAATAAAAAAAAAACAACAAATAAATAGGCCATCATTAATTTGCCATAAAAAAGGGGGAATTAATTACTCTTAAAATTTGAAGGGTGCATAAAAATTTAAATCCATTTTTTTCATATTTTAGTTTGATAAAAAATATCATATTTGTTATGGGACTCATAAAAATATATTAAAAAAGGTAACAATATGTGTGTTCATTTGAATACAAATTTGTGTTTTTTTAAATAATATATCATTTGGATGTATCTCATGAGTATATCAATTTTATGATGAAGGATAAATGAAAAGAGATAGATAGCTCATCATTTTATTAGAAAATAAATTGGAATTTTTAATAAGAATAAAGGGTTCTCCGCATTAATATAAGAATAATAAGTAAACAAAACCTTCCTATGCTTTTTTTTTTTTGTATGAAATAAAAGTGTAGTTTATTTAAGTAAAACTATATAAGATTCTTACCATTTCTTCCTTTTTTCAAATGTTTGATTTATGCATAACACACACATCTGCATGGATGCATTTATAATTAATTTTTGAACTAAGCGACTATGATAAAATAGGCTTAAGTGTTTTTGTAGGGTTTAAGGAAGGAGTTTAAAAAAAAAAAAAAAAAAAATACAAAAATTTCAAAAGTAAAAAAAGTGGAATAAACGGGAAAATAAAATGATTGTTTTAGTAACTCTGAAAACATTTATTTACATTTCTACAGAATAGGAAATACTTAAAAACAAGACTAAAAACTAACAAATAAGGAGGTAATTAGAAAACCGAGATGTCATAAAATTTGCATTCATATTTGACAACATGGGGTTCCCATTTTTTTTTTTTTTTTTTAACATCTTGGATCTTTTGACATGGTGTGTAAATCCTTCATACATTGTTATTTATTTGTATGATTGATTTTTTTTTTTTTTTTAATGACATAATGAAGTGATATTTTGGAGGATCATAGTTAAGCGGGGCGAGAGCGAATTATTTTTTTCTTTAAAGGTATACACTTTATCATATATATGCTCTTTCGACTGTTTGTCTTTTTTTAAATTTTTCTGTGAATTAAAAAAAAAAAAATAAAAAAAAAAATTATACTGCTGTTCTGTATAACAATTTTTTAAAACAAGTAAAAAAAATAACGTCTGAGATGTGAATGAAAATTTTATAATTGACTTTTTTTTGGAAATCATCTCCTCATTTAAAAGAAAATAGGCAACTATTTTTATTTTTTTTATAATTTGAATTTAATTGAACTGTACCTATGTTTTGATTTTATATTTTATAAATACTGCATCATAATTAACAGAATCATAGGTCTATATATTTTTCAAAACAACTTCACCTAAAAAAGAACAACGTAAGGTAATTTGGTCTTTTTTATAAAAAAAAAATAAGCATGTATGTTATACATTAACATTTATTCATTTTAATTTAATGAGAATAATGTACAGAATGCTATTTATATTTCTGTGTTTTCCTTTCTGTTAACTTCCGTATGCTTCAATTAAAGAACAACTCTGGCAAATAAAAAGAACATTTGTGGGTATATAAGGAAAATTTCTTTTTTTTTTTTTTTTTTTTTTTTTTTCATAGGAATCTTTATTATTAATTTTCAAGTTATTACAAGGACACATTTTACTTTTATTCACTTTGTTATTATTAAAATAAAAGGTTTTGAGAATAAATGCATAAAATAATTTACTATACATTCTTTTAAATGTTTTTTAAAACTAAAGAAAATAATACCTCATATTTATTATTACCTAATTTTCTAGAAGTTCTGAGACAAGTGAATTGTGTCACCCTTTTAAAATATTTTATTTTTCTTTCACTATTGTCATTGTTTGAATTTTTAAATTGAGTACCCCTGTTTAAATGCAGACACGGATGTAAACTTATTTTCTATAGATAATATGCACATTGTTTTCTATTTATTTTTATTCTTTTCATAGAATCACTCTTTTGTCTAATGTAAACTCCTCAAGGATGTTATTTCAGTGGCTTGAGAAGAAAATCACGAAAAATAAGATTTAATCACATAGTTCTAATGCATTATATGCAACTTTTTTAGTATAAGGGTGATAGATTAAATCGCCTCTTTTCACTGTTGCAACAGAATGTGTATATTTATATATTCCGTGTGTATATTATGCTTTACTGGTAGAAATTTGGTGGATGGTTAATCTTAGTTATACAATAATTTTATTAAATTTAATTATCTCAAAGGATATGACTGTAAAAAAAAAAAAAAAAAAACCTTTGTTTTTTATAATAATTCTTAAAATTACATTTTATATTCTATACTTTTTATAATTTTATTTTCTAAGAACACTTTATGTATCTATGTTTGTCATGAAGAGAATTCACTTTAAAAAATCACAAATGTGAAATTTTTCACGAAGAAAAAATTTTATATTAAACATATTCAAGATTTAGAACATGAAAGAAAAATGTACATGTGTATGTATATGTACATATATATATGAATAAAATAAGGGGTGTTTTAAATTACATTTGCTTCACCCTTTTTTGAAACAATATGTGTAAGATGCATTTCGTATGAAACATTACAATTTATGGACAATAGGGGTGTAAAAATGACGTCTAATTTTTATTCATTAAAAAATTAAGATAAATATAAGTGAAATAGTTATAATAAAAACGTTTAAGGGAAGAACAGAAAATTTTTTACTAGGAAATTGAGAGCACCGGCTTTATCCTAAAGGCAAGTAATCATTTTCTTGTACTTTTTAAATGGAACAAAAGAAAACATGTTTTTATTATATCAAAATGAAAAATTATAAATGTATAAAATAATGATTTGCTTAGAAAAGCGGATGATAGTAAAAAAAAATTGGAAAATGTAGAGTATATCCAAGTGATAGAAGACATAGCTGAATCTATAGGATCATAATGATTTATATAACTTCGAAAATAAAAATAGAACAACAAAACAATCCAAAAAAAAAAAGTATATATATATATATACGCTTACATGGACAATATAATCCTAACATATAAATTTTTTGTTTTCATGAATTACAAATTATTGTATGGAAAATAGGTATGGAGGTAAAAGTTTTTTTATTTTAAAGTATAAATAATAGAAAATTGAATCTTTAATAGTTAATTTTTAATATTTAAAAATATTTCTTAAGAAAATTAAAATCAATTATTCTTGTATTCATCATAAAAGACAAATAATTGATGTGCGCAGCATGAATTTGAAGTTCACAAAAAAAATTATTGTAAAACTCATACTGAAACATTATTACTAAGCGCACAAATAAATAAACAAACAGTGATAACTTACATATAAATATAAATGGCATTGCATATGGGTATATGACACACAAATAGTAATGTAAATAAGTAATATGCAAATGCAAATATATGCAGATTGATAGTCATAGATATATATATATATATAAAAATTAATGGAAATCAATATAAAAAAAAAAAAAAAAAGATTAAGAATAAGAGAATATTGACAAATAAAAAAAAAAAAAAAATTAAATAAAAACTAATAACTGTTTCTATAGTAACAACTAGTAAGTATACAGTTGTTAATAGAGGAAATTTCTGAACAATGATAATTGTTAAAGTATATCTATTTTTTATTATAAAAATATAAAGAAAACTAAAATAATTTTTTAAAAGAATTTCATTTTTTTGAAATTAAAAATATTTTTTGTGAATAAATAATAATAGTGCCCATTTTAGCAAATTTCATCTCCCTGGATGGATATGTATAATATACGTAAACTTTTTGGTATTATTTTCCTTGGCATTTTTTGTTTATAATTAGAAATATCATTCATGTATTATGAAAAAGTACTATTTTATTATATATATATATTTTTTTTATATCACATTTCTGTGCTCAATATTATATTATTGGAGCTTTTCCTATTATTAATTTTTTCTTTTTTTTTTTTCTCCTACATATCAAAATTCTGTTTTTAACACAGCAGAAAAGATTGTTTGGAAAATATAATGCTTTTTTATAAATAAGTAAAAATCATTTAATGATTATTACACTTCTCCATTTTTATGACATTTTGTTCATGTTTACTAATTTCACATTTCCTAGATGTTTCCTTTGCACGTGAACCAATATGGCAATTGAATCATGGAATGGGAAATCAGAAAATGTATATCTATCATCTCTTCTGCATTTACGGTTTGCTAATTTAATTAAATAAATTTCTGTTAATTAGGTCCATATTATGTTGATGTCCTTTTAAGGTCTTTTATCCAAACATTCCATTGTTTTTTTGCTATCCAGTTGTTAATAAAGTGGTCAAGCATAGAAAAAAATATTGTTTTTTTATCTTCTTTCCATTTGTGCCATATTTCATTCTTAACTTCTATTAATGCCTTATCTTTAATATGAACCCATTTCTGCCAATCACTAGCTTCACTACGTCTAATCATCTTCCATTTGTACCAATCTAGTTTTTCTTTTCTAAATGATGGTTTTTTATTTGAATATTCCCATTTTAGCCAATATTGATATTGATCACATTTTCGTTCACTCAATAACCAATCCATGATTTTGTTATCTTTCCATTGTTCCCAATCCTTCAGTAACCATAAATTATATTCGGTTCTTGTTCTGTCTATCCATTTATCCAAATCCAGCATCATAATAGATTCTCCATCTTTTTCAATCCATTTAACCCATTTTGATTCTTTCCATTTTAATGATTTTTTATAAATATCAAAAGAATGGTCTTCCAACAATTCTTTGTTATAATGCATCCATTTAAATTGAAAATTTTCTATAAATTGATTAAATTCCACATCTTTTTGCTTAAACCATTTAATTCTTTCCTTGTGTAAGTACGCATTATAGCGTGACCATTCATTCTTCAATTCATTCATCCATCTCTCCCATTCAGGATTTATTGGAAGTCCGTCTTCATCTTTATCCCCTTTTTTATGTCTGAATCGAACAATAAGATCAGTGTTTACAAACTTGCTCCAAAGATTCTTAAAGCAACCTATTAAAGGTATGTCCTTTTGATCAAGCCATTCTTTGTAATCTGTTAGTATAAGTTTTTTTCTTTCTATTTTATTTAATTCATCGGATGATGCTTTTGGCATTTCTTTTTCTGTATGCTTTTTTGAAGCCTCATCATTCAATTCTAATTTGGGCATGCCATTTTCATCATATTCAATAGGTTTACCCTCCTCACGGCCTTCTTCTTCCATGTCATTTTCTTTATTAAAATCATGTAACCTGTCTTTGCTGTCTCGTTTTATACCTTCTCCATCCTTATAATCATGACTCTTTCCTTCTTCTCCTTCTACTTCTTCTTTTTCTCCTTCTTCTTTTTCTCCTTCTTCTTTTTCTCCTTCTTCTTTTTCTCCTTCTTCTTTTTCTCCTTCTTCTTTTTCTCCTTCTTCTTTTTCTCCTTCTTCTCCTTCTACTTCTAGTTCTTCTTCTTTTTCTTCTTCTTTTTCTCCTTCTTCTCCTTCTACTTCTTCTTCTTTTTCTCCTTCTTCTCCTTCTACTTCTTCTTCTTTTTCTCCTTCTTCTCCTTCTACTTCTTCTTCTTTTTCTCCTTCTTCTTTTTCTCCTTCTTCTTTTTCTCCTTCTTTTTCTCCTTCTTCTTTTTCTCCTCCTTCTTTTTCTCCTTCATCATCTTCTTTCATGCTACCTTCTCCTTCTTCATTATAATCTTGTTCCTTTTCTTCTTTCATTTTTTCTTCTTCTTTTAATGATTCTTTGGAATTACTTAATTTATATACTCCAACTGAAATATTTTTTTCAGAGAACTTCGAACCCGTTTCCACCTTTGCTTCGTCATGTTCCAATGATTGGCTTTCCGTTTTTTCGCCAGCTTCTAAAGTTGGGCTTTCGATTTTTTCTCCAACTTCTAACGTTGGAAGCTCAGTTTTTTCGCCAGCTTCTAACGTTGGGCTTTTTGCTTTTTCACCATCTTCTAACGTTGAGATTTTTGATTTTTCACCATCTTCTAACGTTGGACTTTCTGTTTTTTCGCCAACCTCTAACGTTGGACTTTCTGTTTTTTCTCCAGCCTCTAACGTTGGACTTTCGGTTTCTTCTTCACTTTCCAATATTTGGCTTTCGGTTTTTTCTCCACCTATGGATGATAGAACTTCTGTTTTTTCTTCATTTTTCTTTGTTTCTCCTTTAATGAAACTCTTCCATTCAGCACCAAATGCACTCTCTGAATTTTCTGTTGCCTTCTCACCTTTTTCGGCATCTTCAATTGAATCTCCTTTTAACTCAGGTTCATCTTTCTGTGGTTCTTCTTTAATGGTATATTTAAATTCGCTAGTTTCACTATTTGAAACTTCAGTTATCTTTTCATTTTTTTTCGAATCATCAATTTTTTCTTTTTTCAATTTGTCCTCATCCTCTTTTGTTTCTTCTTTTACGGAAACGTTATAACCAGTATATTTATTTTCTTCAGCTTCAGGTGCTTTGTTCTTTTTTTCATCATGTCCAAATGGTTTGCTTTCCAATTTTTTATTATCTTTCTTTTTCTCATCTTTTACGGAAACTTTGAAATTATTTTTTGGATCTTCAAATTTCTTCTTTTTTTCTTTATCATCTTCTTTATCCGAGTCACTTGGAACACCTTGAATGGATGATTGATAACCTTTCCTCGATTGTTCTCTTAATGCAACACTCCAATCACTAAATCTCTTTCGCTTGTATTGAAATGGGTCATATGGTTTATTATCATTTTCAAAAGATTTATTGGAAACAGTGTAATTGGGAGTTTTGTTCGATTTTTCTTTTTCCTTTTCCTTTTCCTTTTCTTTCTCCTTTTCCTTTTCCTTTTCTTTTTCCTTTTCCTTTTCCTTTTCCTTTTCTTTTTCCTTTTCTTTTTCTTTTTCTGATTGTTGATCGTCTTCACTCAATTCTTTTTTCCACTCGTCCATTTTCTTATTTATACTCACATCCATTTTTCTTTTATTTTGATCAGCGTTTCTTTGTGATCTTCTAAGAATTTCTAAATTAGTTTTTTTATCTGGATCCATTTTAGTTGGAGTAGTTTGTTTACGTTCCTGGTTTTTGTCAAATTGATTATGTGCTTTATATTTTCCTGCTGTAGTAGCTTTGGATTTTTCTTCATCTTTTGCTGATTTATTTAAAAATCCACTTCCGTAAGATTTTTCCATTTTTTCTTCATTTTGTAACTTTTTAGATTGTTGAGATTTTTTATAATCTACTGTTGAATATTTATCACTTTTGTTGGAAGTACTTTTCTGCTGTTCCATCTTTTTACTTGTGTAGTGGGAATCATCATCCGAATGATATTCATGGTCTACATTATTATTTTTACCATAATAGTAAAGTTCTACACTCCTTTCCTTATTTTTGTTTTTCCCCCGTTCTATATCTTCATCTTTTATTTCATCTTTTCTCATTCTATCCATTTCATTTTCTTCTTCTATCATTTCTTCCTCTTGCATTTCACCTCTTTTCATTTGACCCTTTTTCATCTCTTCATTTTTGATTAAATCTCCTTTGTCTTGAAAATTCTCTTTTACATACATGTTTCTCTGTGTTGGAGATACCTTTTGTGACTTTTTTCCATATTCTATTGTACGTTTTTCCATCACTTTTCCACTTTTCAATTTTATAGTTTCATGTCCCCGAGTATCTTTAACATCATCGTAATCATCATCAGCTTCTTTTACTTCACTTGGCTCTAATGTTGTTTTCATAATATCACTGTTATCACTTGATCTATTCCCATTATTATAGGAACGATTAAATTTGTATTCTAAAGCTTTCTTCAAAATTTGTAATTCTCTATCTTTTGCTCGAAACCATTTATTTTTTTCATCTTCCATTGATTTACTCAATTTTTCTGATTCGAGATTTTTTTCCTGAAACCATTGATCTCTTTTGTTTGCCAAGTCATTATTAAAAGTGTGCCAGTCTTGCTCAAACTGATTCACAAATAAACGCCATGCGCTATTATCTCTATGTCTTGCTATTTCTACTAATTCTTGAGAATCTTCTTTCAGTTCTTCTACTTTAACTCTACCATGGTTGTTATTGCTTCTCCTATGTTTTTGAGAATACTAAAATGGGACGTGCAAAAAGGTTGAAGAAAATGTAAAGGGGCGTAATTAATTTTTTGCGAAAAATTATAAGGGGTTTCAGGGTAGTAAAGTGTGATACATGAATAAAACAGAATGTATAAGCTTCATATTCAGTTTGCATTATAAAAAAAAAAAAAAAAAATGTATCCTTACTTCACTACATTTAGTTAGAGGAAGAACCACATATGACAAAAAGAATAATATCATGTAAACACATGATGAAACTCGTTTTCTTCTTGTATTATTTAACTCATTGTCCTTATATTTTTTTGTTATACTTGAACGATGGGATGATTTTGCTTTATGCTCTTTCATATTTTACTTCTACTTCGCTGGTAGTTTTCATATATATTTTAGTTATTATAAAATGTGTTTTTGTAAATAACAAAAAAATAACTATAATTTTTAATATACTTTATTTTTTTTTTATCTATAGTATTTTTTGCCTATATTATACATTGCTTTCATTTTAGTATTCATTGTAAAGGATGAAGAAAACATGTAGAAAAAAATATGGACAAAAATAAGTACAGAACTGAAAATAAAATACAAATAATTTTACATTAAAATATTTGATCACTCAGTAAGACTGCTGATTTAGATGCTTAAACGTATGATAATCTAATCTAATCTAATGTATATATTAATAGTTTTAAATAATAATACATATACAAATGATATTATTAAATAAAACCTTTTCCCATTGACATATTTTTGAGAATGAAGAGAAAAATTGATTTAAAGATATAAAAATATATAACCGTTTATGGTTTTATTTATAAAATAAAAAGGAATTTTCTTTCCTATATTTTACTGTAATTATTTTTTTTTTTAATTTTTAGTTTATGCATTTTTTTTATTTTAACAAAGTATCATTTTTTCATAAAGAAAAAAAGGAACAAATTAAAAAAATATATAAATGTAAAATAAATGTATAATATATATTATGTAAATTTATAGAACCCTGTTTTTAATCAAAAAGATGTTGATTTCTATTAAAAATATATAGTTTTTTATTTTATTTAATTTTTAAATTTATTCACAAGTATTAAAAATTAATTTTAAGGACATATTATATTATGTATGCATACATATATCTAGATAACATTTTTCGGGAACGAGAAATATTTTTCCCGTTACAACAAATTTATTTTTCGTGATATTTCTTTACATATTCCCAAAGCACTAAAAAAGATGATAATAAATGGATCCGTTAAAAGAATTAAAAAAAAAATAATTTTAAATTTACTTTGAAATAAAATAAAAAAATGGGGGTATATATATGACAAGATGGAATAGTAATTTCCTAGAATTTAAAAAATTACAGTTGCTATAAAAATAAATGATTTTTATATTTAAAATGTTTAATAATTATTTTCACCCCCTTTTTTTTTTTTTTTCTTCTTTATATTATACTTTTTTTTTTATTTAAATTAAATATGTAAATAAAATTAGAACTTTTATAGGATTGTGCTTTTTTTATTTTTTATTTATTATTACATTATTCAAATATTTTTTCTCTTTTTCGACATTTTTATAATTTATTTTCGTATTTTTTTTTTTTTTTTTTGTGCGCATTCATTTATTTTGTTCTTCATTTATTATTTTTTTTTTCTTTCTTTTTTTTTTGTTTGTTGCGCATTTCATGCATATTATTTTATTCCTTTTATGTCCTTTAAATGTTTTTTCTTTAATTTAATAATTTTTGCTATTTCGGTCTTTTTTTTTTTCACTTTATATGCATGAATCTTTTTTTTATTCCTTGTAACCTAATTGACAAATAGTCGTGTTTTATACACAAATAAAAGGCAAAAAAAAGTTGGGAGAAAATTATTGGACGAAAATAATTTTACTTTGAAGCTCGTTAATTCCCTGGAGGTATTGAAGCATTTAATAAATGCAAAACATTCATTTATGAAAGCGCATTTTTTTACTTTTAAATTTATAATTACATTCTTTTAATGTCTTAATTGTGAGAAAGAGCATATTGACCATGAGGTTGTGAAAAAAAAAAAAAAAAAAGTACAAAATTAAAAGTGGAAATTTTTTTTTTAACGAAATATATGTAAAGACCAAAAATTTAAATTGTACATTACTGATTTATGCATGTGTATATACTGTAGTGGAAACTTAACAGGAAGTGCCAATTGATTATGGATATGAACCAAAATATGCGAAATAAGATAAAATTAGAGGAAAAGGAAATGTATGTAATGAACATTTCCAATTTTAAAATAAATATAATAAAATACAAAAGGAATTCTGGGTTCATCGTTAAGCATCAATTTTATTTTGCAATTATCATTTCTCTAAAAATTACTTATAAAACTTCAGAAGTTCTACATGTAAAAAAGGCTTAATTGAAACATAATAATTTCAAAATTTTACTATTATGAAAATAGGTTCATTTTTCTTTGTGATACATTTGAATCGTGGATAATTAGTGTTATGAAAATGTGAAATAGTTCAAAAATGTCTTGTGGGGAGAGACAGTGTTGCTTTAAAAAAGTAAAATAAAATAACGGAAGAAAAATTAATTAAATAGGATACATGTATGAATAAATACGTATAATCATAGCAATTCACATTTCTGTTTTTTTTGAATATTTTATTGAACTGAAAGAACAAAATATGAAAAATTTTATTGATTTACGCATTCTAACAGAGCTATTAGTGGCATAATTATACTTATAAGCGAATGAACAACAATGATCAAACAAATTACACTTGTGTAAATTATTGTGTAAGTGTTATGAAATGGTAAAAGAATTATTTATAAACTGATCGACGGGAGCTAGATGCATATTTTCATTAAATTAAAATAGTATATTTTTATTTTATTAAATATTTAAAAAAAAAAAAAAAAAGCTATAGAAAGGATGCACATATTGTTTTATTGGGATATATTATTGAATAGTGTAAACTACACTATTGTTGGTAACATAAAATTGGGGTTGCTAATCTTATTTCTTATTATACTTATTATGCTCTTCGTTTTATTTGTTCTTGACGTACTCTTGATTAAAAACGGGAAATGACACATATACTAATGTATAACAAATGCTTCTAAGTGAATTGAATTTAGAATTAAAGAAATATATGGAAGAAAAAAGAAAAAAAGAAAACGTCAGTAGGATGGAAATAAATGGAATGTTTCTAAAAAAAATAATATTTATCTGTTTCGCCATTAATATGTGACTAATTACATAATACTTGAAGCCCAAAAGTTTATATTATTATAAATTAAATTGGTATAAAAATTAAAAAAAAAAAAATTACAAAAATTAATAGGTTTAAAGTATTCAATAAAATATAGTTTTTACATGGTGATTAATCAATGTTATTTGTAATTAAGGACCATGATTATGAAAAAATTTTGAGTATATGTTAATTGTCTGTTCTATTTCTTAGTAAGTTTCATAAGAGTGATGAGGAAGCTATGTTTATATGGCATTAGTTGTTTATGTATATATGCATTTTCTAGAGGTATAACCACATCTGCATACACAAAAAAAAAAAATAGACATTGAATGAGACATTCAAATTTGTTTTCAATAAATTATACACTTGTGTCTAAAGAATTAGGCACCATATCTGTGGGAATTAGAAATATGTTCAAAACAATTTAATGTACAATGCACAATAAAAGCAATTAATCAAAAATTCTAACAATTAAGTTAATTCATAAGTATCCTTCTCTTCTGTTATTTCTTGTGCTATGTTTGCAACTAACAATGCCAATAAAAATAAAAGTATTTTTCATGTTTTGAAAAAACGTAACATAAAAGGTTTAGGGAAGAATACCTGTTTAGTTGTTTTGCACAAATTAATTAGTATATACTAAAAATGTGTTCGTTTAAAATTTTGATATTATGTAAGCAACGCACATTATTATTTCTGTATTAAAATAGACTTTTAGAACATTTTTTTTTTAATGATTAGTATTTATTAAAAGAAGAGGCATAATATAAGCATTTGCAATTCTGGATTTCCAGTACGCAGCATTATTTTGGTTTTGGTTATTACACTTGTATTTTTTCTTTTTTCTTTTGTTATTACTTCTTATTATCGTATGATTAATTAAATGTTTTGCATATGCATTCAAAAAGAAATTAAAAAAAAAAAATTGTCAATCATTAAAGTTAAAGAAAAAGGGAAAAAACTTTAAGGACTATTTAAAAAATATAAGGACGAAAATTAGACAAAATAGATCAATAAGTGAAGCATACAAAGGAATAATATAATCATTGGATATCCAGTAATATCATGATATAGTCCTTTTACTGTTACAGGCATCAATTAATAGATGAGTTTAAATTAGTATGCAGCGGCAAATCTATGGGGATATAAGAAATTTTCATAAAATGATGAAGTAAGTAGAAGTGATTTTATGCATAAAACTTATATTTCCCCTTTCAGACAGACGTACTCATATGGAGTATCATAGTAGAAATGTCTACATGAGTCTCCGATAAGATGGTATATATATAATAGATAATATAATTAAAAAATAGGAGGGAAAATACATAAAACATATGTTAAATAAAAAAACAAAACAATGATTATATAGAAAAAGACGTATATTATTAGTAGAACAAATGAACGAAAGTTATCTATGCATACGACAAATGAGAACGAAAAAAAAAAAAAAAAAAAAAAAAAAAGAGAAGAGAAGAAATTAATAAAGACATATTTTTTGTTTTTTCATAAACATAGATAAGTTAGTGTAGTTTTCCTTGAATAAGAATGATAATAAAATTTAATAATTGGAAAAAGACCTTAAAATGTAGAATAAAGCTTACACAATTGTGAAAAAAAGTAATAATTAATTCATCTATGTGAATAGTTATTTTATTTATAATTAAAACAAACGAATATTTAGTTTTCAAAAAAAGGAGCATTAAAACATAAAAAAAAAAAAAAAAAGGGAAGAAAAGAATTGTTCTTGAATGTATATTTTTATCTCTAATAATGGCAAATAAATAATAACCCAAATGTATGTTTAAAGCAAAAATAATTTATTAAAATTATGAGGTGGTGTATATGAAATAGGATTAAACAAAGCATTTGGGATAAAAAAACAAATAAAAACACATTATTAAAATATACTGCACACACATATATATTTATACAAATATATTCCCATTTTGGGAAAGAAAATATTTTCATACAGGATGTGTAAAGAGTTATATATATATTAAATTTTTTCAACAGTAATACTAAGGATTTATAAGGCTAACTTTGTATAATCCCATTATTTTATGTTTTTATTACTAGACATAAAACTTCTAAAAAATTTACTAATTGAATTGCATTTTTTAACCTTAATAAAATAGTAAGATGAAACTGCAATGCTTAGTAAAATAACTGGACATGTAACTGTAGATCCATATTGTAAGGCTATAAGTAAAAATACAGTTATTAGTAAGGCAACTGGTGGGAGAAGTATTTTATGTCTACTTGTGTAATGTAAAAATTTTTTAAAAATGCTCTTATGCTTAATTGAACAGTCTTCAGCTGTGGAATCATGTTTCAAAGAACGTAACAATTTTACCTCAAATTGTGCATCCATTTCTTTAAAAAAATTAACCAAATTAAATGGAGTATTTTTTATTCTCGGCTTGCTATGACATTTTAACAACTCTGGATATGTTTGCTTATTTTGATTAGGTTTTATTATGTGATTATTATCATATTCTGTTATGTCAAGTGAATTATTACTACTACAACTGTTACCTAATGAGTCATCTGATTTATCAAGGCTATCGTCATAAATGAAAGAATTATAAGAATTTTCAATATTTTTAAGATGTTTTTGTGGATTCCTTTTTTTTTGAAAACTTTTATCATTACCATTTTCTACAACGTTTATTAATTCCCTTTTTACAAATCCATAATTTCTCACGTCTCTTATGTCTGTTTCACTTCTCAAGAGTCTACCTATTCTTATGCTGAATGATGCATTGCTAAGTTTTTTTGTATTATCCCATGTTTTACAAAGTGTAGATAACTAAAAATTAGGAACATGAATTATTTATAACAAATGGAGACATATTAACTTTTATTATTAATAATACGATTCTTTTTAAATGAAAATATAAAGCAAATAAAACGAGTTGAATCATCTTTTTTTTTCTTTTAAGTATAATTATATTAGTAATACATACTTCATTTGTATGTTGGAATGTCCATATTAAAAAGGTATACGCAAAAATTTTAACAAAAAGAAGCATTTTTTTTATCCTTTCACAAAATATTTATTTAATAGCATTATATAATTTGTAATAAAAATAAACATTATATCTAAGTAATTTTTTCTGTAACAAAATTACATATCGTGACATTAAGCTTTTTTTTTTTTTTTTTTGCGTATCTGTTTTGACTTTTTTACAAAAATTGATATTATTGTTTTTACAAATTTTCCACAATTTCACGTAATTATATATAATATACATATAAATTTTAAAAACGGTAAAACAAACAAAATAAAAATATTTTAAAAAATGTCTTACGTGAAATTGTAATTGGTTAATGGAATTTTCACATTTAGGATAACCTTTACAAAGCGAGAAAAAAACAGTAAAATATATATAAAAAAGGATGAATAGAAACGGAACTACAATTTATTATTTCAATTATACCAATATATATAATTCATGCGAGAAAAAGCATTAATGCTGCATATTAATATAAACCACTTTTGTTTTAATCATTAGAATATGCACTATCAGCAAAAACAATAAAGCGGAACCTTATAATTACTATCCACATAAATTAAATGGAAGATTTTTTTTATTTTTAAATATCATTTTTGGTATTAAATAAGATAAACTTTTTACAATGTATCCTATGCCTGGTCGTACAGGATAGGATTTAATTATTGTTTCTTATAAGAAATAGTAAGAAAAAAAAAAAAAAAAAAAAAAAAAAGGAAAGGAAAGGAATAAAAGCTTAAAACATATAATGTAAGAGATGGAAAATAATTTTAGAAATTAATTCCTTCTTGTTGCAGATTACATAGTTATACTATCATTTCATGGTAAATACATTTTTTAAAAGTAAAATAGCTAAATGATAGAATAGGACAAAATAACATTACAACTTTGTATAACTATTACTTTTGTTTTTGCAGTAATTATGTAAAAGGAAAAAAAAAAAAAATTTTTTTTTTGATTTATTTTGTTTTTTTAAATAATTTAGTAGTAATACAATCCTTAGATGAGACAGTTCCGTCTGAGCAATCATAGTAATGTTGATAAATTCAAAAATGAAAAAGTGTGCATGAAATGAATAAAGGTTCATGCAAAACGCTAGTTACAATAAAACGCTTCTTCTCATAACACGCTTTGTTTATACATAATGAAAATACAAAGAACAGATAACAATAATAAACAATTTATTTAAAATAAAAAAAAAAAATTAGTAAACTGATGTAAATATCCATATATACAACAAATGAATATAAAATAACATTGGTGCAACATATATGTACACATGTTATAAACATTTTTTCTACATTGTACAACCAATCATCCACCCCCATTAGAACAACTAAAATGTTCAATTAAAAGAGCAATTCTTTTAATTAAGAAATGCTAATAATAAATTCTACAAAACATTGTAAAATATATTATTATATTAAAATTAAATCTTTTTTTTTTTTTTTTTTTTTTAATGAAATTGTTTCTCTTTTAAACAGTGTCTATTTACAACTTGTAAACTACACACACGAATGTATAGTTTACTATTTGTAGCCACAAAAAATTCAATTTGAAATAATATATATTTATTAATAATCTATAGAATTAATGTTTTATTTTATTAATATTTAAATAAAAAGTTGGGAAAAAAATAAAATTTCTATGGAATTAATAACTAAAAAAAAAAAAAAAAAAAACAGAAAAAATGCTTAAAAAAAACACATTTCTATTTGTCAAAGAAAGCGAGAAAAAAAAATAAAATAAAATAAAACAAACAAATAATTATTTAAGTGCAAACAAAGAAACTACAATTTTTTAATAGGGAAAGACGAAACTCTTGTTAAACAGAGTTATTTAAACATAAGTACAAGGATAACGCAATTAACATATGACATATAGTAGAAGTGCACATACGCATACTATCTTAATATATAAAAATGTTGAATTAGACTCATATGATTTCTCTAAATTTCAAATGATCATAAAATATATTTAATAATACGTTATGACTCATTAGTTTAGGTATTCATATTATCTTGTAATTCTTTATATTTAGTGTTGTTAGTGCACTTGATATATTTGTAACTCACATATATTAAAGCGCATAAAAGCATGGTAGCTGTTGAAGCAATACTAAAATGATCAAAATTAAATAAATAAACCACCAATGTGTAAAGGCTATAAGAAAAAAGTGGATAAATAACTATTAAATAACTCTTAAATTTTTTGAAGAGTAACTTAACAGTGTTATCATCTATCATATCATCAGAAGCCAATACCTTCATCAAAGACTTTTCGTATTTTACATCTAATTTCTTCATATAATTACCTGTCCATGTGAAAACCGGTTTTATTAGTCCATAATATTTTTTAGTTGTTAATATTTCTTTCTTTAATGGTTTTAATACTTTTTCACCATCAACATAAGATTTCAATAAGTGAGATAGTTTTTCGCAATTCGGTTTAAAAATATTTTTTAATATATCGCCTGGTTCATCGTCATATCTAAAGTCGTCATCGGAGACATCACTAAAATAACCTTCTAACTTTTCTTCCCCTTTCTCATTAATAATTTTACTAGTGGTACCATCATAATCTGAACTATAATCATATTTTGATGTGTCCTCTTCTTTTAGTTTTTCAAAATAATCAAAAATTTTAAATAGATTCCATTTTTTAAAATTACTACAAAATTTTGATTGATTTGTTATCTTTTCAATGCTATTAAAATTGTCCTCTGAACTAGGTAATTTTTCTCCATCATTACTATCAGATTCTAATGATGCTTCTAACTTTTCATCGAGATTTCCAAATCCTGATAACCATAATCCTTTTTTATCATAATTATAAAACATCAGTGAACATAATGATTTGTTCATCTTTTTAATCAATTTCTGTGGCATGGGTACATTTTCAAAAATCTCATCATTTAATACTTCATTAAATCTTTTTTCAAAATCTTCATCATTTTCATTTAATATATCTAGTAACTTTTCTTTTAAAATTTTATACTTTTCTTTGGGTTCTGACACTAATTCAACTTTTAACAATCTACTTGCTTTTGTATTATAATCCTTATTTGAGTAAATATTGTTATTTCTACTCCATGACTTACCACAGGTTTCAGCAAACTAAGGATTAGATAGATAAAAAAAAAAAAATTCCAAAGAAGCATATAAATGTTTGTATATATAAATAAAACAAAAAAAAAAAAAAAAAAAAAAAAAATTAAAAGGGTAAAAAACACAAAAACACATACGTAAAGAATATCACAATGTTTTAAAGTATGAATAATTTTAATTTTTCTTTACGTGTCCTACATCAGACGGAAATATATAAGCTAATATTAAAACAGCAAAGGCAAAATATTTAACACAGATGAAACTATTTGTCTTTTCCTTCATATTCATGCTTTATTTATGTTCTCTTAATTATTGTTGCATTATTAGTGTTTTTTAATCATAATGGATTGTTATTATACATATTCTTTTAAGTGCTTAGTAGTTATTAGGATTGCATGGATAAATTTTCTCATTTTCTATATTTATCTATTGCTTATTAATTCAAAAAATACTTTAAATTTTATAATTCAGTATTTAAATATATATTTTAAAGAACATATGAGAAATACAAAAAGTGGGGGAAACATTTTAAATAAAATCGTATTAAGAAAGAAAGGGAAAAAGAGTAAATTACAAATACATGGGTTTTCTTTAAACATTATTTGTAAAAATAAAAATTCTAGCGCAATGGTTTTGCATAAGATTTATTAAAAATACATTATATTATATATATCTATCTTTTTTTTTTTTTTTAATTATAGCAATTTAGAATTTAGAAATTCGTTATATTTTAAACAGTATATATATAAACTTATGCATGCATAAATATATAATTTTTACATTTATGTATGTATCACATCATTATAAGGAAATTATTGTTGTGGCAGCAAGTTTAGTATGTAAATCATTGGAAATAAAATTAAAATATAAACAAAAAGAATCTACGCATATTTTGCGTATTGGCCATTTTTATTTTTTGTGAGGGCAAGAAGAAAATATTTTTAGAAAAAAAATGCTTTTTTTGCCTTTGTATTGCAGTGATTAAAATTTTAAAATTAGTAACGCAGTGCCGTGTAAAAAGTTTTAACACAATGTCAATATCTCCAAATTTCATTTAAGTTGAAAATAATAATTAAAGTGATGAATATGTGTATGGATAGCAATATTTACTTTTGAATGTAAATGCATATAACGCTTTTGTTCTATCGTAAAAACAATCATTAACCAAGGTATCATTTTTATATATGCCTTTATTATATTATGAATTATGAATATATATATTTTTTTTTTATTATAAAATAAATTTATATTAAAAAAAATTAACAGCATGGTTAATGAAATGGTTAACAAGGACCCTGTTTTAAACGTTGCGCTATTATGAAGGTTAAATAAAACTTAAATGAACTTTTTATTTTACTAAAATTGAAGAAAATACATTTTTATGAATAGTGATGCTTATTAGTGAACGACGTACACAGGAGAGAGAGTTGTATGATATATTTTATTTTTATATAAACCCAGCAGTGTCATAATACACTAAATAGTTAAAACCAGAATTTTGAATATTTATTTTAAAATGTGTTTTTTTTTTTTTTTTTTTTTAAACATCTCTTATTTTTGAAATAAAAAAAAAAATATAACTGTATGATTGAATAAAATCAAGAAATATTTTTTGCATCTTTTAAAAATACAATAATAATTTATAATGTTTTGTTTCCCTACATGTGCTATTGTCTAAAACATTTTAATATGGTGCAATATTTCTTCATGTACGTTGTGTAATAAAAAGATTAACAGAAAAATATTGTAAAGAGGATAATGAGCAGTTTCTTTTCTTTAATTTTAATTAATAAATGAATAAAAAAAATAAATTATATTCCCTTATAAAGAAAAATGTATCCTTTTCAATAACAAAATAAGGAGTTATTATTTCAAATCATCAATACTAAACATGTTATAGCATTATAAAAAGTTACTAAATGGTGTTGCTTTTTTGCTCGTTTATTATTATTATTCTTTAATTTCCTTAAGCAAAATGTGGTAATATAATTTTGTGTTATTGTTTTTGTATAAATTCGGTTATCAACACATACCTGAAGAATTTCAGCATTTGTTTAACCTCTTTTGTGTAACTAAAATGGCTTTTAGATAATTTGAGTTCTGTTTCTTATTACACATGTTAATACATACATAGTTGTATGCAAAAAAGATGCATATACTGCACTAACATTACAGTATGGCATATAAAAATGAAAAAATTATATAAGTGCGAAGATATATTTAAAAAACGTTTATATGACATAATAAAAGATTATAAACTAATAAAATAAAAAAAAAAGTGGGCGCTTTTAGTTCCTGAACACTTAGCATAAATTACCATATTTAGCACGTATTCATAATAATAATTACTTATCATACATAGTTATTAAATATACATTGAAAAAATTTTAAATAGACAGAACACTGAGAACTGTACATTTAGAAGCAGTGGAATATAGGAGGGTATCAAATTTTATAGATTATATAGATTAAGTAGTATACAAATATTAAATAATAGTAAAAGGTGTATAATAAATTACACATATTCTTATGCATATCCTTCGTTAATAAACTTAAAGGAACAACAAAAAAAAAAAGTTAATATTAATTTTTATTAAAAATAGAATACTCAAACTTGCAATCGTGTGTTCTAATAATCACTATTTATGTAACAAATTACATCTTTTTTATGATTGAGCTAGATGTAATGAAATTGGTAAAAAGGATAAAGATTTTAACTTTCAATACATTTGTTTTAGCTAATAGAATATTTAAATTTTCTTGAATTAATGAACACATCATTCTGAGAAATTCCTAATTAACGGTATAAATGATGAATATATATACATAATAATTTGCAAAAATGTGATATATTTATAGGGAAAAAAATATATTTTTTTGCAGAAACTCCTAGTTCTAATAACATTTCTAGAATTATGCTTTTAAGTATATTGAATAAAATATGTAAAACAAATAAGAAAAAAAATGATATACTCAAAATTACAAAAAACAAAATATTTTTACTTGATAAATAGTTTGAGCACAAAATATTGTAGTTGTAATACTGTAATATGGTATTATATAAATAATTTTTAATATTGTAAAATCCTAGTTTATTGGAAAAAATACGTAGTTTAACAGCCTTCGGTAAGAATACAGATGTGTGCCATTTCATAACAATTACTTAGGAAGCAAAATGTTGTGTTTTAGCTGATAACATATGTAATTTTAAAAATAGGAAAAAGTTTTCTGTAGTTTCAAAAAATTAAAAAAAGAAAAAAGAAATTTATTATTTACGTGTGGATATTAAATATTATTCTATTTTATTATTTTTTTTTAATTCTTAAATCCGTGAATAAAAATCTACAATAAGCATTACAGAGTAATTTTGAGTGTTTTATTTTACTAAATCTTAATGTTGACTTTTTTTTTTTTTTAATACATTACATTGAATAATTAAAATTTTATAAATGGGCTTCTGGCTAGTTGATATTCTTTATTATACATTTTTAAGTTAATTTACTTTTGAGACTCCCTAATGTGAATTTACTTAAAAAAAAACTCATGTGTACATATTTTAACATATGAGAATACATTATTTGTTTATTTTAAAAAGTGTAAAAACATAATGAAAAAGTATAGACAAATTTGTATAACTGCATGAAGGAGTGACAGACTAAAATCACATTTCATTCATGAGAGCTTGTGGACATTTATACAGTACATGTAAATTATTTCATTATTTTTAGAACTAATAACAAAATAAGAGAATACCTAAAAAAGAATAATAACAAAATATGTATTTTTGAATATAAGTTAACAGCATTACAATGTTATGCGATTAATAATTGTTTTATTAGTAAAATCATTGAAGGAAAAAAAAAAAAAATGTTAATATATATTGTTACTTCTCATCATGTAGAAAGAATGTAAAGGATGTATTTGTGTTGATTAATGTCTTAAATAAATTTTTTTTTTCATTTCATTTTTTTTCTCGAAATTTTGAATACACCTATATATTATTATCTATTTATTCACACAATTTTTCACTATTTCCTGATTATAATTACATCTATATAAAATTATTTGTTTTTATTTTTTCATTTTCAAGGTTTGTAAACATTTATATTAATTTCGAGGCAAAAAAACTCATTTATAAAAAAATATATACACCTAAGCGAGTTATTATTTGTAAAGCTACTTATTGGTAAAAATATCATAACTTTTAATTAATTAAATGTTATTATGGATATCATTATTTTGCAAAAAAAAAAAAAAAAAAAAACAAAGGAAAAAATGATAAAACTTTTAATACTAATATAACACTGTACAATTTGTATGGTTTAAAATAAACGTTGTAAATATACATTGAATTAGGTTAAATTGGACTTTAGTTTTGCATGTGTAAATATAATAATAATAATGTAAAATTATTCAAATGTATTCGAGAAAAAAGCATTCCTATTGAATTTAATTAAATGATAAACTAGAGTTGTGCTTTGTTTCTATTGCATGTATGTGATAATTCTTAAGAATAATAAATAGAATTAAAGAAGGAATTTAATAAAAGAAGCCAAGTTTGAAATAGAATATATGAAGTATCCCTTTCACAAATGAAAGAAAAAAGTTCTAAATCCAAATTTGGTTCTGTAAAGCGTGCACATATGCAGAGAAGTCTATATGAATATTTATGAGAGAACGTTTTCTTTATTTTTTACTTTATTTACATATGAAGTCGAGCTTACTAGGATTTATTTTATTCTAAAATTGTTTTTTTTTCCTGCTTATGCCATTTGCGTATTGCAGGATGAATTACGTTTTGTTTCATTCATTAATGGGTAATAAACCTTATAATTTTACTAAGTCTATTATATATCTTATTAAGTTTGTCAATTTTACTTTTTTGTCATTTTATCATAACTTGTTATATGTAAAGTTATTCTATTGTTACTTAATTTTTTTTTTTTATAATGTACTATATATTTTGTTCGTTTTTGGATATTTATGAATCATTTTCATAATTACTACTACCATGATACAATATCATGTAATAGTGAACTACCTATAAAATGCAATAAGCTTGAAGGGAAACATCAGGATAACTTATTTTTTTAACAACAATGGTTTATTATTAATCACGAATGAATGGATAATAAAAAACACAATATGCATTATTATGTAAATTCACGGTTTAAATTCAAACGTTAGATTTTCCTTTTTGAGACACAGTGTTGATATAGTGGGCAATGAAATGGCTATATTGAAGGATGCAGATAATTATTATGTTTATAAGGATAACTGAATAGAGAGTTTTAATAATAGGGGATATTTAGTATATGGAATAGACTTAAAAGGTCATGGAAAATCCGATAGATGGAGAAATCTAGAGGTTAATATAAGGCATTTTGGTTATCTGGTGTGTGATATAATAGAGTATATTAACAATATTCGAGATAATTTATGTAAAAATGAAAAATCAAGAATTGGATCGTCTTCTAATGATATGAAAAGAAATATAAAAACAATCCCCACTCAAATATTTGGTCAATCCGTGGGAGAAAATATTGCATCAAGGACACTATAGTTAATGGGAAAGGCGAAAGAAGTCAATAAACAAAAAATTAAATATTATAGGATGTATTTCGTTATCATGGATAATTTCTGTTGAATGACCAATTGCTTCATCAGGTTCATATTCGTATAAATTCTTTTTTTTGTTTTTTACAAAACTTTTTTCATTTTCCTTTCTCAAGCTTAGACTTATAAATAATATGCGTTATATAAAGTGTAAAATTATGCATGATCTTTATACATACGATAAAATGAGGTACAATAAAGGAATAACAATCAGATTTGCATGTGAGTTGCTAAAGACAATGAGTAACTTAGATAGAGATATGCGATATGCCCGTCAGGACATTCCTATTTTATTTGTTAAATACAAAGATGATACTTTATGTCATTATAGGGATGTCATATCCTTTTTCAAGAGACTAAAAAATGATAACAAGGAATTGCATATTCTAGAAAATATGGAGCGGGGAAATGAAACTGTTTTAAGTAAAACCATGAATTCGCTTTCAAAATTAACAAGTGAAATAAAGAACACTAATTTAAATAAAAAATGATATCTCACTTTTTATAAGTGCATTATTAGGGCTACATTTTTTATTGTAAAAACAAAAAAAAAAAAAATAGTATAATAAATTGTCTCTGATATATGCACCATATGTCTGTGTGTCCACAATTACCAAGATATACAAATATAATGCGTGTATTGCCATTGTGTTGCATTCATTGTTTGAATTTGAACTTTTTTTTTTTTTTTTTTTACTTGATTAATAATTTTATGAACTCATGTTATTTATAAAATTGTATATTTTTTCTTATTTTCCTTATAATTACACATGTAAAGGTAGAATTCACTTTATATTTGAAAGTTATTTTATCCTTCTATGCCATTATATAAAAATGTGAAACAACAAATATATTTTTACATCTTATTAATATCTAAAGTTCAATAAAGAACATATTGACCATAATTCTCATGTCTGTTGACGGTTTCATTAATAGGCTATAATAACGTAATAACTAATATGATGTATTGATTCCTATAACTGTGCAGTTTCATATTGCGTAATAAATAGAAATTGTCCCTAATAATGGAAAAACATTATGTAGAAAAAGTTTTAAAACATAGTATATAAAAATTTATATTTTATGTTTTATATAATAAATAAAAAAACAAAAAGTGAATAACATTATGAGTGAAAAATTTAACTTTGGTGTTACATTTTTTTTTGCTTTCCAAAAAAATTATAATTTTTTTTTTTTTTTTTGTACTAGAAAAACATTAAAATGCACATGCATGCATACATATTATAGGTTAAGCTTTTTCACGTATACTCTTTTTATTTGTACACATATTTTGGGAATTATATAAAATTTAGATTAAATTTCCAATTAATACACATTTATGTTTCTTAAACATCTATCCATCTTCCTATAATTTAAAAATAGAAAATTTACATTAACTGTAAATATAAAATAGTTTACAATTACTTACATTGTTTATTTTATTAGGGTGCTGATATATAGCATTTTTTTCGCATACAAAAATATATTGCTTAAAATACTGTCTTTTATCCTTAAAATGTTTAAAAAAAATTTTAACCCATGAAAGACTATTTTTTTAGTAAAAATATATATATATATATATATACATCTTACACATATAACAATATTCTTCATACAAATATGAGATTTAATCCAATAGTACTATAAAAATTTTTTCTGTTTCCCATACATTAAACGACTAAAAATAGTATCTCAATATATCAATTTTAAGGATGATTCGTTTATATATTATATATATATATATGCATTATGTGCACACTTTTTTTTTTGGTATTTCACATTGCCGTAGTGGTTCATATGCATTTTTATATGGATAAACATTAGTGTGATAACAAAATAAAATATAAGGTAACACCTTTGTTTTTCATTTTTTTTTTTTTTATCATAAGTGTATTTCATCAATTAATATTTAATACGTGATTAATCTCTTTTTGTTACTTTTTTATATAAATGCCAACAACAAAAAACAATATCTAAAGTGTTATGTATTTTTTTTTTTTTTTGAAAAAAGGATATAAATTGCTAATTTATGTCATTTGATGGTGTATAATTAAAAAAAAAAAAAAAATTTAGTGAAACCTAATGAAATGAATAATTAACACATTCATTTTAATTATATGTTTACTATACACGCTATTATTTATTTATTATATATATATTTTTTTTTTTTCATATATAAAAAAAATAATAAAATTTTTCTAATTAATAAGAAAATATGTGTCTGTCGATTATTAAGGTTATTTTTCTTTTTTTACCTTTTTTATTTTCTATTTTTATTATATAACATTGTTCCGCATCAATGAGTTGGATTAAAATATGTATATATGTGGTTTAAGCAAAAAAAAAAAAAATAAAATAAAATAAAAAGCAAGAAGTAATAATAACGCTTACATGAAAAGTGATTTTAATGTTGAAACCCAGTAAGAGTCTTATTTTTAGTGCGCTAGCGCAGAAATTTGTGAAAAATGATGAGATTCTTCGATTAAAATACTATTTTATTACTGTAAATATACCTAATACCCCAAATGTATTAAAAAATAAAGAATACGTATGCACCCATTTTAAAATATTATACATACCACAATTATACTTAAAAAATTGTAGCGTTTTTAAATGTATGTTAAGAAAAGTATATATAAATAATTTTATTCTATTTTTATGAACACTTTTTTTTTATTACTTGGCTAATAACTCAATTTTTTCCCTATTATTATTTATAAATAATATTTAATGTTATTTAATCATTATATTTATATATTTTCTTTCTATAATATTTGTTGCAAATGTGATATATATAATAGCATTATCACTTTATTAAATAAGTGCAAAATGGGATAATATTATATTATAGCATTTACCTTTTTAAAGGCATTTTTCGTTGAGGATAAAATTATGTCAAATTTATCTAATTTTTTATTTAAAAATGTTCATTATTCTGTTTCATTTTTACTCATTTTATTTTTGAATGTTTCTTAAAGATATACTAATTTTGATGATTAATTGAAATTTAATGAAAGTAAAAAATTACAAAAAAAAAAAAAGTTTTGTAATTTTTACAAAATATTTGAAAGTATTCATTTTAATAAAATTAATGAATAATAATATATATCCTGATAATATTATTTACCAAGCACTAATTTGCAAAATTTTTTTAAACATTAAAATTTCGTGAAAATTTTTTTTTTTGAATTAATTTGTTATTTATGATACATGCTGAATATTACTAAAAAATATAATATTTTAATTTATTTTTATGTGGTAAAAACATATTAATATGTGATCATGGAAATATACAGTACTCTTGATTCTGTAATACATAAGCATACTAATAAATGTACGACTAAACATAACATCATTGTAAGGGATGAATGTTATTAAGGAAATGTTATAAAGAATAAAAGAAATGTGCACCAGATTTATTAAAATTCTCATATTTATCCTCATATATATTTTTTTATATTCTGATAATGTAAGATTTTGTAAAAAAATAAAAAGATAATATGTGAAATCCATTGATCACTCTAACGTTATATTTATGTATATGTTATATGAATATGTATGAGTATATATAGACATGTGTATGTGTACATATCTATATTTTTTTTTAATACACGTAATTTACAAATTTCTACACTTTTTTGTGTATAACGAATTTTTTAGATTTCCTCTGCTAATTATTCTGAGGAGAACAAGAAGCAAGATGTAATTATAGATTCATCTTATAGAACGACATTAGATCAAGCTAACAGGGAAACGAAGTCACTTCTATGTAAGGAAGGAGAAGAATCGAAAAAGTTAAAGGAATATTTTCACGACCACAATGCTGACACAAATAAGTTATCATTGAACAACATCCAGGATGTTCTGTTTGGAGATGATGCGAGCAGGCAGTGTATATTAAATGTATTAAAGCAGTTGATATTAGGGAAGCCGCAAATAATAGAAAAATTATTTAAAAATTTTGTAAAAGCTCTAATAAATAATAAACAAATACAAGAATCAAAATTGATCGAATTAAAAGAGTTTTTGTCTTCAAATGATCATTTGAAATCAGAAAATGTATTAAAAGCATTGAAAGATAATTTGGTGGACAATCCATTTATAAAGGAATTGATGTCAAATGAATTAGAAGATATTTTGTTAGGTAGCAAACTAAATAATGAATACATATTAAAAGTTTTGAAGAAAAATTTGTTAAGTGATACATTGATAGGGTTGTCTATGCTGAAAGAACTAGAAAATATTATATTACAAAATAAATTAGTAAATGAATCTAAATTAAGAGATTTAAAAAAAATCCTTCTAAGTAATGAACCAATAACTGAAAGTCAATTAGATGAACTAAAATCATTGCTATCTGTTATAATACAAGGTCATTCTAATTTAAAAGGTACTGTACCAGTACCCAAAGTGAACTATTCAAATAGAAGAGAAATAAAGAGAAAACCTATTTTATTAGAAAAAAATGATTTTGAACATAAATTTGAGGCAAAGGAAAAATATGAATCATTACATAAAAACAATTTTATTAAAGAAGACGATGTATTAAGGCTTCATAGAAAACAGTTACAAAAAGACGATGATATAAATAAAATTGGTATGACAAAGACAAATGAAATAGGGGAAAAAAATGAATATTTAAAGAAAGGTGGTTTCAAACAGGAAAGCGATTTATTTAAATTATATGAATCTATAAAAAGAGATGAAGTAAACGATAGGTCCAATATATTAAAAAAAGATGTTTTTATTGATAAAATTGAAACATCTAAAATAAATGAAGCAACAGAAATCGATTCTATGAAAAAATGTGGTCAAACATATGAAAATAATTTATTTAAGTTACATGATCCTTTAAATGAATATGTACCTGCAAAGAAAGATGATATAACAAAAAAATTTGAATTGTTACAAAATGAAGATCATATAATAAAAGATGAAGCATTTATAAAAAGAAAAGTATCACAGGGAGATGTATTAACAAGGAAAAGGTCTGTAATAGAGAAAGGGAAGCTCCAAATAAAAGATGATTTTGTGAGTGTAAATAGGAGAATAAGAGAAAAGGATAAATCCTTAAAAAAAAATGATTCTGCGAATAGAGGAGATGCAATTAATAAGAAGAAATTATTTAGAAAAGATGGTACTATGAATACAGTTGATATAACTCGTAAAAGGACAATACTGAAGAATGATGATATTAGAAGCACAGCTGACGTTATCCCTAAAAGAAAATCTTTGGATAAAAATGATTCGTCCAATAAAGGAAACATAATATATAAAAGGAAAACAGCAAGAAAAGATGATTCTTTGAACACAGTTGATGTTGTTCCCAAGATAAATAAATTGAGGAAAGATGATTCTCTGAGTTCAGTTGATGCTATTGCCAGGGAAAAACCGATGAGAAAAGATGATTTTATGAGTTCTGTTGATGTGATTCGCAAAAAGAAACTATCTAGAATAGATAATTCATTGAGTTCAATCGATGCTACATCTAAGAAAAAAACGCTGAGAAAAGATGATATTATGAGTTCTGTTGATGTGATTCGCAAAAAGAAACTATCTAGAATAGATAATTCATTGAGTTCAATCGATGCTACATCTAGGAAAAAACCACTGAGAAAAGGTGAAATTATGAGTTCTGTTGATGTAATTCGTAAAAAGAAACTGTCTGGAAAAGACGATTCACTGAGTTCAGTAAATGCTACATTTAAGGAAAAACCACTGAGAAAAGGTGAAATTATGAGTTCTGTTGATGTAATTCGTAAAAAGAAATTACCTGGAAAAGATGATTCACTGAGTTCAGTTGATGTTATTTCTAAGGGAAAACCACCGAAAAAAGGTGAAATTATGAGTTCTGTTGATGTAATTCGTAAAAAGAAATTACCTGGAAAAGATGATTCACTGAGTTCAGTTGATGCAACATCTAAGGAAAAGCCATTGGAAGAAGTTAATTCTGTGCCTTTAAATAACAAGAGAGACAAGAATGCCAAGAAAGAACATGAAGACTCAGGCTATTCTTCGATGAACGGTGATCGAATAAGCAAAGCAGTTTTGCCAGAAAAAGATAGTTCAATGGAAGAAATTTACCTAGAAAGTAAAAATAGTTTGCATACAAAATTTCATTCCATGGAGAAGAGTTATGTATCAAAGAAAAAGGAATTACTATCAGTTTCTGATTCTAAGAATATAGATAATTTAAAAAAAAGAAGGAAATCACTGATAGAGGATAATTCAAAATCAGAAGTTTACATAAAGTCTGACAGCGATATCCATAAAAATGTTCATCCTATGAAAAAAGGGGAATTTATATCGAAAGATGTTCCTGTGAAGCATCGTGAGATTTTAAGAGAAGATAAATTGTTATCAGAAGATGATTCCGTTAAGAAAAGTGAAACTACAGACGACCCGAAATTGGTTATAGATGATAGTTCTATGGATAAAAGTAATAAGTCAGAATCAGTGAAATTGTTGAAAAATAATAATTTTGCAATAATAAGTAATATATTGAACCGAAATAAAATGTTGGAAGATGAAATATTAAAGAACAAAGTTTATTTAACATGCGCTAAAAGTTTGCATAAAAAAATTCAATTCATAAATAAAAGTGGTTTATTGAATAATTACAGATTACCCCCTAAAGAAGATCCAGAAGATAGTATATATATAATTGATCAAAATAGTTTATATAGAAAAATTAATTCCTTAAATAACGATGATTTAATAGATAAATGTAAGTTATCGACGAGTGAAGATTATAAGAACAAATTATATATAACATGCAAACATCGTCTATTTAACATTATTCACGCAGAAAAAAAGGAGTTAGAAGAAGTAGATGAAGTTTTACGAAAAAAGGATCCGCCTAAAGAAAAGGAACTTATAAAAGAAGACACATTACCAAAAAAAAAAAAATGTACCATATATATATATATGACCGATAAAAAGAAAGATAAAGATCCTGAAACGTTAGAAAAAGATTGGGTTATATATAAACATATTAAAGATAATAATGTAAAGGTAGAATTATTAAAGGATATAGATACTATGACTAAAATTGATGTAGCAGCAGTAGATTCAGTGTATAGAAAGACCGAAGAAACTCTTGTCAAAAATGTTATAAATCCACCAAAAGTTGCAAACAAACCTAGGAATGTAAAGGAAATTGTAAAAAAAGTGGCCATGCATGGTATCCCCGCAACACTTGCAGTAATAGCAATACCATTTCTTGCCGTGAAGCATATTGAGGTATCTGGTAAAGATATTTTTATGGAAGCTGGAGCAGCAGCACTATCCACTGGAACAAATGCAATGCAATCTTTTGCACCTGAACTTGGAGCATATGCTGGACAGTGTGTAGGTGAAGCTTTTGGTTCTGTACTAGAAGCATTAGAGACCGGTAATATTTGGAGCATGTTTACAAGTTTTAGCCAGAGGGCAGCATTGTGTACAAGCAAAATTGCAATGAAAACTGCATCGGTTGCAATTAAGGCTGCATCCAAAGCTGTAGATACTTCTATAGAAGTTGGTACAGAACATGCATTGATTCAAATCACATTCCCTTTGTTAATTGGTATTTGTGTTATAATAATTATAGAAGTTCTTTACCAAATATTCTTATATCTAGATAATAGAGGTAAACTGGATTTTATTGATGATTGTAAGAGAAAATTCAGGCGTTACGTAATTAAAAAAAAGTACAATCTTAATAGACCAAAAATTAACCTGGAAAATTATAACTACTAAATTTTTTCTTATATATATATTAAGTTTTATCAACACACGGTGACGTGTTTAAATATTTATATTATGGATAATAAAATATTTATTTAATATTTAAATAAAATTTGTTTAATGTTTTAGATATTTCAGAAAATGTATATTTTTTATGTGTTTACATATATTATATATCTATTACAACGTTTATTCTCTTTTATGTGTGTGTTGAGTAATTTTTTGCAAACATAAATTAATGTTACACAGTCTTATATGTGTTACAAATATATGTATATATAAATGCATACACGCATACATACATACATGCATACGTGCAAAAACATATGTATGTAAATTATTTGTGTACAAAAATATTTTGTTAAATGCGTATTGTTTAATTGACATTTCATATTATTTATTTAAATTCTTCTTCTGTGGTAGTTTATACACAAATTAAAATATATGTAATTATACACATGTTGATTATTGTGGTATAATTATTTTGACAAATAATGTCTTAGATTATTTTGTCGAAGTAATGACACCGAATATTCTGATTTGTAAAAAATTGGTCCAATTAATTATTTTATCATATTTCTTAAATATTGCTTAAATATTTATTAAACTTATTACACATATAATAACAGTTAATTACTTCATTAAAATGAAGCACCAACTTGTATTATGTAAACCTTAATGAAAAAAAATTAACGCGTATGTTATATACACATATAATAAAACATTTTTAAGCTCAGCATTTTAACTGAGATGATATTTGAATATGCATATGAGGATCTGAATAAAATAGTGTTTCTTAAAAAGTTGTTAGAAATGTACTTATCTGTATTCTCCTATTGGTTCTTTTGGGTCTATAATATTTTATTAGTTTTTATGCTGTGTTTTATTTAGTTGATGTATATTATTTGTCTTTTTGTTATATTTAAAATACAGTATTCATAACACAAAAACTAAGTTATTATATTTTTTTCGCTCACGCACGTGATTAAACTTGTAAATTAGCAGATATTAATTATATGAATATATTATTATTGTTCCATGCATCATGTGTAAAGGAGTTTAGCTACATGAATCATTACATTTGAATCCTGCATTATGATTGTACTATTATACTTTTTTTTTTTTTTTTTTTTTTTGATAATTTTTACTATCAAGAATAATGATTACACAAATCATACATATTAAAATTTAGTACCAAAATTATTATATATGCCCTTAATAAATGGAATAAAAAATGGTACCATTACTTAATTTATTAATCATAAACTCTTGTGTTAAGAGGAAGAATAAAATTGGTATATTTCCAAAAAAAGAAACAAATAATGTAGTAGACAAATTAAATTAGTTAAAAGAGAGTTTTCAACGTAACATAAATATATAAAAATATTTAAATTAACATGCATGTGTATGTGTCTCATCGTTACAATAAATTGGTAAATAGAAAAATATTTCATGTATTTGACAACAATAAATGTGTAATATGCCATGTTTAAATAATTATCATTATATCTTATAATTTTTTCTAAATTAATTTTGTTTAATTAAATACAAGCACATTAAAATGCAAAAAAATATAACATAAAGCATCTTATTGAAATGATAATTACAGGATGTTATGATTTTCACAATTTGCATGCATTTAATTTTAAAATAACATTAAAGTGTCACACGGAAATCAATATACATAATACTAAAAATAAATAAAACATAGAATTAGATATCACGCTTTTATCAGATAGTGCGTGTATCATTTAATTTTCCATTTTCTCAAATTTAAAAAATAGTTGCTTATTGATTATTCTGTAAAAAAAAAAAAAAATTGCTTAGGGATTTACATTTGTGTTTACATTAATACACTAAAAAAGGAATAGACTTTACTTATTTAAGCCTTTTTAATAATAGTGATAATTTATTTAACAGTGTGTTATCTTAAACGATATTCTTATGTTAATTCAAGATACAGTAATATAATTACCTTGTGTGTATAAATGAAAAAAAAATATTTGAGGAACACGAGTATAATATTAGAATGCACTGAAAAATTTAAAACTGTTTTTTTTATTGTTGTTTTAAACAAAATGTATACGTTGTTCCACTAATATTTTATAGGAATTAGATAAATAAAAAAGCGAAAGGTGCATGTTTTAAAAATATGATAATAGAAATTGTAATAATCTCTATAGGAACCAAAAATATTAGAACAAATGTATTATTTTGTCCTGTATGTTATGTTTTTATGGATCCTGTAAATTCTTACTCTATAAACATTAAAGATATGAAATTAATCTGTAGGGAAAAATAATATATATATATATTTTAAATTATTTTATATATTTCTTTATTTATAAGACTTGTTTTACTATTTTATTTTAGGTAGTATATAAATTAATTCTTAAGGGTGTAGGTGAATAAATCTGTTATTTGCTTTGAACATTATGTACGTTATACTTTTTATTAAAATAATTATGACGAACATAGATTTTGCTTAAAAAAAAAAAAATTCTAAACAAACAATTTTTCTGCGCATAACAAAATTTATCGAATATGTTTTAATAAATTTATTTTAACAATATTATGAAATATAAATATTCAAAATTATAAATATGTTTTAAATTATGAATGACGTATTACGATATTTTTAATTATGTCATCCTAAGATTCTCATTTTAAAGGGACTACTTGAATGCATAAGTTTTTACTTTTCTACTTAATATAGTATAATTCTCTTATATAATTAATATTGGAAAATTTAATGAATTAATATACTTAGTATATTTAAGCCTTATATTCGTCAAAGTTTCTATTTATATTACTAAAGCATGACATTGTTTATTATTTGTCTTATATAAAAAATGTTCTATAAAGAATTCAGGAAATTTTGTTATTTGTGTTTACAGTATTCATACTTACAAATATTTATTTTTCACATAAGTAGTTTACGTCTATCCTTTATGACATAATATTTTGGAAAGGTATTATATTTCAACTTTATGTATTTATTATACATTAAGCAATGTAATGCTTTATGTTATAAGGGTAGTTGTCTGAATTTTCTTTAGACCAACCAGAATTATGTGCTATTGAATTAATTGTTTTATTTCATTCATTCCATATTTTCTATGTCCTTATTAATCGAAGACGCATAGATGAAGCAATTAGCATAAACCAGTATTAAGCAAACGGTACGAATTTTTTTAAAAGGAAAATAAGTATAAAATAAAATTGGCGTGAATATATACATCAAAAATTGTAGTGCAGCATCAACATGTAGATTTAAAAAGAATGTTTTTCGTTTATATAATAAATAAAAAAAAAATAACAAAAATAATAATAACAATAATATTACGGTAAATGTACACATGTTTCTAACTAAAACATGATCGCGATAAGCATACTTGATTATTTATGGGTCATTATTGCATGCTATTTTTAACATAACTTTTTCATAATGCTTTTTAAAATTTTCAGGGTTTAGAGTTCAGGTTTTTCGGGTTTAACAGCATAATATTTTGTAATGAATAGTTATATATTTACAAATATGATTGCGCTAATGAGCTCACTGTTAATTTTACATAGTGATAAATTTTAGTTTTAAAAAAAATTCAACATTATTATATATTTATAGAGATTGTATGATTGAAAATTGCAAGCACAGTGAAATTAGCTTACGTTACCATAGTGTAAGAGAGAATTTGCAAAATTGAAGCAAAAAATTAAAATTCTATAGAATGATCTATATCCAATTTAGTACATGTGACAATTTATAAGTTAATCTAATGAGCGGATAGTAGCAATAGAAATATTTTTAAGGTAAAATATGTACTTGTTGGAATAAATTGTCTTTATCTGTTATCTCATTTTTTTTTTAAGGTAACCTATGAATACTTATAAATTTATACCGAATGTAAATATTTTAAGAATGATAATGTATTATACTAAATATATACACAGTAAAGTTATATTTTTTTAGTTAATAATTTATTTTTATTTTGTTATATTTCTTATTCCAAAAATATGTAAAATATATTTTAAGATATATTCTCTTGTGTACATTAAATATAGGGATAATATGTTTGTCTAATAATATATCATTAAAAGTAAAAATGTGTGGTGTAGTATTTGTATACATATTGTTACTATAAAGATGTGTGAGATAGGTTACATTTGTGTTTCGGTGGCTATTTAGGAGGAATTACATCATGAAGGTTTTTACTATTATATATATAAATATTATAATAATCATCACTTCATTAAATTATTTTCCAGATTGGTACAAATAAATTTTAATTATTGTTGAATATATGCTTACGTTAACCTTGGCAATGCAAACTCTCTATCATACATAACACATGTTAATAATAAATTTAATAGGAATAATAAACATTTGAATCTCATATTTTTTCCTTTATAAGAAAAAATATCATAAAATAAAATGAACAATGGGATCTATAGTAAAATATGAAAATTGAGTAAAAATAATTTTAAAACACGCTAATTATTGCATGTTTATAGAAACATGGGAAATTCTCAAATACTTAAAGCACATAAAAAGACAAATGGAATATAAAGAAAAGTATAATTTATAAAAATCAAGAACAATCGACATATCTAGAGTATTTTTTTTTTCAAAATTACAAGAAAAGAACTTAATTTTCGAAGAAATCATTTTGGCTAAACATTTACATATCTATTTTAAAATTTCACAACTATGTTACTGACTCACTGTGTAAACCTAATTAAGTTTGAATAAAAATTAAGAACAAAGAAATTGTAAAATTAAATTATATATTTTCAGACATAAAAAATTAAATCTATGTAATAATATTAATATCACCTTTTTTACAATCATTTTTAAATAAAATATTATGTTCACGTATTAGTAAAAAAAAATATTCATGTAAAATAACTAA